TCCTCATCCATGGTGTCATCGGGGTGAAATGACGTCTAAAAACCTTTCACTTGTTTGTCTCCACCCGTTTGCATGGTGTGAAATACGATCCTCCTGAGTGTTTTATTTTGAAAAGAAGCCGGATGTTTTATTTTGTGTCTGTGCCGGACTTCCTTTGCAGCACGGGTTAATCTGTGCTGAATTTATCCAGCATGCTTCGGTGTCTGGAAAAAATAGAACTCTTGCGATCAGCTGAGGAGTCCGGTGATTGGCAGAGGAACGGAAAGAAACCGGTAGAAATTGACGTTAACTTGAATGGTTACGATCAGCTACGATTGGAGGACCTTTTTGACGACCTTTTTGTAGAAGTTCAGGACAGACGCTTTGAAGCAGCAAACAAATTGTACTGTGTACGGTGGGTCAACTTAAATATCCAACTAACGTTAGCCCTTGTACTTTTTCATAGACAAACGACCTGACAACAAAAATTTATAAAGTTCTTAAAAAGTTAATATAATTTAAAAATTCACAAAGAAGTTCAGAAATTTCATCCGAAAAGAAGAACTCCGGTTAGCACCCTCATTTTTTAAATCTCTGTCTCCTAAAAGAATCAAAATAGAGAATTGATAGATAGAAATCGAAATGAGGAATTGGAATCAGAATTGGAATTGTTCAAAATCAAATGATACCCAGCCCTAGTGACTGTCACACTCAAAGCGTGACACTTGGCAGCTCTGCGTCTGTATCTTTGACTTTTACATCTTGTTTTCCATCCTGTGCAAACCCAAAAAAAAAAAAAAACAGCTGCTGCGAATGAAGAGTGAAAGAAACTCATGAGAGAGAAAGTTTATTAAACAGAAGAGAAAGTTTTTATCCAACTGACAAAGTGAAGGAAACCCCTGCAGAATTACACACACACACAGATTACAGTATTCCTATGAGGAGGACAGACAGAATTCTGTTATCTGACTTCCTCATATCTCACTTCTTCTCTTCCTCCAAAACCTGCAGTTAACGGGTGTCTCCCCTGACAACCACCATCTATTCGTAACACACACACACACACACACACACACACACACACACACACACACACACACACACACACCTGACAGGATGAGTAGGACGCTGAGGTGAAAATAAAGGGGTCCCTCTGATCCAGAATCCAGAGGCATTTTTTTTACCTGAAGACCAGTTTGAGACCAAGACTCGGGGTTTCGCCACAGTGTCAACAGGCTTAGGAGAAATCTGTGAACTCATTTATTTATCGTTTGTTACACTGTGTGCGATCAGGAGCTTCCTTCAGCAGTATGATGTTCTTGTGATGTTCTTCCATCAGTACGTTTACATGCATAGTTCAATCGGACTAAGCTCATAATACGTTTATTTCACTGAATCAGACTTCTCTCCTTGTCTGCGTATACATGCAGCTGAGAAAATTTAATTATTGGCGTGAACCTGTCCTCCTCCCCAAAACTAGGGGGAGATATGGGTCTTTTCAGTGGAGCTATTTCTGACCCCATACAAACGTCAACAACAACAGCAGGTCTGTGTCAGATGTCAGAAGTGTCTACAACTGCTGCTGGGCATTTTGGAGCGAGAAGATGGAGCATCGTACAGTGTTGTTTTTGTCCTACATGATGGACATGCTACCTTTTCTGCAGATGAGATGCACGCTACTCCTCTTCTCTGGTGTTTTTCTTCCGGAGTTACGGGGACGTGGCGCACGCGCACATGCATTGTCCGATTATACTCCAATTACACCGGTTACAGGGTAGAGAAAATCGAATTCTGATCGATTTATCTGTGTGTCTTAATCAGAGTTCTCAAACTCTGATTATATTCTGACTAAATAGGGATTTCCACCGCATCCGGAACAGCTCCGATCCGGAACAGTGGAATTTTTGCCGTACGCCAATTCCTACTGGATCCGTTTGTGTGGTGAATTTTGTGGCGGATTACTGACAGCAGAGAAGGCGAGAACTCGCATCGCGCGATAACGAGTTGTCTTTATAAAGAGAGACACATATAAGCAGTAGATTGTGTCCTTCCAGAGGAGGAAATCTACTTCTAGACTTCTAGAATCAGCATCTCCTCATCCACAGTGTCATCGTGGTGAAATGACGTCTAAAAACCTTTCACTTGTTCGTCTCCGCTCGTTTGCATGGTGTGAAATACGATCCTCCTGAAACACAGAGTGTTTATTTTGAAAAGAAGCCGGATGTTGTATTTTGTGTCTGTGCCGGACTTCCTTTCCAGCAGAGGTTAATCTGTGCTGAATTTATCCGGCATGCTCCGGCATCCAGAAAAAATAGAACTCTTGCGATCAGCTGCTGAGTCCGGTGATCTGCAGTGGAATGAAAATAAGCCGGTAGAAATTGACACGTTAGCTTGAATGGTTACAATCAGCTAAGATCGGAGGATACAACTTTTTTGTCGACATTTAGGATGCGGTGGAAATTTGGGGTAAAGTGTTTACATGCACTTCATTTGTCCAGTCTTAATCGGAATAAGGCAATAAATCGGTTTTCTTGAGTGTCATGGAAACGGACTGAGGGATAGAGATGAGTCGTCCAGAGTCTGGCTTCATCAGGTCTGACACAGCTGAAAAACGATGTGGCGTTGGTTGATGGGTGTGGTCACTGCAGTCTGTCTGCCCCTCCCCTTTAATACTAACTTTGCAGTTTTCTAACCGACTGACATCACTTGCTCTGTTTCTCCACCTCTGTGAGTGTGAGGAAACATGAAGTTTGTCCCACCTGGGCTTCTGTAAACCTTCTTCTTCTGGCTGGATTTCACGAACCTCCATCCTTTTAGATCAGCTGTTTCTGCGTAAACGTACCTGTCACTGTCCACCCAGAGGACCTGATTGAAAACATGTGTGCTGTGTTGTGTGAAGTGTTCGTCTGTTGTGACTGAGATCATTTTAATTCAGACAGTAGAAGAAGACGACGATGACCTCATGTTCAGCGATCTAGTTTATGGTGAGGTCATGCAGCAGATATCACTGATGGAAGCAGACACACACCGAACAACATAGAATATTCTATTACACTCTGTGTGTGTGTGTGTGTGTGTGTGTGTGTGTGTGTGTGTGTGAGTGTGTGTGCGTGTGTGCGCCCCCACTCTACTCCCTCATCATTAATACATGTTATCATTTCCACTCAGAGTGTTTCTGACCTCCTGCAGCCTGTCAGATTTGTGGCGATAAACATAAAAATCTGATTTTATAATTAAACCCGAAGATGAAGTTAAATTTCTTTAATAAATTGTTTTTGTTTTTTTTTCACAATCCCTGACATCCGGGGCCCACCTTTACTCTGCAGAGGGGTGATTATAATTCTACTGTTTTGTACCTCTGTGTTCACAATATAATGCTCACACCTTTGTATTGGAGTGTCTGCATTAACCTGCAATACTCCCCCTGAGCACTAGTGGGCAGTGTGATATCTGGGCTGACATATTTACAGTTTCTGGTTCTCTGTTTGTTCATGTTCAGGAAACCATGGCTGTGTCTCATTTCAGAGACCGCATCAGGCTGAGCGCGCTTAAGCTCACTTAGCTGAGCGCACTGCCGTTATGTGGACTGGAGTACCCTGGGTGAGATGGTCCGGTTTTTGTGAAATGGGACAGACTACCCTTTGGAGGACTTCCTGGTTGAGTCGCCAAATGTCCCCACCCTCAGGCTCGCGTCACGACTGACTTGAAGAAAAAACTGCAGAGCGCAGCAGTAAATTTTTCATTGTGTGACCTTGCACAGACACAAAACTATAGATACATAAAACCACAGATCATTCCCACAAAATTAATCCAGTGATTGTTTTGTATTAAGGAGTATGAGGGCCATATAGATAATTTTTTTTTTTGAAGACTTCGAGATTGAAGTCATGAATTTACGAGATTGAAGTCATTAATTTATGAGAATAAAGTCATTAATTTATGAGAATGAAGTCGTGAAGGTTACCTGTTATTTCAAAGGAGAGTTGTTAAATTTAGGGCCATGAAGAATTTGAAGGAACTGTGCTTCAGTATATGTTTCACAAACAAGGAGATACTTCATCCTTTGGTACATCAGCATCACAATGTCACAAGTATAAAGACTTAAAAAATAATATATGAGAAATACGTCTTTTCCATGGGGAAAAAAAACACGTGGACTTGAAGGAAATCGCTGCTTTTGTGGAGGCAGAAATGAATATGCTGAGGATAAATCTGTCAATGCAGTCGTAAATATCCGTGAATGACATTGAGCTTTAATTTATGATATGAATCCATATGCCATAATAAGGTGTTGGTGTCTCTGCAGGTGTAGGTTACCGCTGGTGTCAGGGACGCGGTGCTCGTCTGAGCTCAACTACCCTCTGGATCACAAATGTTGATCATCAGTTGGATTGTTTCTTCAGAAACCACAAAATCTCTCTGAATGACCCACTGATACATCCACAGATAACCCTGCAGATGACCAGCTTCAGTCATTTCCCCCTCCACAAAAGCAGCTTTATGACTTTATATACTTTATGACTTTATTCTCCTAAATTTACAACTTTAATCTCTAAATCTTAAAAGAAAAAAAAACCTGAATGTTGTCTTGATCCTCTGCTGTAGTTTTGTCGGCATTCTTATTTCTAATGTTTCTGATTGTGGTAGCAGAGCGGATCAGTTCGTCTCTAAGGAGCATAATGTGTGGTTTGCAGATTTTAGTGAGTTACGAAATCATGTGCTCATGCAGCTGACTGCTGTTTTTGTTTTTTTTTTTATTTTCTTTGAAGACGCGCTGTGTCTCCAAGTGAGTCCAGCCTCTTTGAAAAAGGGGCAGGGGTACTGTGGTTTTGAGACCGAATTTGAAGCACGCTTAGCATTTTGGGCCAAATGGGACACTGTTCGCGCTGCGTGATGACATCATGCACACTTCAAATGCGCCGTTCGGCGGTGTGGTCTCTGAAATGAGACACAGCCCATGACAGCTGACTCTGAGCATGCAATGATGGAGTTGGAGACTTGGAGCTGATAATGTAGAGCAGCAGGTTATCACTGATTTGACACGGCCTCTAGTGGACACTCCAGGAACTGCAGGTGAGCATCATCTCAGTTTTTAACTATCAAACAGGTGTAAGTGGTGTGGCTGTAACAGCAGTTGTTTTGATTGTTGTTACGGTTGTAGTTACAGTTGTAGTTGAAGTTGTTTTGATTGTTGTTACAGTTGTAGTTACAGTTGTATTGATCATTGTAACAGTTGTTGTAACAGTTGTTACTCAATTGTTTTGATTGTTGTTACAGTTGTAGTAACAGTTGTCTTGATTGTTGTAACAAGGTCTGCGCTCTCCAAGTGCTTTTCTAGTTACTGATTGTTGTTACAGCTGTTACTCAGTTTTTTTGATTGGTGTTACAGTTGATGTTGCTACAGTTGTAGTTACAGTTGTTACTCAGTTGTTTTGGTTGTTGTTATAATTGTTGTTACAGTTGTTACGCAGTTGTTTTAAATGTGCTGACAGTTGTTGTTACAGTTGTTACTCAGTTGTTTCGATTGATGTCACAGTTGTTGCAGTTGTTACTCAGTTGTTTGAATAGTTGTTGAAGTTGTAGTTATAGTTGTTTTGATTGTTGTTATAGTTGTTGTAACAGTTGTTACTCAGTTGTTTTGATTCTCGTTAAAGTTGTGGTTACAGTTGTTTTGATTGTTACAGTTGTTGTTACAGATGTTTTGAATGTTCTTACAGTTTATGATACAGTTGTAGTTACAGTTGTTTTGTTTGCTATTAAAGTTGTTACACAGTTGTTTTAATTCTTGTTAAATTTGTGGTTACAGTTGTTTTTATTGTTACTTCGGCCCATTGGAAGCCCTGAAAGTGGGCGGGAGTATTTTCCTTGATAGACAGACTACTGTAACCAATCACCGTAACCAAGCATCTGACATCATCACAGATGCTTGGTTACGGTGATTGGTTACAGTAGTACATGGACCAATCAGGGGCTGCCTTTCCCTGTTGTCCGGGTAACAGTGGAAACACGGTCTCTGATTGGCCTGGTTATTTTCAGATCGGGAATACATGCTCTCTATGGGCCGAAGTCCAGACTGTTGTGGGAAGGAACGTCAAGTGATTCACGCAACAGGATGGCACAGCCAGGCTATGGATCACCCACTTCACAACACCTTGATGGACCAAAGGATCAATGGTGGTGGACGGCTCCTCTCTCTTTGCTGCAGGACAGAAAAATTCAGAAGATCTTTTGTACCAACAGCCATTAGACTTTATAACTCTGGTGTAAATTGTAGATAACTCTTTGAGATGTATTATGTGAGACAACAGACAATTGAATTTCCCTTCGGGGATTAATAAAGTTATTCTTAATAAGTTTTTCTTATTCTTATTAATGTTGCTCTTTTTTATTGTTATTGTTTGTCTTTGGTTGTTGTTATTGTTGGTCTTTATTGCTGTTATTGTTGGTCTTTATTGCTATTATTGTTTCTCTTTATTAATTGTTATTGTTGCTCTTTATTATTATTGTTGGTCTTTATTTGTCATAATTGTTTCTCTTTATTAATTTTTATTGTTGCTCTTTATTTATTATTATTGTTGCTCTTTATTTATTATTATTGTTACTCTTTATTTGTCATTATTGTTGCTCTTTATTTGTCGTTATTATTGTTGCTCTCTGGTTGTTTCCCCTCGTAGTTTGTCTGCAACAGACATCAGTGTAATCATGTATACTGTAACCTGCTGATCACAGTCTGGGTCAAACTCAGACTGTTTTATTCTTATCATATTGAAGACAATAAACATGAGGCTGAGGCACACACACACAAGCACGCACACACCCACACACACACACATACACACACACACACACACACACATACATACGGCTGCACACACTCAGACTTGAAGAGATATCAAATCTTCATTCAGTGAAATTGAAACAGAGTTCACTCTGAAATCAGCTGTTAGGGGTTAATCTGCCTAGCAACAGCTGTGCGGCTTTTGCATCATTTATGATTGGGTGTCAGCCGGTCACATGATGGTGAGTGTGCGCTAATGTGTGTGTGTGTGTGTGTGTATAATGTTTAATAGATAGTTTATTTCACATTTATCTCTGTATTTATTTAATTTGTCATGTTTAACTTTTCATAAACACACAACTAAACAATAATTTGAGAGTCACACAGTCCAGACTTTATAATTTAATTGACTATTTAAAATATAATCTCTTTCATTATTTTTATTGATTTTATAGTTCAACATGTGCACATATAACCACATCCCTAAGACAATAACAAAAGACGGTATACAAAAAGCAAAACAAAAAGAAAACAAAAAACAGCACGTAATGCAAACAGCGGGCCAGCAACACTAAACTCTTTACAGTTTGCAGAACCATATTTGACAATAATGCAGTATAGTAATATTCGATCATTCCAACATTTCATTGGTTATGTCACTCCCATACAAAATACTTTTCTCCATTCTTCTTTTAAAAAAACAGCAATTGGTAACCAGTCTCTGACAAATTCATCTAAATTACCCTTTAAAGCATGGGACAGCCTCTCCATCATAAGTTTTTCATACCATAAATTAATATTTGGCGGGTCCTCGTCTAACCATTTCTGTAAAATTGAGACTCGTGCAGCATACAAAGCAATTCTTAAGATATACCTATGCTGCACCTCATAGTCCAGATCTAATCCTAGTACCAAGTTTGGTACTAGGATTAGATTGGGTTTAAGTGTATGTTTATTTGAAAGACTTTTTGTATTTCCTTTTGAATTGATAACCAAAAATCTGAAATTTTTGGGCATGACCACATCATATGACTATATGAACCAGTGTTGGTTCTGCATTTCAAGCATTGCCCAGAGCAATTTGGGTCATATTTCATACGTATAGTTGGGGTTACATGCAGTCTGTGAATAATCTTAAATTGTGTCTCATGGGTTTTATTGGAGCATGTGATCTTCTTTGCATTTAGCAAAATCTTTCTCCACTCTTTTGTATCAACTTGGCATCCAAAATCCTCTGCCCACTTTGTCCTACTTCCAATATTAAGGGTATTGACAAACATTTGAGAATATAAGTAACCAATCACTGTCCTATTCAAGGCCGACGCTTTCAATACTATTTTTTCTAAATTGTTCACCCTTGCTTCATACTTGTAAAATGGAATCGACTGGATATAGCTCCTAAGTTGCAAATATCGAAAAAAATGAGCTTGAGGTAGGTTGAATTCAGACTTAAGTTAGGCAAAGGATTTTAAGATGTCTCTCTGGAATAGATCTTGGATCTTAAGGATACCAGCATCCTTCCAAACTCTAAACCCAGCATCAGAGCAGGATTGGGGAAAGTCAGGGTTATGGCACACAGGAGCAAGAATAGAGTACTTATTAGTGACACCAAAATGCCTACGAATCTGGTTCCACGATTTAAGAGTATTTCTCACAATAGGGTTTTCACTTATTCCAGGGAGTGAAATTGCCTCATTGATGAACGGCAGCTCGAAAAGGGCCGACCGACAACCGACAGCCTCTAGGTCAAGGAAAGTTGAATTGGTATCATTTCTTATCCACTCCGCTATATATCTAACCTGAGAAGCCCAGTGGTAATATCTCATATTAGGAAGTGCTAGGCCCCCTTCAATCAATGGTAGCTGTAGTTTCTCCAACTTTATCCTTGGTCGCTTGTTCTTCCATACAAATTTACAAATCGTTCTGTGAATTTGCTTAAAATATTTTGCAGGAATATAGTTTGGTAACATCTGCATTGGATATAATATCCTCGGTAATACATTCATTTTTACAATGGCAATCCGGCCAAGTAATGATATTGATAAGGGGTTCCATCTTTGAAGGTCTGTTTTAATTTTGCTTACCACTGGGTCTAGGTTCATTTTAATCATTTCCTCAAAATTGGGAGAGCTGTGAATGCCTAAGTACTTAAAGCCATTAGGAGACAGCTGGAATGGAATATGACCTAATAAATCTGAGCTTGTTGCGCTACCAAGTGGTAGAGCAAGGGACTTACTACAATTAATCCTATATCCAGAAAACCTAGCAAACTCATTTATTATCTTAATAACAGCGGGAACGGAGGATAATGGGTTATTTAAAAATAGAAGAATGTCATCGGCATATACAGAAATCTTATGAGTTTTCGTTTCAGTCTGGATACCGGTAACTGATGTACTGGACCGAATCATTTCAGCTAAAGGTTCCATTACTAGCGCAAATAACAAGGCAGACAGAGGACATCCCTGTTTTGTGCCCTTACTAATTAAGAAAGGTGAGGAAGTTGTCCCATTGACTGCAACAGATGCCTGTGGAGCCACATATAACAGCTTGACCCAGTTAATAAAACTTTCTCCGAATGAAAACTCTTCTAAGGTTTTAAACATATACTTCCACTCAATGCGGTCAAACGCTTTTTCTGCGTCGAGAGTCACTACTAAAGAGTTCGTTTTCTTAATTTTAGTGTACTGCATGATGCCCATTAATCCTCTGATGTTAGTGTATGATTGTCTTCCTTGTACAAAACCAGACTGGTCGTTTCTGACGATTTTAGGTATTATATTGTTAAGTCTGGATGCGAGGAGTTTTGCTAGGATTTTACAGTCGGTATTTTGAATGCTTATTAGCCTATACGATGCAGGGTCATGTGGGTCTTTATTTTCCTTTAGTATTACATTAATAGTAGCCATTCGCAGTGATTGGGGAAGTTGTTTTATTGATAATGCATGTTTAAACATTCTAACTAGTAGAGGGGCAAGGGTCCTTTTAAGTATTTTATAGATCTCTGGTGGAAGGCCATCGGGCCCACAAGCTTTCCCAGATGCTAGTGTGTCAATCACCTCTTCAATTTCGTTACTACTGATATCCATATCAGCTAAGTTCTTATCCTCTTCTGAAATTTTAGGAAGGTTGATGCGCTGGAAAAAGCTATTCATTTTGTCTTCTGTTCCCATTGATTCTGAGGTATATAAAGATGAATAAAAATCATTAAAGGCTCTAGCAATTTTATGTGTTCAATATTGTAGCTTACCATTCTTGTCCCTAATTGCAGAAATTGAATTATTCAGGTTTGTATTACTTATTAACTTTGACAAGTAGCACCCAGCTCTATTGGCGTGTTCATAAATTTTATGCTTTTGCTTAAACAAAGCCTTTTCTGCACTTTGGGACAGGAGTGTATTAAGTGCTGTTCTAGTTCTTATAATTTTCTCCCAGTTGCTTCTCCCACCGGTATGCTTGTGCTCCATTTCAGCTTCCTGTAATTGTAATTCAAGCCTTCTCTGTTCTTGCAACTTTCTTTTCTTTTTAGCTAAACAATAAGAGATGATTGTACCCCTTAAAAAGGCTTTCATCGTTTCCCATAAGTTTGATGGGTCAGTATCGTCATTATCATTCTCTTGTATAAACCTTTCCAGTTCTCTTTGTGCCAATGAACAAAAAATAGGATCAGAAACTATTGATCTGTTGCATTTCCAATTATACCGCTGCGGGCTACCAGAGATTGAGCTGACTAAGAAGACGAGAGCATGGTCTGAGATGTGGATAGAACCAATATAGCATTCCTCCACTGAATCAACGGAAATCCGTGGAATGACAAAATAATCCAATCTGCTCCAGGATTGGTGGGGAATGGAATGAAAAGGTATAGTCTCTTTTATTAGTGTTTAGCATACGCCAAATGTCTGTCAGACCCACTTCGTTTAGCATTAGGTGAATAGCCTTTTGCCTGGGGCTTAGAATGGTTGAGGTAGCTGTCGGTTGTTTATCCCACATCCCATCTTGAACGGAATTCCAGTCTCCACCACAGATTGTCTTCGTGCAACTATATTTCACCAATCAGGAAGTTAATTTGGTAAACATATTCAATTCTATGTTTGGAGCTGCATACACATTCAAAATGCTTACATTTTCGCCATACAAAACCCCATGGAGAAATATATAACAACCATCTGGATCAGACTCATAATGAGGCAAGTTTTTGTGAATTAAAATAGCAACTCCCCTACTTCTACTATTATAAGATAAAATATAATCAAACAAACTCCTTTAATTCTACTTTTGTCAGTATGACGGAGCGGCCCGTCGCTGAGTGCAGCTAGCACACACACACGTTCAACGATCACACACACATGCTACATACTACATACGACACGCTACACACCATACGCCAAACTTTCCCTTCTGGTCCCCCCACAGCGGTCACAAGTATCAAACTTATTCACATGCCCACAAGTCTGGTAGTTCGAATGAGGGTGCACACTCATCATTCTACATATACGTTCACACATAACACACACAGACACTAACCACCAAACGCCAAGCTCTCCTCCCTACAACCTTTGGTTAAGCCAAACAGGGGCGCATCTACTTTCCAGTTTTAAAGGGCACCTGGCAGGAAAAAGGGAACCTGACCTAATTATGTTTTTTTTGTTTTGTTTTTTTTTCAGTAGAGGAGACTGAATTAACACGTAGAAATTGGTGGAAATGTAAAAGATGTATTTTGCTATCTGTGAGTGGTTCTTAAAGCAATGTTGGCTTTATCTGTATAAAGGAAATCCTGATATTGTTCAGATTTATTCTTTTTGAGTCACACCCACTGTAAGGGGCTTATTGTTTAAAAGACAGCCATTTTGACTATGTGAGTGGGGAGAATTGGTACATGGCAGATGCTGGAGAATTGTTAACTCGTGAATGGACAGTTTTTTGTTTTCTGAGTTTGCTGGTGGCTCAAGCTGTGATTGCGGGTGATTGAAGAATCTATTTGTCAGTGTGAGCTCATTGTTCAGGTGACACTGTACATATTTTTTGCACTGTTTGGAGACTGTTGGAAACCTAACCTAAAACATACCTTTTTGACGACGCCATATAGATTTTTTCTGGAAGAACCCACAACAGTTGGTGATAATCTTCTTCCTTTTTTTTCCTTTTGACTTTTTTCTTCTTTTCTTTCATTTTTTTCCTCATTCTTTTATTTTCACTTGTCCTCTCCTCTTATTTCGTTTCTTCTTTCTCTTTTTCCGTTGTCTTCACTCTTCTTTTTCTTGCCTTTCTTTTCCCTTTAACTTTTCCTTTCCTATTTATTTCTCATTTCCTTTCGTTTCTCATTTTCTCCTCATTTCTCATGTCCTTAAGGAAACATAGATGAGTATGTCAAAGTTAATCTGTCACACACACACACACACACACACACACACACACACACACACACAGTCACACAGTCTCATTCATAACTGAATCCATCAAAGACTTCTCTCCTCGTAATCCTCCTGCTGTTAATCCCTCTGTTTCTTTCCTCTCTCATTTCCATCAACTTCTTCTCCTCCCTCTTCCTCTTCTTCTCTGCTACGATCTGTCCTTCATTCCTTTATCAACATCTTTCCTCCCTTCTTATGTTAAACTCTCAAGCTCAATGTGTAGGTTTGAGGACTTGTTGCCATGACGACGGCTTCAGACGAAGGATAATAAACTGGATTTTAAGAAGTTCCACGCTCAGTCTGGTGTCAAACTGTCAGTGTTATAATAATCTGGATCACCGGGTGGTGTCTGCTAACCTCCTCGTTCTTCTGTGTTTTTTTTCGAGTCATGGAGGTGACGGCGGTTCACAGGTATCCACCAATCAGATTTCACCTGAATCTACTCGTCAAAGAATGGTGATCAGGAAACGTGTCACCTAGTCTCCTGGTCTTCTTACCTTTCCTAACTTTTCAAGTTTCCTCTTTCTTCTTATTTCTTACAGTTTAATCTATTGAACAACTTCTTTTTGTTTCCTTTTATCCTTCACTTGTATCCTTTCCTTCGTACTTTCCTTCTTCTGTATCTTGACATCTGTCACACTTTCCCACTTATGTTCTTTGGAATTCATTTTTCACCTTTTTCCTTTCCTTAGTTCCTTTACTTGTTTCCTTTCCTCTCAGGTTTCTTTTTCTCATTTTTCCTCTCTCTCTCTCTCTCTCTCCTCTTTTTACAGTTTCTTTTTCTCATCTTTCTGCTTCTATTCTCATTTTTTCACTTTTTTTCCTTTCCTTATTTCCTTCATTTGTTTGCTTTCCTCTCATTTCTCCATTTTCTCATTTTCCTCTTTTCTTCCTCATGTATTTTATGTCCTTGTTTTGTTTTTTTCTTTTTACCCAGTTATTTTACCATCTTTCCTTTACATTTTTATTTTCTTTAATTTTCTGTTTCTTTCCTTCACTACTTCCTCTCCCTTGTTATCCTCCCTATTCTCCCCCATCATCCTCTTTCCTTTCCTTCCCTTTTTGTCCTTATTTCCTCCTTTTTTCTGATTATTGTTCATTTCCCCACCTTCCTATGTCTTCTGTCTGAGCTTGTTGTCTTTTCCTTGTTTCCTTTCCTTCCTTCCCTCTCCTTGTTTCCTGTCCTTCACTCGTGTCCCACTTTTCCATTTTCTTTCTTTACTACCTTTCCTCTCTTTTTTTCTCCTCTTTTCTCCTCCACAGTCCATTCTTTCTTCCTCCTCATGGCTGTATTTCCCTAATCGTTTTATCCATGCACCATGACATGACACACACACACACACACACACACACACACACACACGCACACACACACACACACACACACACTTCTGTAGAAGGACACATTACCCCCTGCATGAACCGACTCAGCTCTGCCAGGATCAGGGGGGCTGCACAGCACTGATAACAACACACACACACACACACACACACACACACACACACACACACACACACACACACACACACACACACACACACACAGGCTCTGGTTTAATGTTGCAGCTGATCGATGAGTCTGAAATATAAATCTGTTGGTGGGGACGACAGTTATCAGACAGACGCTGAAACATGGCCGACTGTGGCGTTACGACAGTCCTGAAAATCGCAGAGACAGAAACTGAGACCCTTCAGAGGATCGGAGTCTTCTTCTTCTTCTTTACGCTCGTCAGTGTCACTGAATCAAACACCAATCAACAACACTGGGAGAGAAGAGAGCTGCCAGCGCCCCCTGCAGGCTTACCAGCTGAGGTTAGTCTCCTTCACTCTTCATATTTAAGCAGAGAGTCTGAAATACAACTGCAAAGCAGTCATAATGTCCATGTACTTAAACTGTATTATAGCTGCAGTACCACCAGTGTCCACTAGTGTCCTGTGGTGAGTCAGTCCTGAAGAGAGGCCTCTCTAAGAAAACAGATTCAGCAGGCGTAACCAATGGGCAAAGGAGCACCTGCACAGTTAATAATACTGCTACTACAACTACTACTACTACTACTAATAATAATAATAATAATTTAAAAACATAAGTTTACAAAGTGCTTTGACAAACAGTCGTAAAGCATCAGCACATGGAGATAAAAACAGAAAAAAAAGAAAAGCTTAGTTAAAAACAAGACCTCCAAATTGAATTTCATTTTTCATAAGGAACCCAGACAATACAATAACCCTACAAGATAAAATAAGACCATGAGGACCAAAATAAAAAGATAAAATAGGTTAGAAAAGAAATGTAATAATAAAAAAGGGGTGTAACCAGTCACTGAATTTTAACTATATTTTAAACTGAACTGGACTTTTTAAAATCAATCTAAACTTTGACTTCTGTACATAATTAAATTTTTAACTTTTACTGTAAATTGAATCTTGACTTGGGTGGCACAGTGGTGTAGTGGTTAGCACTGTCGCCTCACAGCAAGAAGGTCCTGGGTTCAAATCTGGGTCAGGGCATTTCTGTGTGGAGTTTGCATGTTCTCCCTGTCTGCATGGGTTTACTCTGGGTACTCCGGTTTCCTCCCACATCCCAAAAACATGCAGAAGTGGGGATAGGTTAATTTGCCACTTCCAAATTGCCCATAGGTGTGAATGTGAGCGTGAATGGTTGTTCGTCTTTATATGTCAGCCCTGGGATGAACTGGCGACTTGTCCAGAGTGTCCCCTGCCTTCGCCCATAGATGCTGGGATAGGCTCCAGCCCCCCCGCGACCCCGGGAACGGGATAAGCGGTAGAAAATGGATGGATAAATCTTGACTTTTTCGCGGTTTTTCGACGTATTCACTTTAATGAAAAATGTTAACAAAGTTCCTCTTCTGGTGTTTTTTTTGTCATGCCCAGTCCTGTAAAATGACTTTTCTATCATCCCCCATGAAAGTGTGTTGAATTTCCATGTGAGTGCACTGTGGGGAAAATGGTCTCCATAAATGTTACAGCAAAATATGTCAGTAAATGTGGTGGGGTTTAATTATTTCATTGTTATAACTTTTTATTTTTTATATTATTATTATTATTATTATTATTATTATTATTATTATTATTAATACGTGTGTGTGTGTATATATATTCAACCCAACCTAGATCATGGGATGGTGGGATGGGTGGATGGGGGGAGAGGGTATTTACCCTCTTAAGTACAATTTTGTACGGCAAATTAAATATGCTTTTTTTTTCTTTTTCAAAAAAATCTTTTTCACTATTTCTATAATTATGTTTACTTGACGTTTTATTATTACTATTATTATTTGTGTATATTTGTGTTCTGTATTTCCTTTTCTTTTATTTTGATTGTAATTTCGTTTGTTCTCTCATATAGGCATACTATGATGGATCTAATTTCATCATCTTTATATTGATTTATATTATTTGTATTTTTCCCAGCACTTCTGTTTGTGTAAAAACTATTTACCTTTTTTGCACTCTTCAATTTAAATTAAAAAAGATCATATTCAAAAAAAAATGTGGTGGGAGAGAACATTCAGTCCTTTGGTGGTCTTGCACTCATCTTTCTGCCCCCTCTGTGGTCTTGCAGGTCAACGATGATTGTGGAGCCTCATGGTAACACTCCCACGCTGAGATGAGAGCTGAAATGAGAAGATGAGGAGGTGATTAAATTCTCATTTACAGTCACACTCTTCATACAGTTATGAACAGTTGTGTGTGTGTGTGTGTGTGTGTGTGTGTTCACCATAATGACTAATTCATCCCTCCATCCTCTGCTCGGACTCCGGCCTCTCTGCTGCTGCCTTTTAAAAAATTGCACTTTGATATGCATTTCTATTGGCCGCCCTTAAAATACCATCAGCCAATCAGAGTTCTCGCTGCCTCTGTCTGACGATGATCCACCCGGCGACCAAAGGAAACCCTTTTAACAAGGTTTAATGTGTGATTCAGGAGGCTTGGAGGGGGGAAGTGAGGAAGGAGAAGAAAGGGGGAGGGGCAGGGGGAGGAGGAGGAGGTGGAGGGGGAGAACATAGAAGAAGAAGAAGGAGAAGAAAAAAAGGCATTAAAGCGGAGACAGAGAGGGAGATAAAAAGTCTTTATGAGCGCTGACAGTTTTATGAAGCAGACACACGGCTGTGTATGGGTGTCTTCTTGTTTTTCTATCTGTGCGGGGCCCTAAGGGTTCTCAGGTGTCTGGAAAGTGCGAAAAGTGTGTAATTATTTTTCACCATTCCTTTATTTGTTTTTTACTCACTGATTTCCTCATCTCATTTTTGCCTTAATGTCCTTATTTGTCTCCATGTGAAACACCCTGTCTCCTATCCTTGTTTCCTTTTCTTCTCTACTCTTCCTTGTGTCCTTGTCCATTTTCTTTCTTTCTAATTTGATCCCTTCCTTTCCAACACTATTTCCTTTCCTTGTTTCCTTCCCTTTGATCTCTATCCTTCCCTTATTTCCTTTTTAACATGCTTCCTACCCTTACCTCATTACCTTCTCTTATATCAGTGATGTTTTCTCTGCAGTTTTTTTCTCATGTAACCTTATTCCCTTCTCACTTGGCCTTATTTCCTTTCCTTAATGTTTTATTTATTTTTGATTTACCTTCTACATTTATTCCTTTTGCGAACTTGTTTCCTGTTATACTTTCTCCACTGTCCTTCATTTCTTTCTATTTACCTTGTTTTCTTTCTACATTTGAAGGACTCTTGGTTTCTGTTTCTTTAAAACGACTAAATGTTTAAAACAGTGCATGTACTCTAAAATCCAGCCTTCATAATTGTTTAAGTCATTCTGTCTTTGTGTCTAACAGCATCTATAGTTCAACAAGGAAACAAACCAGTTTGGCCAGTAACCAGAAAGTGACATTTCCACACAGAGAGAGGATTTTCTGTTAATTTGATCAGAGCAAAAAATTCTCAGTGTGAGAGGTCTTCTTTATTTCAACTCTTTGGATTCTCACTTCAATTGAATGAAGTGCAAAGATCGTTTACAGCGAACAATGTCTCCCTCTGTTGGTCAAAAGAGTGAACTGCAAAACGAAAGCCAGACAGACAGCAGGCAGATTAGCTGGGCAGATAACTGTAATAATCGTTCACTTGCGGATAAAAGCACCAAAATTGGCACACATACTCCTTAGAAGTTGCTCTCAAATGAAAATTCAAGATGGCGGCCATTTTTCAAGATGGCCACCATTGAAAATACAGTAATACTGCATTTTGCATTAAAATCCCATTGACTTGTCCTATTTTGATGAACTTGGTGTCAAATCATACATTTTTCACTATGCAGAATCCAAATTTGGACCCATGGACTTACTTACAGGCTTCCTTGTCCCATATTTCAGTCCCGGAATCCTAATATTCTGATCCTAATTAGGTCTACATCATGTGAGACTCGAGTAAAATGGAATCCTAATATTCTGATAAATTTGAATTTCACCTAAAATGCATGGTAGCACCATGGGATCACTCTTTGTCTGGTCTCTATCCTTCAAGCTGTTTGGCGTGGGTGACCCTGCCAGGAGTACAATACTCCAGCTCTAGGGGTCATGGAGACACACAAAGTGCCCCACCACGATAAGGTGGTGATCCCACCGAGGAAGGTTTTTTTTTTTTTTTACATGTAGGCTGTTTGGATGAGTAGGCTTTTACTAGAGCGTTTCTAAACCTCACACCTGCAGCTGCACAGTGCCATGCAGGTCAGACCAAAGCAGTAGCATTTGCATCGACCGCAGCATTCCGACTTGCATCCACACTTGGTCAGCTGCTGGCAACTCTCTGCAATGGGTGGGAGCTCTGTCCAAACCATCTGCCACAGATCTCCTTTCTTGGTCCAGCCCCAGTTTGCAGGACTATGTGTTTCTGGTCGACATACTATTGACTGACTCCAGATGCAGCCCGCTTGGTAGGATGCATGCACGACATGTTGCTTAAGTGCTGATCGAGTTGGAATGGCTTCGTACGGCCTCTGCTTCTGAGTTAACATGTCCAACCTTGCATCGTCGACACCTTCAGCTGTGCTGGATCTGTCATACAACATGACCACAAACTTCTCCAGGGTTTTTAGGTCTTCATCATCCAATACAGGTGGGTAATGGCTGAGTTTGGCTAAGACACTGGAAGCCTCATCACAAACATTCCAGGTTTGCCAAGCAGACTTCTTCCCTTTGCCAAGGAATGCTGAAACAACATCGCAACCAGTGAATGCATGGAAGAAAAGCATCCCTTTGCTCTTTTCTGCAAGAGTGCCACACAGGTCATGAACAGGAATCCACTTCAGGTTCTGTCTTTGGCCAAAGGCAACCCACAACTGCTGCAGACCGAGGTTCTGAAGTGCCTGCAGAACACTCACTGCGATGACAACAACATCTGTGTTGTTGGCTTTGACCATGATGACTTTGCTGCCTGCTTCTGTGGCATGCCTGGCATGCACAAAGATCTGGGTGTCAGCTTCTTCATGACTGCATGGTGCCACCCCAGCCAGATTAATAGTATTGTTGCTGATAACATAATCTTCCTTGGTCACAATGACCACATTTGGGGAGGCCACACATGCTGTCTGCACAGCCAATGTAAACCTCATATACCAGAATATTAGGATTCCAGGACTGAAATATGGTAAAAGGAAGCCTGTAAGTAAGTCCATGGGTCCAAATTTGGATTTTGCATTGTGGAAAATGTATGATTTGACACCAAGATCATCAAAATAGGACAAGTCTATGGGATTTTAATGCAAAATGCAGTATTACTGTATTTTCAATGGTGGCCATCTTGAAAAATGGCCGCCATCTTGAATTTTCATTTGGCCAGATGGAAATATCAAAAGAGCAACTCCTAAGGAGTATGTGTGACTCCTGGTAGACAGTCAGCTCAGGCTGTATGAGAGCATGATCTCTGAACTCACTAAAATCTGTAAACAAAACATTATAGATTTAGAGACGAACTGATCCGCTGTGTTACAACTATCAAAAACATTAGAAATGAGAAAGCTGACAAAACTACAGCAGAGTATCAGGACAACATTGAGGTTTTTTTTTTTGCTTTTAAGATTTAGAGATTAAAGTTGTAAATTTAGGAGAATAAAGTAAATAAAGTCATAAAGCTGCTTTTGCGGAGGGGGAAATGACTGAAGCTGGTCATCTGCAGGGTTATCTGTGGATGTATCAGCGGGTCATTCAGAGAGATTTTGTGGTTTCTGAAGAAACAATCAAACTGATGATGATCAACATTTGTGATCCAGAGGGAGTCGAGCTCCGACGAGCATCACGTCTCTGACACCGACGGTAACCTACACCTGCAGAGACACCAACACCTTATTATGGCATATGGATTCATATCATAAATTAAAGCTCAATGTCATTCACGGATATTAACGGCTGCATTGACAGATATATCCTCAGCATATTCATTTCTGCCTCCACAAAAGCAGCGATTTCCTTCAAGTACACCAGTTTTTTTCCCCCGTGGAAAAGACGTATTTCTCATATATTCTTTTTAAAGTCTTTATACTTATGACAATGTTATGCTGATGTGCCAGAGGATGAAGAATCTCCTTGTTTGTGAAACCTATACTGAAGCACAGTTCCTTCAAATGCTTCATGGCCCTAATTTTAACAAGTCTCTCTGAAATAACAGGTAATGACTTCATTCTCATGAATTAATGACTTTATTCTCGTAAATTCACGACTGAAATCTCGAAGTCCTTAAGGTCTTAAATCTCAATATGGCCCTCATACTCCTTCTTACAAAACAATCATTGGATGAATTGTGCTTGTATGTATCTACTATTTTGTGTCTGTGCAAGGTCGCACAATTAAAACAATAAATGCTGCGCTCCGCGGGTTTCCTTTAAGTCAGTCGTGACGCGAGCCTGAGGGCGGGGACATTTGGCAACTCCACCAGGAAGTCCTCCGAAGGTCTCCGAATGTCCCCGCCCTCAGGCTTACGTCACGACTGATTAGGAAAAAAGCTGCGGAGCGCAGCATGTATTGTTTTAATTGTGCGACCTTGCACAGACACAAAATAGTAGATACATACAAGCACAGATCATTCCCACAAAATTCATCCAATGATTGTTTTGTATGAAGGAGTATGAGGGCCCTATTGAGAAGGAGGATAGGAGATACTTCATCCTCTGGCACATCAGCATCACATTGTCATAAGTATAAAGACTTAAAAAAAAGAATATATGAGAAATACGTCTTTTCCACGGGGAAAAAAACTGGTGTACTTGAAGGAAATCGCTGCTTTTGTGGAGGCAGAAATGAATATGCTGAGGATATATCTGTCAATGCAGCCGTAAATATCCGTGAATGACATTGAGCTTTAATTTATGATATGAATCCATATGCCATAATAAGGTGTTGGTGTCTCTGCAGGTGTAGGTTACCGCCGGTGTCAGAGACGTGGTGCTCGTCGGAGCTCGACTCCCTCTGGATCACAAATGTTGATCATCATCAGTTTGATTGTTTCTTCAGAAACCACAAAAACTCTCTAAATGACCCGCTGATACATCCACAGATAACCCTGCAGATGACCAACTTCAGTCATTTCCCCCTCCACAAAAGCAGCTTTATGACTTTATTTACTTTATGACTTTATTCTCCTAAATTTACAACTTTAATCTCTAAATCTTAAAAGAAAAAAACCTCAATGTTGTCCTGATACTCTGCTGTAGTTTTGTCAGCTTTCTTATTTCTAATGTTTTTTATAGTTGAAGCAGAGCGGATCAGTTCGTCTCTAAATCTATAATGTTTTGTTTACAGATTTTAGTGAGTTCAGAGATCATGCTCTCATACAGCCTGAGCTGACTGTCTGCTGTTTTTGGATTGCTTGTAATTTCTTTGAAGTCTCCAAGCGAGTCCAGCCTCTCACCTGAAATGCGCAGCTGTGCAGCGGCACGCAAAGCATTCTGGGATACCGACGGCACGAAAGCGTGCATAAATGCACGCTTGAAAACATGCTAAGCGCGCTTAGCATTTTTTAGCATCTCGTGCCAAATGGGACACCGTTCGCGACGCGTGATGACATCATGCACGCTTCAAATGCTTCCCGGTCTGCGGGTGATGAAACGCGTTGTCATACATCGACCCCGCCCCTTCTAGTTGGTCAAACCAATCACATTCCCGGATCGGGATGAGCTGGCACTAAACACCGGAAGCATGAAGTGTTGATAACACGGAGCTCTGCTAACAGGCTAACTAACCCGAGAAAGACGGTTTTTTTCCTGAAGCTTCACGGCAGCAGGACATTAATTTCTTCTCGTTTGTGGTCGTGGAGTAATCACAGGTGAGTATCTCCACCTTAACGGTAGTTTTAAACATTATTGTCAGTCCAGACCAACATCCACTGACTATTTAAAGCAACTTTAGAGACTGGACGTAAAGAGTTGCAGAGTGTGTGGCGCTAAATTAGCGTCATGTGTTTTATGAGAAGAAACAGAAAGTAGAGCAAAAAAGCAACACGTAGCTCAGAAATAGCGACCTTTAAATGATACAGACTGTTTAATTAGGAACGTCTGAGAAAAAATAGACATGTTTCCAGAGAGTAAACGGAGCCTGGAGGCTACAGAGGGGCGTGAAGTCCTCAGGGCAGGACTCGGTGTTCTTGACAAAACCCAGAACATAGACGGCTCCATGTGTGAGTCTGTACCGGTGCAAAAAAGTGAATTTCTAGACAATTGAAGTCCTGTCATTGTCCGGTAAAAACTGATACCAATAATTAGAGTACACACAGGCTAATCAATTATACCAATATCAGCTGATTTTGTTGTTCTGAATCTGACAAAATAAACAAATTATCGAGATGAAATAAGAGTGAATTATTTTATTGAATAAAGGTAGAGAGAGAAATATTTGTCTCAGTTTCTATTTTCAGGGTTTTTCCTGGCTCAAATTGAGGCAGAGGTGGCACCATCCTGACCATGCGCCATGACGTGCATGTATTTGTAAATTCAACTGACTCACTTTCTTTTACACGCAACATACTTTAAGTTAAGAGTTCAAAAAAGAGTGTGACCATTATCATGTTAAAGCATTCATTTATTAAAACTATATACATACACAAATCAGCTGGCAACTTTAAATTGAAAGTACACTTCATCCACACATCTCGCAACCAGACAGAACATTTCAGCCTCCTCTTTTTCATTCTGTAGAACCTCATCATGCACTCCTTGTAGTCCAAGGCCTCCTGGTCTGGTCCATCAACGGCCACCTTACAACAGACATCCAAGTGCCTCTCCTTCAGTCTGTTCCGCAGAGGTGTCTTCACCTTAAACAAAACAATTCATCATGCATTAAGTATTTTTGTTTTTATTCTGATACAGACATGAAGAGTGATAGTGTTTTCAATCATATATTATATATATGTATACGCTGCAGTGTCCTCCCAAAAAAGAACAACAACCAATTATTTCTTAAACTATCTAAACTGTTATTGTAGTTTTTGTAACTTTATTAGTTGAGTGTTTTTAGGTACTACCATCTTTAATATATTTCTCCTTCTCTTCTGCTGCTTTGTGAATGGCTGTCACCTCATGTCTTTTTAACGTGTCCAGCCTGTAGTTGGTTGATGGCTGTCTCACTAAGGAGGCAGCAATTGCCTGCTGTGTTGGGGCACAGTGCTTTTGGCATAAATAGCAGTGCATGCCTTCCTCAGTATGCCTGAGCCAGGTAAATTGATTGAGCCACTGCTTGTCAAAGCCACTGGCTCTGTGTTTTTGAGAAGATCTAGAAAGAGGAATAAAAACCACGTACACGTTGGTTTTGCGTTGTTATGCTCCTAATTGGAAACTAATTAATTAATTACCCTCGCCTCGCCGACTCGTCCTGTCCTGCATTCTGACCCTCGCGATCACCAGTCCCTTGTGAAGTACTTTCAGACCTGACACAAATTTCCACGTTGTCTCCACCATGAATTATAGCATTTTAACTGCCTGTTACGTTTTTTCTCTGCTGTGTTTCACCTGGACTCTTGACTTTCCTCCTCGCGAGGTCGCTTTTTAAAGTACTGGCTGATTTTGCCTGTCATAACTAAAAGGCTAAAAAACGGAGGAAACTTTTTGTTTTAATAAACACGACATGCTTGGATGCAAAAAAGACAAGCAGTATTTACCTGTTTGTACCATCCGCCAGGGAAAATCAGGACGCCGATAGCACCAACTAGCGGGAAAAAAACTTGAAAAAACATGATTCGATCCGTTTCTTCTTCGGTAGATGCTTCAGGTCTTTCCGGTGCACTGCTGTTGATATAGCGCCTCTATAGTGGCGCAACGCTGCAACTGCAGTTAGAATACGTTGCTGCTGCAGAGGGACATCAATCGCTCAATCAACACAGCTGGAGCTTTACGCTGTGTTGAGCGAAATCAATCGCTCTGGCTGGGGGCGGCACAAAATTAGGTGGAGGCGGCCGCCACGCAATTTTGAACGCAGGAAAAACCCTGATTTTTATGAAACTATTTAGGAAGTAAAACAAAAAAGGGGTGAGAGGTTGAGTTTGATTTTTTAGGTTTGATTTTCTATCATTGGTGATGGAAAAAAAAAACGTGTTTTAATTTGGATACTGTGATGGGGATATCAACCAACACAGATATGAGGCCAGTTTAGTCAAAATGCCAGTAATTAGCCTGATTAATCAGTAAATCTTAAAGAAGAAATAACTGAAAGATCAGACTAGGGCTGGGCGATAAAATGATAGTGATATTGAAAATTAGTTTCTCTCAATATCAATATAAAACATGGTCAATATGCTTTTCAATAGTCATCATTCTGCCATGTTTTGGTAGACTATATGAATAGCCAAAAAAAAGGGGCGTTTCTCTGGGTCCGCTTCACGCTGAACCAATAATGTGCTGAATTAGAACCAAGTATCAAACAACTGCTTCATAGCAGACAGCAGCTACACCCAACCGTAGCACTTTAACAGGTGAAGCCGACAGCACCGTTGGTGAGAAAAAAAAGAAAATGAGTGCTAGAAATGACGATGAAGGCTCAACAGATGATGACATCGTCGACAACACTGGCACGAAAACATCGGTGGTGTGGAGGTAATTTGGTTTTTTGAGGTCGGACATGAAGCAGAGGAATGTGTACTGAAAATTATGTTGAGTACATGTTCTCACAAAGTCGGGGAATACCTCAAATCTTTTTCACCTCCTGAGGCAGCGCCACGCCGCAGAGCACGCGCAACGTAAAAGGTTCTCTGTCGTAACGCCTCTAGCGTATTGTATTGCTAAAGAGATGCTACAATAAACACTGTTAAATTTCATTTTTTTATATCGTGATATATATCGATATTGACTGATATGAAAAAAATATATCATGATAAACTTTTTACCACATCGTCTAGCCCTAGATCAGACTTAACAGGAGATCAGAAAGTTTCTGTTTTCAGGGATTAGTCAGTTATTTAATCAGCTGTCATTGTCGGTAAACTTTTTGTAAGATGGTCAAAATTTTCAGGGATTTGAAACCATAAAAAAATAAAACTTATTGTGTAATTAAAAATGGAAAAGACTAAAAACCTCAACCACTTACTTGGAAACCATAAAGGATGTGTGTCAGTCACTGTGCTGTCAGATGTCTGAAACACTATGTTTAGATTCTGCCATTGATTTTAAATAAATTTTCATAACTTACCTTTTCTCCTTTTTTCAGACTTTGTTTTAAGTTGGCTCTTTTGTTTTCCCACTGTTAAATCCCTACATTATGATACAAGTGCTACATTTCCTCTGTAGTGAAGCTACACTTTACTGAACGGTCACCATTTAATCTGAGGGGGGCAGATTCATGAACGTGCAGCTAAAGCCTGATTCTGATGCTGATTCTTCGTGGGAAATTTGTTGTGATGAGTTTAGTTTTTTTGTTGTAAATGCTCATGTTGCCATGGTGATAGCTGTATGATTTATCATGTGATGTTATTTTTAACTGTTTATCAAAAACCAGGGCTCACCACTAACTTTTTTCCACATGTTATCCGAAGTTGAAAAAGTAAGAAGCGCACAAAGAACTTTAGGGGCACAATGAAAATTAATCAAATAATTTTTGTCTTATTGGTTGACATAAGTACTATTATTTGAAATCAATTTTAGGTCAATTGGTCACATGACATGGAAGCTATTGAAGGAAAACAGCCTTTTCTGAGAACATCAACCGGTAATTTATTGACAGTCCCTTATTTAACACTTCTTTTAACCGAAATAATTCCAGATAACTGACTTTCCTTTTCTTTTTGGCAACAAATCTTCATTTTCGGTGGTTTTCGCTTGTTCGTTGTTCATTTTGCGATCGTTGTTGTTGTTGTTAGCGGTGTTGTGCCGAGAAACGCATGTCCTCCGAGAATTGCATGCACCTCGCAAAACGCGCACTGCTTATAGTAGAGTGGTCCACGGAAATGTACAATTTAAAACCCATACAGTTCTTATTTGTTGGGCTTAACAGTCATGAGTAAAGTTCCGAAAGTAATTCTCAGCGGACACACGTCTCCCTCCATGTGCAGAACATGTGCAGGGGTGGGTTTTCTCCTCCCTGATTTTGATTGACAGCTGGCAGGGTAGTCTGATTGGCAACTGAGAAGTGAGTCTGATTGGCAACTGAGTTAAGGACGAAGGCGATTGGTGGATCGCTGCACAGCACATGCAGAGTCACATGGAGTGTATCTCAGTCGGTTACCCTTGAAATTAAATGAGTTCATTCACCTCCAATATCGCAGGCTCTGCGATGTGACTATCGCACACACGTACATCGCGATGACGATTGTCAAACGATATATCGTTCAGGCCTAGTATTTAGTATGCATCTGTATGTAAACGCTCGGGCAGCCGCGGCATACTCAAATCATCTTTGAGTATTCAGTATGCAGTATGTACTGATTGAGTAGGTAAGTAGACAGTAGGGAGTATGCCATTTCGGACACAGCCCATTATCGCAATTCTGAATCTCCTAACCTGACAGACGATGACGTTTCACAGCCATAGGGAATAACCAATCGGTGCCCAGCACTTCTAGCCAATCAGAGACGAAGGAGGGCGGGACCTTCCCCTACCAGCCTACAAAAAAAATTCCTGCCTGCAGGGCATGACTCAGCTACTGTGAACTCCAACACCACCTTCATTCATCCATTTACTAATTCATACATTTATCTAGAGCAGCTGATCCTGTAAACAGAGGTGAATATTCTTTCAGACCCAGGACCCCTCAGTGGTTTTCCTGTGTGTCTGTGTCCAGGGTTAGTGGTATACATGATTTTCATATTCAGTATGAGTATGTACTATAATAATAATGATAACAATAATAATAATAATAACTTTATTTGTATAGCACTTTTAAAACCAAACATTTACAAAGTGCTTTGACATATAGTCATAGAGCACATGGAAAAAGACAAAATCATAAAACTCAGGTAAAACAGAATTGAAGGCCATGTTCATAAGACAATACAAGAACCTTGCAACATAAAATGAGAACATGAGGACCAAAATAAAAACATAAAATAGTTAAGAAAAAAATAAATGCAATTAAAAGGGGGGTCGAAAGGGAAAACAGGATAGTACATATAAAAGACAATATCAATAATAATGATAAAATAACAGGTAATACTGATAATAATAGTAATGACAAAATAGAGCAACAGAAATGAGCAAAAGATAAAACAATAAAAGACCGAAAAGGTTAATCAAGAAAAGAGTACAAGTATAACAAAAGCTAAAAAGACTGTAAAGCCGAAATAAGATAAAAGAGGTGAAAGAGATAAAAGAAAAGACAGCATCACATAAAAACAAGTCTGTAAATGTGAGTTTGTAAATTTGACTTAAAAGAAGCGACTGTCTGTACTGTCTGTATGCCTTATCTCCTCTGACAGGTTGTTCTAAAGTCGAGGAGCTCTGATGGAGAAAGATCTATCACCTTTAGTTTATAGACTTTGGAACGACCAGGAGGCCGTTGTTCTTCTTCAGGTGGTCACGCCTCATGAAGCAGGAACTGAGATGTTCTAGATCAGGGGTCTTCATATAAATTTTCAGTGGGTCCACCTGAATGAAATGCCTGCAGGCCTGGGTCCAGGGATTTTTATTTATTTATTTTTTTACAGTGCATTACTCTTTTGAAATATTCACTTCATTTGTATTGCCAATTATTGCCTACTTTCAATTGGCTGTGTGCTTCCTGTGGGTAAAATGAATGCAAATGACTCGGTCCACTTGCCATAAAACACCCTGTTCTCATTCTCTACCTTTCGTGGTTTTGAAGCCGACATGTTTAGCTGCTGCTACAACTTTCTCCTCAGTCTGCCGCCTGACAGTTTTCAACATCGGGATTGCTCGGTAATCTTCGTGTGTCGAGTAGGCTAAGAGGTCTGATTTGATTGACAAGTCAAGCCAGTAAGCAAGTGATTTAATGCCTTGCTGAAATTGCACGTGCAGTTTACTGAACCAGGCACAAAGCAAGAGAGTAAGGCTGCACGATATTGGAAAAAACTAACATCGGATTTTTTTCAACCCTGCGATATATATTGCGATATTAAAATTATAGGAATTTTCACCAGATGACCTGAATAGCATTTAATGTTATGCTGCACTGCTGAAGTCTTGAGGACAGTTAACCTGCATTGATCTTACCTCTTTTTGTGAATGTTAGAATGGCTTCTGTCTGTCTCAGAGATATTTTTAGCTTTTATTGTGCTGGGACAGATGAACACAGAACACGTGTTTTGGTCAACATCATCCTTCTTTTAACCAAAATAATTCCAGATAACTGACTTTCCTTTTCTTTTTGGCGACAAATCTTCATCTTCGGTGGTTTTCTCTTGTTCGTTGCTCATTTTGCAATCGTTGTTGTTGTTGTTGTTGTTGTTGTTAGCGGTGTTGTGCCGAGAAACGCATGTCCTCCGAGAATTGCATGCACCTCGCAAAACGCGCACCGCTTATAGTAGAGTGGTCCACGGAAATGTACCATTTAAAACCCATACAATTCTTATTTGTTGGGCTTACCAGTCAGTAAAGTTCCGAAAGTAATTCTCAGCTGACACGCGTCTCACTCCATGTGCAGAACATGTGCAGGGGTGGGTTTCCTCCTCTCTGATTTTGATTGACAGCTGGCAGGGTAGTCTGATTGGCAACTGAGAACTGAGTCTGATTGGCAACTGAGTAAAGGACAAAGGTGATTGGTGGATCGCTGCACAGCACATGCAGAGTCACATGCAGTGTATCTCAGTCAGCTACCCTTGAAATTAACTGAGTTCATTCACCTCCGACATCGCAGGCTCTGCGATGTGACTATCGCACACACGTATATCGTGCAGGCCTACAAGAGAGAAAAAAAACATACATTTTTCTGCGGTAGGCTCGGGTCCGTATTGGACTCTTTCCCGGTCCGGAAGTGGACCGCGGTCCGCCATATGGAGACCACTGTTCTAGATGTTCCCGTCTGAGATCTGCTCTCTGTTCTGATTTGTTTTTTTTCTCTTGGAGCTGTTTGTCCTCCTGTCCTGAAACTCTTAGACACATTCCAGCACACTCTGCTCCTCCTGTGGATTTAATTTGCATTGACTGACCTGTGTCTGCAGTTTTTATGTTGTTTACCTCCAGGATGTACAAACGGCTCAGTGAAAGCAGAAACAGGTTAAACGTGTTAGAGGTGAAGGTGTTAACATTAGTGAAACAGTCGGATGTCTTTGACATTTCTCTGTTTGTCCTGGTTCTGAATGAAAACAACGTGGATCTGTTTCAGTGTTTTTGTGACAGCTGCTCTGATGGTCCGTTGTTCCTCTTAACTGCTTAAAGGTGTGTTTGATTTTGACCCCCTGTGTTTCTTCTTCAGGATCCAGGATGAGTCTTCAGTGGACAGCTGTCGCCACCTTCCTGTATGCGGAGGTTTTCTTCGTTCTGCTGCTCTGCATCCCCTTCATCTCACCAAAGAGGTTTGTCCAACAACGTACCTGTCCTTCTGCACACCTGTCCAACTACACAACTGTCCTTCTACACACCTGTCAAACTACACACCTATCTTTTTTTTTTTTTTTTTTTTTTAAACAATGCAACACAACATGAACATGGGGTGTTTCTGGTATATTACAATAGATTGAGTGATCAAGTACAAGAAGAAAAGAGAGAGAGAGAAAAAAAGAAAAAGAATTAAACAAAAGAAGGGCGTCGCAGGGAAATATACATTTTCCATGGCTTCCAGATGTCCTTGAATTTTGATTGTTGAAGCCTCATTGAAAAAGTTATTCTTTCCATTACATAAACATCATATAAAATGTCATACCATTCCTCTATAGATGGGATGTCTGGCTTCAGCCATTTCTTTGTAATTGCTTTCCTAGCAGCCATACTCAGCATTCCAAACAGGCACTTATTTTTCACACTTATATTAGCTGAATGTACAAACCCAAAAAGAAGTTCATCCCAGGTAAATGTAATGTCAGATCCAAATACAGTTCTAAGTTCTGAATAGATCTTACGCCAGAAAGTATTTATTTTTGGACATGTCCAAAACAAATGAAAGCGATTAGCTTCTTGAGAACGACACATTCTCCAGCAGCTGGAGGATCCTGTGTGATGGCTAGATTGAGCAGGAGTAATGAAATACCTAATGAGACATTTCCAGCCAAATGACCTCCATGTGTTTGAACTTTATATCCTCCACTGAAGTTGATCTAGACATATGTCGGGAGCCTGTTGCTTATGCTGCCATCCCTTCGCCTGGCAGACCGGAAGTCCCCACACACCTATCTTTTTACACAACTGTCCAACTATAAACCTGTCTAACTACACACTTGTCTCTCTGCACACCTGTCCCTCTACACACCTGTCCCTCTGCACACCTGTCCAACTACACACCTGTTCTTCTCTTAGCCTTGAATAAGTTAAACATAAATCTGGTAATAATTATTTAATTCCATCTAAATTGACAGTCGAGTTAATTATTAAAGCACAGGTAAAACACCATGCGGGAGTCTCTGGAGTGACTCGGGTTAAAGGACAAGCTCAGAGGACGTTAAAGTTTAATTTAGAGGTAAAGATCAGTTGAAATCGAACAAACAGGCTGTTCTAGTTTGTCAGTGAAGTCTTCGATGATTTTTCCATCTCAGTCTAAAAACACTCGTGTGTCTGTGAGAGGAGACGGCGGAGGTTCAGGCTGAAGAAGCTGATGAGCTGATTGAGTTATCAGAGAGACACAGAGCTGCTTTGTGTGAGTCCAAGAGGGTCAGGAGATTTATTTATTTATTTTTTAATTATCATGTGATTGACTTAATACGTAAACTGAACACTTCAGAAATCGGCCCTTTAAATGACACTTGGACGGTCAGCAAATCCTCCTGGCTGCTTCGCTGACGAGAACCAATCATGCGCACACTCTTCACGTGTACTTGGAGTACTTGGAGAGCCTGTGGTAGCATTGCAAAGCTGCGAGAACGAGAAGCAGGACTTATCCACGCCGGTGTTGTGCCGTAGAATGCACCCCTGACGGGAGCGCGGTTGAAAGTACGTAACAAGGCAAAATAATCGAAGTTTTCCTTACCGTTGGACGGATTCAAAAGCGTGTGCCTTTAATGATTTCATTCAGGTTATACAGATTAGCCGAAAACAATTGCCCTCTGATTCAGAATATTTGCTGTCCCGAAAGTTTATTGTTCTTTACCTTGACTCACCTATTTTTTCCGAGTTTTTTTTTTTTGCCCAATACGCCCAACTGAATAAAACATAAACTTATAAAAACTTGAAACCTCTCTGTGAAACGTGCTTGTAAATTGTGGTAAACATCCATGGGCTTTGTGTTCTGTTTGTGCCTGTGTGCGTGTTGCGGTGAACAGCTGTTTGATCAGCTGATGCACGTACCCGCGACTGCGCCCTGTGAAACCCCATTCAAAAACTAAAGTATTTTTATTATTAGCACTTCATAGACCACATCCCCGCCCATCTACACCTAGGTGACCACAATATATATTTTTTAGATAATTCGGCACTAGTTCGGCCTGTCAAATCATCTGATCAAAGCCAGTTTATTTACTTTTATCCACAGCGGAGAGCGCGCCCGGCGCTTATTTTCTTTTTTGATGAGCGCCCGGCTCATCAGCTGGCCGAGCACGCGTCACGATGATGCGACTACTCGAGGACCTCGAGTTACGTGACGTTTGCTTTGTTTAGTGCAGTTCAGGCGACGTCTTAGTTATTTGTACACGTTTGCATCATAGCACTCTTCTAAAGCCGCTACAAAATAAACCCAACAGTTTAAAAACAGTAAAAAATAGTAGACCTTCTGAGTACCTTATATGTCAACTTCAAGAAATCATTTGGTAAGTGAAAGTACATATGGGTTAAAAAGTTAGAGGGGGCACTTTTAGATATTAATGTTCAGTTTATCTAGCAAGTTTGCAGCTCATATTAATTTTAATATACCCATTCCACAGAAAACAAGTCACAGAGAGCAGGGCAAACATGTTCAAGAGATTAAAACAGAATACCCTGGATGCATTTCTGGCAAAGAAAAAGAAAGAAATTGACAAAGAGGAAGATAGTAAACATGAAACCAAGGAGGATGGAAGAGAGAATAGGGAAAGTTAGATGTAGCAGAGAGAGGAGAGTCATTCAGAGATGGAAGGGGAGCAGAGGCACACGGAGGAGGATGGAATAAAAAAAAAAATTCAAATAAATAAAATATATTTAAACAATAAACATCTTGTGTGACTTGTAGCCTAAAAAATTATAATTAAAAAAAAACATTTAAAAAAACCTTGGCGCGCGCTCTGCGCGCGCATCATGGTCCTGACCTATTCCAAAATCCTGGCTACGTCCCTGGTTTTGAGCCATCTAAAATAGCAAAAGCAGGCATCTGCAAAAAAGCAAGCAGGTGTGACTTGGAGTGTTTTTGGCGCCTCCTGCAGATCACTGAAACACAATGTGGGTGAACAGAGCTCAATATTTTGTTGGGTTGTACAGTGTACCGGAACGTATTTCCTCCGCACCCTTCTCACCTTTTCAACCCCTGACCCATTTTCATGCCTGATTTTATCATAAATGTTTCTGTCGAGTTAATTCCAAACTGCTGCTCTCCTTCTGCAGCCGTAGATGAATCTGTTGTTTTCCTCAGCTGTGTGTTTGTTACTCAGCCTCTAGATGGCGCCACAGCTCCATGTTTTTCCCAGCAGGTCTGAGCAGCACCGTTATGTCTCTGTTATGTTATTTAATGTGTTTCCATTTTTAACCTCCAGGTGGAGCAAGATCTTCAAGTCACACATCGTCCAGACCATCGCTCTCTATGGAAACACCTCCTTCATGGTGGCCATCGCCATCCTCGTCTTCCTGCTCATCGGTACGCGCCTGTGTGTGTGTGTGTGTGTGTGTGCGTGCGTGCGTGTTTGTGTGTGTGTGTTTGTCTAAACTTTGCCTGCTCAGTGTTTGTGGTTACTGGATAATAAAGCAGGTATCATGGAGAAGAGACACACCTGCACATTTACAGACCCTTTCCAAAAATTTGAATATCATTAAAAAGTTTATTCATTTCTAGGCCTGTCACGATAATCAAATAAATCGCCTAATCGCTCGGTAAATAAAAACGAGGTCGGTAATTTTGCCAGCCTCGATAATTAATTAGCGTTTGTTTTCCTCCTCTCTCGCTACCAAACACGCTGGATACGAGAAGAGGTCTCACTCTGCGCATTTTTCTCGACACCTGGGTGCGTTGGCTCTATAGCAGAATGAACGCAGTGAGTGAACCCTCCTGTCAGTCATTCAGTCTCTTTGTCACAGTGGGGGGGGGAGAGCTGGTGCGCACACGCACACAGACACACACACACAGACGTACTGACACAGTGCGGAGCAAACGCAATGAATGATGAAACGACAGGGTTGGTGTCTAAGCCCAACGCAACAGCCCCAGTGTGGGAACATTTCGGTTTCAAATAGAATGAAAGAGGTGAGCCCACGAACACGGACGTATGTCGCATTTGTTTTGGTGACAAAGAAGGGGAATACAACGAACATGCATGCGCACCTCAAGCACAATCAGCTGCGGGGATGATTGTGCTTGAGGTGCGCATGCATGTTCTTTGTTGACCTGTTGAGGAATAGCACCCAAAGCTAATTATTTAGTGCAATTTTGTTTACAGACTCGAGACTCCACTTTATTTATTGTTTTAATAGTTATGTGTGGAGTGAAGTTTTTGTTCCGTACCAGAGACAAGGTCTGTTTTTTTGTTTGTAGTTGTGATTGTGGTTTTTATTTGAATGCAGTTTTTGTTAAAACAGAATGTGGGTCCATTTTATTTTCATTGTTTTTTGGTTGTCTTGTTTGTTTATTATATTTGTTCATCCTAGTTCAAAGTTCTTAATCTTGAGCAATTAAAGTTTATTGCTTTTGACATGGTGTACTCGCATTATTATGCCATATATTATCATTATCTATAATTAAAAAAACGGTGTCAATAATATCGTTTATCGGCAATAATTTGTAGCACAATTATCGTCAGGCAAAATTTGTTATCGTGACAGGCCTATTCATTTCCATAATTCATTCATTCAAAAAGTTAAACTTTCATAGATTATAGATTCAGGGCCCACAATTTATTTGTTTATTTTTACATAATTTGGGCTTCCAGCTCATTTGAAAAATTATAATTGCACCCCTGCCGTAGAATGCCCCCCTGACGGGAGCGCGGTTGAAAGTACACAACAAGGCGAAATAATCCAAGTTTTGAGCCATCTAAAATAGCGAAAGCGGGCGTCTCGCGTTTACTACTCTGCAGGGCTCTCAAGTCTCACGCATTCAGCGTGTGACACACGCATTCCCACCCGTTCACACGCTCACACGCCACACATTGTATTTCTCACGCATTTATATGAACATGGTGATGTCCACAAAGTTGCACCTCTGTAACAATGGAACAGGTAGAAATCAACTGAGTTCCTCCGAGAGTTCAGAAGCTGCGTGCCACACGCAAGCCAATCAAATAAATTATATATACTGAACAGCCAATCAAAAAGCAGCATTGCTGTATCCGGGTAGATCTCCTATTTTCTCCGATTTGAGGTATAGTGCAGAACTTTGGCTATAGAAAGAGTAATTTTTAAGCCAGAAAGGTCATCTTGGGCTCAAATTGAAGCTTAGGGACATGGGAAGTTTATATATACAAATGAGGCAGTGATATTCACCATAAAGTGCTGGAAATCAATCATCTTTGTTATTATTTGTCAAGCGGACAGTATATTTTTTTGTGTTTCTGGGGATGATGTTGGTCATAATTATGAATACAGTTGTAGCAGGCCCTATTGGGCTACTTAACCCTATGTCTCAGGATACCCAATGCCAAATTTCAGACTTTCATGTCCAATTATGTAATTTTAGTGAATGAATATTTGCCTTAACACAATTTCGCTGGAGCCATGTACCAAAAAGTGGGTTTTTGGGGGTTTTGGGGCAGATGGGACATTCTGAGAACTTTTTATCATAGCTCATCATTTTCAGCACATTTTTTCCTATAAAAACACTGATTAGAAATATATCTCCGGGGGGTGCACTGAACCCCCTCCTTCCAACTAGACTATAAAGTCGTTATAAAATCCTTACTAATGATAATAAAGTCGTTATAAAATCCTTACTAATGATAATAAAGTCGTTGTAAAATCATTACTAATGAGAATGAAGTCGTAATATAATCATTATTTACGTGAATAAAGTCGTAATAAATTCATTACTAGTGAGAATAAAATCGTAATTAAGTAATTACAACAATAAAGTTGTACTTAATAGAATAAAGTAGTAATAAAATCTTTTCTAAGGAGGAAAAAGTTGTTATAAAATAATTTCTTATAAGAATAAAGTCGTAATAAAATCATTACTAATGAGAATAAAGTCGCGATAAGGTAATTACTTATGAGAATAAAGTCGCGATAAGGTAATTACTTATGAGAGTTAAGTCGTGATAAAATCATTATTTACAAGAATAAAGTTGTAATAAAATCATTAATTATGAGTATATAATCGTAATATGTCATTATTATTGGGAAGAAGCCGTGATCAATTAATTACTAATGAGAATATAGTTGTAATAAAATCATTATTTTTTCGAGAAGAAAGTCGTAATAAAATCATTTTATCAAATCAAGTCATAATAAAATCATTTCTAATGAGAATAAAGTCGTAATAAAATCATTATTTACGAGAATAAAGTCGCAAATTAATCAATAAGAATGAGAATGAAGTCAATATAAAATCATTGCTTATGAGAATAAAGAAAATAAGAAAATAAAGAAGTCATTATTTACGGGAAAAAAGATGTAACTAAAACATTACTAATGTGAATAAAGTTGTAATGATATCATAAATAAAGTCGTAATGAAATCATTATTTACGAGAATAAAGTCATAATAAAATCATTATTTGCAAGGATAAAGTCACAATAAAATTATTACTAATGAGAACTAAGTCGTAATAAACCATTATTTACGAGAATAAAGTCGTAATAAAATTATTACTAATGAGAATAAAGTCGTAATAAAATAATTTCTTATGAGAATGAAGTCGTTAGGTAAATGAAGTCTTAAAGCTGCTTTTGTGGAAGAGGAAATGTCTGAACTGGTCAACTCCAACTGATGATCAACATTTACGATTCAGAGGGAGTCGAGCTTCGACGAGCACCGCGTCTGTCTCTGAAGCCGGCACAACACTGGCAGAGGCATCAACACTTTATGGTGCATAGATTCATACAAAAAACTAAAAAAACAGCAATTCCCTACAAGTCAGCCTAGTTCTTTCTGCAGAAAATATGCATTTCTTCATATGTCCTGATATTTGTGACGATGTGATGCTGAAACGCCAAAGGATTTAGTATCTCCTTGTTTGTGAAACCTAGCTGTTCATCTAAATGCTCCACAGCACTCATTTAAACAACTAACAACAGGTTAGAATAGCTATTAGCTACAACTTTATTCTCATAAGAAAGGATTTTATTACGACTTTATTCTCTTAAATAATGATTTTATTACGACTTTATTCTCGTGAGTTATGATTTTATTAGGACTTTATTCTTGTAAGAAATTATTTTATCACGACTTTATTCTCGTAAATAATGATTTTCTTACGACTTTATTCTGGTAAGTAAATACTTTATTACAACTTTATTCTTGTGAATAATGATTTTATTACAACTTTATTCTCAAGAAATTATTTTATTACGACTTTATTCTTGTAAGTTATGATTTTATTTGGCTTAATTTTCGTAAGTAATTATTTTATCACGACTTTATTCTCGTAAAGAAATTATTTTTATTACGACTTTATTCTCATAAGTATTGAAATACAGTTTTTAATTTCTTTAATTTATAGGTCTGATCTTTTAAAAGACATTCTTTGATCGTCAGTTTCTTTTCCTGTGAGCTGAAATATTCTCAGAAACAAAACCAGCGCAGAGCGACCGACCAGAGACACTTTCATGATTTGGTTTCTGCAGAAGTCTAAGAAACGGGGGGATGATTTTCTTCTTTGTGTGTGTGTGTGTGTGTGTGTGTGTGTGTGTGTGTGTGTGTGTGTGTGTGTGTGTGTGTGTGTGTGTGTGTGTGTTAGATGCTTTCCGTGAGGTGAGGAAGTACAGCGTCACAGAGAAAGTGGACCTGACCAACAACCCGACAGCCATCGAGCACATCCACATGAAACTGTTCAGAGCTCAGAGGAACGAGTACATCGCCGGCTTCGCCCTGCTGCTGTGCCTGTGAGACACACACACACACACACACACACACACACACACACACGCACACACACACACACACGCACTCAGATCTAAAAGCAGAGCAGCTTTTACAGTCAGAAGGAAAGAATGAGCAGCTGTGTGAAGGTACGGATCCTCTCAGGAGAGGGTAAATCCTGCAGCCTTGTTCTGATTGGACACAGCTCAGAGGTGTAAAACTGTCTTGATCCCTGATTGGCTGACCTCTCAGAAGGTCGGAGGTGGTTAAATCTGATTGGTTTTGGAGCTGAGTGATGTGGCGTGTTGTTATAGGTTGTTGTCGGGCTGAAAATCTGACAACTTTCTGATGATCTGAAGTTTGAAGTGAACTTTGACACGATCATCTTCTGCTCATCGAACAAGGCTGGAGGAGGCGTGGAAGAAGGTTTGAACTTTAGACCCTGAAGGTAAACCTCACCAGAGGAGGACTGGCCCAGGTTTAAATAATGGTTAATGAAAGTGTCTCGTGGTCAGAGCAGGTGTTGGTGAATCAGGAGTCAAAAATCTCTTTGTGGACGGTCTGCAGATTTAGTGAGCACAAATGCCACACAACCCCTCAGTGAAGCAGGTCCTCATGTTGCACTTCCACATAAACTATACCCCCCAAGAAAAGTGGACATATGTAAATTAGAGCAACCAAAACACGACCAAACTGAAGCTGGTGTTGGTTCTGTCCTCACTGCCTCCTTCAGTCTCTTTTGTTTTTATCGATGATATTTTCCTGAAGCACATCGGTGTCACATCTTTAAAGTTCTCCAACCCAAACAGCCTCTAGTAAGTAAGTAAAGTTTATTTATAAAGCGCTTTTTACAGATAAAAATCACGATTAAAAGTAAAAAAGTACTGTTCATAAAATAAGTGCAATTAGATAAACATAAAATGGTACAAAAGATAAATACATATACATACACTAGGGCTGCACAATATATCGTTGACTTTGCATGTGCTGTGCAGCGATCCACCAATCACATTCGTTCTGTACTCAGTTGCCAATCAGACTACCCTGCCAGCCGTCAATCAAAATTTGAGAGGAGGAAACCCCGCCCCCTGTACATGGAGTGAGTTGCTGGCGCTGCTGGTGTTGTGCTAATAGACGCGTGTCCGCTGAGAATTACTTTGGGAACATTCCTCATCACTGTTTATCCCCACAAATAAGAACTGTATGGGTTTGAAATTGTATATTTCTGTGGACCATTCTACTATAAGCGGTGCGCGTTTCTGCGAGGTGGATGCAATTCTTGGCATGCATGTGTTTCTAAGCACAACACTAACGATTGCAAAATCAGCAACGAACAAAAGAAAACCACAGAAGATGAAGACTTGTTGACAAAAATACAAGCAACACCACTTATCTGGTATTATTTCGGTTATAAGAAGGATGATGTCGACTAAAACACACGTTCTGTGTTCATCTGTTTCCGCAATAACGTCCCAGCACAATAAAAACTAAAAATATCTCTAAGACAGAGAGAAGCCATTCTACAAACATTCACTAAAAGAGGGAAGATCAGTGCAGGTTAACTGTCCTCAAGATTTCAGCAGAAATTGAGATTCAGCTCATCTGATAAAAGTTCCTTGATTTTTTTTTTTAATATCGCAGGGTTGAAAAAAAATTACAATTTTAGTTTTTTCCAATATCGTGCAGCCCTAATATACACAAATACAAATACAGTAGAGTTGAATATGGAAATAAGTGCAGGTATAAAAGAAGTAAAAGAGACAAACAAAACCCTGTTCATTGAAAGCTTGTCTAAATAAAGAGCCTTTAACGTATTTTTAAAAGGATCCACTGAGTAGATCAAATGGAGGGAGAAGGGCAAATTGTTCCAGAGTCTGGGGGCTACGGTCTTCGGCACCATTAGGAGGTTCTGGCCTGATGACTGAAGGGTGCGGCATGGGGAGTAGGGGCACAACAAATCAGTGATATACTGGGGGGCCTGACCATACAGCGCCCGGAAAGTCAGAACAAAAATTTGAAAACTAATATGAAAATTGACCGTTAGCCGATACAGGATGAGATAAATGCATGAATGATTAATTCAAGATCTGGTTTGGACAACATTCTCCTCACTTTAGAGATATTTCTCAGCTGATAAAAACTATTTTTGGTCAGCTGTCGAGAATGATCCTCTAAGGCAGTGGTTCTCAACCGGGAGGCGGGGGGGGCTCACCGGCTATTAGTACAAAGGAGAAGTAGCAGAGTCCCAAGCGGTTGGAAATAGACCAATTTACAGCTGACCTCATCCAGAAGCTGTTGCACGGCATGGCAAGTGTCAATAAAAGTTTCTTACTATTTTGCCTCAGCCAGTCCAACGACCAAGTAAACAGGACAAGCATCCTGCTTCGACCGACCAGTGACGATCAGTCTCTACAGGGAGAGAGGCTCACACACTGAGGATCCTTCATATCGTTACACACACACACACACACAGAGCAGCGATCTGAAGTACACATCGATATTAACTGTATAAACTTCATTACCAGTATCCTTCATCTACACACTTGTCTCCTCTCATCCACACAGACCCACCTGTGTTCACTAAGCTACAGCTTTCACAGGAGCTCATCACACCACACCATTGTTTAACGGAGATCGGACATAAAATAAAGGAGAAAACATGACCACAAAAAATATAAAACGTCCTCATCTCTGTCCACCACACATCTGAGCAGACATAATTGATCAAACCTTGAGGAAGTATTTCTTACCTTCACTCTGGAGTCTAAAACAGTCAGCATTATCAGTCATCCAGCTCCAGCAGTTTAATAATCCATCGATATTATTCACATCCCATTTCTCGCGGTCAGTGCGTTTCATCCATTTGCATTGTGTGAAAAAAGTTTTAGCTTGCTTTAGCTTCAGGTGTCCTGATAGAGACCAACAGCAGGAGCATCACTGGACTTGGTACCGAGTCCAGACCACAGGTCCAGACAGGCCGTGACTGACTCACTGCGTCAGAACCGCATTTGGTGGGGCCCAGCTCGCAAAAGGTTGAGAACCCTTGCTCTAAGGACATGATTAAAAACAACCCTGAGGTTTCTGAGGCTGTTTTTCACAGACGGGGCCCAGAGCTCAAAGGAGATTTTTGATCAAAGGGATTTTTTCATCAGATGATCAATGATCAGCCTCGACCACCAGAGGACCTCCTCAATCATCAGGGAGATAGTCAGTGTCTGTGTGCTGCCTGCAGGGGGCAGTATTGTATGATGGGTGTGTCAGGTGTTCAGTGACTCACAGAGGCAGAGGAACATGTGATACAACAGCTGCTGTAACCCAGGCTCCAGGAGGAAGTGCTCCAGCATTTAGACTGAGCCCTCCTCAGACGCCCCGCTGTGATCCGAGACAGTGACTCAGAGTAAACTGTGGAGCGCCACTTTAGGATTATTTCAGGACAGCCATATTTGGACCTGAGACTTCCTAAACCAGACCCAAGATTTGGTCAGAAACAGGAGCACTTACACGAAATCACACACCCGCCTGACGTGAAAATTCTTCGGACTGCTCCTTTAGTCCATCAGACTCTGAGGAATGGGGTTGGTTTTATTTCTGACCCTGCAGTTGCCCCATAACCCCGCCTACTCCCTGCTGTGAGTAACCATGACATCACAACCTGTCAGCGCCACACACAAACACACACACACACACACACACCCACACACAGCATGCACCACACGTAGCACACACACACGCGCACACACACAGAAATGCCTCTGAGATGTTACGGGCTCAGCCAGGAAATGTCAGGGGTAACTGTGTGTGTGTTTCTGTGTTGTTACTATATGTGTCCACAAAGTAGTGAATGGCTATAATAGGCTATGTGAGCCTGTCACACACAAACACACACACTTCCACATGTGTGTGTGTGTGTGTGTGTGAGAGAGACTCTGGAGTGGAAATCGCCACAGACTCAGAATTACTTCAAAACCCACTGACTGTAAAAACACTTGACTCTGATCAACAGTCAACCTGAGTGTGTGTGTGTGTGTGTGTGTGTGTGTGTGTGTGTGTGTGTGTGTATGTGTATGTGTGTGTGTGTGTTCAGGTTGCTGCGTCGTCTGGCCACTCTGCTCTCCCAGCAGGCTTCGCTCATGGCGTCCAACGAAGCCTTCAAGAAGCAGGCCGAGGGTGCCAGCACCGCTGCCAAGAAGTACATGGAGGACAACGAGGCGCTGCAGGAGGTGACACACTCTTACACACACACACACACTCTTCACACACACACACGCACACACACACACACTCAGAATGTCTCTGTGAAACTCATCAGGGTGAAACTTTTAAAAATCAGACCGAGAGGGAAACGGTTTTTCTTTAAGATGCTGCTGTTGGTGCGACTCACCTGCGGGGGGCAGCACTGACCTGCAGCTGCTCTGTCAAACACTAGAAGGATTCATAAAGTGACACAGTGTGTTTCATTCAGGATGTGCACACACTCACTCTCACACACACACACACACACACACACACACACACACACACACACACACACACACACACACACACACACACACTCTCTCTCACACACCCTTTCTGTGGTAATCTGACCTGGGTTTGTGCGGGGTGAAGAGATCACCAAGTCCCCAGCTGCTAAAAGGAGAAATTGCTTCATCTACATGTGACAGTCATTCACACACACACGCAGACACACACACATATATACACACACACACACACACAGTGTTGTTGTGTGTTTCAGGAAGCTTGAGGGTAGAGTGGATTCAGTGTGAAACAGTCAGGAAGTTTTTCAGGTTTTCTGTCTTGAACTCTGTGACACTAAGGAATCGGATCAGAACCACTCTTCTGTGCCACAGTGAAACTTACAGATCATTATTGTTACTGTAGAAAGTTCCAGAACCAAACTTTGATTCGGATCATAAACGGGCCGTGAAAACTCTGGACTGTTACGGTGGTTCTGAGCAGAATTAGTTAGTTTGGATTTATTAAACTCAGAGACTCTCTGAGGTTAGAATCGTCCTCACAGCAGCAATAGTATGTCTCTTAGTTCCAGACCCAAAACTCAGAACCATAGCTAACACATGTTGGCGTTTTCTGGATCACAAACCCTTTTGTTGTAATGATAAATTAGACGTACACTTCATACTCTTGGTCTTCTCTGTCTTCTGCTCCGAAGGATGTGAAACAAGTTTTATTCTCAGGTTTATTGTATTCATGGACCTCGTCAACATGTTTTCTAAACCTTGACTCTGACCCCCAATTTCCACCTCATCCTTAACGTCTACGAAAAGGTTGTATCCTCCGATCGTAGTTGATTGTAACCATTTAAGTTAACGTGTCAATTTCCACCGGCTTCTTTCCGCTCCTCTGCGGATCGCTGGACTCCACAGCTGATCGCAAGAGTTCTATTTTTTTTTAATTCAGCACAGAATAACCCATGCTGGAAAGGAAATCAGGCACAGACACAAAATAAAACATCTGTCTTCTTTTCAAAATAAAACACCAATGACACCCTGGATAAGGAAATGCTGATTCTAGTCTAGAAGTAGATTTCCTCCTCTGGAAGGACACAATCTACCGCTATGTGGCTGTCTTTATAGAGACAACTTGTTGTCGCGCAATTGAACATGAATCTACGAGTTCTGATAAGTTCTCGCAATTACCGCTGTCCGTAATCCGTCACGAAATTTGCCTCACAAACGGAGCCAGTAGGAATTGGCAGACGGGGAAAATTGCTGCCGTTCCGGATCTGAGCGGTTCCTGATTAGCTGAAATTTGGGGGTTAGAGTCTGTAGATGAAAAATGTGAAGTTACTCGGTATGAAGGTTCTGTCAGAGAGGTTCTGAGGAGTCTGCCGGTGTGTACTTTACCTGTTCGCTGAACGCAGTTTCATATGGAAATCTGAATTAGGTTTCTGTTTTTATGAGTTTTTGATAATGATCAGGAATATTTGGTCTGCAGCAGGAGTCACCTGCTATCCGGGTCAGTCTTTACCTGAATGTTCAACATTTTAAACCAGAACTGGGCCAATGTTTGAGGAAAACTCAGAGCAGGTTTTTAAAAGGTAAAGGTTCAGAGTCTTAAAGGTGGGGTAGTCAGGATCTGAGGAAGTTCCAGTTTTTAGAAGAAATTTTGAATGTAAACTCTACCCCTCCCAACCAGTTTTCCCCTCAGCTCCTACTCCCCCCCCGCTCTGCTCCAGCAAGCCCCACCCACAAACAGACGCTCGTATCGTTCCAATTAAATTCAGATATAATGCAGATAAATACTTCAGATAATTACAAATGGGGCCCAGTCAACGTGAAAGAAAAAAGCAAGATCCCCAAGCGTCCCCCATCGTTTATGTTGACCCGGCTTTTTAGCTCTTGTCCGGTCTACCTCCGTTTTAAGCGCCCGTTATTCCTCCAGAGTCTCCGGTATTTACTTTGTTTTCTTGCTTGTGTCGGCAGTCGTGGCCAAAGGAGGATTCAGACAATTTTCCAAACTTTCTGGTTGGTTTCTACTGTCCGATATTGTAGCACGTTAACTTTGTTTGGGCTCCTGATCGACACCGGGGAGCCGCGTCTGCCTCACAACCAATCAGGATGGGGAAGTGGAGAACAGCTTTGTTTACAGTCAGAAAGAGCGGACCGCTCAAAAATGTTAAAATGTGGACTACACAGACATAAGAGAACACAGCAATATCGTTATATTCCCAAATGTCATCAATAACTAGTAACTATTGACAGATATTAAAAGATTTTTTGTAAATACACCACAAAAAAAAGGTCGTAGTCGGAATCCATTTAAAAAAAAAAAAAACGGTTAAACCAGTTAATCAGCATGACATTAGACAGGTTTATTATTGATTCACATCAACTCTGTATGAGGATGGAAAGTCAAATAAAATTGAAAAAAAAATCACAGTGACACTTTCTTTAAAGGTGTGTGTGTGTGTGTCTGCAGACCTGCAGGAAGCACACGTGTCTCTCTGATCGTCGTCTCTATTTCTAACTCGATGGTGTAATTTTACTGCAGACTATTACTCAAGGTGACACAACTCACTGAGTGTGTGTGGGTGTGTGTATGTGTGTGTGTGTGCACATGCACACGTGCATGAAGTTCATAAGTCAGACAGTGTTACAGGTCGCTGCTGTTAGGATGGATAACCTGATTCCGTCTTGTGGAATGTTATTGAAACGGTTTGATCGTAAAAAGTTCAAAAATTAAAATCTGTTAAAAATAATCTGTTAATAAGTATAGTAATAATAAAATCATACTTTAAATTGCAGTCCAGTAAAGACGTCAACTTAAAGTATTGACGTTTTGTGGTTTTCTGAAGTAAAAGTAAAGAGTAAATCTGTTACTCTACATCTAGATTAGAGTTTTATAGATTTTTTGAAAGTTTGAAGAGCTCATCGATGACTGTGAGTGTAAAACATGAAGTAAATCCTCAGGACTGTTGCGGGTTTCCTTTGGTGTTTACTGACCTTTATCGTTTCCCGTGTTGATCAGTCCCAATGTGGATCCTGTTGAACTTCCTGAACTGGAGACCCTGGGCTCCTGGATTTCAGAGCAGTAAAACCAGAGTTTATGACCCTCAGCCAAAGGTCTGAAGATCAGCACCTGCTTCTCTCTGTCACACAGAGAAACCTCAGGAGCCTCAGGCTGATCAATAAACGTTATCCAAACAGAGAGGGAAACTGTTTTTGAAAATCATAAAGTCTGAAACCTGGAAACAGATCGGTGCACCACATCAGACCAGTTAACTGTTCTTTATGGATCTGGTTATGACTTTACAGAACTTCTTAGAACATTTGTTTGTTTGAACCAGTCAGATAATATAGACTGAAACACATAGATGCTGAAAATTAAACCTTTGTCTTTATCAAACCAAACAAATAGATTTTACAGATATTACTATAACACTCAGTGTGTTTACATGCACAGTTTAATTGGACTAAGCTCATAATTCGTTTTTTTTTTTGCGGAATCAGACTTCTCTCCTTGTCTGTGTATACATGCAGCTAAGAAAATCGAATTATTGATGTGAATGGGTCTTTTCCGCTGCTGTTTTTGACCCCATACAACCGTCAACAACAACAGCAGGTTTGTGCCAGATTTCAGAAGTGTCCACAACTGCTGCTGGGCATTTTGGTACAAGAAGATGGAACATCGTACAGCACTGTTTTTGTCCTACATGATGGACGCGCTACTTTTTCTGCAGATGAGGCACACGCTACTCCTCTTCTCTGGTGTTTTTGTTCCGGGGTTAAGGAGGCGTGGCACATGCGCACATGCATTGTTGATTAATTCCGACTAGGCTGGTTACATGGTAGAGAAAATCGCCTTCCAATCACATTATTTTGGTGTCATAATCAGAGTTCTCCAATTCCGATTATAGTCGGACTAAGGTTTTTACATGCACTTCAGTTGTCCGGTCTTAAGGTCCTTTCACACCGGGACCTTTTTTGTCATGCGATATTGCAGCATTCATTTTTTCCAGATCACTGTCGATTTTTCTGAAGTTTTGCATACTGTGTGTCCACTTCTGACCAATCAGATTGTGTGTTGTTGCGACATCTGATCACCGGTATATCCAACATGGCCGACTGGCTGATTGTTTACGTGTCGGAGAACAGAGTGCTTTATGATAAAAGACACAAATATTACAAAGATAACGACCTGAAAGACAACTTGTGGAGAGTCATAGCGTCGGATCTCTCATATGACGATGGTTTGTGTGCTTTATCAGTTTGCTAAACGTGTTTGTTTTAACTTTCATCTGTGCTAACGTAAGCTAACAGTTGTTACTGTAGTTTAATGTGCTTATCTTATCCTCTGATTAAAATTGCTGACCATTTGGCTTGAGGGTCTGATGACGTTTCCAGCTTTTCTAGCCAATTAGTGTCTTCTCCGGGATGCGACCCCCCCACCCCCACCCCCACCCCGTCAAAATTCGCCTCCGAATATTTCGTAATGTCGCGTTCTACATTCGCATCAGCCCTGGTGTGTCAGGACCTTTAACCGGAATAAGGCGATAATTCCATTTTCTCGAGTGTCATGTAAACGTACTGAGTGTTGGGATATTTGGACGCTGTGTCACACAGAATTTTAAGGTTTTATAATCATTTAAAGTCTTAAATATAAACAGTGTGAGGATGACATTATTATTAAAACTGAAAAACTTCATGTTAAATAAAAATATTGGATAATTTTAAATTTGACGAGAATGGGACAACATTTGACTTTTGGGTCTTTACAGTATATGTAAATGAAAACCATCAAACTCTTTTTCTTATCAATACTTCACAGAAAATACAAGCTGTCAGCCAATTAGAGAGCAGGATGTGTTACTGTACTGCAAGATGGTGAAAGTGCTGTTGGCCAATCAGAGAGCAAGATGAGTTACTGTAGTGTTAGACGGTGAAAGAGCTGTCAGCCAATCAGAGAGCAGGATGTGTAAGCCAGCAGGAGCAGCTGTGAGAGTGAGGTCAGTGTGGGAGGTGAGGAGGCGTTTGGTATGAACACCTGTCGCTCCCTCCCTGAGAATCTGCAGCAGCTCTCTCTCTCGCTCTCTCGCTCTGGTTCTGGTTTGTTGTTGTTTTTGGATCCTAGTTTCTGTCTTTCTCAGTTCGTCTCATTCTCTTTTCCTCGTTGGCCTCTTGTGTCACGAGTTCAAGTCAGGACTGTAGTCGACTGAAACCCCTGTAACATCTCAGAGGCATTTCTGTGTGTGTGTGTGTGTGTGTGTGTGTGTGTGTGTGTGTGTGTGTGTGTGTGTGTGTGTGTGTGTGTGTGTGTGTGTGTGTGTGTGTGTTAACATCTCGAATCCACACACACTTTTAGTCGGTTCTGGTCCAAGTCTCGACTCTGCAGACCCTCTGTCAGACCTCTGGACCTCCGGCAATCCTACGTGGCTCCATTAATATAGTTTACAGTTTCTCAGGAACTATACTGTGAATCTCTACGGGATAAAAAGTGTTCAAAAGCTTACCCTTTTGGCGATCTATCAAGGGTTTCCGGACATTTCTACACCTGCCACAAGGTTTACAATCAAGCACACAAATAGGTGTTTGATCAGAAACGTTTGATGGTAAATCTGCAGTGATATACCGGTGAAAACATGATTATTTATCAGATTGTTGTGATTAAAAAAAAGATCGCTATCGCTAAATGCCGCTAATGTCTTCTGGGTTTGACAAGCTGTTCTGATGACGTCTTTTTCTGTCAAACTTTCGACCAATTACAGTACAGGGTCTCATATTCTTCTTCTATTGTTCCCTTGACATTAGTGTCCAATAAGAGACGAGAAAGTTCCCTGCTTGTCCCCAAAATAAGAAATAATGGTCCTTGATGTTGGGGAAACAAGCTAAGAGGAGATAATGAGCAGTATGATGTTGTCCTCTGTCTCACTTCACACAGGAACTGTTTCAAGGAGTGGCATAAACAACTGTAAATAGTAAAAAAAAAACGCCTGGAAGAATTAGTGTAAATATGTCAATAGTTTCTGTTGTGTGTTTGTTCCAATCCCAGTATTTCTTCTCCTGATAGCCAAGACTTGAGAGAATGATGTGCAGGTGAGAAAAGGCTTGGTCACAGTAGATTTATGTGTTTTTTAGGAAAGTACTGTTGGGATCAGTTTCCGTTTTTGTTTTTTGGTTGACTTTGATGGTTCTGAATCTACTACTGCTCCATAAACTGACAGCTGAGGTTGTCCTGAAAATAAAGATGTGGATATATTGGCTGTGCTTGAAAGGATTGAGTTGATACAATGATAGCAAAATATAGCTGGGAGTTCAAAGGGTTAATGTTTGTGTTAACAACTTCATGACAGTCAGGAGATCTCCCTGAAAACACCTGGACCTGTTCCTATGCCCCCCTGAAACCATGTAGGGGCTCAGGGAAGGGTCAGGGGTCTGATGTGGACTAAAAAAAGTCCACTGTGCCATTCTCAGACAGTCTGTGGACAGATACTTAACGAGTTTTTCTGTAGACCATAAGGATCTTGATTCCCTAACCCTCGGTTCCTGTTAATTGTCCCCAAAACGGACATGCAGATAAGTGTTAGTTAAATAAACGTTTTTAAACATTTTTTTTTTCTTTTTTGACTCCGATCCCTTAAACAACTTCAGCCCTAACCATTAAAAAAGGTAATGAATGAAAAGTTCGATGTATTAACTAATATTAATTAATATTTATTCATTCTAAACAGCTAAGTCTATTGGAGCGGAAAAACACGCCATTTTCACCTCCTTTTCTCGAGTCTCGTCCTCTACCAAATCAAATGATTGAATTCATTTGTTCATATTAAATTAATTTTATATATTGGCATATAAAATCAGAGGATATATGTAAGATAGGAATCATTTACAAGTGGTTATCCACCTCTAACCAAAATGTGACTGCGATTACACTGATTGTGCGCATGTAGAAAATAACTGCATATTTGAGTAGTGATATCTTATCACCTAATGATCTGAAGGACCTGTTCATCCTCATGCATGTCCATCCACTTGCTTCAAAGTGAGGACAAAGTTGAAATTGTCCAAATGTCCCCCTCTCTTTGTCCCACACTGCAGAACTTGGATGTCAGATTTTCGACTGTAAAAACTTCACTCACGGCTTGCCGGGTTATAAACATGGACGCAGATTTGCACCCGTGCACACAGACAGGAGCACACAAACTTTTCCTTACACACAGATCCCACTCTTAGACATCCATATCTAGTGGCATGTAAAGTTTCATTCATTTCTGATGATGTTTAGTGGATGAATCAGCACTTCAAACACTCTCAGTCCATGAATGAAGACTTGCGTGCGCGGCACTGAAGGGGTTAAAATTATGTGCTGGCTCAATCTGTTGTATCACTTTTGGAAAGTCAAATTTAGAGTCCTGGGGCCGTATGCACGTTGCTTGGCAAAACTCCTAAACGCCAAAAATGTCGGTATGCACGTCACTTCGTATAGCCGTTCCTATACGGATTTTCGCGTTTAAAGTTATCGCACCTCTGGGGGTCCAATAGCGGGTCTAAACGCGTTTAAATACGGCGGCACTCTTGTTGTTCCAAGGAAGACAGCGGCGACAATTGCGTCGAAACAGGATTTTTCATGACAGAAAACACCCCTTCGACATGTATGACGACCACGAAGTGTTCCGTAAGTTTAGATTTCGACAGCACCATATTCTCGACCTCACACAGGAGATTTCCGCTGAAATTGAACTTTCGAACCGAGGATTCACTCACCTTACGGTACTACGCCACTTCTTCTTTCCAAGACGTGTGTGGGGAGTTGGTAGGAGTGGATCAGTCGACAGTCAGTCGAACCGTCACTCGAGCGTCACTCGACCCGTTTAAGACACAGTAAACGCGGTTAGCTATACGGTTCTGTTTACAGCATTGTGCATACCAAAATCGTATAGGAACTAAACGCGTTTAAGCCCTAATCGCGTTTACGCTAAACGCTTTCAACGTGCATACGGGCCCTGGTGATCAACTGACTGCAAAAAAAGGGTTGTAATATGTTGTTATGGTGCCATAAACACATGGTCAAAAAAAACAGTTTTTAATGGAAGTCCATTGTCCGATTTGCAGACAAAGGAGGGTGGGTGGAGCTAAAATGTGGCGACGGAGAACTACAGGTGACACAGAGTTTTTTTAATATACAGAAAAATAAGAACTCTCACCAAATTGGATTTTCTAATCTTTAAAAATGTGACTGTCAGCTCAAAACAAAGAGGAAAAAACTGACAAATGTCCTTAAAACGGACAGAGTAGGAACCAAGGGTTAAAGTCGTCCCACTTTCTCTGGTCTGAACAGAAACTACGTGAAGCCGGTCTGGAGGTCCCAGAGGGCGGGAAGAAGGGACCAGGACCTCAGGAGGAGAACCGGAACCTAAAAGAGGAAGTGAAGACCCTGAAAGAAGAGCTGGACTCCACCAAGAAAGGTGAGGAAGAGAAAGACTCAGCACTACACACACACACACAAACAGCTGTTTGTTAGCTCAGAATGAGATCTGCGCTCTGATACGTCGGTTGTTTTTACGTCCTGCAGCTCTGCAAAAGTCCGACAGCGATGTTCGTGCGATGAAGAAACAGGCAGAGAATCTGACGGTGGAGTACGACCGACTGCTGGAGGAGCACAGCAAACTGCTGGTAAACGCACACACTCACACAAGCACACTCTTACACACACACTCTCTGTGTTCCTCTTTCCTCTGTCAAACTGAGACTCTGAATGTCTCTGAAGTCCGCCGGAGTCCGGCCCTCTTCTGTGTGTGTGTGTGAAACTGTTTATTTACAGTGAAGCCGAGACTGACGGGGTTTATGTGGGCGGAGTCAACAGAGTCCCTCCTTCATCCTCAGGTTGAAGGAGAGGTCAGGAGGTCAGGTACAGTTAAAGGTCAATGTTAGAGGTCATCAGAGACTAATCTACAAAGAAAGACTGAAGTTTATCTGTGATATCAGCGAGCGAGCAAGCGTGCGTGCTCATTGTAACAGCAGCTGGTCCACCTTAAATCAGCCTGACAGAGCCACACACACACACACAGAGCGAAGTGGTTATGTATTATGCAGAAACACACACACACAAAGACACACGACTGCTCCGTTATTTACATGAGTGCAGAGTTTCACACATGAAGGCCGACAGAAACATGAGTCCTCCAGGTCTGTTAGAGTCCAGAACCAGAACAGAAGATCTGGGATGATCTGCAGACATGGATCTGTCTGTTCTTCTGTCTGTGTTCGTCAGCATGTCTGTATTTTAGTTGTATTTAACTAGTGCTGGGCGATAAAACGATAACGATATATATAAAAAACTAATTTCCCTCAATATTGATATAAAACATTGTCAATACACTATTTCAATAGTCTGCATTAAAAATGAGAAAAGTTCGTTTTCCAGGATTTAGCTGGTTTAAAGTGGTAAGGTGTTCAGTGTGTGTCCTCTTTAAAAGACACGGATGTCCAGTTTAGTGGATTTATTTGACTGTGGTTCTGCAACAATTATTACAGATCACACCATACAGAGTATGAACATGGAGTAGCATGAGATAGCATTAGTCATATTCACGGTAAACAATAAACATCAACACAATATAACATCCAACAGTAAATCATCATCAAACTCACTTCTGACATTAACTCACAATAAACCCGGATGTGAAGGTGAATATTTGGTAAAAACAGGTAAGAGGAAATTTATAAACTATCCTCTGCTGCATGAGGAAGAAAACTAAACTTTCAGCATCTCACACACAGGAACACCTATGGTGCATTTATGAGTGTAGGACAAATGAAAACTCACCGTAAAACACAAAATAACTGAACGGTATTTACTTGAAAACACCTAAACAACATGGACTTTCTAACGGACATTCTGTCATGTTTTGGTAGACTATACGAATAGCCAATGAAAAGGAGAATTGCTCTGGGTCCACTTCGCGCTGAACCAATCGTGCTGAATTAGAACCAAGTAGCAAACAACTGTGTAGTAGCAGACAGCAGCTACACCCAACCATAACACTTTAATGGTGAAGCCGACAGCACCATTGGTGAGAAAAGAAGAAAATAAGTGCTACCCCCGACAGAAATGATGATGAAGGATCAACAGATGATGACATCGTCGACAACACTGGCACGACAATGTCGGTGGTGTGGAGGTATTTTGTTTTTTATGAGGTTGGACATGAAGAAGAGTAATGTGTACTGCAAATTATGTTGAGTACATGTTCTCATAAAGTAGACGAATACCTTAAATCTTTGTCACTACCTGAAGCAGCGCCACGCCGCAGAGTATGCACAACGCAAAAGGTTCTCTAGCGCCTACGACAAAACATCAAAGAGACACAAAGACCTCACAGATGCAGTAGACTATTCAGGGTTTTTCCTGGCTCAAATTGAGGCGGAGGTGGCACCATCCTGACCATGCGCCACGACGTGCATGTATTTGTAAATTCAACCGATTCACTTTCTTTTACAGGCAACATACTTTAAGTTAAGAGTTCAAAAAGAGTGTGACCATTATTATGTTAAAGCATTCATTTATTAAAACTATATACATACACAAATCAGCTGGCAACTTTAAATTAAAAGTACACTTCATCCACACATCTCGCAACCAGACAGAACATTTCAGCCTCCTCTTTTTCATTCTGTAGAACCTCCTCATGCACTCCTTGTAGTCCAAGGCCTCCTGGTCTGGTCCATCAACGGCCACCTTACAACAGACATCCAAGTGCCTCTCCTTCAGTCTGTTCCACAGAGGTGTCTTCACCTTAAACAAAACAATTCATCATGCATTAAGTAATTTTGTTTTTATTCTGATACAGACATGAAGAGTGATAGTGTTTTCAATCATATATATGTATACGCTGCAGTGTCCTCCCTAAAAAAAAAAAAAAACGACAACCAATTATTTCTTAAACTATCTAAACTATGTTATTTTTTTTTTGTAACTTTATTAGTTGAGTTTTTTTTAGGTACTACCATCTTTAATATATTTCTCCTTCTCTTCTGCTGCTTTGTGAACGGCTGTCACCTCATGTCTTTTTAATGTGTCCAGCCTGTAGTTGGTTGATGGCTGTCTCACTAAGGAGGCAGCAATTGCCTGCTGTGTTGGGGCACAGTGCTTTTGGCATAAATAGCAGTGCATGCCTTCCTCAGTATGCCTGAGCCAGGTAAATTGATTGAGCCACTGCTTGTCAAAGCCACTGGCTCTGTGTTTTTGAGAAGATCTGGAAAGAGGAATAAAAACCACGTACACGTCGGCTTTGCGTTGTTATGCTCCTAATTGGAAACTAATTAATTAATTACCCTCGCCTCGCCGACTCGTCCTGTCCTGCATTCTGACCCTCGCGATCACCAGTCCCTTGTGAAGTACTTTCAGACCTGACACAAATTTCCACGTTGTCACCACCATGAATTATAGCATTTTAACTGCCTATTACGTTTTTTCTCTGCTGTGTTTCACCTGGACTCTTGACTTTCCTCCTCGCGAGGTCGCTTTTTAAAGTACTGGCTGATTTTGCCTGTCATAACTGCAACGCTAAAAACGGAGTAAACTTTTTTTTTTAAAAATAAACACGACATGCTTGGATGCAAAAAAGAGAAGCAGTATTTACCTGTTTGTACCATCCGCCAGGGAAAATCAGGACGCCGACAGCACCAACTAGCGGGAAAAAAACTTGAAAAAACATGAGTCGATCCGTTTCTTCTTCGGTAGATGCTTCAGGTCTTTCCGGTGCACTGCTGTTGATATAGCGCCTCTATAGTGGCGCAGCGCTGCAACTGCAGTTAAAATACGTTGCTGCTGCATCGGGACATCAGTCGCTCAATCAACACAGCTGGAGCTTTACGCTGTGTTGAGCGAAATCAATCGCTCTGGCTGGGGGCGGCACAAAATTAGGTGGAGGCGGCCGCCACGCAATTTTGAACGCAGGAAAAACCCTGCTATTGTATTGGAAAAGACATGCTACCAATAAACACTGTTACATTTCATTTTTTATATCGTGATATCTATCGATATCGACTGATACGAAAAAAATATATCATGACAAACTTTTTCACATATCGCCTAGCCCTACTGTGAATTAGTTTCTCCTTCTCTGATGGTTAGCTACTCCGCCATGTTTCAGATTTATCACATGAACTTTATTTTATCACTAATCAACCTTTTTGTTCTCAGACTGAATTTAGAGAAAAAGTCTTTTAAACGTTTTTTTTTTTTCTGTATCTGAAAATAAAATAAGGAAAATTAAATGAAATCAAAAATTAAGGGTGTGAGCGCACACAGATCTGCTGATCTGAAGATCATAAAGTCCATTTCTAACTGGGCATTTAAACGTCAACTGAATGCAGATACAGCTTCCGATTGGTCAACAGACCAAAACAAAGATAGACGCCTCTATGTAGCCCTGGCTGTGTCCTAAATGGATTCCTAACCCCTATATAGGGGGGTTAGTGCCATTTTAAGGGGTGTCCGAAATCTTAGTGATCAATTCCAATGCCCCATATAGGCGACTCAAAATTTCCCCTAGGGCACTGCAAAATGTAGTGACCATCCGATGGTCACTCACCGGTGGTGGGCATCCCATCATGCATTGCGTCTCCAGCGCCAATTCAAAGATGGAGATGACGAGAGCAAGAAGAGACAGAGCCAGAGCTCTATTTGCCATTTTCAGCATAAGTGTTTTATCTTCACTCGCAAGTGATCCGTACAGTTTTCCAAAAACAATTGCTTGCTGTGTCATATAGTCTTGTGCACAATATGACGCAGCAAACAATATTCAGCACGGAAATATAAGGCCTTTTTAAATAAATTGTTAATTTATTGGTTTTTTTTTTTATTATTTTTATTTCACAAACATCCTGGAAAAACAAATACATCTATACAACATCTTAAAATTCAAGAGATGTGAAAACAACAGCGGCAGTCTGAGCAGTGACGTCACAACGGTGCACCATGTAGTGTCTGAAACCTCCGGTGATTAAGCTCACGACATAATCAGCTATATAGGAGGGTATATAGCTGACTATATTTGAGTCAGGGATTGAGTGATTCATTTCGGACACAGCCTTTGTCAGCTAACAACAGAAAAGTCACTCACTCTGTTTTCTTTGTCTGCAGGCGACCAGCGATAAGAAGTCTGACTGAGAAGAACAGATGGTCTTCAGCTCCTCATGTCTTCTGCACCTTCACCGTCCTCGGCTAAAACACTGCGGCCCCTCTCATCATCCTGCTTGGCGATGTGACGTCACTTCCACTCCTGATTGCATCACTGGGCTGTGATTGGTTCATTTCTATCCATCAGACTGTCGGAGCTTCAGCAGGAGAGAAGAAGAAGATCGTTTCATTGTGACTTTCTGAGTTTGTTTCCTTTTTTTCTGGTTTTTCTCTCTTTGGGAACATTTTCAGTGTTCGTTCACGAATCCGATCATTCCCTGAAAAAACAAAAATGCAAAAACTGTTTCCTGCAGGAACTAAAACTTTTATTCCAAAACCCCGGAGGTCCAACGTCTTTGAGGATTCCAATCAAACAGTTACACCTGTTGGACCAAAGTCTTCAGAGCGGATATCTGAGTGTGTGATCTGTGGATGAATCCCTGAAATGATGAATAAATGAGTGTAAGAGAGAGGCTGATGATTAAACCTGCAAACTGAGGTCTCTGCTCAAATCCAGTTTTAATTCAGAGTGAGTCTGCTGACCTTCATGAGAAGATCCAAGAGCTTTAGACCAATGTTAGACTCCAGGAACACGTCAACATCCTGAACTGGTTTCATGTCTAATCTGATCTTACCCCAAATATCAGCTCAAGTCATGACTGAAGCATCACAGAGTTAAATGTGAAATATCGTCTGTAATTGGAAGGTTTCATCCAACCAGAACCAGAACCAGACTGGTCAGAAGTTTTCATTCTGCGACTTTCTGTTGGCACAAAAATCTGAAAAGTTCTTATTTTTGTTTGTGTTCGGATAAACACGAATAGAACCCAACTTTCCCTCTGACCATCTATCAGGAACACATGAACTCTGTTTTAGTTTCAGACACTTTAATTGTGCAGCGTTCAGACCAAACCTCATTCAGATATTTTTGTTTTTTCACGTCGTTTGTTTTCTCTTTTTTGTTTCATGTGTTTTTGTAGAAAATCTTTAGTGGTTGTGGTTTGAGTAGTGCTGAACTGTATGGGGCGCTGTCTGCAGGGAACCTCAGGTGGACTGTATCTGGACTCATCAATGCTGAAATAAAAGCAGTGAAGCGTCTCCAGGTGTGCAGGTATCTTCTTCCTATCTGCTCTGTCCCAGACTCGGATTAGATCAGGATTAGTCTGATCCCGGCTGGATCACAGAAACCTAAGTAAGTTCTTAAATGTAGTTTAAAACAGCACCTGGTTCTCCACTTTCCATATTTATGCAACCTTTAGAGAAAGAAATTTAACAAAGTCCAAGAAAAACACGTTTAGATAAAAAAAAAAAAGAATTTTTTCATTTAAATGTTTTTTTTTCTACAGCAAATAGTCAAATTAGTTCAACTCACCCAGAAGGCACCTCTCCACATTTCTACTGCTGTAAGGGAACTTTAGTCCGTCATGCATAGTGGAGGCGATTTGATTGGGCAAACTTTAATCACAAATCCAGCGTGTTCAGATTTCAGTGTTTTTTTTTTATGTTTCCTGCACTTTTGGTTTATTTTAGGCTATTTTTAAAAAATTAAATATAATGTAAAGGGCATCAGGGTTAAACTATGTTATACTTTGGATTTAAAGGGATATTCAATCCATTGTGTTCTGGACAAAATACAAGGATATTGATCCTCACTGGGTGATCAAGTGTCTGAGCTTGAACAAAGACTATGCTCAAATGAGGATAATATCGAGGATCTGACAAAACGGGTGCTAACACTTCAAAAGGAGAATGCCTACTTGGAGGATAAAGTTGTATTTCCATGAAGAAATGATCATAAATGTTCTTCCTTGAGCTGTGTCACCCCACTGTAGTCTGTAATGGACTGGCCTTAGGTGTCGCTACAAACAAGTGGCTGCTGGAAGAGAGTAGGTGAGTTGTGTTTAGTCTCTTTAACTGAGTAATTTCTTTAGCAAAAAGATGTTTGGTGGCTAGCACTATGACTGGGACCCTATATGTACTGTTGATGAAATTGGGTTCTGTTCATAGAATTATTTGTGGCTATAGAGTGGCGTTTTGGTTGAGGTTTGTTTATGGCTCCTCAGACCGCTGTGTTTTGCTATCCTGCGGTCGTTACTAAAGTTGGTATAACTAGAGGAACAAGCGGTCGGCAACATTCATCTCTGGAGGTGGGGTCTAACTCAGTGTTACAGTGTGTTTGACTCTAATTTAATTTTACACCAGAATATCCCTTTAATCACAAATCCAGCGTGTAGATTTCAGTTTTTTTATGTTTCCTGCACTTTTGGTTCATTTTAGGCTCTTTTTTAAAATATTTAATATAGCCTAAAGGGCATCAGGGTAAAACTTAAAATTTTATACTTTGGATTAAAAAAAAAAACTGAATTAAAAATCCAGATTTTTAAAGACATGACATCAGTTTAATCATCAGACGGCATGAAATGAAAAACTGATTGGATGAAACATTTCATGATCTTTGGCCGGTTCTGAGGACCTGCTGCATGGAAACAGTCCCTGCAGATCTGGTCGTGATGCATTTACAGGTCAGAGCGTTTCTGGTTTCCTGGTGGTCTTCCCCGTGTAGCAGAGTCCTCTCGTGGTCCAGGATCAGTTCTCCATCCTGCAGTAAAGGATCTGAATCTTTCCTGCCCAGAGCTCACGTCCATCTGTCCGTCCAGTCTAAACTTAGAGTCGCAGCTTCACCCGCTCAAGGTCTTAATAAGGCAGCTGTTGGTCTAAACGGACGTTTGGCATTAGAAACCGGTTTGAGCTGCTCTGCCGCGCCTCCCCACCATCTCATCGGATCAGCTTTCACAGTCGACCAGACCCGAGTGCCTTGTGTCTAAAACTGCTGACAGGAGAAAATCTCAGGCCATAGCCTTTTTTTAAACTGCCTGTATTTCTGTCCTCGGCTTCCGAGAAGACCGGGCAGTACAGAGACGTGCGTCTGACACTCTGACGTTTCTTTAGAGGCTCGGTCTCCAACCTGAAGAACCCTGAAGACACTTTTACCACATCTCCTGTTTGGGCTCTGGCAGCTGCTGCTTCTGCCTGAATTATGGGCCATGTAATACTGGAGCAGAGTCCGACTTCTGCTAAAACTGGGAGAGGATCTCAAACCAGACTTCTCTCTGACAAAGCTCTTGATGGTCGGATACCATCGTCACTGAGAGAGCTCATGGCGTCCTCTAACCTCTGCTCAGTCAGGTAGTCAGGATCTGAGGAAGTTCCAGTTTTTGGGAGAAATCTTGAATGTAAACTCTACCCCTCCTAACCAGTTTTCCCCTCAGCTCCTCCTCTCCCCTCTCTCTCTGCTCCAGCAAGCCCCGCCCAAAAACAGACGCTCCTGCTCGCTCGTATCATTCCAATTAAATTCGGATTTAATGCAGATAAATACTTAAGATAATTGAGTGCGATTGCAAAGCATTCCCACTGTATGTTATTCATATCTTTATTATTATTATTATTATTATTATTTTTTTTTTTTTTTTGAGTGGGATTGTGAAGCATTCCCACTATATGTTATTCATATCTTTATTATTAAGTGGAAATGCTGATTAAGCATTTCCACTTATTGTTATTCTCAGTGCGGGCGTATCTGTCAAATGTACGGTTAAAGGGTTATTTCGCATTTTTTGCCGATTCGCACACATTGGAATGTGGCTAACTCCTCCTAAGGCTTTCGTCCCACTGACACCAAATTTGCTCAGGCCAATCTACACCCCATGGCCATTCAAAGTTGTAAAAATCATGACGCTGCACCCCACGGTTTACGTTCTCGGGGGCGCCAAAGATGACCCAAAAATCCACATTCTTAAAAGTAGCTATGGCCACTGAGTGGCGCCAAAGGGAGTTGTCTATTACATCTGATGCTACAGAAAAAGTTAAAAGGCTCACATTTTTGCTATATTACTGACTTTATGTCTTAAATGGGCTCTTAAAGGGTTAAAAAAATTATTTTCAATGAAACATTTGTTAGTTTTGAACAGGGCAGAAGTAAAATAAGAGATGTACAAAAGAAAAATCTGGAAAAAATATTAATCCAATTTGATTTTACAGCAGACAAAGTAGTTTTGGCCACTGAGTGGCGCCAAAGGGAGTTTTCTATTAACAGCAGACAAAGTAGTCATGGCCACTGAGGGGCGCCAAAGGGAGTTGTCTATTAAATCTGATGCTACAGAAAAAGTTAAAAGGCTCACATTTTTGCTATATTAGTGACTTTATGTCTTAAATGGGCTCTTAAAGGGTTACAAAAAATTACTTCAATGAACGATTGCTAGTTTTGAACAGGGCAGAAGTAAAATAAGAGATGTACAAAAAAAAAATCTAGAAAAAACATTAATCAAATTTGATATTACAGCAGACATAGTAGTTTTGGCCACTGAGGGGCGCCAAAGGGAGTTGTCTATTAAATCTAATGCTACAGAAAAAGTTAAAAGGCATCAAAGTCAATCATATTACTAATCTCTCACATATTCAAGACTTTGATGCCCTGCAAGAGATAACCAGTTTTTATAATGTTTGATAAAAGAAATTGGTCATTTTCCTGCCCATCGCTCAATGGCTCAAACGCATTGCTCTCCCGCTAAAACCGAAAGGAGGAGCAACTTGCCATTTGGATATATCCTAGCTGTTTTTGTGCCCTCACTCATGGTCCAGACTTTTTTCAAATAGGACATGGAGTTTGTCTGCAGCGAGCGTTTTGGTAGAAACTGCGCCTCCCATTCATTATAATGGTAAATGACCACAGACAAGTGCGCACACCATCTTTGGACCTTGAGTGTGACGCAATTGGGAGGGGGAGGCGGTCGCGCTGGGGGCGGCGCGACACGGCTCGGGCCCGCCAGTGCCCCACCGGGGCCCTAGTTTAAATTTGTTCTGTCCTTAGTGATTAGGCTTATTTGATAACTCCGCCCAGAAACACTGCCACAGAGCAGGAGCGCCGTTTCAACATTGCGCACACACGCCACTGTGGAGCCAGCATTTGACTCCTAAAAGGCAGGTGTCTCTGTCTTAGTCTAGCAGCGGGGACGTCGTTGTACACTCCTGAAAGGGTGTGGGACATCATTTGGGCCAGTACAGTTTAGCACCTCAGGGGCAGCAACACACCGTTTGGTGAGGTTAATAATTATTTTTGTTTAGCCTCTGTCAGACTCTCCAGTCTGCTCTACATTACAAAGACGCAACAAATTAAAACTAAACACTTTTAATAATACATCATTTTCAGCTCCGACATCTGACTTCTGAGGTAACCCGAACACAGCAAAAATGTCAGCGCTTGCCTTCTCCGAACAAAAGGCAAGCCCTAAAATAACATTTCATAGATGTAGCCATAATCGGGGGTAAAGACAGGATGGTTCTATCTACGGAAGTGATTTTAGTGCTTGCCTTATATTCGGACAAGGCAAGCGCTACAGTATCTTTCGAAGACCTAACCAACTTGTTTCAGGCCTCTTCATTTACAGAAAAAAAGTTTAATCAAAGGCGGAAACAAGATGGCTTCATCTATGAAAGTTTTTTAAGGATTACCTAGTCTAAATATATGGCAAGCACTAAAATAACTTCAGTACATGTAGCCACAATCAGAGACGGAAACAAGATGGTTAGGTCTACGAAAGTAATTTTTGGCGCTTGCCTTGTCCGACTTTAAGGCAAGCGCCAAAATAACTTTTGTAGACCTTACCATCTTGTTTCAGGCCTCTTAATCTACAGAAAAAAGCTCAGACATCGTACTTCCGAGGTAACTTGAACACAGCATGAATCCTGTTTCCACAAACCCAGTGGTTTCCATGGTGATTGGCCCCAATATTTTAATCTTGCATTTAGAGCAAAAACCACCGTAATGGCGACACACACCCACAGTCCCTTAAGTCCACCTTGGCAACCAAAGCCAGCGCCCCAGTTTGAGACCCCATGTCTGGATCCGGCTCAGACTTGCACCTTGGTTCTGGTTCTGTAGATGAAGAGACGGAGACAGACCAGCTGTTTGAATGACGTTAGTTTTATTGCTGTTGGTTTAGTCTGGAGTGAACAAACACAGTGATCACAGTGGCATACAACATGGAGACCCTCACAGGGGTCAGAGGTCAGTGAAACACAGGTGACTTCCTCAGGGCTCGATGTTAACTATTTCATCGTCTTTTTTTTTTTTTTTTTTTTGGCTGGTGACACACGAACATCCCTGAGCCCTGAGCGTCGTCTCTATCATTAAACACAGTTATTGATCAAATTCAGCTACTTTTCAGCTAATCGATTACTCTAGCCTAAGGATGGATGGAAGACTGTGGTTCACAGGAAGTCACAGAGACACAATTACCGTGGAAATGGCGACACTGGATGAATGAGGTCACCGTGTTGGATCAGTTTGGGCTGGAAACACAGACAGGGCTGAAGTTTTCACCGGCTCAGAGGTAAATCGTAATAATTCAGTACTTTTAAACAGTTGAACGAAAATAAAAAGTCTGTGATGTTAACTTTACAGAGAATTAAATAAAGATAGATGCGGCCCCTCTATAACATAATCTCTGCTAAGATAAAGGATTGAGGATTTTCAGCAAAAATGTGATGAAATAAAAACGAGACACCTTTTTAAATCTTCAAATGTTTCATGTCTATAAATTCAGATTAAAAGGAGTTAAAGCTCCGAACAAAAGGATGTTTAAGTTAAACTTATTTTTTTTATTATTCCTGTTTGCAGATGATATTCAGATTTACATTAGCGTAGTCATTGTCGTTTTCTTCCGCTTCATTACGGTCCAGGTCACGTGGGGCAGCAGCTTCAGGAGGGGAACCCAGACTGCCCTCACCCCAGCCACTTCCACCAGCTCCTCCAGTGGGATTCCCAGGCGCTCCCAGGCCAGGCGAGAGATATAATCCCTCCACCTGGTCCTGGGCCGGCCACGAGGTCTCCTCCCGGTGGGACATGTCCGGAACACCTCTAACGGGAGGCGTCCCGAAGGCATCCAAACCAGATGCTCGAGCCACCTCCTCTCAACGTGGAGGAGCAGCAGTTCTACTCTGAGCGCCTCCCGAGTGTCTGAGCTCCTTACCCTATCGCTAAAGCTGAGCCTGGTCACGCTGCAAAGGAAACGCATTTCGGCCGCTTGTATCCGCGATCTTGTTCTTTCAGTCTTTACCCAAAGTTCATGGCCATAGGTGAGGATCGGCACGTAGATCGACCAGAAAATTGAGAGTCTCGCCTTACGGCTCAGCTCTTTCTTCACCACAATTTATATTGGTGCACATACTCAAATGTCATTACTGTGGTTCCACCTCCACTTAAACCTTTTACTACTTTAAAGATTTTCACACTTTTCTATACTTCAGTTTCTGCTGTTGAAGTAATCCTGTAACTTCCACTTTGTGTTTTTCTCTCATTTAAAGAGGGTTTACAAACCTGAGTATAAAATGATATAAAATAAAAATAAGAGGGGACTGTCTTGAATCTAAAAAAGTATTTTTCATTTCTGTATTTTTAGACAGAGCTGAGAAGACGACACTATCTCAGATCTGTGACTGCTCCTCTTTGCAGACGATGTTTTGCTTAACATTGGAGTTCATCACAGATTTGACTTTAAATCCATGTTATAACTCACGGGTTGCTGTTTGATTTTGCCCGATTATCTGATTAAATTTATCTATCTAATAAAAAAAATCACGGTTCTGCTGAGAAACTGAAAGTTTAAATTTTAGTTCGTAAACTTTTGTCATTTGAAAGCGCAAAAACAAAATTTGATGCGATTGTTCTGATGATGTTTTTATCAACAGAAACTTTCTGTGATTTATTCCCCCGATGGGTCTCTGTTTCCAGCCCAAATAAAGAGGGGTTTCTCATGAGAGGAGAGCGCCCCCTGCTGCTTCCACTGCTTCATCTGACCTTACCAAAACTCAAAGGCAAGACAGTTACTTTTTTTCATGATCACATAATTTGATTGTTTCTCAGGAGCACCACAGACACCATAAAACCAGCTTCATCTGTTGAGAAAAGAAAAAAAACTTTTTCACCTAAAGAAACAAAGAAACAAACAAACGAAAATAAGAAATTCGTCCACAATCCCTTTAAAGTTTTCTTTTTGTTTTTGGAGATTAAAAAACACTTTGGCAATGTTTTTGGCTATAAAATCACTTACAGTATCTTTTGAAAATAATCTTTAAAAATCATTGACAGCAATAAGCAACTGAACGTACAAAATTCGATCACTCTGACGTTTTTTGGGGGAAACAGGCGCTCTCTGCTGAAGGAAACCAGCTGAAGGTGAAGAAGCCGGACAGAATCGACAGTGCAGACCTGCAGCAGAGTTCCTAAATCTGATTCACTGATTCATTCTTTAACAACAGATCAACTGTAAATATGTGCGGCTGAAAACTCTGTGAATGTCCTTTTCAAAATAAAAGTTTTATAGTTAAAACTACAATGACACTGAAGTTTCAACTTTTTTGTCTAAAATCTATTTTTATTGACTCTAAAATTTTACAGTTTTTTAAACCAGATTAAATTTAGATACTAGATTTTCAATAGTGGTTATATAAGGCTTTGTTCACACTGCAGATCAATTCCAATTTTGTAACTATACGTGACACATATCTGATTTTTTCATTTAAGTGTGAACAGTGCAATTCTGAATTTTTCAAATCCAACCCAGGCCTCTTTTGTATGTGCATATAAAACGGATATGTATCCGATGTGACTGCAGTGTGGACGCTCAGGTTGCGTTCATCCGACCTATACGTCATCAATATGCAACAAACGTCACCATTCATTGACATCAAAAACAGGCGCAGAAAGCAATTTGTGCTTTGTGTGCATTTGGGTCACTTCACGGATACATTCCGTTCACATTAGATGCCGCATTTGTTGTTGTAATGTGAACGACCGCACAAAGAGATCGGATTTAACAAAAAATCTGAATTGTGCATCATAACCTGCAGTGTGAACGTAGCCTGAGACTACATGTTGTAAGTGTATTTTCAATATATGCGGTGGCAGTAGCTCAGGAGGTAGAGCGATCACTCAATAACTGGAAGGTTGGTGGTTCGATTTCCCCCCTAGTCTGTCTGTTGTGTCCTTGGGTAAAACACTTTACTTGCAGTGTGTGTCTTCCACTGGTGTGTAATTGTGAGTGTTGTGTGGTCGTAGAGGCCGTAGGTACAGACTTTTCTTCTTATTAAATACATATGTAAGCATAACTTCTTATCTTCAGTCCGTCTCATTTTAACTGTTTAGAATCAGAACAAACTCAAGTTCTGAATTATGACTAAAAAAGTGTATTTATATTTTTATATTAAGTTGTTTTAAGTTTAGTAAAGTTACCTTGTTTATCCCTATAATCATGTGTTTCCAGTTGGGTTGTTGTTTTGTCTTTGATTGATCTGGTTCTGCTGCTTCGGTCTAGATCCTCGAGTCTGTCTCAAGTTTTTTTTGGCTGACAAGCACAAAGACGATGTGACATGAAACAACATCCGTTTTGGTAATGTACATTTACATTTGTCATCTTTTCTTTTGTCTTACATGGCTGTAGATTTGTGGTTTTTCCCGCTCTGACCCTCCCAGGCTCCCGTCTAAACGTTAACAATAAAAAAAAACATTAAAAATACAACTGAGAATATAAAACGTCTACATTTCAAATGTCAGGTTGATCAGAGTCTCTATAAAAAAAACTTTTTTTTTTCAGTTAGTTTGATTAGTTACATATTTAAAGTGGCACTTTAGTCAAAAGGACTCCTACAACAATATTTGATCTTTAATCTCTCTATTTTTAATCTCTCTACTTTTACATTATTAGTACTGGATTAATAATAATCTCTTTTTACACTTTAATCTGCTTAGATTGAAACAATGAACCGACAGACCAGCCAATCAGCACCAAAAACAGAGATCAGCGTTTTTGTCCTTGGAGGGTTGACGTATTTGTTTAAACCAAATCATCTTATCTGAAAATATTTGATGTTAAATTTAATATGAATAATGTAGAAATGATGAAACTAGAAGTGATTTCCTTTTTTTGTTGGAGGTGTTTTTAATTTAATTTGGACGTCGTGTAGATCGGCATGAGGCGTAAATACGCGGCGCTATCCCAGCCTCTTGGTTGTGCCGTCAAACTCCTAGGAGTGATTGGCTGTTTGGATCTGTATCTGAGGCTCTGATTGGCTAGAAAACATATACCGTATTTTTCGCATTATAAGGCGCACTTATATCCTTATGGCTTGTCGGAGCACTGCAGCTACCGTAGTCTCACGGAGTTATTGAATGAGTTCAATGAAGTTTGACTTATCTGACTGTTTTGTTTGTCTTAATGCACTTTATAATCCGGTGCGCCTTATGTATGAAAATAGAAACGAATAGACGTGTTCATTGATGGTGCACCTTATAATCAGGTGCGCCTTATAGTGCAAAAAATACGGTAATATTTTATTCATTTAAATTGAATTTGAGGAAAATTTCTGGGTTTTTAAAATCAACAGTTAAGGTTTACGATGGCACACCAAGCTGATTAGCTGATGGTCCTCTGGTGATGCACATGGCTTCGTTGTCACGGTGATTTACCATATATGGGTTCTTCCAGGTGTTTTTTTTTTTTTGTTTGTCATTGGTGTTAAGAAGATCCCAATGACTGCTGGGATATGTAGTTGGTATCTCTGCTGAGTGTTTGTTGGTGTTTTAGTGCAGTTGGTGAACGGACTCATGTTACTGAGGTAGTGAAACAACTGCAGCCTGCTGAGATGGGTGGACGTCAGGGTGGCAGAGGGCAGTAATCCAGCCTTTAAATCAGAATTTAAACACATAAATCAAAAACTCATATCCTTTGCTGTCATCTCAAAATAAAACTGTGGAAAATAGATTTTTATCTCCGCATTGACGTAATAAAAATAAAGACATAATCTGAGCCATGGGGGGTCTGAGGGAAAAACACAGATTTTCATTAAAACACACAAAGAAAATCGTTAAAACTCTTCAAACACTTTAGCACTTAAGCAAATTAAAAATCAAGAAATTAAAGAAAAAAAAAATCCCTTTCGTAGTGTGTTTGGAGCCACACGAATCCTTAACGTCAGTGCATCGCAGCAAACCCACCAAAATAAAAGCTCGCCACACTGACTGTTCACGTTAGCTTATCAGACATGACCCGAAGGTTCTCTCAGCACCACCATCCGAAAACACTGAAACCAGTAAAGTCAGGTGAAGTCAGATACTTCAGGAGTAAAGGTCCTTACACACCGGGACCAACGCAAGTATCCGATGCGAAATTACGAAATATATTTGGAGGCAAATTTTGACGCGCCTGACTATACACATCAAGCCCGATGCGATTTTGCGACTCTCCGGGGGGAAAAGAAAAAATCCCGGGGAAGACTTCCCGCACCAGATAAGCACATTAAACTATGGTAACAACCGTTATCTTACGTTAGCACAGATGAAAGTTAAAACAAAGACGTTTAGCAAACTGTTAAAGCACACAAACCATCGTCATATGAGAGATCCGACGCTATGACTCTCCACATGTTGTCCTTCAGGTCGTTATCTTTGTAATGTTTGGGTTTTTAACAAAAAGCACTCTGTTCTCCGACACGTAAACAATCAGCCGGTCGGCCATGTTGGATATACCGGTGAATCAGATGTCGCAACAACACGCAATCTGATTGGTCAGAAGTGGACACACAGTATGCAAAACTTAAAATAAATGCTGCGATATCGCAGGACAGAAAAACGTGGCTGATGTGAACGCTTGTATTGACAGGATACGGGTTCGAAAAAAAATATTGACGTCCGAAATAATCGCACGGTAAAATCAGTCCAGGTCTAAAAGGACCTTAAGGAGGAGGACTCGGTATTACTGTTACCGGGGCGACAGGAGCTCAGGAGGGAGAGCAGTCGTCCAATAACGTCTAATCTTCAGTCTGTCTTATTTAAAGTTTTGAATTATGACTAAAAAAAGTGTATTTATATTTTTATAGTAAGTTTTATGTTTTTTAAGTTTAATAAAGTTACCTTATTTATTCCTATAATCATGTGTTTCCATTTGTATGTTCAGTCGTTTAAAGAGTAAAACTGCGTGTTGTTTTATCGTCTCTCATGTTTAATAGTGGGTCGTTTTGTCTTCATTAGATCTGGTTCTTTTTTTGGCTGACGAGCACAAAGATGATGTGACATGAAACAACATCAGATTTTGGTAATGTAAAATTTACATTTGTCATCTTTTCATGGCTGTAGATTTGTAGTTTTTCCCGCTTTGACCCTCCCAGGCTCCTGTCTATCAAAGTCAGATGCATTATTATTTATTATTACTCAGAAATGTTGGAGTATGTTTTTTAACTCGCATAAGAAGTCAGGTGTAATTAAACTTTTTAAAATAAAAGCGTGTAAGTACACCAAAGTTACCAACTTCCCAACCTTAAATCAAGGTTTTTAGTTTTTCTTGTTTTGGTGTTGGAGAACCTTTAAATAATGAAATTAATACTTGTAATACTATCATCTCCTGTTACCAGCTACTTCTTTGATGAGATATTTGCATAAAAGGATTAGAGAAGTTTTATTTTGAAAGTCTGAATAGGAAGTGAGGTAGCTCGAAGCTCCTGTTCGTTGCTTTGTGCGGCTCATGTCTGCCAACTTAATATGAACAATCAGCCATAAATCCTCTTAAGCGTCATCACATGTCCATACTGCATCAAATATATTTAACACACATATTCAATATAATATATATTTATCTGTCATAGAGTATGTTTCAAAATAAATCTCTGATTCATTTTACAATATGTAAAACAAAACACGATTTCTAACACGATTTTTCCAAAGTGCTAGCAAACATTATTTTACAACAATCTTCAGACAGACAGTTATTTTTACATTCGAACCATCAGGACTGTCAAGGATTGGTGGATGAGGGTTGGTTGCTAAGAGACAGAGTTGTAGACACGCCCCTGCAGACTGCTGATTGGTCAGATTTAAACCAGAACGGATCACAAGAAATCCTGTGGTGCTCTGTGATTGGCTAGTCAACCACACGGGCTCTAGAGTTAAGACAACGACATAAGGCAACGCTTGGCATCAGGCTGAGTCCACAGGCTCTCATCCCCGAAAATTCTAACTCTTTAAACTCTCATTGATCAGCTGATTCCTAAAGCTGCATTTGATTAAAATCACTAGACGGACAGTTGTCGTATAAGAAGAAAGTGAATTTTTTATGTTTTAAAAAATAAAAATACTGATTTGATTAAAATACTAACTTTAACTTTTGAGCCAAAGTTGTTGCAAATGTTTTTTTTTTTAAGTAGATCATAAATTAGAAATCTGAGTTATATTTTTATCATAACCTAAAAACAATCGTGTTAGGACTGTTTACTGTCTGTTTCGAATGTTAAACACAAAAATTAAAGTCTAATCACTGAAATTCTGAAAGTTTGATGATTTGACGTCTGAGTTCTTGCTGCGCGGAGCCCCAGAGGGGATGCTTTGATTAAATCTGAATCTGGACCAAATTTCGAGCTTTAAACTGAGATTTTAACTTTCGTCATTGATGTCTTTGTTCAGGAGGCGGAGAGCGTGGCGTCTGTGGGCGAAGCTGAGCGCTGATGATGCAGATAAGATGAGGCAGAGAAGAAGAACAAGAAGAAGAAGAAGAGTGAGTGTGTTGGCAGTTTGGAGCCCTGGTCTGGGATCAGCCCCCGCAGGGTCAGTATTACTGCTCTGTTTGGCACTTTAGTCTACCTGGGGACGCTGAATGAAACACGACCTTTGACCTGACTCTCACTCAGCCCTCAGCAAGCACAACCTCGAGGGATTTCTCAGGATCAGTCAGTCTGTCAGTCTACAACTCTGTCTTAATAAACAGCCGTTACACAAACGCAATAAAGTGTAGATCTGATTTTTATAGACTTGGAGGTTACGGCAGCGAGCGTTGTCTGCTGATGTCTGATGGTTTTAGAATACAGAGAAGGTAATGCAGTAATGCAGTGTGTGTGTGTGTGTGTGTGTGTGTGTGTGTGTGTGTGTGTGTGTGTGTGTGTGTGTGTGTGTGTGTGCGTGTTGGGGGGGGTTGTGTAAAGGCCGTTTAACACGTATATTTATCTCCAACCTCAGACAAGACGTATTAACACTTTAACACCAGAAATAAGGAGCTTCTTGGAGTGAGACTCTAAGCAGCAACCCTCATCCTCTTCAGCGGCTCCAGGGTTTGAGGAATTCAGGGAAAATCTGTGTTTTTCAAAAGTCAAAGGGGGAATCTCACCGCCCTTCACCGTCAAAGAAGCCGATCTGCTGGTTTTTATCTCCGATTTTGTTGAAGGAAGACTAAAAAGACTCTCCTGGAGGAGCTGCAGCGTTGGTGTGGAGGAGACGAATCTGATCAATCATTAATGGATCCATTCGGACCCATGGGGCAGGGGTAGAGGTAACTGCAGGTCAGTCGTGATGTTGGATGTTAGCCGTCTTGTCTCAGGTGAAATGGGTGGAGTGCTGTGATTGATGGAGCCGAGCCTACATGACGCTCTCAAAGATGATGACCTTGTTGTCATCGGTGCCAGGGGACAGAGAGCTCAGGGACTTGATGTCAGGGGCCATGTACTCCAGGTGATGGGCCCCCCACACTGGACAGGTAAGGTGAGCCCAACGCTGTAAAACATGCAGAGGAAATGCACCACATGAGACCGTCCAGCAGAATATGATTTATACAGTACTCTAGGATCGAAGACCAACATTGAAATATAACCTGGGATTTCCAGCGCATCCAGAACGGCTCTTATTTTGCCGTACCCCAATTCCTACCGGATCCATTTATGAGGCGAATTTCATGGCGGATTACGGACAGCAGGAATCGCGAGAACTCACAAGAACCCGCGGATTCTCATTCAATCACCCAATAATGATTTGTCTCTATAAAGACAGCCACATAGACATATAAGCAGTAGATTGTGTCCTTCCAGAGGAGGAAATCTACTTCTAGACTTCTAGAATCAGCATCTCCTCATCCATGGTGTCATCGGGGTGAAACGACGTCTAAAAACCTTTCACTTGTTCGTCTCCGCCTGTTTGCATGGTTTGAAATACAATCCTCCTGAAACATGGAGTGTTTTATTTTGAAAAGAAGCTGGATGTTTTATTTTGTGTCTGTGCCCCACTTCCTTTCCAGCACGGGTTAATCTGTGCTGAATTTATCCGGCATCCGGAAAAAATAGAACTCCTGCGATCAGCTGTGGAGTCCGGCGATCCGCAGAGGAACGCAAAGACGCCGGTGTAAATTGACACGTTAACTTGAATGGTTACAATCAGCTATGATCGGAGGATACGATCTTTTAGTAGACGTTCAGGATGCTGTGGAAATTAGGGGTAAGAAGGTAAAAAGTTTACTGTCTCTATATTCACATGGGAACTTTCTTTCAGCTTACTTTATCTTTTTAAACATTATGAAAATAATGTTTGAAAACCTGCACAGGTGTCTTCAGATAACCATTGACCTATGAAGACACTTCACTGTACAATCATCCTTGTTTTTTTTTTGGTCTGGTTTTGGTCTGTAATGTGACTTCTTTGACCCTGCAGGGCAGGCACTGACCTCTTTGAAGGTCCCTTTGGCTCTGAAGAGTTTGTAGAGGAGGCTGATGGGAATGCAGAGCATTGAGGACAGTGCCAGACACCAGCCGATCACCTCACCCCACCATGGGTAGACGTACACGTTGTTGTAGGTTAGAGGTTTGTAGTTCACCAGGTGGAACAGGAAGATCCCCTGCAGAAAGAGCAGGACGTCATATTTAATACCACCTTTGGAGGCCTTTTTCTGCACATTGACTGTATTACATTTATGCATCGCTCATTGTGCAGTTTTTTTTGGAAGTATATCTATTTGTAGCTGGTGTTCTGGAGCCAGGAATAACAGCTGCAGCTTATCTCTGCTCTTCCTTGAGGAATTTCAGGCTTTTCCAAACCAGCTCAGATATTCAAGCTCCCAGATGTGCCATGAGATCCTGAAAGGTGAGCGGCTTCAAAGTTTAACCTAGTAAATAATTAATACTATGGTTTTAATGTTTAAGTCTGCAGAGAAGTGTTTGAATACAAGACACTATTAAAGCTCAGCAGCTTTTACACCATGTCTGAAATATTGATTTAAATTTAGCACATAAACCCAGCAGGTGATTATATTTCAGAGGAGTATTGTCTGTATTATAAATATTTGTCTGCTTTTTTAGTCTGGAAAAATGTCACAATTATTATCTGTAACTGAGCTCAAGTGTTTTGAATATGTCTGAACTCTTGTATGTTATTAAGCTGTAAAAATGTGTTTTTCTGCTGTCTAAATAGAGATTGTGGTGAGGCTGTAAGGTTATTGTCTCGCTGCAGTGTAAGTGTTTCAGTCTCACCATGCAGACACATGGAGTTATGAAGGACCAGCACCACTTCATCCAGGGAAAAGGCCGATAGCCAATCATACGAGCTACATCATCCATGAAGCGGTCAGCACCTGCAATAAATCATCAGCATGACAAACCACCATGAGCCAACAACAGTCACAACATCCTGGTACAACTCTGACCTTTGGGTTACATTTATAGGCTGCTGTTTATTCATCTGTTCAAATAAAAACGAAAAAACACAACTCTGGTATGAAATTGACATTTTTGATCATACTGTACAATGACACTTATATCATACTATACAATGACATTTTTAAGCTATACTATGACATTTTTAACATACTATACTAATATGTACGATAAGTATGAAAAAAATGTCATAGTACAGTATGATAAAAATTTTGATTGTATTGTATGTTAAAAATTTCAGACTTAAGGGTAAAAAAACATGCCATAGTATAGTCTGATCAAAATGCCACAGTAAAGTATGTTAAAAATTGTCATATTTTAGCCCAAAAAAAACGTCAAAGTATACTATGACCAAAATTCCAGATTTAAGGGTAAAAAAATATTTTAGATTTAAGGATGAAAAAACATGTCTTATTAGTAGTATAGTTTAGTCTGATCAAAATATTATAGTATAGTATGTTCAAAATGTCATATTTTAGCATGAGAAAAAGAAAAAATAGTATCTTGTCATGGTATACTATGATGAAAATTTCAGATTTTAGGATGAAAAAACATGCCATAGTTTAGTCTGATCAAAATGCCTTAGTAAAGTATGTAAAAAATGTCATATTTTAACTTGAACAAAAAAATCATATTTTAGTCTGAAAAAAAAAATGTCATAGTATACTTTGATAAAAATTTCAGATTTTAGGGTGAAAAAAAAATTCAGATTTTAGGTGAAAAAAACATGCCATAGTTAAGTCTGATGAAAATACAATAGAATAGTATGTTCAAAATGTCAAATTTTAAGCTTGAGAAAAAAAAAATCATATATTAGCCTGAAAAAAAAAACGTACCATGACGAAAATTTCAGATTTTAGAGTGCAAAAAAATTAGGATTTAAGGGTTGAATAAAAATGTCATAGTACAGTCTGATCAAAATGCCATTGTATAGTATGTTCAAAATGTCATACTTAAGCAGGAATAACTCATATTCTAGTGAAGAAAAAAAAATGTCATAGCATACTATGATGAACATTTATGAGTTAAGACTGAAAAAAAATTCAGATTTAAAGATGTAAAAACATGCCATAGTATAATCTGATCAAAATACAATAGTATTGTATGTTCAAAATGTTATATTTTAGCATAAGAAAAAAAAATAGTATCTTAGTCCGAAAAAAATGTCCTAGTATACCATGATAAAAATTTCAGATTTTAGGATGAAAAAACATGCCATAGTTTAGTCTGATCAAAATGCCTTAGTAAAGTATGTAAAAAATGTCATATTTTAATGTGAACAAAAAAATTATATTTTGATTTTGATTAAATACAGTGGTGTAGTATTATAAAAATGTAACGTTGTGGTTTGAGAAAAAAAAATCATATTTTTGTCTGAAAAAAAAATGTCTTAGTATACTACGATGAAAATTTCAGATTTTAGGGTGAAAAAAAAAATTCAGATTTTAGGATGAAAAAACATGCCATGGCACAGTCTGATCAAAATGCCATTGTATAGTATGTGAAAAATCATATTTAAGTCTGAAAAAAACATCAGTATAATATGATAAAAATTCCAGATTTTAGGGTGAAAAAAAATTTCAGATTTTAGGATGAAAAAAAAACATGCCACAGTTTAGTCTGATCAAAATGTCATAGTAAAGTTTGTTCAAAATGTAATATTTAAGTGTGAGAGAAAAAAAAATCAAAATGTCATAGTACAGTATGTTAAAAATGTCATATTTAAGGGCGAAAAAAAATTCATGTTCTAGTCCGAAATATTTTTATCATGCTATACTATGACTTTTTTCACGCAAACATTCTAAAGTTTAATCATAGTATTCTCTGACATTTTTTTGGTCATACTACAATATGATATTTTTTTGTCATACTACAACATTTTTTTTTCTACTAAAATTAAAATTTTTTATCATAGTATACAATGGCTTTTTTTTGGTTAAACTATACTATGATCTTTTTTCATACCATAATATTCTGCTCTGGGATAAATACAGTTCCTATTATCCTTAAAATTTGAAATTCTCATCTTACTATACTATGTCATTTTATCATACTATACTAAACTTTTTTTCATACCAGAATTCGACATTATCATACCAGTCTATGACTTTTTTTTTTCATACTAAACATGACTTTCTTTCATATTAAAATTTGAAATTTTTATCATACTATACTATAACATTTTTTATCATACAATACTACTACTTTTTTTCATTCTAAAACTTGAAATTCTTATCATGGTTTACTATGACATCTTTATCACACTATACTTTATTTTTATCATACTATACAATGATATGTTAAACATCCTATACCAGGACATTTTTATCATTCTTCACATATATTTTTGTCATTCCGTTAAATAAGACAATAAACATCTTTAACAATTAGGCTGTGTCTCTTTTGACAAAACTTTCCTGTGACTTACCTATTTATGATCTGACATATTAGACTATACTATTCTATACATCGCTCATCATGCAAATACTGAGCAATGAAACACGACACTGTGTGTGTGTGTGTGTAATACATACCATAGACCCAGGCAACTACTATGCATTCCCAGAATGCTTGCCACAACAGAGTCATTCCACTGGCCGAGTAGTAGTCAAACAACTGGAAGACGTACATCCCTCCCTGCAGAGAGAGAGAATCAAAATCACCTTCCTCAATAATCCAGTTATTAGTTATATGACAAAAATTGTTTAAAAATAAATAACAAAAATAAATAAATTGATGGTGATTTAGTCATTAGCATAAAACCAGTCTGTAGCTCACCTGTGTCACCATGGAGAGGTCAATAATGAAGCACAGTAAACAGCATATTGCCACAGCTATCTCCCTCTTGTAGCGATAGACGTGCCTTCCAGGAAACAGATCAAGAATTCCAGTGACAAAACCCTCCACCCCAACAAACTGTAGACAGAGAGAGACAGAGGACAGAGACAGAAGAAAGTGAGAAAGACCAAGTTTGACAGTATGTCTATGTGACCTAAAAACATCAGCTCCAGCAGCACATGAGCCTGGGACCTGGAGCTGTTCATCCATGAAGACGGCTAACATATGCCAACATACACAGAGGTCTTCTGTGAAAGATTCAGGTCATTTCATGACTACAGAGCTGTGTAAAAAGTAACATCCCAAAGCTGTGTCGAACTTTCTGTTGGTGGAAAAGCAGCTAAACTAAGCGTTTCAAGCAGAGGCTAATGAGTGTCTGAAATAAGAAAATTCGCAGACATTGATATTGAGTTTTTTGAGCTGTTAATCACACTAAGCGTCTCTACAGGTGTACCAGACTGACAGACTGAAGGGGGAAATGAGTACAATGGGTCTCTGTTAATACACAAAAAATTAGATGGTTTCAGAAGCCATCCCTTTAAAATCCCTTTAATTTATAAATGCTTTAAAACATTTTATACTAATTAATATGAACAGTAAGAATTTAGGCACAGACTGTATTTGTTTAACTGGTCAAAAGTTATCTACATTTAACATACAAATTAGACAGAGAGCTACAAAGGCAGGGCTCGGCTGAATTAGTGAGGCGTATTTCATTTCTCATAAATGGGGAGATTTCAGTCATGGTCACCTGACTGTCCAGTCCCAGCAGCAGCAGCATGAAGAAGAAGAGCGCCGCCCAGAGCGGAGCCACCGGCATCAGACTGACCGCCATCGGATACGCAATGAAGGCCAGACCAGGACCTGAGACACACAGAGAATGCATACGGGATTTATGCATCATACATACACACAAGATCAACCAGACTGGTGCCGACTTTAACACCGCAGAGAGTTTGGAAGCAGCTTAATCTCTTGTTTGAGCATTTGTGTAAATAACTATGCCATCTGCATATGTGTGAATGTGGAAAGGGGCAGATCATTAATATACAAAGTAAACAAAAGCGGCCCTAGGATTGCTCCCCGTGGAACTCCAATGTTACAGTCCATAAAAGACAAGCATATTACCAGAACGTCTCCAATCCAGAACGGCGGTGATTTTCGCTGTCAGCCAATTCCTACCGGATTCGTTTGTGAGGCAAATTTTGTGGCAGATTACTGACAGCAGGAATCGTGAGAACTCAAAAGAATCTACTGTTACGGCTGTGGGTGTGGGTGTGTCCTATGTCTTCTGCTGTGTCTTTCTCTGGTCGGTTCCTCCCCAGGTGTGTCAGGTGAACCTGCTTGGTGTGATAAGTGGGGCTGACTCTCTCTCTCTCAGCCCTCATGACTGTCACTCGTGCTGCAGACCTCCCGATTGTTGACTGTGTTTCCGTCTTGTGCGTTTTGGTGTTTTTGAAGACCAGGTTTCCTGGTGGCAGGAGCCTGTGATGTTTCTTTTGTTTGATTAGTTAGTTGGCAGTGGACTTTGGTTTTTGAATAAAATTATTGATAATCGGCTTTGTGCTTGCCTTTAGTTGTTTAATTTTTTTGTGATTATTTTTTGATTGTAAATAAATTACTTGCTCATTCTGATTTCCTGTTTCCTACTCTTCATTTCGTCTCACCTGCCCAGTTTAATTTTTGTTACTTCCCATCTTCCCCTAACCATTCAACCATAACACACGCAGATTCGCATTCAATCGCACGATAATTAGTTGCCTCAATAAAAACAGCCACATAGACATATAAGCAGTAGATTGTGTCCTTCCAGAGGAGGAAATCTACTTCTAGACTTCTAGAATCAGCATCTCCTCATCCATGGTGTCATCGGGGTGAAATGACGTCTAAAAACCTTTCACTTGTTTGTCTCCGCCTGTTTGCATGGTGTGAAATACGATCCGCCTGAAACACAGAGTTTTTTATTTTGAAAAGCCGGATATTTTATTTTATGTCTGTGCCCGACTTCCTCTCCAGCACGTGTTAAACTGTGCTGAATTTATCCAGCCTGCTCTGGCGTCTGGAAAAAATAGAACTCTATGATCAGCAAATACGGCCTTTCTGTTGCCGTTCAGGATGCAGTGGAAATTGGGGGTAATATACGAAGTAAACGAAAGCGTCTCTAGGATTGCTCCCTGTGGAACTCCGATGTTACAGTCCGTATAAGACGAGCATATAAGTCTGACTCTATCCATGCCAGTGCATCGATGTAAAAGTTGAACCTTGACAGTTTGAATAAAGGTTGTTATGATTTTAAGTCTTGCAGGCTTTTTTCATTTTTCATGTTACGTTGGTTTGACACCCTTCTTACTCTGCCCTACTCTCAGTTGTGCAAGTTTTACTCATTGTCAAATCATCCTGCACACACTGAAGCCCATGCATATTTACTGCACCTTCCAGTTGACCAAGAGTAAATAAAGGCTGAGCCGCTGAAGAGGGTAAATACCTTTACGTTTACACCGTAACCAAAGTGGCTTTTCCTTCTTTCACTGTTTGATTTCCAATATTTCCTTTTACCTAAAATGAAAAAAAGCTTCCAATTTTCAACAAGTAAATGAAATTAAATCAATAATTTATGATCAAATGAAAAATTTGAAGTAGAAGCAGCAAATGAACCATCGTTATCTGCAGATTAAAGGTGCAATACAAAAATGACAAACTGCATTTATACTGGTGCTTGTCTGTGGTTAGTTTGGGCCGGGTCACATGTCACGAGGTGAAAGTTCTTGGTTAATCCTCCAGTAAATGCTACTCACACACACACACACACACACACACACACACACACACACACACACTCAGAGATGCTAATACTTTAAACCAGTGTTAACGTGTTGCCCAGGATTCAGTAAATTGGATTTGCATTTGTTCTTTTTGCAGCAGGATTAAAATAAAATGATTCAAGTTCTCACGATGCTTTCATTTTATCCCTTTACCATCAGTCAGACTGAAGCGGCTGTTTTATCAGCTCTGAGTACCTGCACTCTTATTCCAGCATGCTCAGCATGTCTGGAGTAAAAGATGTGATTCAGAAAATCATGATATTAACACTCTCACCATCACACTTCTGTGAAGTGTGTGTATGAAAACAGAGAGAGCTGAATGATGAAGACGAGAAACAAAAATGTGAGAGCGTCAGAGCGCTGCAGCGGCACGCTGCCCTCAGTGGAGCCACTAAATATAACTGTGTGTGAGTGTGTGTGAGCGTGTGTGCATATGTATGTGTGATGTCAGATCATGTGCTTCAGAGCTATAAATAAACATACAGTCGGCTAATGACTGTACGAGTCAAACTCACACCCCTCTGGTTTCATTCAGTCTGCAGAAGCAGGTTTTACTCTTATTTCTCAGAATCCAGATCAGTTATGTAAGTTAAACCAGCAAAACACGTCTTAAAACACGTAAAAAGTACAAATTAAAGGTTTAAATTTTTAGTTCTCCTCATGTTACTGAGCATATATACCAACAAAGTGTACTTCAAGTAATCTGGAGTAAAGGTTCTCTTAGTGCAGATTTCCCTCCTCGGGGCGGCAGATGACAAAGCTCTTAATAACGTGTTAATAACCTTCTGTTAGATCAAAACCTTGTTATGGTGAAAATTCATCAGACAACAGATTTTTTTTGCCCCCCTGAGCTGCCACATACTCTGATTTTTAAACCAGTTAGCTTCTTTTGTGTCTATTTGCTCCTGAAAACATTGAAATAAGAGTAACACATTTCCACAAGTAGTGGTAGAGCTTCACCATTACAGATTCATGTCTAACTTACCAAGGCCACTATTTTTTCTACTTAGCTTACTCTATTTTCAACTTTTATGCGCATACATTTTTGTTCTATGTAGCTATGTTTCGCTCCTTTGATCTATAAGTCTTATTTTTGTGGACTCATAAAGATCGGTCTTACCACTGCTACACAATTTAATCTTTGCTTCACTTGTGGAAAGGCATTTTAAAACTCAAGTACAAAAGCAAATTCAACCAAATCTCAAAAAAACAAACAGTGACATCTTTTTGCTGCTGATATTGTCAGATAACTATCTTGGAAATAACACACACAGAAAGACATCAGGAAAAAGGACCAGCTGCTTCGTGTCATTTTACCTGATTCAGCAACCTGCGAGATATCTACTCCCTGCTCGTTCGCCATGAAGCCCAGAATAGAAAACACGACAAATCCAGCGAAAAAGCTGGTTCCACTGTTTATCAGGGCCAAGACGAAGGCATCTCTGTGGGGGAGGGGAGAGAGTGAGAGAGAGAATTAGAAGTTTTATCAGAAGACAGTTGAAGATATCAAACACCTGAAACATCCCAAACAGTTCAGTAATTGACCCTTAATAATGTTTTAGGGAATTTTACTACAATGGGTGAGGTTTGATCCAGGTCCTCAGAATGGAGATTTTAACCAAGGGTCCCCTCAAGTACAGACAGACACACAATGTGTGTAACCCACAATTAAAAGATTTTATGGCAGTAGGGCAACTTCCTGTCGTTGGGGAGTTTACCTGTTCACTCCCCCTCTTCATCTTCGCTGTAGCAGTGTTGTTTTCGTCATATTTCGTCAAATATTTTCGTCAACGTCAAACAAGGGAAATATTTTCGTCAACGAGAACAACACTGGTTGTTTTCGTTGACGAAAATATTTCCCTTTTCTTCCACGACGAAGACGTAATGTTGACGAGCTAAACATAAGTCGGAGATGACTAAAATGTGACGAGACGAAAGTGCGTTTACGTTGACGGGACGAGACGAAAACGACGAACAGAGTTGCAAAATTCAGTCAGTTAAACACTGAACACATAGGAGCAGCTTCAATCCGCTCTGACAGCTCTCATCAGCCTGCTGTGCTCCTCCAACACACAGACACACACACACGTGGGCGCGCGAAAATATTTTCGTCAACATCATAGTTGACGAAAACAACACTGCGCTGTAGCTGCAGCATGACCGTTGGCACCTCAGACAAAGAGCATGTGTCATTCTTCAGGGATTTAAACTTTTCGATCTTTGGTGAGCTTTCTGTTGTTTCATTAAAAACCTTGTATGATGTTGTTGTGTAGCAGTCACTAATACCATTTAATGCCTCGCAGGGTTTTCAGCCATGTTCGCTGTTGGGCGGTGAAAGAAAGAGAGGGAGTAAAACTGAAGAAAATTAAGGTAAAGTATTTAATGTTGGTGGATGGATTGACATTGCAGTTGCTAGTTTTATTCCCTGCGACATGTTAATTTTGAGCAGCTTTTTGTAGAAACATGTTAAACTGCAGTGAGGTTTGGTTGGGGCTGAACTCGATCACTGGATAATCGCTCCATGATCGATATTAATGTTGCTCAACCAGATTGTTATTTATATCTGATTGAGTATGTAACTATTTGATTTTTTGAGGTTGTTTAAAGTGCACTTGACATTCCTATTGACTTGAATTATTGATACTTTCTTTTGATTGATTGTCAATCAATCAGATTGTCCAGGATTTGATCATTTCAGCTGTTTTAAAAGGTAACACATCACTTTCATGGCTGTTTAGCTCTGATTGGTTACATTTTGGTCAGGTCCTCATCATGCTAATTATATGCAAAGGTCCTCAAATGTTGAGTTAGACATGCATGTGTGTTTGCCATACTTGTAGCAGTCATTGTTGAAGCGGTTGTAGCTGCCCAGCGCGGTCAGAGCCCCGAGTCCGATGGCGTAGGAGAAGAAGATTTGAGTTCCAGCATCGATCCACACCTGAATAAAGAACGAATGATTCTTCTTTTACAGTTTCACCAAAAAAGCAGAGAGGAAGAAAAAAAAGGAGCGTTTGGACATGTTTACCTGACAGGAGATCCTAGGACATCATCACCTGTCACTGTGGACTCACCTGAGCCTCCTCCAGTTTGGACCAATCGGGTTTTAGGTAGTACATGATGCCAGTTGTGGCCCCTGGTAGTGTGACACCTCTGACCAGCAGTATGATAAGGACCACATAAGGAAAGGTGGCAGTGAAGTATACAATCTGAAACACACACACACACACACACACACAGGTACATATTACACATTAAAACCCTGCATGAACCCCCACCACCAAGGAGAAATCTGTGAGAATCAGAGCAAAGAAAACAGCCGAGAGGAAACTAAACATGAACCTGATCTAAGGAAACAAAAGGAAAAGAGGCCTGCTGAGACTGAACACACACACACACACACACACACACACACTCACTTATATACACACTCACACACACACTCAGGCAGACAGGAATTTGGAGTTTCAGCACCACGGAGAGCGTCCGGTCCCAGGTGGAGTCGAGTTTCAGTCAAATCACAGCAGAGAACATTTTTCTATTGAAGCACACACACCCTCGAGTCACACATACACATACACACACACACACACACACACACACACACACACAGTTACACACACTTATTTCTGGATTGATGTGCAGTGGTTTTACTGAAAAGGAACCTTTTTGAAACTGTATTTCATGATGTCGGTGTGTGGAGCAGGGATGTTCAGAAGCCAAATAAATAAAATAGAATTAGAACAAAAGCTTCATTTGAACCTGCTGCATTAAAGGGATATTCCGACGTAAAATTAATTCAGGGTCAAACACAGTAGTTAGACACCCCCTCCAGAGATGAATGTTGCCGACCGCTTGCTTCTTTAGTTATACCAACTTTATTAACGACCGCAGGATAGCAATACACAGCGGTCTGAGGAGCCATAAACAAACCTCAACCAAAACGCCACTCTATAGCCACAAATAATGCTCAGAACAGCACCTAACTTCATCAACAGGACATATAGTCCTAGCCACCAAACATCTTTTAAACTTTGACTAATTTCTTTAGCAAAGACACTAAACACAACTCACCTACTCTCTTCCAGCAGCCACTTGTATGTAGCGAGACCTCAGGCCAGTCCATTACGTACGGACTACAGCGGGGTGACACAGCTCAAGGAAGAACATTTATGATCATTTCTTTATCATTTCCTTGAAGTAATAATCATCATATTAATCATTTTGCACTGCAGACGCGGTAGTTCTTCTGCCTTAGCGTCTCGGTCTGATTGTATTTCCATGAAGAAATGATCATAAATGTTTTTTCTTGAGCTGCGTCACCCGGCTGTAGTTGTTACTAAAGTTGGTATAACTAGAGAAGCAAACAGTCGGCAACATTCATATCCCTTTAAAGCAGGTTTACAGTCAGAATTATTAAAGCTGCAGACACACACAGATATCACCAAATACTTCTTACTCTGCCATAGTCTTATGGTGTGGCCAAATACTTTAAATTTTGAGTATACTCAACGCAAATGGAAAAAAGTATGGATAGTATGCGAAAATTGAGTAGGCAAAAGTACCCGGATGACGTACTCAAATCGGTCAAGATTTTGAGTATCTGACTGTGGACACTTGCCGCAATCATTTCATCAGTAAGAATGGCTGCGGACTGCTGTGGTGCCAGTGGGTCGGCGACAGTCGACCTGGAAGCTTTGTTCACATGTAGGTAATAAGTTGCCTTTTACACATGTTCTTTCCACCAAGCACCACCGGCGTTTATCGTTTTGAGTATATTTGTGGTGTAACCTGGGTAACCTGTTTGTCTTTCACCGCGAACAGTGTTGCTGATTTTACCTCAAAAGTGGATGAACGAGCACAGGCAAAAGGTGGTGGTAATTAGCTGATGCAGAGCTAGCTGGTGACAAATTGGCGTAGAAGAAGAAATCACGTTGTCATTTTCGGTGAGTGCGCAGCTCGGCAGTAAGCGATTTGGGACAACACTGCACCCTTGAAACTCAAGCACTAAACGACTGAGTACATAGTATGCTTAGAATACTCAATTTGAAAAATCTAAGTATTTAGTTTGGAAGTATGCGATTGGGGATACACCATTATTTTTCTTCTGCCTCTCTCTTTCTTTAATAATTGTCAGATAATGTCCTGGTAGTTTGGCTACTGTGGTTTTCTGTGCTAATGTAGACTGAGGGAAGTATCCAACCCTGTCAAAGAGCAGAGGGGGGGTTGTCAGTCTCTGGTTTTTGTTAGTTTGGGGGTCCTGCTCTTATTTCACCACTCGCTCTTCTGTCCCCGTCTGCTCTGACTCTCAGCTTTCAGCCTCCTGCTGATGATCAACATTCAAATCGGGTTTCTGTCGGTACTGAGACCCGTGTGAACACCACTGGATCCAAAAACCGCGGCTGTATAAAAATAAAGATAATAAACTTTATCTAAACAGCACTTCTCAGGAGTATAATCATAAATGTGATATCAGCAGGAACTCGTCTGTAAAGTCAAGATCAAAAACTGTTTATCTGTTGCAGACAGCAGTGAAACTTTATTGTGCTCAGAAATGACCAGGTGTAAAGTGTTAAAGTGTGACAGGTTGGCTGTTTTTTTTTTACAGGCTGTTTGTTTGATTTTATATTCTCTGAAACAGCAAGAACCAGTCCTGGATGAACTCTGCAGGAGGACATCAAAACTTTAAAATGTAAACAAATGTAAAAACTGAATAAAGTATTAAATTAGCCGATCAAAATCTGGGAAATCATGAACTCTGCTTTATAAAGGGACGTCCAAGTCCAAATCCAGCATCCCTGATGGTCTGGGGATCAACAGAGTCTATGCCCTGGGTATCTTCTACATCTGTGAAGGCTCCATTAATGCTGAACAAGATCTCCAGTTTTAGGAGCATCAGGACTCTGTAGTTGGAGTCACTGAAGAACAAATATGAACTTTAGTTTCAGGACTATTGGTTTCATGTTTCTCTGATTTAGTTTTTATCACTTCTGCAGAAGCCTGGAGGCTGTTGACCGAGCACTGAGTGTGTTTGTTAAAGGTGTGTGTGTGTGTTTGTCTGTGATGGATCGATACATGTTTCTATAAGTGTGTGTTTTGACATTTTTCCTATTTTTTTTACTCTAAATGGTCTGAACCGTGCTCCTAAACAGGTCCTTAACTGTAGTTTTAACCCTGACCCTGAACACTTTGAAGAACTGTGTTCGATCTTGCTACATGAACAGAGATTAGACCCGGAGGGGTCACAGAAACGGTCAGATGGAGGTTCAGATCGTAAGATAAAGATGTTTCTGTGCAGTATATATATATATATATGAAGCATGTCCAGTACAGTACACATGACTGTACTCAGAAAGCACAGTACTTGGAGTGTTCATGGGTATTTTCCTCTCTATGTCTCCCAGTCACGTCCCACTGCAGTCAAAGCTGCCCTCCCTCCCATCGACCAATCACAGCCTGCCACCTCACTGCCCCCCCTCCTCATCCCCTCGATGACGTAGTCATGGCAACGCTTAGCCTGCCATGTGACAGCGGTGTGTACGAGTGCCATCATCACGAGCTAGTGAAACACACAACCCCCCCCCCCACACACACACACACACACACACACACACACACACACACACACACACACACACACACACTGCTGTATGCTCTCATTTGAAGGATTTAAAGGAACAGGCCCACATTTTCAAAGACTGGATGCAGGAGAACAAAAGTGACGACAAGGCTGAGTCTTCGTTTTTAATCACCTCACATGATTAACACACAGGTTACATTATTACACCCTCCATCCTGACATAATATTACTGATCAGGTGACCTTTGACCTTCAGTGGTGTTATGTAATGTAGTTTAAGCCCAGCTGTTAGCGCGCTGTACCACCTGACAGTCAGTATGATGCCAGCTGAAGGACAGGTGTTCTTGATCTAATGGCATTATGGGGACACGGATTTGAATAATCCTCATGGGGACCTAAATACCTACAGGTCCCAGAATAAGGACTTGGTGAGAATTTTTTTAAAAAGTCCACTTCAGTAGTTTAGATTTATTTTAGGATAGAGCAAAGTAGACCACTGTATTACCAACTACTTATTTTGTTTTGTTATATTTCTATTCTATTGTGAAGCTGGCTGCAGGATATGTCTTTTTATTTATGGGATTGTGGGGAAGTGATTTCCAATAATACTTTTGGGGACCCGTGTACCAACTGGTCCCAAAAAAGGCTTAAATAAACGAATAAATTCATAAACAGATGCTTAAATAAATACATTTTGTTTTTTTATTTTTGTTACTCAGTAAGAACAGATTTGTAAGTAAACAGTAAAAATACGGATAGATGTCATCTAATTTAAAACAAAGTTTTGCTTTTCTTTTTTTTTACTGATAGATGGATGTATGTTCTTACATCAGGGACCCACCTTAAGACTTAAAAGGAACCTAAATACCTACCAATCCTCAAAATGATATTTGTGCAATCATCATCATCATCATCATCATCATAAAAATAATAGGAATAATGTCTATGGTAATAATAATAATGTCTATGATGATAATAATAATAATAATGATAATAATAATAATAATAAATAAATAAATAATAACAATAACAATATAATAATAATGATGATAATAAATAATAAAATATAATAATAATAATAATAAAAATAATGATAATAATTGTATCGAGAGAAAAAAATAATATGTTAAAAAAATAGTAATAATAATAATAATAATAATCATATAATAATAATAATAATTATTATTATTATTATATTATTATACGTTGAAATTAGTTTTCAGAGAAGAGGTAATGTTGTCAAAGACTGACATCTATTTTCCTGATAGTTTTTTCTTATTCTAATTCACCTATATAGATTAATCATAATTACATTATCCCAATATAAACATGATATCATTTGCTGTATACGAGGCTAATGGTTTGATTTTTTTGCATTTTTTAAGTCTCTCATCTCTAAGAAAGGAGACAGACTATTTTTGCATATCAACCAGTGGAAACCAGAAAGGCCATATCAAATAAAAACGTACCTTCCCAGTGGATTTGACACCCTTCCAGACGCAGAAGTAAACCAGAACCCAGACAGCCATCAGACACAACGTGAGCTCCCAGTTAAACTGTCCAATGTCGTCCAGACCCGTGGAGATATTGAGCACCTTGTTCCTGCAGAAAGAAGAAAACTTTTAAACTAACCCACAACTCTTATTTGATCCAACCCAAAAACAGTTCATGAACAGGGACTTGTATTTAAGAAAAAGCATCTAAAAATAAAAGTATTAAAAGTAATCTGAGGACCTTTATGGACGTTTTTGGATTAAATCTTTTACTGGATTTGGACTGTGAGGACCCACTGTGAGGTGCACCAGATAGATAACGTTGATGTCAGCTTAATTTGAAAAGGACGTCAGGGTTAAACTGTTATGAAATCTATACTGTCTCAAAACGAGACAAGAGCAGACGAGTTTCCTCTTCGATAATGCAGTATTATTTTTCATCAGCACTTTAACCTCATTTTAACGCTCACGTCACCTCGGTCTGTAAAAGCAGATAAAGAGGGCTGTATTCCTTCATTCATTAACTCTATTATTACCTTTACGATCTCTTGTCCTGTCCTGACCTCCTCCTCTCCTCAGAGACGTGGAGGTGCTGACCCCACAGTAAACTCAGACATTAATGAGCTCTGTCAGCTGACCGACATTTTCACCTGGTTACCTGCAGGTGTGATAATGAGCTGCTCAGTCTGACTGCAGCAGAGAGGCCGAGCTCAGAGGTGATAATAAACTCTGTGATACACTGAGACGCTGACAACGAAGCAGACTTGGAGCTTTTTTAAGATATAACAGAGGTTAAATAAGGTCACATGTTTGGTCTGAATTTATCTGGTGACCATGCTGTGGCTCCTGTCAATAATTTCCAGGTTTTAAAATAAAACTTTCTCAGACATGTTTTGAGGAAACTCAGTCTGAGTGAATATTTTCCAGCTTCAGGAGACTTTTTAAAGAGGAGTTATTTTAAAGCTTTAGCAGAACTTTTAGAAACGTTCTAAAACTGTTGGATGGAGTCTTTCTTAAACTTTAAGTCGAAAACCATCTTCACATGCTCTGAAAACCCCTGTCCCTTGAACCAGAAGCAACAAGATCAGGAACTCACTCCCAGAACTCGATGATAGGGGATCGGGCCTCGGCCAGCTGGGCACAGGTCATGTTGCCGCTGATGATGGTGTCGTTGGGGACACTGGCGTTGTTGCAGTCCTGATGTCTGAAGATCTCCAGGCAGCTGGGCGTGTTCCACTCGTTGTTGCAGGTGGACCAGGGCAGCGTGGTGTTGAAGGACTTGATCAGGTAGTAAAAGCCCCATGCCAAGACCATGATGTAGTAGGTGTTACAGAAAAACACGATCACCATGGAGGCATAACCCAGACCTGACGAAGGAGAAGAGGGATCAGAGTTTAGATCAGGAATGTCAGCCAAGAAAGTCTAGAAACATCAGCAAAGGAGGGAGGGAAGGAAGAAACGAAAGATGGGAAGACAGGATGGAAGGCAGGAGGGAAGGAAGGAAGGATGGATGGAAGAAAGACGGGAAGGAATAATGGAAGGATAAGAAAAAAGGAAGAAAGGATGGAAGAAAGAAAGGAAGAAGGAAAGGAAGGATGGAAGGAAGAATGGAAGGCAGGCAGAAAGGAAAGAAGGAGGGAGGGAAGAAAGGATGAAAGAAAGGAAGGAAGGTTAAGAGGTAGGAAGGAAAGCAGAAATTAAGAAAGGTAGGTAGGAAGGAAGGAAGGAAGAAAGGATGAAGGGAAGGAAGAGAGGAAGGATGAAAGGATAGGAAGGGTGGAAGGATTGAAGGAAGGAAGGAAAAAGGATAGAAGAAAGGAAGGATGGATGGATGGAAGGAAGAAGGGAAGGAAAGATGGAAGGATGGAAGGAAGAAAGGTAGGAGAAAGGAAAGGATGGATGGAAGGAAGGAAAAAGGTTGGAAGGATGGATAGAAGGAAGAAAGTTAGTTAAATATGGTTTAAACCAATCTCTCACTGAAAATTTTAAAATTGTTGAGTAGATTCAAAAATACCTCAGCTATTTATATGGATAAAAAGATCTTAAAATGTTAAATTGATATTTGTTTGACACAGTAGGGTTTTAAACTCCTCAGTTTTCAGCAAAAAAAAAAGAAGAACAAATATGAACTTTAGTTTCAGGGCTAACTAACAGGTTTAATTATCAGTAATTTAAAGTTCTTACTAATAAAGTTGCAGGATACCAAAAAAATCAGAAAATTCAAAAGAGGCCTGAGGGGTGAAAACTGTCTTTAAAATACAACATTATTTAAAAAAAAAAAAAAACAGGAGGGTTTCTGCGCTCAGCTTCTGTTTTCAATGACAGAAAAATAAGCAGGACTTGTCTCCCCTTTTTCATTCTGTCCTAACTTTATTTAGTCTTACACATGATGTTAAAACACATCAACAAACCTTACAGGGGTGGTAAAGGACTCGGGTCATTCTGAAGGTTGACATACATACCTAAACATCATGTGCCGAAGAAGATTTTGAATTACCCTCCCTGTTAACTTCTTTTCGGTTATAAAGTCAAGGTATGTATTAATTTTTCACTTTAAACTGAACTGCCTTCAAACTCCTGTTAAAGTTTACTGTGACAAAAATAGACAGCGTCACATGTGCGAACTGTTTATAAGACATAAAAACAAGAACTGACCTCTGCACGGTCACCCTGATTCACATCCTGCAGTAAAACTTGGTCAAAACTGTAAACCTTTATTTATATGTTTATCATAGGCAGGAGTAACAAGTGGGCTGTACCTGACCTCCTGAACACCTGAGCGGGAAAACAAGTCCTGAGTGACCTGGAGCTCAGGTGAACTTTACACTAGAAATAACCTCAATGAATAATTTTGTTTTTTTCATTTATTATTTAGAGAATCTGTTTTCAAGGCCTGGAGAAAAATAGAAGGGTGAAAATTAATCAGCCAATAGGTGAGCAGAAGATTTAAGTGGAGAGGATACAAAAGGAGGAAGAGGAAAAGGGTGTAGGAAGGAAAGCAGAGAGCCAAAAAAGGGAGAAAAGGGGGGTAGAGAGGAAAAAAGGGAGTGTGAAAAGGGTGGGAGAGGGAGTAGGAAGGAAAGAAGGGAGCGAATAAAAGGGTAGAAAAGGAAGTAGCAAGGTAAGAAGGGAGCGAAAAAAGGAGGAAGAAGGAGAAGGAGTACTAAGGAAAAAAGGAAGCAAAAAGGGAGGAAGAGGGAGTGGGAAGGAAAAGAGGGAGCAAAAAAGGGAGGAAGAGGGAGAGGGTGTAGGAAGGAAAGAAGGGAGCCAAAAAAGGGAGAAAAGGGGGGTAGAAAGGAAAGAAGGGAGCGGAAAAAGGGAGGAATTTTATATTTTATATTTGTTTTTTATCTACCTACGTATTTTATATTTGTTTATATTTATGGTGTATTTGTACCTTACCTGTATTTTACTTTGCTGTAATTTAATCTTGTATTCTGCGTTTTTGATCATATTGTTTACTGTCTGTTTTATGTATTTCACTGTGTCTTATTGACCTGTACAGCACTTTGGTCAGCTTCGGTTGTTTTTAAAGTGCTCTATAAATAAAGTTTGAGTTGAGTTGAGGAAGGGAGTAGGAAGGAAAGAAGAGAGCAATTGGAAGGAAGAGGGAGTAGGATGGAAAGAAGGAAGTGTAAAAACAGAGAAAGAGGAAGTAGGAAGGTAAGAAGGGAGCAAACAAAGAGGAAGAGGGAGTAGAGAATAAAATAGAATAGAATAGAATAGGATATTCCTTTATTGATCCTCCATGGGGGACATTTTTTTGTCACAGCAGCATCACAGACAAAGTGCAAAAATGCAGTTGTGAAAATAAAGATCGTATATTAAGAACTTAAATAAATGTTCTAATTAAGAAAACATTTAGAAAAGGAAAAAGGGAGAAGAAAAATAAAACTATATACAATATACACAATTTAAGTACCAGATAAAAAGTATTGCAGTTCGTTGTAAAGTCTTAAAGCAGAAGGGACGAATGACCTGTGGTAGCGCTCCTTCTTGCAAGGTGGGAGTCTAAGTCTGCTGCTGAAGGAGCTGCTTAAAGCCCCCAGATGTTTAAAGCCCCCCAGTAGGAATGCAAGAAGGAAGGAAGAGGGAGTAGAAAAGAAAGAAGGGAGTGGAAAAAGGGTGGAGGAGGGAGTAGGAAGGAAAGAAGGGAGCGGAAAAAGGGAGGAAGAGGGAGTGAAGTGAAAAAAAAGGATTGTGTTGACACAGATATGAAGGTGCCAGGAAATATATGTGTCTGTTTGTGTGTGTGTGTGTGTGTGTGTGTGTGTGTGTGTGTGTGTGTGTGTGTGTGTGTGTGTGTGTGTGTGTGTGTGTAGGCACGTAGGATCACAAACTCGACCTTCACACACACACCTGGACTGGACACTGAGTGTGTGCCTGCAGAACGACATGTCCATCCAGACGTGAGGACAGTTTGTTTTGAGGCGTGTGGAGAAGAAACTGTCCTGTTCTGTTTGCAGTCTAATAACCTGTGACCAACTTATCGGTTACACTTTAGAGAAAAGTTGGTCCACTCTCAGCGTCCCTGCTGGTGTTGAAACAGATACTTAATGCCTGTGAGAGCGGGAGCTCAGCAGGTACCAGAGTCTCAGAGTGTGTCCATAAAAAGGAGCGTGGAGGAAACCGCCATCACTCTCCGGGATAAATTTGTGTTTGTGGACTTCTAAAGCTGTGATAAGACACAAATGGAGCTGAATAAACATTTGGTTTCTGTGAATAAAAGGATAAAGAGTGTGCTCTGAAGTGTCCTGAGAGAAATATGACACTAGGAACTAAATGTGATCATGTGAAAACCTGTAAGACAAACAAAGAGGGAGAACATTCAGAATGGACCGTTTTTAGGTGTACTGTACCTTTAAAGAGTGGAGCGATGTTCCACACATTGATGCTGCCCGCCTTCATGAACTGACCCAGAGCGATCTCCAGGAAGAAGATCGGGATTCCTCCGACAAAGATGAAGAGCAGGTACGGGATCAGGAAGACACCTGAAGAAGAGACAATTAACTGAGGGTCAGTTACAGGGTCAGTCAATGTTACAGGGTCAGTAACAGGGTCAGTCAGTGTTACAGGGTCAGTCAGTGTTACAGGGTCAGTAACAGGGTCAGTCAGTGTTACAGGGTCAGTCAATGTAACAGGGTCAGTTAGTGTTACAGCGTCAATTACAGGGTCAGTCAGTGTTACAGGGTCAGTAACAGGGTGAGTAAATGTTACAGGGTCAGTAATAGGGTCAGTAACAGGGTCAGTCAGTGTTACAGGGTCAGTAACAGGGTCAGTCAGTGTAACAGGGTCAGTTAGTGTTACAGGGTCAGTTACAGGGTCAGTTAGTGTTACAGGGTTAGTTACAGGGTCAGTTAGTGTTACAGGGTCAGTTACAGGGTCAGTTAGTGTTACAGGGTCAGTTACAGGGTCAGTTAGTGTTACAGGGTCAGTTACAGGGTCAGTCAGTGTTACAGGGTCAGGTAGTGTTACAGGGTCAGTTACAGGGTCAGTTAGTGTTACAGGGTTAGTTACAGGGTCAGTTACAGGGTCAGTTAGTGTTACAGGGTCAGTTACAGGGTCAGTTAGTGTTACAGGGTCAGTTACAGGGTCAGTTAGTGTTACAGCGTCAATTACAGGGTCAGTCAGTGTAACAGGGTCAGTTAGTGTTACAGGGTCAGTCAGTGTAACAGGGTCGGTGTTACAGGGTCAGGTACATGGTCAGCCGGTGTTACATAGTCAGTTAACTGAGGGTAAGTTACAGGGTCAGTCAGTGTTACAGGGTCAGTTACAGGGTCAGTTAGTGTTACAGTGTCAATTACAGGGTCAGTCAGTGTAACAGGGTCAGTTAGTGTTACAGGGTCAGTTACAAGGTTACAGGGTCGGTGTTACAGGGTCAGGTACATGGTCAGCCGGTGTTACATAGTCAGTTAACTGAGGGTAAGTTACAGGGTCAGTTAGTGTTACAGGGCTAGTTACAGGGTCAGTTAGTGTTACAGGGCTAGTTACAGGATTAGTGTTACAGGATCTATCATTGTTACAGAGTTAGTCAGTGTCTCAAGGTCAGGTAGAGGGTCAGTGTTACAGGGTCAGTGTTATAGGGTCGGTCAGTATTACAGGGTCAGTGTTACAGGGTCATTCTGTTACAGACTTTACAGGATTAGGTCAATCTTACAGTCACTTAAGGATCCAGTTCTTATGGTCATCTGACCTAAAGCCCCAACAAACTGCAGAATGCCCCTTTAATTTAGACTGTTCTTAACGAGTTAGAGCGACTCTGACGCTGAGTCGGGTTTCATGTTTATTTCAGCGGCATGCTGAGGAGGGTTTTATGTAACTGAAGAGGAAGAGGAGGATCTTCATCCTTCACCTCCTCCATCCTCTCAGAGTCAAAGAAAAAGTCTTTTTATCTCCTTTAATTCATTTTTAATCCGTCTGTTAACTCAGCCGAGGAGAACAGACAGATGTTCTTCGTGTTTCTCTCTCCTGAACTAAAGACAGGAGAGAATTTCAGAGTAAAATATAAAAGTATGACCACGAAAATAAAGAAGGAAAGGTTTAACTGCAACTTTAATTATTCCTATTTAATCTTTTAATCGTGTTTTAAAAATGACATAAACTTTAGGATGACAGCGAATCACAGAGAGAGAAAAGAGAGAAAAAGACCTGAGATGTTTTTTATTTCTGAAAGATTTGTTTAGTCAAACAAATAATCATGAAAAAATAACAATTTATTTATCAGGTTGTACTCTTAAATGTGCTTTCACTTGATGTTTGGTGTGAGCTGCACTAAAACTAAAAGAAATGCAGATCACAAGACATGGAGGGTGCGTGAGATCAGCTTCACCGTGGTAAAAGGACAGAGTCGAGCGGTTTCTTCTCCTCTGGAGAAACTAATGAAGTCAGGAGAGTATCAGGTATACAGCCAGAGTGACCAGAGAGGTCAACGAGAGGTCAAACCATAAGTCTGAAAGACCGGCAGCAGAGGAACGACAGCTGAGGGGTCCCACACGTGATCACCATTCAGCACCTGAAACTGTGTTTATGACCTGGACTTTAATCGGGCCATAAAACCCGTCTTTGCTGATCCAGTGCTCAAATGTAGGAACACGTATGGATCTGAGTCTCAGCTGGTCCACAAACCTGGAGCTGTTCCTCTAGAGGGACTATCTAACATAAACTAAAGGGTACAGATGTTTCCTCTGAAGGCGTCACCTTCAGGTTGTTTTATTCCTGCAGAGCTGTGTAAAAAGTAACACCCACTCCAGCTGTGTCAAACCCTCGGCCAATCTAACTCCCAATTTCAGCTGCATCCTGAACATCTACTAAAAGATCGTATCCTCCGATCGTAGCTGATCGTAACTATTCAAGTTAACGTGTCAATTTTCACCGGCTTCTTTCCGTTCCTATGCGGATCGCCGGACTCCACAGCTGATCGCAAGAGTTCTATTTTTTCTGGGCGCCGGAGCATGGCGGATAAATTCAGCACAGATTAACCCGTGCTGGAAAGGAAGTCAGGCACAGACACAAAATAAAACATCCGGCTTCTTTTCAAAATAAAACACTCTGTGTTTCAGGCGGATCGTATTTCACACCATGCAAATGGGCGGAGACGAACAAGGGAAAGGTTTTTAGACGTCATTTCACCCCGATGACACCATGGATGAGGAGATGCTGATTCTAGAAGTCTAGAAGTAGATTTCCTCCTCTGGAAGGACACAATCTACTGCTTATATGTCTATGTGGCTGTCTTTATAGAGACAACTTGTTATCGCGTGATTGAACGTGAATCCGCGGGTTCTTGTGAGTTCTCGCGATTACCGCTCTCTGTAATCCGCCATGAAATTCGCCTCACAAACGGATCCGGTAAGAATTGGCATGTGGCAAAAATCCCTGCCGAATTGCACTTCTCTCCTTGTCGATGTATACATGCAGCTGAAAAAAATGAATTAATGAACTTGTCCTCCTCCCCAAAACTAGGGGGCGATATGGGTCTTTTCAGCTGCGCTGTTTCCGAGCCCATACAACCGTCAACAACAACAGCAGGTCCGTGCCAGATTCAGAAGTGTCTACAACTGCTGCTGGGCATTTTGGAGCAAGAAGATGGAGCATCGTACAGCGTTGTTTTTGTCCTACATGATGGACGCGCAACTTTTTCTAAAGATGAGACGCACGCTACTCCTCTTCTGTGGTGTTTTTGTTCCGGGGTTCCGGGGGCGTTGCGCACGCACACATGCATTGTCTGATCATACTCTGACTACGCTGGTTACATGGTAGAGAAAACAGAATTCCAATCGCATTATCTGAGCGTCTTAATCGGAGTTCTCCGACTCTAAACAGAGTTCTCAAACTCTGATTATAGTCATACTGAGGTGTTTACATAACCCTCAGTTGTCCGGTCTTAATTGGAGTAAGGCGATAATTTGGTTTTCTCAAGTGTCATGGAAACGTACTGAGTGACACTCATGGGGATGATAAACTGTCCCTCTGATGAATGAATGAATGAAATACTTTCTCTCTCTCCCTCTCAACCGAAGTGAGAGGCTTGAATGAACAATTACTGATGCTCTCTCTCTCTCTCTCTCTCTCTCTTTCTCTCTCTCTCTCTCTGTTGTTGGTATTTTAATTGGTGTGATGGAAGTTTACACACACACACACACACACACACACACACACACACACACACACACACACACACACACATTAATACAACACAAACAGTCACAAAACAGGGGGGTAACTGGGTCACAGTGCCAACGGGAAACTCAAACTGGAATGATACTGGGAAACAGAGGGGGTTAATGATGAAAGCAAGGAGTTACATAACAGAGAGAGACCGCCGTTACACACTGAGCTATTATACAAGGAGAGAGAGAGAAGGAGAGAGAGAGAGAGAGAGAGCAAGCAAGAGAGAGATAGAGAGAGGGAGAGAGAGAGAGAAAAAAGGAGTGAGAGAGAGGGAGAAAGAGAGAGAGACAGAAAGAGACAGAGACCGAAAGAAAGAGACCATCAAAAGATAGTCCCATCTGGATCTGGGGAGCGGCGGTGTAGCCTGGTACTGAGCTTTGATAGTGGGTCATAGTGATTAATGTGATTAGTGATAACTCCCACTTTCAGGGTGTTTCCACGTACAAAAATCCATTTATTGCATCAGTCCGGCTGAAACTGGAAACTCCACACCGAGCCAAACTTCTCACAGTCAGACTGACAAACCTGGATAACGAAGTTCAGAATGGATCTGTGCTCCAGGACCTACTAATCAAACCCTGTTTTTATGTTGGTTCAGAGGAGGTGTTTAGCATGCCATCTGACCTTCAGCGGTCCTGTCTGGGTGTCCAACAGTCTACTCCTGTTTCTGTTGATCTACTCCCCCAAACTTGGGCAGGAAGTGACCTCCCATACGACCTGCGTTATCTTCTGCCATTTTCAGGCATGGTTGACGATTGTAGAGATTGGTTAGTACTATGAACCTCGTTTTTATGGCGATCATGGTCCCATTATGCAATCTCCAAAAAGAAAAAAGAACGGAAAAAATCTGTTCACCCTAGCAGGTGCAGGGCTGCGAAAACATTGACCAATGGGAGCCATCTGTCCCAGACAGCTCCTTTTGGTCAATCTCCTGCTCCGCCTCTCCATCCAATCACCTCGCTGTATTTGACATACCCCTCTCCTGTAGTTCCGACTCGTCGCCTCCCACTATCCTGGCCCTCCTCTGAGCTCTGAGTGGCTAAAAGTAGCGTAGCAGCTTAGCTACAGGAGCTGTGATGGAGAAGGATGCAAAAAAAAAAAAAGAACACTTCTGCTCGCCCCACCGCCAAAAGTGGGAAGAAAACGCAAGCTGACAGAAGAAAGGGCGGAGACGAAGAGGAAATGTGACCAAGCGAGGAATCTAACTGGAATAAACATCGGGTCATCTTTGAAGCGGTGGAGAAAGCTCCGCCAGGATTTGGTCCTGAAAACAGACGCCGAGACAGCAGAGTTTTTGTTGAACAGGTAACTTTTATCGCCTTTTATTGTGGCACATGTTACATAAATAACTCTTATTAGTCTCTGTCTCTGTCAACACGGTAGCTGTCCAGGCAGCTGCAGATGGCGCTCGCTAGCAGAGCTGGCGTTTACCGCAGCTAGTCACTAACAATCCGACATGGTGGCTCCTATTTCAAGCTAGCGTAGGATCTTCTGCCGGCTGGCTTCTTGCTCTGCTAGAGGGGGTGTGTCATGGGGAGGGCGATACAGATCTCAGATTGTCAACCAGGACTTTAAGTTACTTGCTGGCTGTTATTTTGCCTCCACATTAGCCTGTCCTGATCCCTGAGGTTTCACTGGGGGAGACAATGTGATGCCCACCTCCCAGCCAATCAGAATCCAGTATTCTCTGCATCACAGACAGCTATAACAGCAGCTTTAGGCCACACACATACACACTTTCAAACACCCACTCAGCTAACATAATGACGGCTGATGTGTGAGAAATCACCGCCAACTGAACGAGTGACGTCACCATCACTGATGACTCTTGCTAACGGTACAAATCAGCATTAGCCTGCCACCAGTCTGATACACACAGTGTTAGCCCAGTGTCGCTTAGCATGATAACACAGATGGAATGGGGGGGGGGGGGGGTCTATCAGTGACACGCACACACACACACACACACACACACACACACACACACACACACACAGAGCCTAAAATCAATCTTCACACACTCCTGTTTCATTCAGACATTCAAGGTTATTTCTTGAAGTTTTAGCATCTCAGGATCTTCGTTTGCGTCATCTGTGAAGGCTCCATTAATGCTGAACTAGATCTCCAGGTTTAGGAGCATCAAGACTCTGTAGTTGGAGTCACCGCATGGGGTTAAAATCACTTGTACTATAATTGTCCTGAGATCTGATGAATCAAAATCTAACAATATTTTAGAAAGGACAACTGGACTTAGTTGGCAAAATTTCCCAAGTAAGTCCAGTTGTCCTTTAAATGTAAAACTGGAAATCATAGATGCTGCATCCTCCGTTTTCAATCAATCAATCAATTAATCACTTTATTTATAGAGCACTTTTCATACATGGACTGTATCACAAAGTGCTGTACATTAAAGAATGCAAGAAGGAGAGGATCAGGGGATACCAAATAAAATACAAGATAAAATACAAATTTTAAAACCCCATCCACCCACCCACCCTCAAAGCCTGCATTTAACAGAGACCCCACCACCCACCCGCACGCACACACACACACACACACACACACACACACACACACACACACACACACACACACACACACACACACACACATACACTGGGACACCAAGACAGGGCTCAGCAGGAAGCCCTAGTGGACCAAGGAAACACTATCTTTACTAAACTATCTAAACTAAGATGGGGAAACACTGGAGCTGAAGCTAAACTGATAAAACCATGACAAGATATAGGAAACTCATAAAATGATAAAAAAAAATTTAAAAAAAAAAGAAATATAAGAGTAAAAATAATAAATTATCATATAATAAAACTGTTTTTAAATCAAACAATAAAAGAAAATAAACAAATAGTGTTAAAACATAAAATAATAATTCTGGGACTAGAGTGGAGTAAAATACACAAGATAAAAAGAGTAGACTAAAAAAGAGAGGCTAGAAGAATAATTAAAAAAAAAAAATCAGCTAAAAAGCCAGACTAAAAAGGAAGGTCTTGAGTTTGCATTTAAAAATATGAACTGTAGGTGCTGCTCTCAGGTCTTCAGGCAGACTGTTCCACAGGCGGGGACCATAATAATAGAATGATGCCTCACCATATGTTTTGGTTCTAACTTTGGGGACTATTAAAAGACCACTACCTGAAGACCTGAGGGCTCTACTGGGCTCATATCGTAGCAGCAATTCAGATAAATAAGGAGGACCAAGACCATTAAGACATTTATAAACTAATAAAAGAACCTTAAAATCTATTCTAAAGGATACAGGAAGCCAATGCAGAGACTTAAAAATTGGTGTAATGTGGGCTCTCCTCCTGGTCTTCACCAGTATGCGTGCAGCCGAATTTTGCAGCAGCTGAAGCTGTGAAATGTTCTTTTTGGGAAGACCATAGAGGAGAGCATTACAATAATCAATTCTGCAGGTAATAAAAGTATGGATAAGAGTCTCTGCATTTAGTCTAGTTGGACGGAGGGGGTTCAGTGCACCCCCTGAGATATATTTCTAATCAGTGTTTTTCTATAGGAAAAAATGTGCTGAAAATGATGAGCTATGATAAAAAGTTCTCAGAATGTCCCATCTGCCCCCAAAACCCCCGAAAACCCACTTTTTGGTACATGGCTCTAGCAAAATTGTGTTAAGGCAAATATTAATTCACTAAAATTACATAATTGGACATGAAAGTCTAAAATTTGGCATGAGGTATCCTGAGACATAGGGTTAAGTAGCCCAATAGGATTTTAGGACCTGCTACAACTGTATTCATAATTATGACCAACATCATCCCCAGAAACACAAAAAAATATACTGTCCGCTTGACAAATAATAACATAGATGATTAATTTCCTGCACTTTATGGTGAATATCACTGCCTCATTTGTATATATATAAACTTCCCATGTCCCTAAGCTTCAATTTGAGCCCAAGATGACCTTTCTGGCTTGAAAATTACCCTTTCTATAGCCAAAGTTCTGCACTATACCTCAAATCGGAGAAAATAGGAGATTCTGCCAGTAGATGTCTATAACAGGTATCATGCACCCCCAGATATATATATTTATATTTCTAATCAGTATTTCCTTATTGGAAAAAATGTGCTGAAAATGATGAGCTATGTTAAATAGTCAACATTACCCATCTATTATTTATATGCAAATTGGTGCTGTCATTATGGAAACATTGATTTTGCCTATATCTCAGCCAATGTTGCATTAAAATGAACAAATAAGGTATCTGGACCTATGTTTTGAGGGTCAAGAACCTCATTGAGACTATTCTTAAAGTGGCCACACCATGCTGGTGTAAAAATGAGTTTCACTATTACAATATAATAACATTTTTATCAAGTAATAGATGCCAATATTGTGTATAACCATACAAATAAGTTGTCTAGCCAGATGCTGAGTTTTTAAGCAAGCTTTATAAGATATACTGTAGCGTAACATCACAAAACAAACATCCTCAGTAGTAACTGACAATAGTATACAATAGTATCACATTGCAGGATCCCACCCTTTACACAAGCAAATATGTTAGCAAGAGATGGAGGAATCAGAGGACGAGTTCTATGAAGACGATGAGTAATTAAAATGATTGAGAATTTTGTTCTTCATGGTGCAGGCCAGTTTATAATGTGGTCACTGTTTGTAAACTTTGCTAACATATTTGCTTGTGTACTATTTAACAGCTAATTATTTGGTTCACACGCCTCTGCATATCTGCGATACCAAAGCTCTGAGTAAGATGCTGACACTTTAAAACTACATGAGAATAAACTACATAAGCAGCTCACAGTATCAGCTCACAGTAACTACATTTGAATAAACCACATGAGAATAAATTACATGAGAGTTAACTACATGAGAAAAAACTGAGTCTGTGGAAAACACAGATGGAGACTTGAGCATGAGAGAAGAGGTTGGGGAGATTATTTTCTTTTATTTTCTTTTGTGTATTTATTAATATTTTTATCATTAAAACTATTTTTGACCTCCATGATATCTGTTTGTTTGATGTTTGTTTGTCTGTTGCAAAACTATTGTAATCATTGCAACCAAAAACCATTTCACTGTTGGACTTCAGATCCTGGTCTGCTGGGTGCACTAAGGTCTACAGAGGGCTGGTTTAAGAGGAGCTGAGGACACCAATGACAAACATGAACCAGGATCTACTTTTATAAATATCAGATTAAAAATGAGCAGAAATTCTTCCTAAAAACATTTTCCGTTTTAGTATCTGACATGTTGTTTTTTCTCGATTCTCCGTGTGAACTCTGTTTTTATCAACATTTTAGGGTTGGGTTGTACGTGCAGAAAAGCACGTAAACAAAAAGTCTTTGATTATCAGACTACACCTTCTTGCCTGCAGTTCTGACTGTAAAACAATAAACCGTGTTTTAAAGATGTCAGTGAGTCTCTGTGCTGCATATTAGCTTCAGGTCACTGAGTCTGAAGTCATAACCATCATGTGAGGAAATCATTTTATCGTTTTGGATGAGATAAAATCAGATGATAGAAACATTATCAGTCGTTTTATATCACACTTCTTTTCTCCTAAACTCATCAAATCATCTTTACTGCAGCTCAGAGTAAAAGTCGAAAGTTTGAAACTTTTCTGCTCATGAAGAAAAGACAAAACTTTCCAGAAGCAGAGCAAGTGACGTCCTCTTCTTTGGTGCTCAGGAGAGAGAGGCTGGTCTAAATTTGGAGCAGCAGAGTCAGGACAGGAGGGACTAACACCTGAGCCAGGTGTGAGAGCGATGAGAATAGAGCAGGTAGCAGGTGATTTATGTGGAGCGCCGCTGTGTGGAGTCAGCTAACCGGCTCAGCACGTGGTCGGCTCTGGGCTGAAACAGAGATGCGGACAGAAATAGAGCAGCGGCTGCAGTTAGCTCACTAAGCCGCAGCGTTACAGTTAGCTAGCTAAGCTGGCTAATCCAAGGTAAGTCACTGGGCTAAGTAGTGCTGGGCTGACAGAGCACGAGCTGCTTCTTCTTCATCAAAACCCTGTCAGATACCTCTTTTCTTTTTCAGGGGTTGGAATTTGGGAGGAGCTTATTTTGCTCCAACCAATCAGCGGAGAGTAAGCAGGTACATCAGAGCTGTCATTGTGACGAAACCTGCAAACGCTCCATCAGAAAATATCCAAGAATAAATAACAGCTGATTAAAGAGATAGAGGACTTACACCATCCCTACAAATAAAGCATACCCACCTGGTACGAAGACCAGCTGATGGACTCTGGGCCTGCCTGGACTAACTCTGAGTCCAACACTATGAGAGACAGTGGGTTCAGGTGCAGACTGATTTTCCCTCTCTGGTTTTTCAGTCTTTAAAAACTGAAGTTCAGTCTGAGGTCGAGTCTGCGTCGTTGGTATTTTTGACTATTCAGGTGTTTCTGACTTCTATAGAACACAAACCGAGTTCTGGGTCAAAGCTCAAGATTCAGAAACACCTCCAAAGACATCTCCACGTCCAAACGGAGCAAGTGAGATCAACATGGAGCCTTTCTGTCTTTCTGAATGATTGTGAAGCTGCAGGATCACAACGTTAGTTCACTCGCCTCTGCGTATCTGCGAATCCAAAGCTCTGACTAAGAGGCTGACACTTTAAAACTACATGAGAACTAGAAAAGCACTCGGAGAGTGCAGACCTCCGCCAAGCAGCTCACAGTATCCGGAATTTTGTCTGGATCAGGATCAACCTTTGACACCTTATAAAACTCATTGAGATCCTTTTGTGTAATTTTTTTACTGAAGACTCTGGCCACAAAAATTCCAAAATTTGCCTTATCTCACAATGATAAAGAATCCTTCAAAAAATTCCTGGATCCAGAACGCGATCCGGATCACCACCAAAATATAATGGGATCCTCCTGGGGCTGAGACGCACCTCTGGTGAAATTTCAGGTCAATCCGTCTGTAACTTTCTCCGTAAAGTTGCTGACAGACAAACAAACAAACCAACCAACGCTACCAAAAACATAACCTCCTTGGCGGAGGTATTGAACTACATTAGAATAAACTACATGAGAGTAAAGTACATGAGAAAAAACTACATGAGAATAAACTACATGGGAGTAAAGTACATGAGAATAACTTAAATAAGCGTAAACTACTTAAGAACAAACTACATGAGAAGAAAATTTAGGAGAATAAACTACACGAGTAAAGTACATGAGAAAAAACTGCATGAGGAAAAAATACATGACAGTGAACTATATAAGAAAAAACTACATGAGAGTAAACTACATGAGAATAAACTACATGAAAAAACTACATGAGAGTAAACTACATGAAAAAACTACATGAGAGTAAACTACATGAGAATCAAGTTTTGTTTTTATCAACATTTTAGGGTTGGGTTGTACGTGCAGAAAAGCATGTAAACTACATGAGAATCAAGTACGCGAGAGTAAACTACATGAGAATGAACTACATGAGAATGAACTACATGAGAATCACTTACAGTACAGAAGAGTAAACTACATGAGAATAAACTACATGAAAACAAACTACATGAGAGTAATCTACATGAAAATAAAGTATATGAGAACCAATTATGTGAGAGATGCGAACTGACTCTGGGTTTTAAACTCCTGACTGGTATCTGGAAAGTTCGGTCAATAAATATCTTCTTTTTTCACAGGCTTTTTCTTATAAGTGTGACGTTAAATCAAACAGAGAAAATGCAGAACTAAGTTTAATGATCCAGATTTGGTCTCTCGGTGTAAATTTGACATTACTTTGATAAACATTTAGATGAAGCTCTTCCACCTGTCCATGTGAGTTTCTTTAATTAAAGTGTAGAGGGATCTGCTGTTGAATGAACTGTTGGGGTTTAATCAGCCGCGCTGGAGTTCACTTCGTGTCCTGGACGATTGCTAACATATTTGGCTCGTCTTAATCTGATTTCTGCCAGCTGACCCGGGATCAGCGGGATGCCTCATCACGCTGCAGAATCCAACCAGCTTTAATTAGCTTTAAATAACAGTCAGGGTTTTATTAGTCACATTTACACAAACGGGGTCTGCAGAAACTCTCACCTACAGCCACACCAGGAACAACTTTATAAACCACCTAGATCCTGCCCTGTAACCTGTTTGTGTTCTACATGGATATAAAGTCACTGTAGCTGCTGGTTTTAGACATCAGTTATTTAGTTAAATGCCAAGATTTAGACGGATTCACTTCACAGTTATGATATTATTAACCACACAAGCAGGATCAATTCAGAAAAGGAGCAGAAAAGTCTGAACACGCCTGCCTGGAGCCTCTCAAACCCGGGCCAAAGACTCTCTGCCAAACGCTATCTTAGCTTAATTTAGCTCCCCTGGCGTCCTCCTGCAGGCTGACTGGCCCACATACCTGAACACAAAAAGAACCAACTCGACTGGATTCACAGCTCTACATCAGGTTTTCAACGCCAAACAACAAACAGCATTTCACCTAAGGTGAAATGTGCCAAGTCATTCCAGTCTCCCAACAAAGAATTCGAAATCATCTTCCAAAACCTTTGTACACCTAAAATATGTTCCTCCTATTTTTGAAGAACCACGACACCTTCTCAACCTTCTCAAACCTCCTTGAGGACCTAAAGAAGAGATTCAAGGACCTTAGGAACTTTCCAAGGATTTTTTTCACCATTGAGGACAACTCAGATGCCTTCAAGGACCCTTGGAAATGCTCTATAAATACTTCAAGCCCATACTGAGTCATGATACCTCCTCAAAACCCTTTGACACACTCTCAAGGACATCTGAAATACTCTCAAGGACTTCAGCGACACTTTCAAGGAGCTCTTGAACAGTCTTGAGGATCTCAGAAACATTCTTAAGACCCCTTAAATATTTTGAAAGGACACCAAAATAAATGAGAACACCTGATAAAGTCTCAAGGATCTTTGAAACATTTTCAAGAACCTTTGAAACCCACTAGAACATTATCAAGGACCTGTAAATACTCTCAAGAACCTCTAGAATTTCCTCAATGACCTCTAAAAACATTGTCAAGGACCACTAACACATTATCAAGGACCTGTAAATACTCTCAAAAACCTCTAGAATATCCTTAATGACCTCTAAAACATTTTCAAGGACCACTAGGACATTATCAAGGACCTGTAAATACTCTCAAAAACCTCTAGAATATCCTCAATGACCTCTAAAACATTTTCAAGGCTCGCTAGAACATTATCAAGGACCTTCAAATACTCTCAAGAACCTCTAGAATATCCTCAATGACCTCTAAAACATTTCAAGGACCACTAGAACATTATCAAGGACCTGTAAATACTCTCAAAAACCTCTAGAATATCCTTAATGACCTCTAAAACATTTTCAAGGCTCGCTAGAACATTATCAAGGACCTGTAAATACTCTCAAGAATCTCTGGAATATCCTCAATGACCTCTAAAACATTTCAAGGACCACTAGAACATTTTCAAGGACCTGTAAATACTCTCAAGAATCTCTGGAATATCCTCAATGACCTTAAGCGAAATGTCTCAACTCAGTCCAGTTGCAATTCCAACAAAGAACTAGAAATCATAGATGCTGCATCCTCAATTCAAATAGTGGAGGGAACATCCAGCTTGTTCCGAGCTTGATCCAGGATCAAGCTTGTTCCAGCTTGATCCTGAGTTTGTAAAATGAAAATTTTAGTCGTCTGAACCCTCAAATGTGTCTGAATAAGAGTCCAGGTCCAAACACGGACTGCTGTCCTTAATGTGGCAACATAATAGGACAGGAAAATTCAACGAGAACATCCTCCAAACTCAGTTCAGCCCTCTAATGCATACAGACAGACGTTTATATTCAGCTCCGTGTTGGACTCACAGACAGAAATTCACCTTTTGTTTCTCATCATCTCTAAGTGTTCTCATAATAATGTCTCTGTTTTCACACTGCAGTGTGTGTAGGAGAGGTTACATAAGACAGACAACAGCAACCAGAATAAAACCCGAGTCAGAGCGACCTCAGTGACTCGGTCAACAGAGAGAGAGTATCATTGATCCATGACGACCAGTTCACTTTAACATCAGCCATCTGAGAGAAGACAGACACACACACACACACACACACACACACACACACACAGGGGCATAAACAAGAGGTTCATTTAGGACATTAAAGACCTCAAACACCTCAATCATTCCTCTACAGCCCGTCAGAGATTAATGCTGCGTTTGAGTTACCTCGGATGTCCGATGTTGGAGCTGAAAATGACATCACACCCGAGTCCTCAGTGTTTCAGTAACCAAGTCGGAAAAAAGCAAAATTGGAGGCCTGAAAGAAGACGGCCACATCTACAAAAGTTATTTTAGCGCTTGCCTTATATTCAGTCGAGGCAAGCGCTGAAATAACTTTCATAGATGTAACCATCTTGTTTCAGGCCTCCAATTTTGCTTTTTTCCGACTTAGTAACAGAGACGCTGGGAACTCAGGTGTGACGTCATTCTCAGCTCAGACATCGGACTCCCGAGGTAACCCGAACGTAGCATAAGTCAAGGCCTTTTCCAGTTTCAGCAAGGAACACTTCCAGGAATTCAGAATGACCTAGATGGTCTTAAACTGTGAAATTATCAATTTCAAGGACCTCTTGAAATTATCGAAGAGAATTTAAGGAAGGAAAAAACAACAAAGGAAGGAAAGAAAAGTCAAAGAAAGGAAAGGAAAGGAAAGGAAAGAGGAAAGAGGAAAGGAAGGGAAAGATAATGAGAAGAAAAGGAGGTAAAACTGAGAAGGACAACAGGAAAGGAAATAGGAAAGGAGGAAAATGGGAAAAAAGTGAAAGGGAAGAAAATAAAATGAAATGTTGAGAACAGAGGAAAGGAGGAAAGGAGACAAAGAGAGGAGAGGAATGAGGAAAGGAATCAAGGATAGGAGCAGTGAGTTCTGTCAACAGGATTAAGAGATTACAGGCCACTCCCGTTAATCTGCTGTCCACGTGGTGACAGGGATGATGATGTCACATCTGGCAGCCAGTTAACACACACACACACACTCACACACATACTCAGCCAGTAACTGTATCTGGCCAATGACTTTTGACCCTGGCGCTAACAATATCTCCAAGAAAGACCACCGGGTAACTACAGCCCTGACCCCAAACATAGGGTCTTCGTCATGGAGACGTGAGCAGCTGTACTGACCAATCAGAGACGCTCGATCAGATCAATCAATGACCATTCAGAGTGTTTAATCATTAAAATACAGTATCACTAATTCTCAAGGACCACTGGACCCTCTTCATGGACCCCCACCAACCCTGGAGACCTTCAAGGACCTGGAACCTTAGACTCTAACACAACATCTTCCAAAACCTCCATTCACTTAAAATATGTTCCTCCTATTGTTGAAGAACCACGGCACCTTCTCAACCTTCTCAAATCTCCTCAAGGACCTAAAGAAGAGATTCAAGGACCTTAGAAACCTTCTTAGGACTATCTTTCACCATTGAGGACAACCCAGATGCCTTCGAAGACCCTTGGAAATGCTCTATAAATACTTTGAGCCCATACTGAGTCATGATACCTCCTCAAGACCCTTTGACACACTCTCAAGGACATCTGAAATACTCTCAAGGACCTCAGCAACACTTTCAAGGACCCCTAAAATAGTCTTGAGGATCTCAGGAACATTCTTTAGACCTCTTAAACATTTTGAAAGGCCACCAAAATACCAGTGAGAACATCTGATAAAGTCTCAAGGATCTTAGAAACATTTTCAAGGACCTGTGAAGCCCTCAAGAACCTCTGAAACAGGTTCTCTTAATGTCTCAAAAGTCTCTGAAAAATATTTATAACTCTTTAACGTCTTCACATACCTCTTATACAGATTTCAGGTCTCTGAAAACGTTTCAAGGATCTCTGAAATCCTCCAAAGAACATCTAAATACTCTCAAGAACCTCTGGAATATCCTTAATGACATCTGAAACATTTTCAAGGACCACTAGAACATTATCAAGGACCTGTTAACACTCTCAATGATCTTTCAGACATTTTTAAGGGCCTCACGTTCATTTTCAAGGACCTTAAAGATCTCTTAAAAGACTTTTTACTATATAGTGTCTTAACCAAATACAAAACCAAAGGGGTAGGTATCCTGCGCTCTGTTTGGCTCTTAGTTGTTGGGATCAAAGTTGAGTAAACAAGTTATTGACCTGCTGGTAACCATAGCAACAGCACAGATGCTTTTTTTTAACACTAATCAGTAGGGATGGGTTAAAAAAATCGATTTAATCGATTTGAATCGATTCACCTTTTTATTGTCTGATATCGATTCATAAATCCATAGATCAATCTTTTAACTTGCAGAAAACAGCATGTTTCAACCCTGGCAGTATCGCGAGATCAGCGTTTAGCGCGGCTTTCCACAGAACATGAGCTCGCGAGATGTTATCAACAGCCGTGAGCAAGAGAAGGAAACATGGCGGAAGGGAGTACAGTGTTAGTGGCAACCCCAGCAAGGTTTAAGGCTGATGTTTGGGTGTATTTTTGTTTTAAAAAGGACGGAGAGAACAACGCAGATGACAAAAAACAAGCAATATGCAAAGTATGCAACGAAGCAGTGAAATACTGTGGGAATACGACTAATCTCTGCAACCATCTGACAAGACATCACCCAGAAACAGTAACACAGTTGGACTTGGAACGGCTCAAACAAACTAGCCTGGAGCAGGTATTGGCCCCCAAGTTACCGGCAAGCTCTCAACATGCATGGAAGATAACTGAGGGTATTGCAGTTTTTATACGCAAAGACATTCGACCTTACAGCGTCGTTGAAAACGATGGTTTCTGAAGTCTCATGAAAACGCTGGAGAGCCAGGCTATGTTTTGCCGACTTGTAAACAATTCCAAACATGTATGCATGTTTGAAACAAAGCATCGACACTTTGCTTCAGGCAGCGGAAAGTGTGGCATTGACTTGCGACTGTTGGACATTCAGAGCAACAGATTCATATCTGACCATTACTGCTCACTACATTAACGACGACTGGGTCCTCGCATGTCATGTTCTACAAACAAGAGCTGTGGAAACCAGCCACACAGCGATGAATCTCAGTGACCTGTTACTCAGCACGATAGGCAAGTAGAAGCTTACAAACAAAGTGCCAGCCATTGTAACTGACAATGCTACAAATAAAAAAACCTCCTCTTCCTCCTATCTGACCACAAGAAGTCGATGATCTACCTCTACAGTAATCTCTTAGGCAGCGCAAAGCACAAATTGCTTTCCATGCCGGTTTGTGTTGTCGAACAACGGTGACGTTTGTCGCATATTGATGAAATATAGGTCGGATGAACGCGACCTGAGCGTCCACACTGCAGTCACATTGGATACATATCCGATTCATATCGACAAACAAAAGGGGTTGGATTTGAAAAAATCAGAATTGCACTGTTCACACTTACATGAAAAAATCAGATATGTGTTGCATATGGTTAAAAAATCGGAATTGACCTGCAGTGTGAACACAGCCTAAGTTTCTTTAGAGTAAGTTTGGACTGTTTTACACTCATACACCAATAACTCTGAGAATTCCTGATCATTAAATTCCTCTTTTTTATGGTTGATATCTCAGTGTGGTTTTATGCTTTACCGACAGTTTGAACTTTGATTATCCAGTAAAAAATCGGCCCATGTCTCTCCTGACCTCTAACCTGGTCTATAAAACGGATTAACACGGTGATAAAGAGACAAAATGTCCTCACAGAGACAGAAGAAGCAGTGTGGTGTGTCCGCCGAGGACGGCTCTGATTCCTCTGAGATGAACACTGAGCTGCAGGACATTTTATAATCAGTGGAGCGGAGAATCACTTTCTGCGTGTGTGTGTGTGTGTGTGTGTGTGTGTGTGTGTGTGTGTGTGTTGGTGTGGGTGACTTCAGCCCTATCACACACTCACACACACACACACTCACAAACTGCAGGATAATAAATCTGAGTGACGCTTTGGAAAGGAGGGATGAGGAGGACAGAGGAGGAGGAGAAGTTAATGAGAAAGGAGGCTGCAAGGAAGAAAGGAAGGATGAATGGAGAAGGAAAAAAACAAAGGGAGAGAGTTCAAATATTGGTATTCTACTCAGCAAAGTAGAGACGGATCTATTAGGATCATTTCTATCTCATATCTCAGATGATCGCTCTGATTCTACAGATTACCAACAGTAACCGTCTGAATGGTGTTGAGGTTGAGGACATGAATCTCATGATGATTCGGATGAGAACTCGATGAGATGGATGAGAGGTGTCTGAGAAAACTCCTCCTCCACATCAAAGTTCAAAAGTTCCTGTCCAGGATGGTAAACCTGCCTCTGCACCAAAATGTGCAGAAGCAGACTGCGTAGAGTGGAAACGCGCTCTCTGTGGTTCTGTGGTGGATGTGTGCGCGCTCAGCGCTGCCTCCGGTGAATGGGGGGATCATAAATCCTGATGAGGATTTTGTTCCTATCACACACACGCGTCTGAAGTCACTGACCTGAGTCCATCATCACCTGCTAAAATATGACTGAATAGAGTCCTGTTGGTGCGTTCAAGGACACTCCGTGCATCAGAACCTCACAGACTCAGCTGCAGAGAACCTCTTCTGAGAGACACACTCACTCTGTCACCAGGACGTGTTTCCTCTTTACTTCCTGTCTTTTCTTTCCTCTCACCTCCCCCTGACCTGCTCCCCTTTCGTTTTCTCTTTCGTACTTCCCCTCCTCTAACCGACTTCTCTGTCCGTATCTGAGAACCACTGATCTAAATCCCCACGATAAGACGTGCTGTTAGGGGAATCAAACCCACAACAACACAACCTACAACCTCTCTGGGGTAAAGCAGGTCTTATTAAACATTCATAAACTGATAAACTCATTTGGACCACCTATCAGAACTTCTGATGAAGTTACCGTGACAACACGGTGGTCTGTGTATGATTAATATTTGCGTCACATTAAAATACCACAGAGTCAAGAAATAATGAAATAATGTGATCTGCTCTAAGATAAGAAATGAAAAGACAGTTTCATCCAAATCGGTCCAGAGTGATTAAGCGGTTCAGTCAGCACAAAGCCGCTGTGGGAGTGAAAAACCACAGACTGACCCTTTAAAGAGAGATTTTGGCTCCAGATGAGTTTGATAAATCAGCTGACCTTTACAGAAACACCGAGAGGAAGAGTTATGGACACATCAGAGCGTCTAATGTGAGAGCTTTCTCTTGATTCTCTGTGATTTAACACGAGTGCGACCTTCCCCTCCTCCTCCTCACTCTGTGTGAACATGCAGACCTTTCAAACTCACTGACTGTGTGAGCGAGACCTTTTCAGGTGAGAAGAAACATCTCCTCTTTCTCTTTCTTTCAGTCTGAGCAGTTTGTCACAGCTGGTAAAGTTCAGACTCAGCACACTCAGCTGTCAGAGCCCGAAGAAAACGCCTGAATGAAGGGCTCCGATTATCCAAAGGCCAACGACTTTTGCTGCGTCTGAGGAGCTGAACCAAACAAACACACCTCTGTTCCAAAAACAAGAGCTACCAAACTCGGCAGTACCCTGAGTGTCCACTAGAGGCTGTGACCTGCAGTGAGGCAGTCCCTATAGAGCCTCATGTTAAACTGTATCAAGTCTTTCCTGTTACTTGGACATAAGCAGCTCTCACCAGCCTCAGTAACTGTGTGACCCCCAATTTCCACCGCATCCTGAACGGCTACTTAAAGGTCATACCCTCCGATCGTAGCTGATTGTTAGCATTCAAGTTAACGTGTCGATTTCCACCGGCTTCTTTCTGTTCCGCTGCGGATCACTGGACTCCATAGCTGAGAGTTCTATTTTTTACGGACGCTGGAGCATGCCAGATAAGTTCAGCACAGATTAACCCGTGCTGGAAAGAAAGTCGGGCACAGACACAAAATAAACATCCGGCTTCTCTTCAAAATAAAACTCCGTGTTTCAGGAGGATCGTATTTCACACCATGCAAACAGGCGGAGACGAACAAGTGAAAGGTTTTTAGACGTCATTTCACCACGATGACACCATGGATGAGGAGATGCTGATTCTAGAAGTCTAGAAGTAGATTTCCTCCTCTGGAAGGACACAATCTACTGCTTATATGTCTACATGGCTGTCTTTATAGAGACAACTCGTTATCGAGTGATTGAACGTGAACCCGCGGGTTCTTGTGAGTTATCATGATTCCTGCTGTCCGTAATCCGCCACACAATTCACACAATTCGAACGGTGAAAATCGCTGCCGTTCTGGATGGGAGCAGATCTGGAAAGGTGAAAACTAGGGGTTACTTGTACAATAGCTGCTTTGGCCGGCCTCAGTCACTGTCAGTCAGGTTGTTGTTGACTGTTTTTTCAGACAGCAGGTCAAAGACAAGGAAACAGATTTTCTTTTTTTGCTCTCCAACCGAGTGAGCAGCTCCAGGAGAGTTTGTTCTTAACCCTTAACTTCAGGGTTATCATCCGCCCGTTTGCATGGTGTGAAATACGATCCTCCTGAAACACAGAGTGTTTTATTTTGAAGAGAAGCCGGATGTTTATTTTGTGTCTGTGCCCGACTTCTTTTCCAGCACGGGTTAATCTGTGATGAATATATCCAGCATGCTCTGGCGTCCAAAAAAAATAGAACTCTTGCGATCAGCTGAGGAGTCCGGCGATCCGGACACATGGAAATTGACACATTAACTTGAATGGTTACGATCAGCTAAGATCGGAGGATATCACCTTTTAGTAGCCGTTCAGGATGCGGTGGAAATTGGGGGTGAGGTTGGTTAGGTGTGTTTTGGACGTAACATCAATCAAACCAATCAGTGTGTCTGCTCTCATTCCCTTTAAGGTGTGCCATCTTTCTCCTACTCATCGCTAAATCCGCTAAACTCTGTTTTCAGATCAAAATACAGACAAACGTTCCTCTCTGCTTCTGTGCAGTGATACCTGTAAACCCTGGCAGGTACAGGTCTGACAGGAATAGAAGCATATCCCTGAATAACCGAAGATGATAAAGTTTATCAAACAAGAAAATAAACCTGAAGACTCTTCTGGGTCACACTGAGGTGAGAGGGATGTTCTGTCAGGACTGAGCTGTACTGTACGCAGAGAAATCAATACCAGTGTTTGTACACAGAGGTACATGTTTGAGTCTAACGGCAGAATAAAGTGAAGAGGAAGAGGAGGATGGAGGGGATGGAGAGGGAGGAAAAGGACGGAGAAGATGAGTTTGAGTTTTGTAGCACACATCACACCAAAAGTGAAACAGCAGTTAACACAATCTCTGCACGCACGCACACACATCCTCTGCAAAAACTGAAGCTTCTCCAATAAATTCAAAAAAGGTCCAGCAGAGGCCACGCCCCCACAAGTTAAGGCCACGCCTACTTTGTACAGCCACATGCACTTTTTAGTCTAAACCAGCCAACCAGACTTCTTTGGTGGAATTATATCAAGGCTGCTTAAGAAAGAGCAGAGCGTCTTTTAGGTGAGGGGCGGAGCCTCATTCATCTACATGTGTGGTACTAACCTCCTCCATTCTTGTAGCACAGGTAAGGGAACCTCCACACGTTTCCCAGCCCCACAGCGAAGCCCACACAGGACATAATGAAGTCCATCTGCCGCGTCCATGTCTCCCGCTCCTGGTACCCTGGTCCTGTCCCGTTAGCCACGCTCACCTTCTTGTCAGACCTGGCACAGGCACCACTGCTGCAGGCCGAACCTGCCACCCCAGCTCCGAGCGGGACCAGGCTGCCGTTAGAGGCCGACGAGGGGTAACCACCGCCGCCATTGGTCAGAGGGAAGGGACTCTTCTTGGTCTCCTCGAGGAGGACCAGAGAGCAGGACGAGGCGGGCAGAGCCTGCTTCTCCATCAGTCCAGGAACCAGGCAGGAACCAGGCTGTAAGTGATCCGAAATCTCAGTCCAAGTCCCGTTACGTCTCCTGCTTTCTGTCTTCTAAAATCTGGTTCGAGTCTCACTGAAAACCTGTGATCCACCAATCAGTAACAGTAGGAGCCAAAGATCTGAGTTGTAGTCTCTTACAGTTTTCTTAAATTCCTAAAACTTTTTCCAACTTTCTTTCTCACCTCTGAAATCTGCTACTTTCTCTGAGATACAGTCAGCCCAATAACCAGTGACAAACCAGTCAGAAACCAGTCACCAACAGCAGCTTGTCCTCAGAAAAAGCCGTCCTCAGCTGGTCACTAGTTTGGTTTTGATTACGATTAAGCCTCTTCACAGTCTTTCTTTCTAAAAGTCCTAAATCCAGTCAGAAACCAGGCGGTTAGGAGCCAAAGATCTGAGTTGTAGTCTCTTAGAGTTTTCTTAAAAACTTTTTCCAACTTTCTAATCTTTTCAAATCTGCTTCTTTCTCTGAGATACAGTCAGCCCAATAACCAGTAACAAACCAGTCAGAAACCAGTCACCAACAGCAGCTTGTCTTCTTCCAGTGAATCACTTTTTCTCTCAAACCGCAGAAACAGCTGATGTTTCAGCCCCTCAGAGTCCTAAATCCAGTCAGAAACCAGTCCTCACTGGTGTTAAATCCTGTGTCTTGACTCTGCTGGAGTCCCAGCAGCAGGTCTGAGACAGATGAGTCAGTCCTGCTCGGTCCCCTGTCAGGTCTCTATCCTGCACCTCCTCCTCCTTCTTCTTCTTCTTCAGTGATAATAAATGTAGTTTTTAAATTCAATCTGTTTTTGTATTGATCAGATTTGATCAGATTCTTGTTTTCTTCTCCTAAAAAAGACACAATAATCCAGAATAATCTGCAGTGAAGTCGACCTCCTCGGATCAGAGAGAAAAGGATGAACTAAAAAGAGAATGAAAAAGAAAGGAGCTGGACTCGGACACCGGGACAGCGACCTTCAAAAACAATCCACGAAACACTTGAATGTGAGTCTGAAGAATCGCATGGGAACTGAGAGTCACGGAGGAGACGGCGGCCTGCGGAGGGACGAAGAGGACGGAGAGAACGACACGGTCACGCAGATCCCGCGGCGGTGCGGGGCTTCAGTCCCGGCGGCGGTGCGCTTTGTGCAGGGGCTGCAGCTCCATCCACAGAGGAGGAGGAGTAGGAGAGGAGGAGAAAGGAGTAGTACGACGGTCCGAGCGCGTCTTCCTCAGCTGTCAGATGTCCCGGAGAGGTTTTCGCTCCTTGGTCTGTCCGTCTGTCTCTGTCGGTCTGTCTGCCTCGCGCTCTCTGCCGCGGCTTTAAAAGGACAAGCGGCTGCTCTCGCAGTGACGTCACCAGCAGGCCCCGCCCCCTCCGTTCTCCCTCTCACAGTCAGACGTCATCACCCCCCCCCCCCCCCCCCCCACCGTTCATCTGCACCTCTGACGGAGCAGGTGTCCCCCCAATCCACACTCTCTCCCTACTACACGCGCGCACTCTCTCTCTCTTTCTCTCTCTCTCTCTCTCTCTCACACACATACACACACACACACACACACACACACACACACACACACACACACACACACACACCTTGGGTATTTGTGAACCAAACCCCTTCATCACAGTCTCGCTTTCATTCCGACGTCATGAACCCCCCCTCCCCCCTTTTTATTCATCTGCATCTCTGACGTAGCACGTGTCCCCCCCAATACACACTCCTCTCTCACTAAACATGCACGCACACACACACTGTCGGTATTTCTGACATCAAAGCGTCTCCATCGGAGCGTCTCTCTTTCTGGCGTGAGTCCACAGCAGAAACCCAAATCTCCAGCAGGGGGCGGGGTCAGTGAGAAAAAGCTCCTCCTCCAATTGTAGATAGTTATCAATGATCTGACCACAGACTGTATACACTGATCCGGCGAAATGACCGGAAGTAGTACGGCCGCCATTACTGCGGTGTGCGCGAAGCGAACGAGAAGCAGTGCTGTAAGCAGCGAGCAGCAACACAAGCAACCCTGCACAACTGTGTCAAGACAGTCTGGGAGGATGTGTGCCGTCATCGGCACCAGTAAAAGACTACAGTTGTGGGAAAAAGTCGATATGTGAGACGCACATGCCATTACCGTAACATCCATTCAGTTCTTAGTTGTGCGCGATCCCACGCCCCGCATTTAGATTTTGGCAGGCATGCATTTCACGGCATAACACTGATAGCCCACGAAACAAATATTTAATTCCTACATTATTTTTTAATCACGTAGGCTTGTACATAATGATTAATTGCCTGTTAACTTGCGAGGGTCAGTATAAATGTAGCCTTGCCAGTGTTTACACACACATTTCCTCCTACTTCAGTATTTCACAATTAAATACTTCATGCTTTTCATCTTATTAATTCCCAAATTAATATCGGTATTAATTTAAGATACCTTCATCAGTAACCGGAGGCCACTGTCTGACATCGTCAAACCAGGTGACTTTACTCATGCTGTCAATGATGCTCTCAGACACTATTTACTAGCATACGTTTATTTGTTGAAAGCATGACAAGCAATGGCGTTGCACAAGATGGCAGTGTATACAAATCATAAATCCCGCCTCCTTATGGAGCTGCGGACAAACTTTATAAATTAATTAACACAGAATATAAATGTTTCTCCCCCCTGGTTGTGATGTTGACATGTAGTTACTGTCAGACTGGTTTGAGCTCAAGTCCTCTTTTTTCTGTGAAGCTCCATTTTTAAAAGTTATTAGGGGGTTCATGTTTTCTATGATTGACACTTGATAAAGCCTATGGGCGTACCAAGATTGAGTAGCTCACCCAGGGGATACGCTGTTTGAGCCGAGCGTCATCACACCGACTCTCGAAGACTCTCCCGCCAAACGCGCACAACGCTACTGCGCAATGTTGGTTTCAGGACATAGAAAAAACACGGAAATACCGAGAGCTTTTCGGCTTCAAATCCGTATACTGGAGGAAGGAGAAACCAAGATGTCCAGAGTAAATACAGTCTATGCTATTTACACACACACACACACACACACACACACACACACACATCTAATAAATTTCCTTCTCAGACACTCGGGTTACTCCGTGGAGGACTCTGGGTCTGAAGGTGAGTCAGAGCTGGACTGATGTTCCTGGAAGTCACTGAATCAGTGACAGAGTGCTGACTGGAAGGTCAGAGGTCGGACAGAGAGGAAAGGTGGAGTGAAGAAACAGAAAAACGTTCTTGACGGAGATCCTGCCATATAAGCAAAAATCATCAAACAGCCGATTCTGAAAACTGCAGTTCCTCAAGCATCCACTAGAGGTTGGCTCTAAAAGCCCTTCAAGCCCCAAACACAGTCATGATAAAAAGTTACTCTTTACAGCAGAGACAAACATGTTTAGAGTCTGGTTCAGAAAGAGCACACACTCAGTCCGTTTCCATTACACCCGAGAAAACCGAAGTATCGCCTTATTCTGACGAAGACCGGACAACTGAAGGTCATGTAAACACCTTAGTCTGACTATAATCGGAGTTTGAGAACTCTGATTAAGACACTGGGATAATGCGATTGGAATTCGATTTTCTCTAACATGTAACCAGCGTAGTCGGAGTATGATCGGACTATGCATGTGTGCGTGCGCCACGCCCCCGTAACCCCGGAACAAAAACACCTGAGAAGAGGAGTAGCATGCGTCTCATCTGCAGAAAAAGTAGCGCGTCCATCATGTAGGACAAAAACAACGCTGTACGATGCTCCATCTTCTCGCTCCAAAATGCCTGATAGCAGTTGTAAAAGACCCACATCGCCCCCTAGTTTTGGGGAGGAGGACATGTTCACGCCAATAATTCGATTTTCTCAGCTGCATGTATACGCAGACAAGGAGAGAAGTCCGATTCAGTGAAAAAAATAGAATCATGAGCTTAGTCTGATTAAACTGTGCATGTTAACACACTGAGTGTTCAGAGATGGACTTATGAAGAACTCCTGACTTTTGAGGAAACAAGGACAGAAGTTCTGCATAATGAACTGAGTCTGCCTCTAAACTCCACCTCAGAAACCTGCGGGTGACGTTACTGAGACCTCCAACTGTCTGTGGTTGTGACACCACGTCTACAGTGGCCCTAAAGGTGAACTGTTCAAATAGTATTTTTATTTACAATTTCATTCTCATATGAAAATAATTTAACTCAGTCTTTATTCTGGTAACATCATGACTCTTTATTTGTAGGAATGGCAGCGATTTTTCACCGTCAGTCAGTTCCTACCGGATCCGTTTGTAAAGCGAATCTTGTGGCGGATTACGGACAGCAGTGATCGCGAGAACCCGCGATTCACATTCAATCATGCGATAACGAGTTGTCTCTATAAAGACAACCACATAGACATATAAGCAGTAGATTGTGTCCTTCCAGAGGAGGAAATCGACTTCTAGACTTTTAGAATCAGCATCTCCTCATCCATGGTGTCATTGGGGTGAAATGACATCTAAAAACCTTTCACTTGTTCGTCTCCGCCCGTTTGCATGGTATGAAATGTGAGTGTTTTAACGGGGGATTTGTGTTTTTTCTGCTTTAGTTCAGACTCTATTTACAGTGCATCTGGAAAGTATTCATATCACTTCATATTTCCACATTTTGTTATGTTACAGCCGTATTCCAAAATGGATTAAATTTCTTATTTCCCTCAAAAATTCTACACAAAATACCCCATAATGACAAAGCGAAAAACTTTTTTTAGAACATTTTGCAAATTTATTAAAAATAAGACACTCAAATGTTGCATATACATAAGTATTCACACCCTTTGCTATAAAACTCAAAATTGAGCTCAGGTGCATCCAGTTTCCACTGATCAGCCTTGAAATGTTCCTTCAACTTGATTGCAGTCCACCTGTGGCAAATTCAGCTGATTGGACATGATTTGGAAAGCCACACCTGTCTATATAAGATCCCACAGCTGACAGAGCACGTCAGAGCACAAACCAAGCCATGAAGTCAAAAGAATTGTCTGTAGACCTCCGAAACAGGGTTGTATCGGTGCAAAGATCTGGGGAAGGTTACAGAAAAATATCTGCTGCATTGAAGATCCCAAAAAGCACAGTGGTCTCCATCATTAAGAAATGGAAGCCGTTTGGAACCACCAGGACTCTTCCTAGAGCTGGCCGCCCAGCCAAAATGAGCAAGCGGGGGAGAAGGGCCTTGATCAGGGAGGTGACCAAGAACCCGAGGGTCACTCTGACAGAGCTCCAGCATTCCTCTGAGGAGATGGGAGAACCCTACAGAAGGACCACCATCTCTGCAGCACTCCACCAGTCAGGCATTTATGGTAGAGTGGCCAGACAGAAGCCACTCCTCAGTAAAAAGCACATGACAGCCCACTTGGTCTTTGCTAGAAGGCACCTGAAGGACTCACAGACCAGGAGAAACAAAATTCTCTGGTCTGATGAAACGAAGATCGAACTCTTTGGCCTGAATGCCAAGGGTCATGTCTGGAGGAAACCAGGCACTGCTCAGCACCTCGCCAATACCATCCCTACAGTGAAGCATGGTGGTGGCAGCATCATGCTGTGGGGATGTTTTTCAGCTGCAGGAACTGGGAGACTTGTCAGGATCGAGGGGAAAAATGAATGCAGCTAAGTACATTGAAATCCTTGATAAAAACCTGCTCCAGAGCGTTCGAGACCTTCAGCTGAGGCGACGCTTCATCTTCCAGCATGACAATGACCCTAAGCACACGGCCAAGAAGACAAAGGAGTGGCTTCAGGACAAGTCTCTGAATGTCCTTGAGTGGCCCAGCCGGAGCCCAGACTTGAACCCGATTGAACATCTTTGGAAAGACCTGAAAGTAGCTGTGCACTGACGCTGCCCATCCAACCTCACTGAGCTTGAGAGGATGTGCGAGGAAGAATGGGGAAAAACTCCCCAAATCCAGGTGTGCCAAGCTTGTTGCATCATACAAAAGAAGACTGGAGGCTGTAATCGCTGCCAAAGGTGCTTCGACCAAGTATAGAGTAAAGGGTGTGAATACTTATGTATATGCAACATTTGAGTGTTTTTATTTTTAATAAATTTGCAAAAATGTTCTAAAAAAAGTTTTTCGCTTTGTCATTATGGGGTATTTTGTGTAGAATTTTTGAGGGAAAAAGGGAATTTAATCCATTTTGGAATAAGGCTGTACCGTAACAAAATGTGGAAAAAGTGAAGTGGTATGAATACTTTCCAGATGGACAGTATGTTCTATTTTTTTGTTAAAATAATGTAAATGTGGGGGAGAAGAGGTAGGTTTAAAAAAGCATAATGCTTCATCCTACTCCTTTTTGGACATGTTGGATTCACATTATTAGTAGTAGTATTTTTAATTTATTTTATTTTTACTTTTTTGCTTTGATTATTGTTATTGTTGTTTTGAATATTCTCACTGGTTTTGTTTGTTTGTCTCACTTTACTTTCTTGTGTTGCACACACACGTTAGAAAAAGATAAATAAATTAATAAATAAAATGAACAAATGGACCAAGGAATGGAACAGATTTGGATCTTTGAACCTGTGGTATGTTTCTTTCCAGCTGATTATATCCAAAGTCACATCAAGTCTTTCCTCCAAACAGAATTAATCAGAACAAAGATTTCAGCTAACTGGTGATTATTAAACCAGGAGAAAGGACTAAACAGGAGTGTCCTGACCCAACGAGAACATCAGATAAACCACGAACAGTGTGTCTGGTTTTTACTGCAGCTCAGAGTCCAGCACAGACCTTCAGTCCAGACTTTGAAGTTTCACGTATCTTATCTCTGCTCTGCACACTGATGGTCGAGCAAGGTCGCAGCGTCACCTCAGTTTCCTTTTGCACGTTTTTTGTTTTCAGAACCTGAACAGACAGGGTCCAAAGGAGAACTCATGAAAAGAGCCGATGATGATGAATAATCCAGAGACCATCTCACAGTAGCTGATTAGACATCTTATACGTGTGTCTATGTTTCTGTTTCCTCCCTCTGAAACCTCCAACACACTGAAAAACTGGACCAGAGCCCCCCAGGTCTAAAGGGTTATCAGGGACTTCCTTATTCTCTGATCTAAACTGTGATGGTCTCAGAGATCCCGTCTCCTGTTTATGTAAATATCACCTTCATTCAAACCTCCTATATGTCACTGTGTAATTTTACCGTCTTTAAACCCTCCTCAGAGAGACAACCAGCACCATCTAGTGGAGAAAAGGAGTTATTACTTCAGCTATTATTATAACCTAATATATGGTTATAATAATGATTGTGTTGGAGGCAAACAGGTTCATTTCTTTGATATGACCAAAGTAATTATTTTTAAAAGATTCTTATACTGAATAATGTCATAATATCATAATAAATAAAAATTGTATTTTTAGATTCGAGTAATAAACTTGGGTACTGACTAATAACAGGCACAGATTAATTAAACGGAAGGGGACTTTTTTTCACTGTACACGAGTTAGACTTAAATCACGGTATGATGTTCGAATCTTCATGTTTTATACACAAAAATATTAAATGAATAAACATGGAGACAAAAAAAAAAAAAACTGTTTTATAAAAACAGACCACAGAAACTGCTACATGAGGAGAGCTGTACTCAGGGTGCAGGTGAATATCTGGAGAAGAATAGGCTGGAAATGTGCTGAGAAATATAAAATAAACAAGATTCTGTTGCTATCCAGAAAAAACAAGAGGGTACTCGCTAATACCTAGAACTAGACAGAAGTGCGGACCTAAATGATGAGATTTATCAAGTTACAAAGAATAGTAGATGAGTGGCTCTGGCTAATTCCTATCATTGATTGGAGGACCCTGGTTAATTCCTGGGGTTTTGATAAGTGTTTCTACCATCACCAAGTAACATAATTGATAATTGATCAATGAGAGCCCAGACCCATGACCACTGTCTAATCCAAGGTTAGGGTAACTGCAGCCAGGGCCCTGACTAACACCTGGAAAGAAAAGAAAGAAAAAAGAAAAAAAAAATGTTCGTGCTTATACCAAGACTTAACTCAGGATAGGGGGTAATATCTGGTATCTGTTGTCTAAGACTAATTTCTGATGATAATGCGGCACATCTGAACTCAAACAGTGGAGCTGCAACGTACAACTTAAGTAAAAAAAAAAAAAAGACTAAATCCTGATGAAATCTTAAAAATCTAAATTCAGATTATAGGCCATGAGTGTTTAAAGGGACCTGACTATCAATGGATCCAGCTAAGACTATGACCTGGAATATGAGAAACGGTCTCAACAGTACCTGGAGATGAACCAAATGTCTGTAAGGAACCAAATGACTGTAAGGATGGGACTAATACCTGAACTGGAACGTGCTAACCACGACACCTCTGTGCCACCCCCTTTTTAAATTTCAATGAAAAGGAAACAGAATTCATCATCTTTGGCTAAATCAGTTTTATCTTTTAATCATTTTGAGCGAGTCATTCCTGCTTTTATTTACACACGGTTGGACGACTGTAACACTCTTTACGTCAGTAAAGTCTGTGAGGTATGCTGATCAGCTCCAACTAGTCGTCCCTAGAACTCATTAAAAAACCTGTGGCAACAGAACTTTCTCCGCTGTGACTCCTTAACTGTGGAACGAATCGAGATGAAAATATCCCCCACTCTTTCTACTTTTAAATCACGTCTTAAAACTCATTTTTATTCCTTGGCTTTTAGCTCAGCATGCGAGTTGTGTGATCTCTTTTAGCACTTTAATGCTTTTGTGTTTTTTATTTTGTTTATTATATTTCATTTTAAATGTTTTTTACCTGCTTTTATTTATTTCCTCATGATGTTTTCTGTCATGTTTATTCTTTTAAATTTTACTGTGCAGCACTAAAAGAAATAGATTATCTGTTTCCTGAGTGTTTATCTGTCGCGTCAGACACAGAAAACAAACTTATGTTATTGTAGAAAAGAGTTCAACAGAGACATGAAAACAGAGACAAAAGAAACTCAGTGTTTGTGTTTTTGTCACTGAGGATTTTATTTTTACTGTCAAAAAAATAAGAAACTTACATCCGTTTGTATGAAAATATTTGACAACAGTTTGTTAACATAATTTATTTCAGGTTCAGTCTGAAGATAAAAGTTCAGAAAAAGTCCCAAAAAAACGTCCCAAAATGAGCTGAAGGCACCGAAACAGAAAAAGACTTGACAGACATTTCAAAGCTTTTTAACAGGAGTGGGAGAAAAACGCCTTTTCACAATTAAAGCATAAAGTTAAAGAGGAAACGTGTAAACTTTCACAATAAAGGTCACTTTGTGTTGATTTTCCCTTTAGATTAGAGCAAGATAGTTCCCGGCTCTGAGGCTCTTTGGTTTAGAGATTTTAAAATTCTGAATTTAACTATTTTAATAATTCTCTTTATTTCTATAGGACCATAAAAAAGAGAATGGTTTCCTCACTAAATGTTGAGGATCCAGTTCTCAGAAATAAACTTTGAGTTTTTGAAATGTTTGGAACAAAAATAATAAAGATGGAAATAAAAAAATTCACATTAAATAAAGATGTGAAACAGCTCACTGACAGGGAGTGAAATAAATCCTGATAAATAATAAACTTTTCCTATTTTCAAACTTCCTTTGGTTTATTTCTGAATGAAAGGATTAACTCTAAAAAGGGGAAAATGGTGATTATACTGAGCACAGGCTTCAGTCTACATCTGTTTTAATACTAAACTAAACTAATCTGTCTGTAACATAATTCCAAAAATATTTATCAATTTATTTCAGTTTGAAGGAAACTTTTTTGTAAGGAGGGCAGATTGGAAAAATAAAAAAAACTTGGACTGAAAGAAAAACAGTGAAACTGATTTCCCACTAAGGAGTGACTTAAATTCCACTTTCAATGTTAAAAAAAGTAACAAAAAATGTGGTTTTATTTAGAGGGTGTTCACATTTTGAAGGTTTATTTAACGGTAACTTTCTTGTCTCTTTTAAAAGCTGAATTATTTATCCAGTAAGATTACTTTAGAGGGAAACATAAAAGATAATCATCTTAAATGAGTCACTCTGTTTTTGACAGTTTAATCTTCACTGTTTCATGACCAATCTAAAATTCCTCACTGGAGCTTTAAATAAATTAAGAAACTAAATCCAAATAATATATTTAGTCAGTAAACACACTGTCCTGATAAATAAGGTATTAATATCCAGATGTAACAGTCCAGTAACGCTGCAGGCTCAGACATGTTCATGTGCACTAAAGGCAGCTTAACAATAATAATAATAATAATAATAATAATAATAAAAATAATAATAATAATGATAATACAGTACCTAATAACACGGCAGTACCACTTTAGACCAGCAGGAGTGCTGTGGCTCTGAGTCATAAGGACACTTTTTAAAATAGGAAAATACTGTGTGGAGTGTTTAATGTTTTGACCTCAGCAGCAGCATGAAGATGATGATAATGGAGATGATGATGAAGGCACTGTCAGTCCCTCAGGATCCCTTCTGTTTACCTGAACACCTGATGGACAGACAGAAAGAGGAGAAGAAGAGAATCAGTATGAGCTAATCAGGTAAAGGGTCATTACATTGATTTCACTCCAAATATGGATTATTGTTATGATTAAACCATCTGGTCAAATTCATTTCAAGTTTCAAAGCTCTCTTACAAACTTTACAGTCGATGTTTGTCCCTAAAAACCATTCCTATAAGAAATTTAGACGTAATTTTGGACTCCGACCTCACCTTCAAACAGCACATCAAGAAAACAGTCCAGTCACGTTTTATTCAGATCAGGTTTAATTTAAGACATTCTTCGCTTGTTGATTAAAAAAGGCCATCCACGCAGTCTTTTACAAACTCCTGAACCTCTTTGATCTTTCCTCCTGAGAATGTCCGTCCAAAGACAATTGTTCCCATTGAAGTCCTAAATTCCACTGTCTTCTTTCTGTTCCGCTGCGGATCGGCAGGCTTCGTAGCCGATTGCAAGAGTTCTATTTTTGGGGGACGCTGCAGCATACCGCATAAAATCTGCACAGATTACCCCCAATTTCCACCACATCCAGAACGGCTACGAAAAGGCTGTATCCGCCGATCGTAGCTGATCGTAACTATTCAAGTTAACGTGTCAATTTCCACCAGCTTCTTTTCGTTCCTCTGCGGATCGCAAGAGTTCTATTTTTTCCGGGTGCCAGAGTATGCCGGATAAAGTCAGCACAGATTAACTCGTGCTGGAGAGGAGTCGTGCACAGACACAAAATAAAACATCCGGCTTCTTTTCAAAATAAAACACTCCTTTTTATGAGGATAATATTTCACACCATGCAAACAGACGGAGACCTGGTCATGTGACTCACCTCATGAGTTCCTCTAGATGTTTTTTTTAGCATCACAACTTTTTAACCCTTTTGGTTGTTCCTCCATAAGAACTTTTTACAACCATGTAGACCATGTACAACCATCAAATTTATTATAATCAGATTTTTCATTTAAAAAGTAAGAGTTTTTCAGTTTAAACATTGATATTTTTATTTTAATACATACTCTTAATCATCTGAACATTTTTCAATTCCGGGTTTTAATTTTCACCCACAGTTTGTTTTTCTTCTAAAAAGTGATTAAAGTCCGGTCTGACACATTTTGGGCTTTCAAATCTACAAATTAAGACAAACTCCAGAGTGTTTTCGTCAGTGTCCTTGTTTATATAAAACTTTAACCAAAAGAAGTATTTACACATTCAGAAGTTACAAGAAATCAACAATCAAGTGCAAACTAACAGGTCAGAGCTGAAAACGGTTCAATTCCCTCAGAAATAGATTCAGACAAACAGAGGAGAGAGTTGAACTTCTAAAACACCAGCCAGCCATCATCTGATTTCAATAAATATGACAGCATGGTTTCGACTCGACCAGCAGGAGGCGCTCCAGAGCTTATTGTGTGGACTGTTGATAGTGTGAACCAGCTCTGGAGCGCCTCCTGCTGAGTCTCCCCCTCCTCTTCATCACCACCACCAAAATAAACCAGCAGCCGTTCAACAACCCCACATTAAATAACCGATATATTATTATTATCATTATTATTATTATTATTACTGTTGTTGTAGAGTTCCTTCACAGACAGAAACTGTCTGCTAGCTTTTACAAAAACAAACAGAACAGGTCAGAGAAGATGTTTCCTGAAGATTGGATTAAACTCAGAGAAAGATCATCTGAGAAGAAGAAACCCTTGTTGTTGTTGTTTCGTCGTATCGATCTGAGAGTCGGAAAGGTTGGAGAAACTCCATGCTAACACAGACTCCCGATCATCTAAACTTAGATTTCCTCTCTTTCAGCCGCTCTAAACTGATGGAGAAGAATCTAAACAAACTTCCAGCTGAGCTCTTCTCCAACTTTAAACTAAGCTCAGCTGCTCCGTCACCTCCTGCCGAGATCTGGAGACAAAACAACAAAAACGTCAAACTCAAACGCAGAGACGAACCCGCCGTCCGACTCTGAAGCAGAACCCGTCCACACAAAGACAAACACACAGAGAGAAAGACATTCAGGATGTCCCCGCAGGACGACGTCTCCTTCAACGAGATGCCTGCAGGATCAACAGCTTCATCATGATTCGGTATTTTAAAACGCGCTCCAATCAACGAGCGTGTCCACCACGCCGATCTGAGGTCAGGGTTCAGAGTCCCTCAAACAGACCTGCAGACCGTCTGAGAGCTTCACACCCACAATCATATGGCTTCTGTACAGATGGAAGAAAAGGCACCAAAACACAAACAGTGCGTCTAAAGATTCCCAACATGGCCGCCAACGCCGCCACCGTGTGAGCAGGGAAAAGTTTTAGCGTGAAGCTCCACAAACCAGTCCAGAACCAGAACAGATCAGCTGTTTCTGACAAAGTCTTTCCACTGAGAACCACATCTGAGCGACTCGCCGCTCTCCACGCCGACCTCCTTCTCCGAGTGCTGGGGCATTCAGATTCAAGGAGGCGGGGCTTCAGATGTTCAAAGAATAGAAAAATAATTTCAGAGTCTCACTGTAAACAAGAACTGGTCCTCAGCCATATACACACAGAGACCCCGACCCGGGACGGATTTTGAGATATGGACCCGGTGAGTCTGAGAGGCGGCTCTATGTTTACAGTTCTACATTAAACAGATAGATCTATGTACACTAGATCTGTCTGTGCAGAGTCTCTCCTCACTCAATGTTCATGTTGGATTCTTAGCTGAGGCTCAGATCCTCCTTAGACCTTTAACCATGGAGGTCCTGATGGAGGAGGACTGATCGTGCGCTCGAGTTACCTCGAAAGTCCGATGTCGGAGCTGAAAATGACGTCCCACCCGACTTACCAGCATTTCAGTGACCAAGTTGGAAAAAAGCAAAATCGGAGGCCAGAAACGGGATGGCAACATCTATGAAAGTTATTTTAGCGCTCGTCTTATATTCAGACAGGGCTAGCACTAAAAGAACTTTCGTAGATGTAGCTATCTTGTTTCTGCCTCCAATTATGGTTACATATCCGAAAGTTAATTTAGTGCTTGCCTTGTCCAAATATTAGGCAAGCACTAAAATAACTTTCGTAGATTTCGCTTTTTTCCGACTTGTTAACTGAAACACCAGGAACTCATTTTCAGCTCCGACTTCCGAGGTAACTTGAACGCAGCATTAGTCCCTCCATACAGACTGATTCTCCTCCTGCTCTCATGCTAAAGAAACCCTACCCCCCAGACAGACCCCCCCCCCCAGAAATGAACGTCAGAACTTCGTAAGGCTTTTCTCTCTTCATTCAGTCAGTGAAGAACAGACAGTTAAGGCAGAGAGAGAGAGGAGCTCCTCCTGCTCCTGCTCCTGTTGTGCTTTGAGCTGTTAGTCTGTGACATGGATGGCGGAGGGAAGAGACGAAAAGCCTCCCTGAGCTCTGAGAACAGCAAGGAGGAGAGTAGAGGTTAGTGTGTTTGAGGTGACAAAAGGAAGCGCTCCTCATCTTCACCTCCTCCTCTCTGAGATAAGTTCAAGCACAGGAGAGGAGGAGAAGGAGGAGGGAGTCTCGGCTTTCCTCTCAATCAGAAACATTCGGCTCTTCTGTCTACCACAGGACGAGCAAAAAGGAGGCGGGGAGGTCTGAGGTGTTAGTTCAGGAGGAGGGGAGGAGGACAAGGAGGAGGAACGGGGAGCATCTCCTCCTCTTGGAAGCAAAAGGATCTGCAGTTCTCAGAGGTTGAGCTCAGGAGGTCAGGAGGCGAGGAGGTCTGCAAGAGATCAGGAGAAGGTCAGAAGGAGTGAAGGAGGAGGAAGAGGAGGTGTGGGTGTGAGAGGAAGAAGAGGAGGGGGAGAGATGATGATGATGATGAGGAGGAGGAGGAGGAGGAGGATCCTACTGGAGTTCTAGAGTCCGAACTAAATGGTCAAAGGTCAGGACCGGAGCAAACAGACAAGCTCTGACCCGGGTTCTGGTGGGTTTCATTCAGAACTCAGCATCATGTGATACCGAGGAGAAACAAGAGGAGTGGGAAGTGAGGAAAGGAGATGAGGGAAGGAGGAGAGGGAGTGAAGAGGAGGAGGAGTAAGGAAAAGAGACAAGGGAATGAGGAGGAGAAGGAGTGAGGAAAGGAGACAAGGGAAGTAGGAGAGTGAGTGAAGAATAGGAGGAGGAGTGAGGAAAGGAGACAAGGGAAGGAAGAGAAGTGTGAAGAGGGAAGTGAGGAGAGGTGAGGAGACAAGGGAAGGAGGAGAGGGAGTGAGAGGAGGAGGAGAAGTGAGGAAACGAGACAAGGGAAGGAAGAGGAGAGGAAGTAAAGAGGAGGAGGAGAAGTGAGGAAAGGAGACAAGGGAAGGGAGAGGAGAGGAAGTAAAGAGGAGAAGGAGGAGTAAGGAAAGGATACAAGGGAAGGAGGAGAAGAAGTGAAGAGGAGGAGGAGAAGTGAGGAAAAAAGACAAGGGAAGGAGGAGAGGGAGTGAAGAAGAGGAGGAGGAGTGAGGAAAGGAAGTGTAGAAGAGGAAAGGAAGCAAGGGGAATAGGAGAGGAAGAGAAGAAGAGCTCATGTAGATTCTCATTCATCCAGGTCATGGTTTTCTTAAAGAAGAGGAAAGGAAGCAAGGAGAAGAGGAAGTGAGGAGGAGGTTGTGAGTTCATACATGTTCTGATGATGGGAGAGCTTTGCTGAGCACAGGTGGGGGGAATGGGAGTTGACCTTTGACCTGCAGACAGGGGGTTGAAAAATGAGCACCAGAGAGGAGAGAGGGGAGGGACAGAGCGAGTCATCTGACGAGCACTGACTTTGGCAGAAACGCCTCCATCTCTTGGTCTCCGTTCGTCCTCGGCAATGCTGAAGACGCCGATGAAGACGAGGAGGAGGCACTTGGGGACGAGGAGCCGCCGGGCGCTTTGGGGAGGCTGTACATGTAGACGGCGCCAATGACGAGCCCCGCCCCCACCGTGAAGAGCAGGTCCACGTGGAAGCCAAAGAGATGTATGGACGCCACGGTGGAAACGATGATAGAGAAGGAGGTGGCGAAGCCCTTCAGGATGTTGTCGGCGTACTTCACCACCACGGCGACCAGCAGCCCGCCGAAAGCCTGGTTGAAGATGACGCACCACACCATGCCAGTGTAGCCGAACAGGAAACCGCGCTCGGCGATGGCAGTGCCGTCGTTCCACCACAGTCCCAGCATGCCGAGCGCCATCCCGAAGAGCCCCAGTTGCACGTTCCTCATCCACACAGACGCAGCACTGCCCTTAAGGATCTTCTCAAAGTAAACACCGGCGAAGCCTGACGACAGGCAGCTGATCACCACGGCAACCAGACCCACAGTGTAGTTCTGGGAGGAGCTGTTTGACAGGGACGACTCTTTACCACCTTCCTGCTGCACCTGAGAGGAGAGACACTCGCTGTCAGACACATCAGACCCCCCCCCCCCCCCGGGCGGCCATTTTTGATGTTCCCATCAGCAGGGAGGAGCCTGATCAGGTCTGACAGACTCACAGAGAGGGCATACCTGTACGATGGCAACTCCGGCGAACAGCAGCAGCAGAGAAACCCACTGAACTTTGGACAGAGACTTCCTCAACATCAGGACGCTGAAGAGAGCAGTGGTCAGGATCTTCAGCTGGTAGGTCACCTGAGGAGGAGTCAAACATATCCAGACTTTGACCAAAACTCACTCTGTTCTTATCCTAAATAAAGTCTTCTTCTGACACGGGATTTTCACCGCATCCTGAACAACTCCTATCTGGAACGGCGGCAATTTTCGTCGTCCGCCAATTCCTACCGAATCTGTTTGTGAGGCAAATCGTGAGAACTCACAAGAACCCGTGGATTCACGTGCAATCACGTGATAACAAGTTGTCTCTATAAAGACAGACTTAAAGACATATAATCAGTAGATTGTGTCTTTCCTAGGGTTAGGTATATTTCAATAATTGAAATGTTATCAGGATCTAATACTCGTGTTTTTTTTATATACAAGATCATTTTCTTCCACTTTAAAGGGGACCTGCCACCAAAATTTCATACCTATTTTTATCATTTTTTCATAATCCTTGATGTCCTCTGATCATGTTTGCAACATAATTTTAGCTGAAAAGTTATTTGATGGTTTGTTTTAGTATGCCTAAAAAACCTTACAGGAAAACCAACTGGTTTTGGCTCATTAACATTTATGGTAATGAGCTTTGCTCTGATTGGATCGCTGCTGTGAAGCCTGCTGTGCTCTGATTGGCTCAGCAGTGGAGGTTCGGATTTCGGTTTATCCATTGTTATTATGCTAATGCTAATAGCATATGCTAATGTGTGCTAAAGTAAGGTGCCCAGATGTCTGTAATGATATCCGGGGATGTTCAGTGCGGCGGTGCAGGGGCTGCAGGGGCTGTGTGATCACAGACAAAATCTCGGTACTATTTAGTAGCAGCGCATGCCCCTTGTAATAACCCCGTAAGAACTGTTGTTCAGGACTTCTTACTTGTGCTTCCTACCCATTCGGCTACTGTAATAACCGTTGTTCGAGCCCACACGCAACATTTTTGCTCTCATTAATGAAACGCTTAAATCGGGGACATTTTCGGGGACAGCTTTTGCCGGGGACAGGTCATCCAATACGGGGACTGTCCCCGGAAATCGGGGAAGAGTCGTTTGGAAGAGACCCATAGCGGATACAGTGGTAGCTGGGTCTCGCTCTGGCTGTGACTGAGTACGAGAACGAGAGAGTGGGCGCGGCTCACCGAGGACGCGCTCGTGAATAATAATGAGCAATGTCAACGCAACGTCAGATTGACCTGCTTTTTCAATTGGCCTGGTTTACCTGTTCCTTTATTTTAAACCTTTACAGAATGCAAACGACGTAACGGTTTGTTTTCACATTTACAACATAAGACGAACATAAAATGGACCTTATCTGACACAAAAAACACACAAAATTACATTTTTATGGCAGGTCCCCTTTAAGAAGCTAATAAGTGGATGCATTTTACGGCAGGGGTGCATTCTATGGCACAACACCGGTCTTCCGCTTACCAGTGAGAATCAAATAAGTGAAACAATGAATTACTTCTGTCTTCTGCTAACTATGAAGCAGTAAACAATTGTACTGTGTACGGAGGGTCAACTTAAATATCCAACAAAGGTTAGCCCGTATACTCATAGACAAACAACCTGACAACAAAAATTGATATTTATCTACTGTTTGAAAATAGCCCTGTGAGAAATCCATAGTAAAGTTCTTAAAAAGTTAATATAATTTAAAAATTCAAGAAGTTCAGAAATTTCATCCAAAAGGAAAAACTCTGGTTAGCACCCTCATTTAAACCATGCATATTTTTTTTAATATCCTGCCTTTTAAAAGAATCGAAATAGAGAATCGATAGGAATCAGAATCTAAACGAGGAACCGAAATTGGAATTGGAATCGTTTAAAATCAAACAATGCCCAACCCTAGTCCTTCCATAGGAGGAAATGAGTGTTTAATTTTGAAAAGAGGCTGGATGTTTTATTTTGTGTCTGTGCCGGACTTCCTTTCCAGCACAGGTTAATCTGTGCTGAATTTATCCGGCATGCTCCGGCTTCCGGAAACAAATACAACTCTCGGGATCGGCTACGAAGGCCGGTGATCCGCAGAGGAACAGAAAAAAGACATGTTAACTTGAATGTTCGCGATCAGCTGTGGAGTCCGGCGATCTGCGGAATGGAAAGAAATTGACACATAAACTTGAATGGTTACGATCAGCCAAGATCGGGGGATACGACCTCTTCATAGACATTCAGGATGCGGTGGAAATAGGGGGTGAATGTCAGTCCATCAGGGAATCAGGTGGTCTGAAGTTCTTGAAGGAACCATCAGAGGAACATGAACTTCATGGTTAGTCGCTTAGATGAGCTTCAAAGTGAGAGCTGACCTTAGAGGACAGAGACCGCCGTGAGGATGATAATCCTAATCTTAAATGGATTAACTACCCTGATGGTCCACAGGAGGACCATCAGACCCACTTGCTCTCCACCTGTCATGACTCACCTATCAAAACTAAACTACACCTTTATTCTCCTTAAAGACAAGGATCTGTGGGCGTAGTAGGAAACCACGAGAAGTGCGTGTCTGACCTGGAAGGTGGCGGCGGGGAGGTTGGAGATGGCGATGTACTGGAGATTATTCTGCAGGGTGTAGATGAGGGAGGGGACAGCCAGTTTGAGGGTGTCTTTGTACTGGAAGACGATGGAGTCGACCAGGAACAACGCCGTTTCTTTGACGCTGCCTGAGAGAGATAGAGAGAGAGAGAGAGAGAGAGAGAGAGAGAGAGAGAGAGGGAGAGGGAGAGGGTTTGTACTGTCAGCTGTGTACAAACAAATGTCTGAAATCTCAGTGTGTGTGCGTGTGTGCGCATTTCCTACATCTCTTTTCTATCAGGATGATGAGTGTACACGTCAGCACCTTCAGCACCTCTGCCATGACCACGGCCGACGTGGCGAAGAAGCGGTCGCCTGGTAGCGTGCGGACGTATCGGATACTGAGGATGAGCGATGCGTTCTGGACCACCAACACGGCCAGGCTGATGTACTTTAACCTCCTGTTAACTGAGGAACAACACGGATCACAGTTACTGACCTGGTCTGCTGTTAGAGAAGACACTTGAGGACCAACGCTAACCTTCAGGAGAGAAATATTTCTGAAGCTGCTCTGAGAATCAGTCGACCAATGAACTTCAGGAAATGTCTGTTCAATGACAGCGCTGATGATTGAAGAAGCTCTTTGACGGCTGTGTCGTCACAAACCTAATCTCCACAAACTCTGAGAACTCTCACTGAGCAGAGGTATTTTCAGCTTCTTCCAAGAACTTGTCAAACCTGCACTCCTGTTCCTTCTCATTGTACGAGTCAAACCGGCTTTCCTCACCTAAAAAAAAAACACAGACAGCAGCGGGATCCTCTCTACTTCATCACTGAGAGAAATGATCAAAAGTCCCACTGTGATACTTCAGACTCAGTTTACAGACTCAGGTCAGAATCAGCATCAAACAGCTGAAGACATACGAACATAAATGAATAAATACAGGTCTTTTAGGAGCCGGTTGGGGCTGAACACTCAAGGAAAATCAATCCCCACTTCAGTCCTTCCCCCAGTTTGAAAACTTCAAATTAGGGCTGGGCGATATGTGAAAAAGTTTATCACAATTTATTTTTTTCATATCAGTCGATATCGATATATCACGATATAAAAAATGAAATTTAACAGTGCTTATTGGTGGCGTCTTTTGCAATACAATAATCTCCTGCATCTGTGAGGTCTCTGTGTCTCTTTGACATTTTGTCATAAGGCGTTGCTCTAGAGAAAGCAGACTGAATGGTCATCTGTTTCGGCTGCACAGGCGCCATGGGCTCCTTGCTCCTCTCAGGGTTTGTAACCTTTTACGTTGCGTGTGCTCTGTGGCGTGGCGCTGCTTCAGGTGGTGAAAAAGATTTGAGGTATTCCCCGACTTTGTGAGAACATGTATTCGACATAATTTACCGTACACATTACTCTGCTTCATGTCCGACCTCAACTAACCAAAATACCTCCACACCACCCACGTTTTCGTGCCAGTGTTGTCGACGATGTCGTCATCTGTTGAGCCTTCATGGTCATTTCTGTCGGGGGGTGCACTCATTTTCTTTTTTTCCTCACCAACGGTGCCGTCGGCTTCACCTGTTAAAGTGACATGGTTGTGTGTAGCTGCTGTCTGCTACGACGCAGTGGTTTGATACTTGGTTCTAATTCAGCATATGATTGGTTCAGCGTGAAGCGGACCCGGAGCAACTCCCCTTTTCATTGGCTATTCGTATAGTCTACCAAAACATGACAGAATGACGACTATTGAAAAGCATACTGACCATGTTTTATATTGATATTGAGGGAAATTTATTTTCGATATATATTGTTATCGTTTTATCGCCCAGCCCAAGCACTGATGTAAAAACACCGTACAAATCAAAGTCTTAAGAAGCATTGCAATAATAAACAAAGCAATACGATGTGGTCATCTGTTGAGCCTTCATCTTCATTTCTGTCGGGGTTAGCACTCATTTTCTTTTTTTCTCACCAACAGTGCTGTTGGCTTCACTTGTTAAAGTGTTATGGTTGGGTGTAGCTGCTGTCTGCTACTACGCAGTTGTTTGATACTTTGTTCTGATTCAGCGTGAAGCAGACCAGGAGCAACTCCCCTTTTCATTGGCTATTCATATAGTCTACCAAAACATGGCAGAAAGTCAACAACTGAAAACGATATAAACCATGTTTTATATTGATATTGAGGTAAATTAATTATCGATACGCATCGTTATTGTTTTATCACCCAGCCCTACTTCAAACAGATCATTTTTGTCAGATTTAAGGTCTGGAAAGTTCCTGCAGAGGTGTGACCTTATCAATATTATTGTAAAGATCCTGGTATTTGACACCAACAAACCACAGATTCAGTTTTCAGCCTGAATGCGGACAAACCTGAATAGAGGTTTACCTCTATAAGTGCGAGTGTGTGTGTTAGTGCTACAGTGTGAGTGTATGTTACCTGGAGACACAGGTGGGACCACACCAAGACGAATGTCTGTGTGCGTACGCGTGCGTGTTTGTGCTTTAATGTGTGTGTGTGTGTGTGTGTACTTTAGTTTCTGTGTGTCTAACCACAGCCCCTAACTTGTGCCAAACTTCCACGTCACCGGCTGCCATTTGCTCACTTCTTCACCTGTCTAACACACCTTTACTTTATAGCCGTCTGTGGGTGTTACAGAGTTAGATTGGAGGTTTATCTCTGTCGGGTCCAATTAGTTATTAAAATGTTAAATTTGTTGGTGAACTTCTGTTAAAACCCCTCCCATATGAAGTCAGAGAAGTTTGGGTAGTTTTAGCTGCTAGCGAGCCTCTCTCTCGTAGCTCTGCACAGAAATACAGACTCACTATCTTCACGTTTTATTTGTGAATTAAAGATAATTTACACTTTATTTTAATTAATCTGCTCCGTTTAACAGCTGCCCAGTTTTTCAGCGGTCCAGGCCGTTACCGCCAGTCCCGGTGTTCCGCTGAAACTTGTGACCATTCGAACTGCCGACTTCCAGCTGAACGCGTCTGTCAGCGCGAAGACGCGTTCGGTCAAAACTCACCAGCTGACACGGTCACTAATCGGACCGGAACACCTGTTCTCGTTTTTTTAATTTTTTTTTTACCTTCGCTCTGACTCCGGCTCCCCGTCCTCTCCTCCCCCGCCTGTTTGTGGTTTCCTGCGGACATGCTGCTGGTTCTGGCCGCCGTCCGGACCGAACCTTCACTCCCGCTACCTGCTCGGCTAACGCCTCGCTAGCTCTCCAGCTATCCCCGGTTCACAGTGAAGATCGGCCCGGAGCAGGAGTACCGACCTCCGGTGTGACAAACAGAACAAAGCGGAGGGTCTGTCAGGTTAACGACAGACCGGGGACAGGCCTCAGGATACCGGGGAAGGACCTCCAGGATCTCCGGGATTGAGGCAGACTACTGTGGGGCTCTGAGGTGTTCACGAACTGAAGCAGCAACTACTGCTGCAGAGATAGGTTATTATGGACAGATGTATCACTCTGAGGGACAACATAGGGTCTCTTCCGGGTTACAGCATTCTAAATGAACGTCGTCATAAACCAAAATAAATGAGTTAAAATGAAAAATATATAATAATAACATTAATTTAGATAAGAATATGAATTTTTTTATGGAAAATTAAATGGCTAAGGAAAGTAATACACGGAAATACAATTTGAACACAAAAATGTATTTGTTATGACATATAAAAAACAAAATAATTACAAAATAAAACAAAAAAAAAGTTTTAAAAAAAGTTATGTTAAAAAAAATGTGCATGGATCTTGGTATTTTTTAAACTAAACATAAAAATGAATTATTATGAAATTTAAAACAAAATAGTTACAAAATAAATAAATAAACAAAAAAAAACGTAATAAAAATGAAGTTATGGTAAAAAAAAAAATCACATGGATCTTGGTATTTTTTCAACTAAACATAAAAATGTTTTTGTTATAAAATTTTAAACAAAATAGTGTCAAAATAAACCAAAAAAATAAATAAAAACTGACTAAGATCACTTAGATCCATGTGATAAAAAAATTACATGGATCTTAGTATCTTTTAAACTAACGATTAGATATATTTGATTTTCTAATGTTATTATTTTCGAGATCTGATTGAAGGAGGTTGTGTATTCCAAAGTCATGTATCTGATAGTCTTAATTATTGTTTTGTATTTATTTTTAGTCAGTTTTACTTTCCCTGTCTCCATCAACCAAAAAACCGCAGTAACTGGATAAACTTTGAATAAACATTAGAGTAAAACCTCTGTCTTTCTTTTCTAGTCTCTGAAGAACCACAATCACATAGATATATAGAAAGACTAGATAGCTTACCTACGCTGTGAGCCAATGGGGACTGACGTCGTCACGGGGCGGCCATCTTACCTAGGGGCTGCTGGCCCACTGATAACATTAATTTCGATGGTGCATGTACTGTTTCCATGACCATATCCTGCTCAAATTTCAACTGATTTTCAAACGGATTGGTTTGTTATAAACGCCAGAGATGTAGTTATGTTTCTGCATATTTATGGATAATTATAACCATTGACTTTCATATTAAATTAAAAAAGGAGATAGTGGAGCAATACCTGCCATAGCTGCACACAAACACACACAGTGAAATTAAATTGTCAGTGTTTTTGATATTAAACATTTAATAGTTAGATATTTTATAGTTCTATTTAATACATATATTAAATATAAAGGGGTAAGTTGACCCACATGGTATTTTAAACTTAATCTTAAAACTTTAACAAATAATGTATTTACTGATGAAAAATAATTTTATAAGGCATTTCCCTTTTTCAAATAGTCTTACTTATTTTCTTTGGGTTATTAAACAATATAAAACCAATTAAAGTTTGTTTTTCAGAACCTTTTAATATTCGCAATCAATAATATAATATTGAAAACTTCTCTTGAATGAGTGTATTTATCAAAAAATAAAAGATCATTCTGCTAATTTGAGTAGCAAAGACCTAATAAAAATTCTATACATTGTGATTCATATTGGTTCAATTTACCCCAAGGCTTATACATCATGCACTAACATGCATGATGTATAAGTTTAGACCTGGGTCCATTTGCTTTAACATAAAAATAATTATACCACAAATGTAAAAAATTCCACGGCCTGTTGGAAATGTTTGTGTTCTTATTTTAGGGTCACATAACAACTCGTGTATAGTTTTAAAGATCAAGGGGATGGTTCATTCATCTTACCCATTCTGTTACATATAATTTAATATAAAAATTTAAATAAACACATTCAGTAACATGACATAAAGGTTCTTTTATTAAACAGATGTGAACAATTACAAAACAATTCAACATTCACTCCAAACCAACAGTCACACTAAACCATGCAACATTCACTCCAAATCAACAGTCACTCACACGGTCGCAACAAAACCAACATACTGTATATACAAGTGCACGGACAGTTTGAGTTACTGCCCCTTGAAAAGGACTGTTTTGGTGAGCTTCTGTCTCACATTGTCTTTCTGTACGCTAAGCGTAGTCATTTTAGCAATGTGTTGCAGCCTTAATTTGAAAAACAGAGACACAACTAGAACTAAATTATGATATTGTTGGGGTAATTCATATAGCCTATGCTTGAATGCCATTATGTAAACTTAAATCACAAGTCAATAACAGTAACATGTTAAAAAAAAATGTAAAAAAGAAATATTCAATGATTATTATGTAAACAAATGGTAGAAACATTTTTAAAACGTCAGGGTGAAAATAACTTGTATTGTACAAGTACAAATTTAACTAAGAAACAATTATCCTAAATATGTCCCTCAAGTCATTTCTTATGAGTGAAAGGTGATTCCACGGGCTCTTGTTTGAACATAACGTTCATTTGAGCATCCATGTGCTAAACAAAAGTCTTGCATCTTGGACTGTAGGGGGTATTTCTGTAAACACAAAGCCAGGCATTTACTGTATCACAATAGATCTAAATTAAGGATATATTTTACTAATGAAACAGCTTGGAAATCATATTATGTATGTTAAAACAGAGGAGTAATTCTGCCTTTCCCACCTGTAAAGAACTATGTCGAGGCTACTTTGTAATAGTCCCAGAGGACCACTATGTCACATTCACAACCTCTTATTCTTTGCTAGCTAATAAACACAACTACATCCACACAAATCGTCATTTAGACAAAATATGTGGTTGTCACAATTTCTTATTGGTCTCACGGAAACGTGTATAATAACTGAAACTCCCAGATTGCAGCCTTGCAAATTGGTGTGACAGACACACAACTATGCAACAAAATGAAAAAACAAAATGATTTTCGAAAAGAAAAGCTGCACTTTCAACATGTCCACGCGGCCTGAATAATAGCCACGTTAATAAGGTTTTTGATAAACCAAAACGTTTTTAAATCCGTCAGGATTTCAGCGAGTTAAGTGTATTTTTGTTTGTGTAGGTCGCTCACCTTCCATTCACTACTGTTGAATGCGCGGGAGGAGTCCCCCTAGGCAAGATGGCCGCTCGGTGACGACGCGGGTAACAGTCGCATCATCCATCTAGTCTTTCTATATATCTATGTGCACAATCACTTCCTTGTTCTTCGGGCTGGAAATAGAGAAATCCTATTGGCTGCTTACTGAACACCTCACTCCTAGATATTCCTGTTTAGCGCCCGCTGCAGGTCTGTCGGTCAGGATAGTTTGAGAGGATCCACTCAGAGAAACGAAGACACCAAACAATGAAGTGAAAAAACTTTTTATTAAAGCGTTGGATCATTTTTTCTCTTGATCCCAAAATTCTTATTTAATGTAAATAAACAGAAACAAGTGACCAACAGATCACTTTGGTAGTAAACCAACTAATAATACACAAGTATTTACAGTGACGTCACATCCTGAGTCACCACAACCCAGATTTACCTCAATCTGATCCAGTTACACCCCAAACTCACAGAAAAGCTCTGATCTGAGTCTAACAGAAAAACTAGTTTGAGCTCAGAGACGTCTGCAGGTTCAGCTCTGAGCGAACAACAGAAACACACTTTAGTTTAATAACAGGACATTTTAGAGTCTGCGTAGTTTAGTCCTGAGCTCCCACACTGTAGAGTTCCTTGTGGTAGGATGAAGAAAATAAAACTACATCTCTCACTTTTAACTCAAACTTTGGCCCGAGCTTCTCCAGGTAACGCAAGGATAAGAAGCGAACAGAATCAGAACTTCGATTTTTGTGATCATAAAAACAATCATTTTGATTAAACCCTCCTCTCTCAGAGCGTACAAGTTCAGGCTTTAGAAAAGTTTCATTTCTCAAACTTCAGATAAGAAAAGGAGGGCATTGTATCTGAAACATGTGGCTCTCCAGCAGCAGAAACAGTCATGCAGAGCTGTGTCACGGGTTAGTAAAGCAGAGGATCACAGAGAGCCTGCATTCAGAAGTGTGTGTTCGGAGGTTTTCAGTGTGAGTGTTTTGCAGATATTGTCAAATCAATGAGTTCTTGTGTTGAAGGATATGGTGATGAAACGATGCCAAAGTTTAAAATATCTGTTTTTGTTTGAAGAGCCGAACCCGGAGGTCTCTGACAGAGCAGCTGGAGGGTAAAAGAAGGAAGTATAAACCTGCCGACATCATATACAACATAAATACTCAATAAATACCCAAACAGGAAGTCATCAAAAACACAGAGGTCTGAGAGCTGCTGCGATAAATAATCAGAGAACAGCTGAGTGAAAATTAAAGCTCAAATAAACACTTTCCATTCGAGGAGAGCAGACCGAGGGACGAACCAGTGTTTCCACCTTCTTAAATATTCAAGAGTTAAATTATGAGGACCTCAGTGAAGACTTCACCCCCCCCCTTGAGTCCATCTAGTGAAGCAGACCTTTAGTTCCAGAGTTCTGTTTGTTCAGGGTCTCAGACTGTCAGAGGGACTGAGTGGGCAGAGAGGAGCAGTCCTCCTCCTGCAGGTCTCCCCCGTCCTCCCCCTCCTCCTCCTCACCTCCCTCCATCCAGGGGTGAGACAGGATCTCCTCCAGAGAGGGACGCTCCTCAGGGCGGTACGACAGACACCAGCGAATAAGAGACTGGCACTCTGAGGAGAAAAGAGGAGGTCCTGATTAACGTGACGAACGGGTTCATGACACACCTGTCAATCAGGTATGTCGATGGACAGGGGTGTGGGCGGGGCTTCGGCTCACCTTTAGAGACCCTCCTGGTGAAAATGGGTGTGGCTCCAACAATCTCCTGGTCGCGCTCAAACGGAATGTCGCCACAGACCATGTCAAAGAGCAGGATGCCCAGAGACCAGACGGTGAGAGGGACGGCATCGTACAACTGGGACACGATCCACTCAGGGGGACTGTAGACCCGAGTTCCTGAGGACAGACGACCACAGACATCACTCATCTGTCTGTTTATTCATTCATCTGTTTGTCACATTTATCTCTCTGTACCTTCAAACTCGCTGTATGGTGTCTCTTTGAGTGGCGCCCCAGATCCAAAGTCAATCATTTTGACCTCGAGCGTCCTCATATCGACCACAATGTTCTCGTCTTTGATGTCTCTGTGCACGACCCCATGGGCGTGGACAAACTGCAGCGCCTCCACGATCTGCCGGAAGAACCTGTCGGACAAACGGAGGGCTTTAGGACCGAGAACCACGGGAGGTCAAAGTTCACACTGAGAAAGGGGAGCAGAACAGGAAGTAGAACCTGAGTGCGAGGCGTTCGGGTAGCGCTCCTCTCTCTGTGATGAAGTCGAACAGATCCTGACACTGCGGCGGTCGCTCCAGCACCAGCAGGAAGCCCCGCCCCTCCACCTCGAACCAGTCCAGCATGCGTATGACACCCCCGTGACCCCCGATCTCGGACAGCCGCTGCAGCAGCGCGATTTCCATGGGAACGGGATTGACTACGCCGGGCTGAAGGGGAGAAGGATCATGATCATCAGACTCAAAGAGAGAAAAAACATTTAGTCTAAACTTTGATGTTGAATTTAATTTTCAAAACAACTTTTTTTTTTTTTTTTTAATTAAGGAAGGTTTTAGGATTTCAAACAGACACTAAAATAATTTTTATTTTCCTTAAAATGGTAAAAATCCTGACTTTACTTTTACTAACGCTCCAATTCTCAGACTGAGGCTTTTGAAAACTCTCATGAAATCAGCCTGTCTTTTAGGTACCGTCTCTTTAAGAGAGGCACCAGAATTCTGTAACCCAGCACTCCAGAACCCCTCTGCTGTTGTCACTGGGTAAATCAGCATTTCTATATTGAAAATCACAAATTTTGATGGTTTGGATCTGAAATCTGAAATCGTGGGAGTTCTTAATTTATCATAAAAAATCCTTCCCCTGATAGCTCAAGCTTCATGGAATCTAAAAGACAAGCAGCAGAATTTTTAATTTTTAACTTTATTATCATAAATATTGTTGTCATTATTTTATTTTTATTTATTAAGTTTCAATTTATTTGAGTTTTTAAATTAATTAATTAATTTGACTTTTTAAAATTAATATTCTCTTTCTTCTTTCTTAATTTTTAACATTAATATCATAATAAACGTTATTATTATTTTATTTCTATTTATTTTTAATTTATTTTAGTTTTGAATTCAATTTATTTATAATTTTTTTTTTTATATTCCCCTTCTTCCTACTAATTTTTTAACATTACTATCATAATTATTGGTTATATTATTATTATATTATTTTAAACATTTCTGTCATAATAATGGTTCTTATTTTTTTTATTTCTATTTATTTAGTTTTGATTTATTTTATCTGTATATGTATACATATATATATGTATATATATATATATATATATGTATATATATATATATGTGTGTGTGTATATATATATATATATATATATATATATATATATATATATATATATATATATATATATATGTGTGTGTGTGTGTGTGTGTGTGTGTGTACAATTATTTATATTTCATTTACTGTCAGTTTTTTAAGTTTATTGTCTATTTTCTAAATGTCATCTGGCCAGATGGGAGATTTGGGGGTTGGGGGAGGAAGGGTGTTTTTGGTTCATTTATGTTCAAAGTTAAAAAGGAAAGAACTTGGACCTCTCTGAAGTGGAACTGTATACTTGCCGCTCATAAATAAAAGTTATATTGAAAAAATCCCTCCCTTCTGATTTCTGGACTCGAGTTTTTCCCTCTCTTTCAGTAATAAGAAATATAATCATTAATCCTCGTCCTTTGACAGTAATTTTTGGAGTGGTAGGAGAAGGTACAAAGCTCCCTATTTCCTGTAAAAACGCAATTGCTCTTGCAACGCCTTATTTTGCTTAATTGGAAAAGTAAAACACCTCCCACTTTTACTCAGTGGATCCGTGAGGTTATGATGTTTTTGAACCTGGAGAAAATCAGATACTCCTCAGGTGTGTAGATCTACAAAGAAATACAATGAGACTTGGTCCTTATTTGTTACACATGTCAGATGCGTTGAAATGTTGGTCCTTTTTTTTTGTTGCTTGATCCCTGTAAGTATGAGATGTTAGTTTTGGGATTTGGTGAGAAATTATGTCACTCATTATCTGGCAATATAGATAACAGAAATCTTAGCATCAGTTTATTTTTATTTATTTTTTATTATTTGTCTATTTTATTCTTGTTTTTTTTAATCTTAGTATTATACAGTTCATTATTGTTCATAGTTCTCCTCCTTTATCTGTTCACCTAATTTTATGTTTCTTAAATTATATTTTCATTTCTTTAATCACTGTATAGATTTATATATATTGTGAACTCTTATATAACCTTTGTTGTTTATCTTCTCATTTACCTCCTAAGGGTGAGGGGGGTTTATGTCATGACCTTTATTGTTCATCAATATGTTCTGCACATGAAAATATTAATTAATAAAGTTCAGTTAAAAGATCCCTCCTAAAAACTGATCAACACTTTGACAACATGGAACAAAAAAAAGGATGATATCGCCTCTTTAAATTTTTTCTGTTAAGATTCTAAAAAAGTCTAATGTTATAGATTACCAACTTGATGTCTCAACTTTTCAAAAAAATATTAAAAAAATTTTTTTATGACCTACAAAAACGCTCCCTTTAAAAGCTTTTCTCAGTGACATCCGTCTGACTCATGCAGGTTTTTGTTTTTTTGGGGTGAGTTTTGGTCTTCAGGTGTGTTCAGGTGTTTTTCTGCGGTTTGGGGGGACTCCCTGTGATGAGTTTGTCCCCAAAGGTAAAGTCCTGCAGCATCATTTTCCAAACAGTAACGTCATGGGTTTCTGTGGTAATCAGGGGCCATCCCCCGCCTACAGCTGTAGTTTGAGTTTCGGTCCATTAGGGAGCAGAGCTGAGCTAGGGTTTCGTTTACAGAAAACGGACAAGGTTTTTAAGCTCACAGCAGGGCTAACAAACAACCTCAACAATTTATCTGTAGATTAGAAATTATGAGAATAAAACAGTTGTTTAGTGTATCCCCTAAGTTTGACTTTTTTACTCTCTGAGGAGAACTAAAAGCACCGTGTTAGAGTGTTTGATTTTGACTTTCTTGCTCCTTTTTCACCACTGAGGGTTTTCTTAGTGAGTCTGGTGAAACAGAACATATTTTAGATGGCTTTAATTACTGTGTGGACTAAGTACTAATAAAAAAAACTGTAGTATACTAACCAGCATGGCCCACTGCTGAACTCTGTCACTGTGAATCTCTTTAATAGCAACCTGTTAGGACAAAAAGGTTAAAAACATTACTTTACATCAGTATAAGCCTGTAGGATAAACATTTAACTAAAGCAATGCATTATTTCCTTTAATATAAGAGTAAAGTGGATCTGATGTTAGCAATAATGACAGAGAGTGAGAAGAATGAGAATCTAAAAGAGGATCAATTAAAAATATTCACATATTTAAAGAATAAACCAGAAATAAAAAAGTGTGACTTAATGTTATAGTCTGACCTGCAGTCCATCTGAGAGTCTCTGTCCTGAAAACACAGACCCGAAACCCCCACTGCCCAGCAGAGGTCCACACTGATACTGACTGCAGAATGGCTCCTTCACTGCAACACAGAAAAAAACACACATCAGACATCTGAGATATTTAACACACTTTTAGGAGACAGAGATGACAAAAAATGTTATTTTTGACTGCTGAAAAGACTTATTTATTAGTTTCATGACCCTGTTTTTAACCTGCGGTCCGTTCCTCAAATTGATTTTATGCAACAATCTCCATTATCTCTAAAAAACTGTCAAAATGCTGAATCAGACATGATTAAAGTGCAGAGAGAGGCTATTTGGTATAGTGCTTCTTTAATGAAAGGGTTAAAATAAGTGTACTGAAGCTGGAGTGTGACATGATGTAGTTTAATTGTAAACCCTCTTCACAAAAGAGAGAAGGAAATGTTAATTATATATTCCCACGTGTCTCTGTAGTGTATTATTAGACTGGTGGAGTTTGTCATGGAGACTTGGCGCCCAGCTATTCAATATGAGAAATAACATGTAAAATGAAGCAAATATCAACATAAATACATCGAGTTTTCCTTTCAGTTTCAACTCTAAAAAGGTTTATTTCAGCCGTTAGTTTCACTGAAATATAATTTTTCTCTCGGTTAAATCGCCATTATTTCATTTGCTTTATCCCCAACAGAACCCCAGTTACTTTCTTAGTGTTACAAAAAATTTAATAAAATGCATTTTTACCCAAATATCAGCCACAAAACTATAATTAAAAGAAGACAGTAATGTCTAACGTAGTTCGGGGGTAGTCGAGCTGACACAGCATTGAAGTGTTTCACTAACTGACAGGATGTTTGTCTCTTTTTAACGGTAATCCGGACGTTTAAAAATAGTTGTTTTTTCAATGTAATCTGGTATACAAGACAAAGCGGCTACTTTACAGCAACATACGATCAAAGTTTATTAACTTTCAAAGATATGGCATATTTAGGGGTGAAAACAGAGCTATGATAAGGTCACAAACTGTAGTCCTCACGAGTTTTGACCAGCATTAAAAAAACATCGAAAATGTCAAAATTTTACTGCTCAGTTACTCACCGTTTTTGCCTCCGACTTCCCCCTCCAAATGAAGCTCAATGACTCTTTTCTCCAACATTTTCTGGCGCTTTTCTGTCACTTTAGGTTGGTTATATCCATGTAGCTGTTCGTTAAATTCCTTCCGAAGTTTGTTTGAAAGTTAATCCAAAGGAAGTAACCCCTTTTCCCCCCTCAAACGTTCCCCGTTTCACGACGTCTGAAGGAAAATTCAGCAGGAAAATTAATCCTCAGGTTATTTTCCTCGAGTTTAAGTGTGTTGATAGTTGATTTAAAAAGTCCATCAGTTGATAAAGTCCCCTTATATTCAGCTAAACGCCTTCTCTATCCTACGTTAATGGTTTGTTCTGGATTTATACCATCCTCGTGAGACCCCGCCCAGTCGGTGCTGCCCTGTTCAATCAGCGCCGAGCCCTGTGCTCAATGTTTTGAACCGTTCGACCAATCAGATTGCAGCTGCGGTGACGCTCATGAATATTCAAACCCCGCGCGGAGGAATTCGTAGAATTTGAGAAGCAAGTCTTGATGACTGGAAACACACACGCGCACACACACACAGCGCGCGCGGGGTGAATCGAAAGCGACGGGTAGGTCTCGAGCCGCGGGCTTTCTCTTCTTCCCCTGTCACGCTCGAGCTCAGTCCGGCCTGTATTCACCCTCAGCAGTGGTCTGGTCGCCCTCGCCTCCTCACTTTGGAGGGTTTTTCTCGGTATTAAGACGACAGACCGCAGATTAAAAGTCAACTCTGTGTTAAATTAGTCACAGACAGTCATCCCTTTCCCGTCAGAATAATGTTAAAGCAGGAAGAATTTACAAGAAGGTCAAAATAAGACTGACCGTCAGAAGAGAAGTTCTCGAAAATGACATTAAATGACGGAGTTTCAAATACACCCGAAATAAACCACACCTGGGGGTTTACCTGGATTTTCTTTTTATAAATGTGACTTTTCCTCAATAAAACAAAGTTAAGACAGCTGAGCAGACTGTTGTTTTAGTCCTATCTGTATGTTTTAAGGTAGACTTAAATATAAACTCAGGAACATTTGGGACACATTAAAGCTTTTATAAGGAGTTTTTTTGCATATCTATTAAATGGACTGAAATTCAGAATGAAACCTTCTAAGAATACCCAAAAGCAAAGACATAACGTAAAGTCATAACCTAGCAAGAATAAATGAGATTTAAAGGGATATTCTGGCGTAAAATTAATTCAGGGTCAAATACAGGGTAACACCAAGTTAGACACACACACACACACACACACACACACACACACACACACACACACACACACACACCCAGAGATGAATGAACCAAAATGCCACTCTTTAGCCATAAATAATGCTCAGAACAACACCTAACTTCGTCAACAGTACATATAGGGTCCCAGCCATAGTACTAGCCACCAAATATCTTTTTAACTTTGACTAATTTCTTTAGCAAAGAGACTAAACACAACTCAACTACTCTCTTCCAGCAGCTGCTTGTTTGTAGCAAGACCTCAGACCAGTCCATTATGGACTACAGCGGGGTTTCGCAGCTCAAGGAAGAAAATTTATGATCTGTCTGGTCTATAAGTCTGGTCTCTCTGTATTATCTGTAATTTTTTAATTTTTTTTTCATATTTTTGTTGTAATTTTGTTTGCTGATGATGGATACTTCTGCTGGGCGAAGAGTTTACTCAAGAGAAGAGCTCCTTTCATTGAGGAAAAGCAAATCTGGGCAACAACATACAATTCCAGAGGACATCAGGAGGTGTTGTCGTTGTTGCCGTGCTGGTGCAAAGGTGAAGGCAAAGCTGAATGCTAGGAGGTGGCGATATAAACTGTTCCTTCCATCAATCATCATGGGAAACGTCAACTCTCTGCCCAACAAAAGCGATGAGCTGGAGATCTTGGTGAAGACTTGGAAAGCATACCGTGAGTGCAGTTTCCTGTGTTTTACTGAAACCTGGTTGAATCAAAACAACTCGGACTCCAGTGTGGATCTACCTGGCTTCACTCTCATAAGGTCAGACAGAAATGCTCAAGCTAGTGACAAGAAGAAAGGAGGAGGTCTGGCTTTATTTGTCAACTAGAGATGGTGTAACCCTTCACACATACCTGTCAAGGAGAAGTTGTGTTGTCCAGATATTGAACTGTTGGCAGTTGCTCTTCAGCCATATTATGTTCCCAGAGAATTTAGTCATATCATAACAGTAGTTGTTTACATTCAGTTGTTTACAGTTGTTTACATGGAGACTTCAACCATGTCACCCTCTCCTCTCACCTGACTGGATTCACACAGTTTGTGAACTGTCCTACCAGAGAAAACAAAACCCTGGATCTGCTGTATGCCAACGTCAAAGAAGCCGACAGAGCCACTGCCTTACCACCACTGGGCAAGTCAGATCATAACTTGGTCTATCTGCAAACCCGTTACAGACCTTGTGTGCTGAGGCAGCCAGTGACCAAAGTCAAAATCAGAAGATGGACACCTCAAGCCAGTGAAGCTATAAGGGACTGTTTTAAATCAACAGACTGGAATGTGCTGCTGGAAACAGATATGGATAGTATGAACATTGAAAAACAGGTTGACTGCTTTACTGATTATGTCAACTTCTGTAGAGACAGTTATACCCACAAAAACTGTTCGCTGTTTCCCCAACAACAAACCCTGGATCACAAGAGACATAAAAGCAATCCTTAACCAGAAAAAGAAAGCTTTTAAAGATGGTGACAAAGAAAAACAAGTTCAACAAGAGTTGAAGAGGAGAGTGAAGATGGCAAAGCTGGAGTACAAAAAGAAGATAGAGAATAATCTACAACACAGCAACATCCGTGAAGTGTGGAGAGGAATCAGTACCATCTCTGGACACAGCAGTCAAAAGAAAAGACAGCCAGTGGTGGGTGATGTGAAAAGAGCTGATGAACTCAACCTGTTCTTCAACAGATTTTACACTGCTGTCACTCCCACTTCCACTGATACTCCACCTTCCTCTCCGCAACAAATCTCCACTACAACTTCTCCCCTTCCTCCTCCAGCTTGTTCAAATCTACATGCTTCACCGTGCCCTGTCTCATCTGGAGGAACCTGGGGTTTATGTGAGGATCATGTTCTTCGACTTTTCAACTGCATTCAACACTATCCAACCCACCATACTCAAAGACAAGCTCACAGAGATGGAAGTGGATCCTTCCTGTGTTTCCTGGATCACAGATTACCTGACAGGAAGGCCACAGTTTGTCAGGCTGGAGAACTGTGTTTCTGGGACATTAATGAGCAGTACAGGGGCTCCACAAGGGACAGTGCTGGCGGCATTCCTGTTCACACTGTATACATCAGACTTCAAATACAGCACTGAGTCCTGCCACATCCAGAAATACTCAGATGACACTGCTATCATGGCATGTATCAAAAATGGACAAGAAGCTCAATACAGAGATCTAATAAGAGCCTTCAGTGACTGGAGTCACAAAATTGCCTCCTCCTCATCACCTCAAAGAAAAAAGGAGATGGTCATAGACTTCCATAGATCCAAACCCCCTCTTCAACCAGTGAACACCTGTGGAGTGGACATCGAAGTGGTGACATCATATAAATACCTAGGTGTACATCTGGATAATAAGTTGGACTAGTCTAAGAATATAAACTACATCTACAGAAAGGGGCAGAGCCGCCTCTTTTGCCCGAGAAGACTCTGATCAACAGACATCTGTAGAAAGACGCTGCAGATGTTTTATCAGTCTGTGGTGGCAAGTGTTCTGTTCTACGCTGCAGTCTGCTGGGGAGGAAGCATCAAACACAAAGATGCAAGATGTCTTAACAAACTGGTGAAAAACTATTTTGGTATAAGTACTCGAACTACGCATGCGCGAAGGGAATATTCAGTGCTTTAAGCACCGCCTCTGGCGGTCAGCAGGGATGAAATAGAACACTGGTGCATCGTTATTACTGGTCCCCGGCAGCTTACTTACATTGTGTTTTTTTAATTTGCTTTTAAATATTTTTTATCTGCAATGTTTTTTTATTAAATTTTTATTTCCAGCGGGCTTCAGTTCCTTTTTTTTTTTTTTTTTTGCATCCAATTTTTTTTGTATCGTTAGCTTCAGTTGTGCACCGTTTTTTTTTTATTTGCAACTGGGTTTGGTTTCTTTTTTTTTGCGTTTTTAACTTTTGTTGTGGATTCTTTTTTGCAACCTTTTATTTTCGCAGTAAGTAACTTATTTTTTTTTCCATTGCCACTTCTTTTTTTTGTGGTTAACTTCCGTTGTGGCTTTAGCTGCACCGTTTTTTAAATTTATTTTTAATTTTCTTTTTTTTGCAAACTTCTTTGTGTCGTTAGCTTTTGCTTAAGTTGTGTCATTAGCTTTTTTTTTTAAAAATCTGCACTGTTTCTTTTTTTTACACTATCTGCACCATATTTTTTATTTGCAGCGGGCTTCGGTTTCTTTTTTTTTTGCATCAGTAACTTCCGTTGAGACTTCTTTTTTTTTTCCTTTTAAAATTTTTTTTTAATTTGCAGCAGTGGCAGTTCTCGGCCACCGTAGAGTTTCCCTGCGTTAACATTTTAAATGGCGTTCTGACCTCGACACCTTTGAGTTGTAGAAATGTGGTGAGTGAAGGCGGAACAGAAAAAAAGTTCAGATAATAAATAAATCCCCTGAAACTTCTATTTTTCAGAAACATTTTCCTCTTTTTATTCCAAGAAAAAAAAGATCTTTTCATCCCAAACAAGAAAATAAAATAAAACAAACTTATAATATTAATAATAACAACAATAATCAATCATTAAGAGGATAAGTATGACAATTCGCAGTTTTTCTCCTTTTTTATTTGTGGCTTTTCTCTATGATGATATTGGTCGTGGTCAATTAAACATGCAGCTAAATAAGTCAGATGATGACGATGATGATGAAGATGAAGGAGGTGATGAAGAAGAGGAGGAGGAGGAGGAGGAGGAGGGAGGGAAAGCAGGAGGGTGAGGACGCTGCCGGCCGCCATTTTGTAGAAGGACAAAAGAGAGATGGTGAGTTCAGAGGAAATGAGGACATGATTTAGCGGTTAGCGGTTTGTTAGCGTCGTTAGCAGTGACCAAGACTCCAGGTGACGCTAACAGGCTAACTGAGTGCCACAGAAACACGTATACAGTACCTTTAAAATGGCCGTCTTCTCCTGCCTGACTCCCACAACAAAATGGCTGCCGGCAGACGATTATCATATTACTATTGGTGGCTAAGCTAACAGCAACGTAACTTGTTAGCGATGGACCTGGAAACCACAGGAGCGAGCTTGGAAATAATGTAAGACTTCAGGTGCTAGCTTGCTAACTGATTAGCATTCCCGACATGAACAGCTGCCGAAACCAGCTACAGAGAATACCAGCGCTAAGCTAACAGCGACACAGCTAATTAGCGTAGTTAGAGGGACTAGCTTTGAACAAAGTAAGACTTCAGGTGTTAGCTCAGAGCTAAAGAACACGCTAACATAGCCTAAAAGATGCCAAGATACACTGTCAACCATGTTTTAGCGCTGGTTAGCCTCTCTGATCTGAACTAGCCTCAAAGCTAACACCGCGGAACACGAGGACCACCTGAAGAAGAACCGGTTTGGACCGAAGAGCGAGGACTGCTGAAGGTTCGATGTCAGGAAGTGAAAGTCTGGACTGATCCCACGACGCCGGCAGGGACCAGAAAGTAAAATGAGTTTTCTGTTAATGCTGGACCATGAGGGGTCAAGGAGGGAGGAAGGAAAGGCTGGAAGGAGACAGGGAAGGAAGAAAGGAAGGAAGGAAGGAAGGAAGGAAGGAGGAGACGACAGAATGGAGAGATGAAGAGCAAATGAATGAGGAGAAAAAACTAATGTCCATTTCTTCTTCTGTTTATTTTTTCCCTGGTCGGTCTCCTTCTGAGGGTCAGAGGGGACGGGGCTAAGGGCAAGGGATTCAGGAGTGTAGGGTGGGGCAGGAGAGGAGGTCAAAGGTCATTGTGTGTGCGTGTGTGTGTGCGTGTGTAAATGTATATGTGCAAGCCGGCTATCAGCTGCTGTCGGGCGACGGCTCCCTCTCTCGGTGCATGGCGGCGGTGCTCTGGTGCTTCATGCTGTCCAGATACTCCTGCTGAGAGACGGCGAGCACCGAGGCCAAGATCTCATCGTCCTCCCAGTCTGTCAGACCTGAGTGCACACGCACACACACACACACACACACACACACAACACTCTTTTAACACCGGGTCTCTGTCACCTGTGTGAGTGATGTACGTGTATCAGCGGCTGCACTGATGGACCATGTTTTTGTACAGACAACGTCTTAAACCAAACACAGTTCAGTGGTTTGAGTGCTGATTAGGGCTGGGCAATATGGTAAAAAGTTTATCACAATATATTTTTTAATATCAGTCGATAACGCTATATATTATGACTTAAAAAAAATGAAATTTAACAGTGTTTATTGGTCGCATGTCTTTTCTAATAATCTCCTGCATCTGTGAGGTCTTTGTGTCTCTTTGACATTTTGTCATAAGGCGTTGCTCTAGAGAAAGCAGACTGAATGGTCATCTGTTCTGGCTGCACAGGCGCCATGGGCTCCTTGCTCCTCTCAGGGTTTGTAACCTTTTACGTTGCGTGTGCTCTGTGGCGTGGTGCTGCTTCAGGTGGTGAAAAAGATTTGAGGTATTCCCCGACTTTGTGAGAACATGTATTCGACATATTTTACCGTACACATTACTCTGCTTCATGTCCGACCTCAACTAACCAAAATACCTCCACACCACCGACGTTTTCGTGCCAGTGTTGTCGACGATGTCGTCATCTGTTGAGCCTTCATCGTCATTTCTGTCGGGGGGTGCACTCATTTTCTCTTTTTCTCACCAACGGTGCTGTCGGCTTCACCTGTTAAAGTGACATGGTTGTGTGTAGCTGCCGTCTGCTACGACGCAGTTGTTTAATACTTGGTTCTAATTCAGCATATGATTGGTTCAGCCAGAAGCAGACCCGGAGCAACTCCCCTTTTCATTGGCTATTCGTATAGTCTACCAAAACATGACAGAATGACGACTATTGAAAAGCATACTGACCATGTTTTATATTGATATTGAGGGAAATTTATTTTCGATATATACTGTTATCGTTTTATCGCCCAGCCCAAGCACTGATGTAAAAACACCGTACAAATCAAAGTCTTAAGAAGCATTGCAATAATAAACAAAGCAAAAAATGGTCTTGGATCAGAAATCACTTCATTCTCTTTACTGTTCTCTAATCTCACCATACTTCCATTCTGTGCTGAGGTTTGGGGCAACAACTATAAAACATCACTACAGTCACCAACCATCTTTAAAAAAGAGCAATACTTATACACAATGTCGGCTATCAGGAACACACACACTTCTTATTTCTGCAGTTTTCTGAGTTGTTAAAATTCACAGACATTGTGGAATATCAAACAGCTCAAATAATGTTCAAAGCTAATAATAATCATCTTCCAATCAATATACAGAAATTATTCAGTATGCGTGAAGGAAGTTACAATTTAAGGGGAAAAATTCACTTTAATATAACTTTAATTCGGACAAAGAGGAAGGGTTTTTGTGTTTGAGTGAGTGCGGTGAGACTATGGAACAGGTTTTCTATAGAGTTAAAGCAGAATGTTCAAACATGTTTACACAGTTTAAAATGAGGTCTAAAGACACTATTTTGAAGAGGTACAGGGATGAGGAAGGTTTTGGGGGGCATTAAGTGTTGGTTTTTGTATCTTTCTTGTTTTATTTGGTTTTGTTGTTTTCATGTGTGTGCTGTATTAAGTGGATGTAGATTTTGTTTTAAAATACAATGTCATGAATGTACTTTATCATAATTATCAGGTACATCTAAACAGGTTGCAAGGAAGCTTGGTGTGGCCACTTTTTATTTAAAGGGAAGGGGTGGGAGTTCATAAGTTATTCTTCTTCTCCTCACTCCTTTTCCAATCTGTATTTCTACGTTTAATGTTTAAATGTTTTGCCTTACTTTTCTTGTTTTATTTTTTATACTTAGGTTTGCATATTTGAAATAAACTTCAATCAATCAATCAAAACTGTCGCCATCAAACACAGCTGGGACATCACCTCATCTCCAACCTTTCCTATCCTCCTTCCCTATCTTCTTTCCCTATCCCCCTTCCCTATCTTCCTTACCTATCCTCCTTCCCTATGCTCTTTTTCTATCCTCCTTCCCTATTCTCCTTTCTTATTTTCCTTTCCTATCCTCCTTCCCTATCTCTGAAAAAGTTCTGGTTCTGTCCAAATTTGATCTGATCCTCAGACAGACACCTGCAGAAGGTTCTGTCTGGACTTTGATAGAAAACACACTCCTCCACACACACACTGGTTCTGAAAACCTATGATAAAACACACACACACACACACACCTCTCTGCTCTGCACAGGTTCTTCCTGTTGAGTTTAGACTGTAAACAAAAGAAAACGACCAACGGCTTCATCACCGAGCTCGGATCACAGAGTCCAGACTTCGGTTCACAGATGGACAGAAAGGAAACTGAAAGTCAGAAAGTGTTACCCCCCCATCGAAGCTAGGACCTGGACTCTGGATTTCAGGGCGCAACAAATCACAAACAAGGAAAAAAGACACTTCTGAGAGTGGAGAGCAGGAAGTAACATCATGGGAGCATCTTACCAAAGGCTGTAGGTGACATCTCCTGCATGATGGCTCTGTACTCCAAATGATGACGAGTCTGATTACTGGGACCTACACACACACACACACACACACACACACACACACACACACGCACACGCACACGCACACGCAGCTTTAGTTTGACATGATATGAGTGTGTATTGTCAGTGATAACAAACGTGTGTGTGTGTGTGTGTGTGTGTGTGTGTGTGTGCGTGCGTCACCTGGCGCGCAGGGAGAGGGGGGTTTGCTCAGGATGAGGGCGGCTCCAGCGGGAGAGGGAGGCTTGTTGTTGGTCGATGGGGCAGTTGTGAGGTCAGAGTGGGAGGGGTCTGAGTCCCGTTGCCGTGGTGACCGGGCGCTCCAGTCGTCTGGTCCGCTGGAAGCAGCTGCTGTCGCTGAACTGCAGGTGGCGCTGGCCTTACGGGGCTGAGGGTGGGATATAGATGAACAGGATGTCTTATATGGTCTGTGTTTGATTGACAGTTGAGGAGCCAGAGGGGCGGGCCTAACCTTGTCTAATGCTGCCCATGCTGCGTTCAAGTTACCTCAAAAGTCAGATGTCGGAGCTGAAAATGAAGTCAAACCCGAGTTCCCAGTGTTTCAGTTACCAAGTCGGAAAAAAGCAAACTCTCAGGCAGAAACAAGATGGCTACATCTACCAAAGTTACTTTAGCGCTTGCCTTATATTCGGACAAGGCAAGCACTAAAGTAACTTCCGTAGACAAAGCTATCGTACTTTAGCGCTCACCTTACATACGGACAAGGCAAGTGCTAAAATAGCTTTCGTATGATGTAGCCATCTTGTTCCTGCCTCTGATTTAGCTTTTTCTGACTTGGTAACTGAAATGCTGGGAACTTGGGTGTGACTTCATTTTCAGCTCGGACGTCTGACTTCTGAGGTAACTCGAATGCAGCACCATTCTCTGATATCGGCTTCAAACGGAGGAATCTGTTTAATAACGGACCTCCTGACCCTGCCCCCTTACCTGTCTGGCCTGCTTCTCCTGGTCCTGAAGCCACTGCAGGTAGGACTCCCGGGCCACCTGCTCCTCGATGGCCTCGTTGGTGGCCTCCCAGTCCGTCGCTCTCTTCTTGTCCTCTAACATCTGCTGCTCGATCCACGACTCCTCCGACGTCTTGATGGCCGACTTCATCAGAGACTGATCGGCGTACTGAGGGAGAGAACGGACCGTCAGATTCTGCAGAACACTCACAGAATCCTCAGCTCGCTCACCAGCTGTGAACATACCCCTGGTTTGAAGGCGGGCAGGCCCAGTCCGACCCCGATCGTGGCCTTGTTCGGGTTCACCACAGAGTTGTAGTGGATGTTGCGATGGTAACTCACTCTGATTGGCTCGTCGTTGTTCTGGTGGATGCCGTGGAAGGTGTTGATTGGTTCTGTAGAGGAGACGGAGGGTCGGCTCAGTCAGATGTGATTGGCTGATTACTTGTTCGGTTCTTCTCGGACAGACGGACTCACCTGTGCCGTACTGGTACACCTCCACTGGTCTGTTGTACATCTCCGCCATGGCCTGCATCTCGATGTGGTTGCCATGGCAATTGTTTTTCCTCTTCCTGTTGATGTATGTGGTGAAGTCCTCTGTCACGTAGTTGGAGAAATAGTCTGCGTTCTTCATCTGGAGGGAAAAAAACAGATTTGATAAAAACATGGACTGGAGCGTGACCCGCGGGTTCAGGTGAATGTGAAGAGGTCAGAGGTCAATTACTCACAAGGTAGTCCATGCAGTGTTTCCTGACCACTTCATGCATGTCCTGATCCCCGTACACCTGGTCAGCTGAAGGACAGAGAGAACAGGTTAATCAGCTGATCCGTATACTCATGTCAACGTCTTTTAAAAAAAAAAGTCTGCAGAGACCGAGTAAATTACAAAAAAGGGAGGACAGTGTGTGTGTGTCATTGTTCTGAATCCTTTCAAAATAAAAGCTCAGGTCTCTCTCTCTTCTAAAGTCTGACTCCGATCCTGGGGATGTAACGATATGAAAATTTCACATCATGATTATTGTGACCAAAATTATCACGGTATTGTTGAAATATGTTCAAAATGTTTAAAAAGTACTTATACACGCCCTGAAATCATTTAACAAAGTTTTATTATGGAAAAAAAAAAAGCAATCAAAACAACCCGCAGAATGAACTTTTCCTTAACCTTAAATAACAGAGGAACGATAAGCCTTAGATAATCAAAGATAGGGCCTTAGAAGAGCCAGAGGTAATAAACACTAGTAATAACAAAGTAATGTGCCAGAGGCATAAACATTAACATAACAACAAATAAATCATCAGCCTCACTGACATTAATAACATAAAACTAGAGTTGACTAATATTAGGCCTGCTGACTGTAATCACATTAAATTAATTTAACATAGTCCATAATTACTCATATCCTAACCTTGTAAACTAAATTCATTCTGTTTCACCATTACATGAGCTGTTGTTGCTGTTGTTTCTGCTGTCCCCTGTCTCTCTCACCCTCGTTCTCTACTCTCTCTCCCTCCCCCTCCCTCTCCTTACTCATTCTCTCTCTCTCTCTCTCCCTCTCCCTCTCCCTCCCTCTCCATCTATCTCTCTACATTCCTCCCCAACCCAGCAGCGGCATGGTGGCTGTCTGGCATGAGTCTGGTCCTGCCCAAGGTTTCTGCCTGTTAAAAGGAAGTTTTTTCTTGCCACTGCTACTCATGTTAGGTGAGATGGGCCAAAACCCATCTTAGGTTGGTTCTTGATCATCAAACAATGAGCGTGGTCTAGACCTGCTCTTGTTCTTTGAAAAGCGTCTTGGGATGACGACTGTTGTGAATTGGCACTATATAAATAAAATTTGATTGATTGATTAATTGATTGAAGTCTGAGTCCAGATGGAACAGCATGGTGCTGGAGGATGGAGTGGTACTGTTCCTTCTTCATGATGCCCTTTACTTCAAACAAATCTCCTACTTCATTACCTGCAAACTATCCCCATACCATGGAACTACCACCTCCATGCTGAATCGTGGGTGTAACACATAGTGCTTTCAGACATTCACCCGTTTGTCTGCGGACATAGACTCTGCGTTTTGAACCAAACATTGCAAACTTGTTTCTAGTCATCATAAGTCCAATTTTTGTGAGCTTTTGCCCACTCATATCTCTTTTTCTTGTTCTGTGGACGAGGTAGTGTTTTTTTGCAGATACACAACCCTTCAGACCAGCCTTTCTCAAACGTCATTTCACGGTTGTCAGAGATATGGGTTTCCACCTTGTCAGGTTGATTTCCTCCCTTATTTGTGGTGCTGTCTTTTGCCGATCTCTCTTACTGGTGACAATGCTATGTGTATCCTCTGCTTTGCAATAACTCTCTTTCGTCCAGGTCTTTTTCTATCATCATAACTTCCAGGTTCCACTAGTCTCTTCAGAGTGTAGTGGACTCCTTTGTTAGACACCTTTAGGTGTTTTGCAATTTCTCTTTCTCTCAAAACCCAAAGAGTTGAAGTGAATAAACCAACTGTGGTTTGTTTTTTTGCTTTCCTTATTATCTTTTGGTCTGTGAATACCAATGTATCTAAAGGTAAATGGAGTAAAATGGTGCATTTCCATGAAAGCAACTTCTGATCATGGAGTAAATACATCCCAAAATACATAAAACTCATGCTGGATTAAAAAAAAAGCATTGTGAACAAAAACTTGAAGTTACTCCCAACTGTTCGGCCTGTAATGGCCTTGGCCTGTAGTGTATATATATATATATATATATATATATATATATATATATATATATACACACTACAGGCCAAAAGTTTGGAAGCAAGATCAAATTTGTACAAAAAAAGATCAGAATAATTTGCAACAGCCCATACCATGGCACTACCACCTCCTTGCTTTATTGTGGGTGTTACGCATGGTGCTTTGAGACATTCACCAGTTTTTCTGCAGACATAGACTCTCAGTTTTGAACCAAATAGTTCAAACTTGCTTTCTTCCGTCCAGAGGACTTGTCATCCAGTCATCATAGGTCCAATTTTTGTGAGCTTTTGCCAAATCATATCTTTTTTTCTTGTTCTGTGGACAAAGAAGTGTAATTTTGCAGATACAAAACCCTTTAGACCTTGATTTCCTCCTTTATTTGTGGTGCTGTTTTTCACCAATCTCTCTTACTAATGACAATAATATGTTTATCCTCTGCTTTTGTAGTGACCCTTTTTCTTCCAGCCCTTTCCTATCATCATAACTCCCAGTTTCCTCAAGTCATTTTAGAGTGTAGTGAACTCCTTTGTTGGACACCTTTAGGCGTTTTGCAATTTCCCTTTCAGTGTATCCTTCCCCTCAATGTACTAATCTGTACTAGGATGCACAAATGCTTCCTGACAACCCTCGCAAGCCTTTGTAGAAGCCGAAATACGCCCAGACTTCAACTTTGTTTTCTTTGACAGCAGAAAAATATCTGCAATACGGTCAGCAGAACTGCCCTCCGCCATGTTTACAAGTTGTATGTGCAGTTGCAGTGCGCATGCTCACGGCACACCTGTGTCCAAAGGACGGCTGCGTGTGACTGCTCTTTATCAAAACTGAGCAGTATCACTGTGAGCTTTTCCAGAATGCGGTGATCAAACACGGTTTTAACAGTAATTACAATTTGAAACTGTAGTACTAACCGTCAGACATTTTACCATGGTTTATCATTTTAGCGGTAATCGCTACATCCCTACTCTGATCTTTAGTTTCTTCAGTCTGTGATTTAACGTTAAGGAGTTGAATCTCTGAGTAAAAACACTTAAACTGGATTAAAATCTTTAATTTAGTGAGGATTATCATGAAAACGAATGTGAAACTCTTAAAGTGAAGAAGTGATGACAGTTTGGAGAAGACATGACTTTAACACAGACCAACAGACGGCTCCAGTTCAGGGAGGGTGGAGCCTAACTGACAGTCAGAGGGGAAGACAGCGAGGTTTACAAAAAAATAGAACTGATCCTTTAACTTTCACTGAAGTGTCACAATGAGAGTCCACACACACACACACACACACACACACACACATTGGATGATGAGTCCAGCAGTGACTCCCCTGTTTGTTCACACCTGCTGCTGCTCATCTGAGTGTGTTAGTTTTGTTTTGAGTGTGTGTGTGTGTATTCTCAGCACCTCCATCCTTGACATCACACACACACACACACACACACACACACACACACACACACACACACACACACACACACACACACACACACACACACATATACACACTTGCAGTGCTAGTGAGAAAAAGGAAGTAGTGGGGGGGTTCTGAGAATTGCCGTGGTTACAGACCATGTGACTTGCTGGAAATCAGACCAAAGTGAGGCTCATTTGCATACCACTGCATGTGTGTGTGTGTGTGCATGCACGTGTGTGCACCTCCAGGTTCATGCAGTTTGAAGTGTTGACAAGGCCGCGGTCATGTGACCAGCTGAGTTTGTTTATCAGACAACAGGCAGACGGCGGGACGCGAACACAGATCCGTGAGCTCGCGGTTCTTCCTGATCTGTCAAGGGTTTGACTTTTCTGAGTCTGATGTGTGAAAAACTGAAATTCAAACTTAAATTCAAACTAAAATCATTAAAACTTTAACTATTGAAACTAAAATTATAAAAAAAATTATTAAAACTTAAATAAAAACTGAAATCATTAAAACTAATATCATTCAAACTAAAATTATTCCTTAAATTATAAAAAAAAATTGTTAAAACTTAAATAAAAACTAAAATTAAAACTTAAAAATATTAACACTTAAACTATAAAAACCAAAATGATTAAAGTTAAAAAAAACTAAAATTATTAAAAATAAAATTGTTCTAACAAAAATTGAAACTAAAATTTTTAAAATTAAAATAATTTAATGTCAAATAAAACCAAAATTACAACTAAAATTATTCAAACTAAAACTATAAAAAATAAATTGAAAACTACAATTATTAAAAATTAAAATTAAAACTAAAATAAAAATCAATAAAATTAAAAGACCTCAGCTGATTCTGAACCAGAATAACTGGCTGCAGTCCATCAGCGTTTGAAATGTCAGATCTCTGAATTCATTTAAACCATCTGAACGTTTGTGAGTCAGAGGGAAACTCCCTGCAGATTCACCAAATGAGTCACTGAAACAGACGAGACAAACACTTTACCATTCCACTGAGAAGGGAGGAGGAGAAAAGGAGAGGAGGAGAGGAGAGGAAAGAGAAGGAGAGGAGGAAAGGAGAGAGGAGGGGAGGAGAGAGGAGAAGGAGAGGGGAGAGGATGGGAGGAGAGGAGAGGAGACGAGAGAGGAAAGGAGGAGAGGAGGAGAGGGAGAAGGAGAGGAGGAGAGGAGAAAGGAGGAGAGAAAGAGAGGAGAGGAGAGGAAAGGAAAGGAGAGGAGAGGAGGAGAAGAGAGGAGAGGAATGGGAGGAATAGAGGAGAGGAGGAGACTAGGGATAAGAATCTAGGATACAGACACTGTTTATTGATGTTATATTTTATATTATAATTGTAATTATTATTATTTTTATTATTATTGATGTTATAATGTAATGCTTTGGCAAAATTGTTTAAACAGTCATGTCAATAAAGGTTATTAAAATTGAAATACAGGAGGCAACATAAGAGGAGAGGAGGAAACAAGGGAGAAGAAAAAATAAAGAGGGAAGTGAAGGTGAGCTAAGAGGAGAGGAGTTAAGGAAACAAATTAGCAGAGGATAAGAGACAAGGCAAGTGAAAGAGGATGAAACAAGGTTCAGGAGAAAGGAGACAAGAAAAGGAAAGGCTGGAAGGAGAGGGTGTAAGGAGATAAGAAAGGTAATAAAGGAGAGGAGGAAAGGAGAAAAAGAAGGAAGTGACAAGAGGAAGTTGTGAGAAAGTTCCGGAGAAACACTTAAGATAGACTTCTACAGAACACACACACACACACACACACACACACACACACACACACACACACACACACACACACACACACACAGACACAGAGGAAACTGCAGCAAGACCTTGATTGGTCAGCTCGGGTGCTTTTATCAGGAGGGGGCAGAGTCTGATCAGCTGGTTTGGCTGCTGGTGTCGATAAAGTTCTAATCTGAACCTTGCAGACCGGATCCACCCTGACCAGGAGAACCAGTGCAGCAGAGCATTATGGGTACTGTAGTTTAAACACCTGTATCGTATGAATCCACTTATGTTTGTGTCAAAAGGAAACCGACCAATCAGAGCAGAGAAGTGATGTCATGTGAGCAGGTAAGATCTGACATGACCCATAATTTCGACTTCTGCAGAAATCGAACTTCCTGTTTTTCTGGAAAGTCATTTCCTGTTTATTTTTGTCCACAATAACCATAAACCCGATAAACGTCAGCAACCGCACACAACCTGCAAACTGCCCTGTGTGCATGTGTGTGTGCACGCGTGTGTGTGTGTTTGCGCTGAGTCCAGGTCAGTTCTCAGTTCTCTCAGAACCCACCTGTCAGGTCAAAAAAAAGGGGGCGGGTCATGGAGATCATGTGGTTACTGTCACAGGGACGAATGCAGAGAGCGCCAGAGGACAAAACGAACTAAGTTTTCACTGACAAGGACGCCAGCAGAGGTCAAAGGTCGGTGACCCCTCCTCAGGATGACTGCTCCTGACATGACTGCACCGCTGACACACACAGGATATGACCTCAGAGGCCATTTCTTCAGCTGACCCTCTTAACTGGGTCATGGGACTGATTGACAGGTCATTGGTTACATGACCCACGGAGAGCTGAGCACTCACTGAGTCAGAGTGACACAAGGACTTCACGCCGTAAACACGCCGCAAACACACCGAGAAAAGTTTACGGCTGAGCCCTCCACCTCCTTTCTCTCCATCTTCACTTACCTCATCCACTCTTTCCTTCCTTCCTAAATAACCTCTTTCCTTCACTTCCAAGATACATTCTTTCCTTCTTTCCTCAATACCTTCTTTCCTTCCCTTCCTTAATACCTTCTTTATTTCCTTCCGATATTCCTTCCTTCCTAAATACCTTCTTTCATTTCCTTCCTAGATACCTTCTTTCCTTCCTTCCTAAATACCTTCTTTCCTTCCTTCCTATATTCCTTCCTAACTAGATACCTTCTTTCCTTCCTTCCTAGATACCTTTTTTTTCTTCCTTACTAATTGCCTTCTCTCCTTCCTTCCCATCTTCCTTCCTAAATACCTTCTTTCCCTTCCTGGATACCTTCTTTCCTTACTTCCTATCTTTCCTTCCTCGATACCTTCGTTCCTCTTCCTAAAAGCCTTCTTTCCTTCCTTCCTATCTTTTCTTTCTACCTGTCCTTCTTATCTTCCCTTTCTAGATTTCTTCTTTCCTTCCTTGGTATCTTCTTTCCTTCCTTCCTAGACACCTTGGGCTCTATTTTCGTGCGCGCCGGTGAGGCGGCGGAGGGTGGCGAGCCCCGCGCAGTTGTATTTTCGTCTGGCGGAGCCCGGCGTAAGGCCAGTTTGGTATTTTCGTGGACTGAGCCGCACGGAGGCGAGCCGAGATCTGCCAAGCTGGGCGTGGTGGCGTGGCAGGGGGAGGTGTCGACAGAATCAGCTGGCGCAGTGACATTTTCGTGCTCGCCACCGGCGTGTAAAGTGCGCTGAAAGCTCGCCGATTCAAACCTGGTCAGCTTTCAGCACAAGGCGGAACGCAGCTGGTCCAGTAGTATTTTGGTAGACCGGCGGCGTATCGACATACGTCACTGATGCCTCACCGGCAGGTTTCCACAGTGTCAGGCACATTTCAGTGCAATAAATAATCATCAACAACTATTAATCTGAGTCAGCACATACATTTGGATCTATATAGATATATTCTGATCTATATGTGATCTGATGAGCGCGTTTGGCACGCGTTTGGACACACAACCTGACCGAATCAACACAGCTGAAACCGCATCAAATTAAATTAAATATCTAGTAAATATACACACATGATGAAGTTAACAAGATATGTAATTCGTCTCCCTCCTTTTCTTTCTTCCTCTTCCTCTTATTTCTCGCACAGCTCGACCTGGACACGTCTCCATGTCCTCTGTCCGTCTTGCTGCTGCTGCGGCTGAACAGATGATTTGTTTCAGTGCTCAGATGCGTTATCTACTTTAAGCCGACATATGGATATTATAATATTCAGTTTTGTCAGCCAAATTTATTTTATATGCCAACATCTATGAAAGAAAGAGCCAGGCCACGGAGCGCGATGCGTCATTTACGCACAGATGGTTCCGATTTTAATGCCATTTTTGGAATTTATGTTGTAATCTGTGCGCTAAACCCACCTTTGTCACGTGAGGTTTGAATATGAGCAACTTTATTTGAGTGTCTTTATTTGTGGAAAAGGGTGTTTGTCTTACCACTGGGTCCAACATTACACACACCAAATCCATCTGTGCTCATATGAGAGAGTGTGGAGGACACTTGTTGAGGAGCTGCCCTCTGTCGCCATCTTGTGGCATTACTGTCTTAAGACATCTCTTGATCTCTTTGACTACTTCATGAAAATAGTAATACGCCTCGCCTGTGGCGGATTTAAAGGCAAGGAGAGGAGCTTATGTGATTGGTGAAAACAGGTCTCGGCTGTGTTAAACCCACTACACACCCTCTCTCCTCCCCATCTACGACTTATGGTGCTGGGAGGAGCCGAGTTAGGGAGGGGGGATACTTATGCCGGGCTGCGCGGCTCACCAAAATGTGCTTGGGAACGCCTTGTCAGCGCGGCGGATCTGACTGACGCTGCACTTGCGGCACGTCTCCGGCGAGGCACCAAAATAGAGCCCCTTATCTCCTTCCGGCCTATCTCTCTTTCCTTGCTAGATACCTTCTTTCCTTCCTTCCTATCTTTTCTTCCTTCCTATCTTTCCTTTCTTCCTAGACACATTTTTTACTTACTTTCTAGAGACCTTCTTTCCTTCCTTCCGATCTTTCCTTCCTTGCTAGATACCTTCTTTCCTTCCTTCCTATCTTTTCTTCCTTCCTTCCTAGATACCTTCTTTCCTTCCTTTCTAGATACCATTTTTCCCCCCTATCTTTCCTTCCTTCCTAGATACCTCCTTTTTTTATCATTGCTCCTTCCTATCTTTCCTTCTTTCTTTCCTAGATACCTTCTTTCCTTCCTTCCTATCTTTCTTTCCTTCTTAGACACCTTCTTTCCTTCCTTCCGAGTGCTCCCTTCTATCCTTTCCCTCCTCAGATGGTTGCATGAATACAGATCAGCTGTTTTTGACCTCTCTCTCTCTCTCTCTGTCCGTATGAACGGCTGAATCTCGTCGTTTATATCAGACCTCATCACACATTCACAGACTCGGGCCTGTTCAGTTCCTAGATCACTGAGGACCATTAGACTTGGAACTACCTCGCTCAACTTAGCGCGGTACCCAGCAGTCTCGCTAAACGGTCTCACGACGCTGGTTGTCAACCTCGTAAGTGGATCCAGCTTTGCTATGAGTGCGTGCACGCATGTAAGGCAGAGCCCGCCACATCTGACCAATTGTGAACATGGACCAGTCCGGAGCGTCAGAGCAGGCCAGAGAGCGAAGGACTGCGTACTTTACAAATGAGGAGCAGGAGACGATCATGAGAAAGTATGAAGAATTCAAATCGATCATAAACCTTAGAAGCAACACCGTCGCCTCTGCAAAAGCAGGGAAGAATTGCTGGCAGAAAATTGCTGACAGTCTCAATGCGTAAATATAGTGTGCAAAAAATCTTTGATGTCATTATCACCCCGAAAAAAAGCTTTGTTTAACATGTGCTTTTAACATGCACCAGACATTATCTAAATAATTTCCAAGTTAAATTAATTAATTTGTTCATTTCTATCGTGTTTACATTTTTTGTGTGATATGTAGGCCATATGAGCTTTTCATAAAGGTGGTCATCCGGAGAAGTAAGTGGGTCCGTGTGGTCCCTGAAAACCCTTGCACTCCGGAGTGCTCCTCGGACAATTCAAGCACAGAGGTCTATAGGATCCTCCAAAAACGGACAAGCCATTTTTCAAGAGAGCTCATTGGTCAGTGGCTGGGGTTTTTATACTCGGTAAATTCAATCTGGAACCTTACCTGCCCTGGAGCAGGTTAGCCGTTCAGCGTACGTTGCCATGGAGACTTGCCTCGCTAAGAAGTGAACCCGCGTCGTAGAACAGGAAACCCCAAACTTACCCTCAAAGTTACCTCACTAAGCAGTAATCCTGCTTCGTAGAATAGGCCCCATGTGGAGGACAGACCTAACCCTGACTGCGTGATCCAGGTATGTTAATCCAACTGTATTGTGAAAAACTGACCGATAAATTTACAGACTTTCTGTCTGTTCAGTTTGCATCCGCTCTGACTGACCTGGATAGTTTCCCCAGACTTCTTTTGACTCTTATTGATTACTCTCATTTAAATGATTCTGGTTTTCTTTAGTCTGGTATCTGTCCGGTTTATCTGACCTTTATTCGAGTTTTCAGTTTCTGTTCATGTCTGAAAAACTCTCATTAAATAAGTTGAGCCGTGGTTCCCTCCATCTCTCCTGAAGCTGAAAAAAGAGGCGAAATGAGGAATCAGGGAGCAGGAGCAGAAACCAGAAGTCGTCTCTGGGGTTGTTTGTTGGAAACGTTGATCATGTGATTGTCAGCTGTGTATTTTTAAAACAATAGTATCAGGAGTCAGACGTGGCAGTGTGGCCAGCCTGACAGGATGTTTGTACCAAGAGGAAAACACCTTCAGGGTGAGTGACAGGTCGGATCAGCTGAGAGGAGAAACCAGTTCAGACTCCATCACAGCATGAGCCGTTCTCATGTCATCCTCATGTGCTGCGTTCAGGGACGCTCAGACTTCTGACAATCAACAACAGTCAGCTGAACATGACTTCATTCACAGAATATAACAATAACAGATGATTCATCAAAGATCACTGACTGACTGTGACCAGCAGCAGTGCATGATGGAAATGATGGGCACGCAGGGAGCATGCAGGGAATATCTGACCAATCAGGAGCTGCTAAACGGGTCTGAGTAATGCCACAAAGACGGGAACATCTGACAGCCTGACCTTCACACGCCAACAGACACCGCCATTTTCATCAACAACTATAACAACATAAATGCCAACAACTACAACAACAATAAAAATGACAACAATAATGACGACGGTGAAAAAACAACAACTACAACAACAACAACAAAAATAATGACAAAGATTACAACAAAGACAAAGACAGCAACAATAACAACATGAACAACCAGACAACAAGGACGACAATGATGACAACAACAATAACAACATGTACAACGACAGCAACAACAACAATAACAACATAAACAAAAACCATAACAACAACACAATCAACAACAACACCAACACCAACATCAACATCAACAACAACAACAACAACAACATCAACAACAGCATGAAGATATTTTATTTCAGAGGAGGGAAGGTGTCAGAAGAATTAACATAAAGCCTGAGAAAAACAGCTGTAAGACCAGGGGCCTGTTCTACCAAGCAAGTTCAACCGAGCTAAGTTGAGCGAGGTAGCTCCAAGGCTACCTCGCTCAACTTAGCACGGGGCCGAGGGCATGCGTGTAAGGCGGAGCCCGCCAACTGACCAACCTCGAACATGACTCTCCTTGCTAAGAGGTGAACCCGTGTCGTAGAACAGGAAACCCCGAACTTACCCTCGAAGTTACCTCGCTAAACAGTAATCCTGCTTCGTAGAGTAGGCCCCAGGAAACTGGAGCTGGGCTCACATAACCTGACTTTTCCTGGTCTATGTAAACCTGTTAGGTATCATCACAGGTCTTTAATCCTGTCTGAAGCAAATCAGGAAGCACATCATGAACATCATCAATAACCAATAGGTGTGCTACAAGCTAACGTACACATGCCTGGGGCATATTCTACGAGGGAAGTTTGACCTAGCGAGGTAGCCTTGAAGCTTCCTCGCTTAACTTAGCGAGGTAGCTACAAGGCTACCTCGCTTAACTTAGCGCGGTACCCAGCGGTCTCGCTAAACGGTCTTACAACGCTGGTTGTCAACCTCGTAAGTGGATCCAGCTTTGCTATGAGCACGTGCACGCATGTAAGGCGGAGCCCGCCACATCTGACCAATCTTGAACATGGACCAGTCCGGAGCGTCAGAGAAGGCCGGAGAACGATGGACCGCGGACTTTTCAAATGAGGAGCGGGAGACGATCATGAGAAAGTATGAAGAATTCAAATCTATCACAAACCTCAAAAACAACAATGTCGCCAACAGTCTCAAGTATACACCCAGGACACAGAGCAACAAGCGACCGCACACGGTTAGAGCTGTGGTCATTTCTGTCAGCTTTTTCTCTGAATAAACCAGTTCCTCCTCAGAGAGAGAGAGAGAGAGAGAGAGAGAGAGAGAGAGAGAGAGAGAGAGTCTGAGTCGGTCTCAGGTTCAACCTGTTCTGACCCGAGTTCTGCTGCAGGTTGTTTGTTTCATATTCAAAGATTGTAGTTTGTAGTTGTCAAGTGTTGCTGAGCAGCAGTGTTGGTATGCAGTGGATCAGCTGACTCTGTGTGTGTGTGTGTGTGTGTGTGTGTGTCTGTGTGTGTGTGTGCATATTATCTGCCTGTTGTTGTTGTTATGCAGAAATCAGCTGAGAGATAAAAACATGTAACCAGCAGCAGCAGCAGCATCACCATGCCCTGAACTTCACACAGAGGAGCTGAGAGTGCCCCCTACAGGCTGCACAGTCACTACTACAGCAGGAGCATTATTCACTGAGACTGAAGGATGTTTTGTTGGTAAGATGTCTTATTCTGACCTGAAAACAGTCCAAATGAAAGTGTCAATAAGTCTGGATTTTAGATCACCAGAGATAAGGACGGATCATCTGTGAACCAAAACAAACTTTAAACAAAATTATGGTAAAAATTATAATAAAAACTTTATAATCCAACAAACAGAAAACTATGAGAGAGTGAAGCTGTTCTGTCAGAAGGTAAAGTCCCTGTTTTCAGTTTATAGTGGATCTATGAAATCCCAGTATTATTGAAACTCTATTATGTGGTTTTAATCACTTTAATCTGAAAACATCCAGACCATCCAACTAACTAACTAAACAAACACAGAAACTAACACACTGACTAACTAACAAGACAAACAAACAAACTAACTAACCAACTAACAAAAATCACACAAACTAACTAACTAACTAACTAACACAACAAACACACTAACAAAACAAACACATAAACTAACTAACTAACTAACTAGCAAAACAAACACACAACCTAACTAACTAACAAACAAACAAAACAAACAGACAAACTAACAAAGTAACAAAACAAACACACTAACTAACTAACTTACTAACAAAACAAACACACAGACTAACTAACTTACTTACTAACAAAACAAACACACAACCTAACTAACTAACTAACAAACAAAACAAACACACTAACTAACTAACTAACAAAACAAACACACAAACTAACTAACTAACTAACTAGCAAAACAAACACACAAACTAACAAACTGACTAAATAACGAAACAAACACACAAACTAACCAATTCACAAAAACAAACTAACAAAACAAACACACTAACTATCAAAACAAAGCACAAACTAAAGCACAATCACACACACAAACTAACAAAATAAAAAACTAACAAAACAACAAACAAACCAACTAACTAACAAACAAACTAACAAAACAAACACACAAACTAACTAACAAAACAAACACACTAACTAATTAACAAAACAAACACACAAATAGGCCTGTCGCGATAATCAATAAATCGCCTTATCGCTCTGTAAATAAAAACGAGGTCGGTAATTTTGCCAGCCTCCATAATTGACGTGCGTTTGTTTTCCTCCTCGCTGGCTACCAAACGCGCTGGATGAGAGAAGAGGTCTCACTCTGCGCATTTTTCTCGACACCTGGGTGCGTTGGCTCTATAGCGGAATGAACACAGTGAGTGAACCCTCCTGTCAGTCATTCAGTCTCTTTGTCACGGTGGGGAGGGGAGGGGAGGGGGGGCGCACGCACACAGACGTACTGACACAGTGCGGAGCAAACGCAATGAATGATGAAACGACAGCTTTGGTGTCTAATCCCAACGCAACAGCCCCAGTGTGGGAACATTTCGGTTTCAAATAAAATGAAAGAGGTGAGCCCACGAACACGGACGTATGTCGCATTTGTTTTGGTGACAAAGAAGGGAAATACGACGAACATGCATGCGCACCTCAAGCACAATCATCCGCGGGGTTGATTGTGCTTGAGGTGCGCATGCATTTTCTTTGTTGACCTGTTGAGGAATAGCACCCAAAGCTAATTATTTAGTGCAATTTTGTGTACAGACTCGAGACTCCACTTTATTTATTGTTTTAATAGTTATGTGTGGAGTGAAGTTTTTGTTGCGTACCAGAGACAAGGTCTGTTTTTTTTTGTTTGTAGTTGTGATTGTGGTTTTTATTTGAATGCAGTTTTTGTTAAAACAGAATGGGGGTCCATTTTATTTTCATTGTTTTTTGGTTGTCTTGTTTGTTTATTATATTTGTTCATCCTAGTTCAAAGTTCTTAATCTTGAGCAATTAAAGTTTATTGCTTTTGACATGGTGTACTCGCATTATTATGCCATATGTTATTATTATCTATAATTTAAAAAACGGTGTCAATAATATCGTTTATCGGCAATAATTTGTAGCACAATTATCGTCCAGCAAAATTTGTTATCGTGACAGGCCTACACACAAACTAACTAACTAACAAAACAAACCTCTCTAACTAACTGACTAAACAAACACAAAAACTAACACCCACTTACTGAACAAACACACTTACTAAGAAACAGTAACACAATAACATCTAACACTCAAACTTACACACAGACTCAAAAACTAACACACAACCACACTTACTCACACACAAACACACACTAACTAGATAAACAAATCCACACACAAATGCACACACAATAACACACTTACTAACACACACACAAACAGACACACAAACCAACACACACTAACTCTTGTGTTCAATATGTCAAAACCTGTTTTCACACCAAGCTGCCAAGTTTCAGTTTCAGGTGGACAGGTGTGTGTGAATGTGTGTGGTGTGTGTGTGTGTGTGTGTGTGTGTGTGTGTGTGTGTGTGTGTGTGTGTGTGTGCGTGTGTTTTTTCTGTGAAATGGGATACAGTGTAAAGAAAGGAGTCTCTGAAAACAGAAGTGAGAACCATCAGAAATAAACTGAAACAAACTTCATTTAGACTAGGAGACACCGACATCTGAGACGTTTTCAGAGGTCAGAGGTCAGACGCTCAAGGTCACCTTTTATATCCTGGATCATTTGATGAATGAATTTCGTTAATATAATCTCAGTATTTGTGTTATTATCATGTCAGTACTTTGAGGGGGGCTCTTATTGTGAAAGAGACACTTTGGACGATAAACCACAAACTAAGAGACACAAGAGCAGCAGAGAAACCTTCAATGATCTACATCCTGAAGGTCAACATCTTCACTCTATCAGCTGACACACACACACACACACACACACACACACACACACACACACACACACACACACACACACACCTGCAGGCCAGCTCCCAGAGCATTCTGGGTAAAATGGGCTTTAAATGAGAGCTCTAAACTGGGACAGAACTGAAGGTGTGAGAAAAAGGTCGACTGACTGAAACTCGGGAACAAACCAAGGTTATTATCTAACAAGACAGGTGTGAGGTTACAGGTAACACACACACACACACTCACACACACACACACACACACACACACACACACACACACACACTCACACTCACACTCACACACACACACACACACACACACACAGAGGTAAGGGTGTGATGACATAAGTGCAGAAATATAATCGGTGTTGTCTGAAACAGAAGCTCCACTCTGAATGGACCTGAAACCATCGTCATTTACTCTAACCCACATTTCCACATACTTTCCCACACACATGCACGCACGCACGCACGCACACACACAAACACACACACACAGTGTCAGGGCGCCCCCTGCTGTCTGAGGCCTGGTTTGGTTCCTCTCAAACTGATACAGCGGCAGACCTGTTCCTGATATTTTCAGGTGGACTGTTAAAGACCAGAGTTGGGGATAACTGCAGACTTGGAGCCCCAATCTTCTGCCTGGCTTTGCTATGGAAAGTTCTCAGGGTCAAACTTGTTAAATATTTCCTTAGAGGGGTCCGGAGTAAACTTGTGAGGATGTTTGAACTGATCCATGATTACAGCTCCGTAGATCTCAGGATGTTCGTGTTTTTGCTTTGGGATCGTTGGATTTCAACTAGGGGTGCTCCGATCTGATGGGCACTGATCTAGATCTGCCGATATGCCTATGATCGTTTTTGATTGGACTTATCAAAATGACCTAACAAGGCTGATCAATGACATGAAATCCAGGAGAATGAGGAAAAAAAAGGTTAAAATCTGTGAGAATTACCAACATGTATGAATATAGCATATCTATGTTTTGCATTTCTGCATACAAATACAGGGATAAATATCTCAATATAAAGATGATTATAGGCTTTACGCCACCAAAAGAAAGAAATCATTCTTCTTCCGGTCACGTAAAAGGCAGCTTGCAATTGGCTGTCTCGCTTTGTTATGGTCATGTAGTTTGAGCATGCCCTTTGTCTCGAGAGAAATTGCTTTGCCAGTCCGCCACACGCCCAGCTGACTGTAAGCAGTTTACTAAAACAACGGCAGCCGTACAGTAATGAGAACAAGAAAAGAACAGAAATTAATGCTTAAGTTATGGAGTTCATATGCTTAAACAAACAGTCGCTGCCTATATTATTTTACTGACGTCTTCCTGACGGAGTTTTATCAAAATGTCTACATGCACATTGAGAGCCTCATGAAGGACAACATCACCGCAGTCAGCTCCAGGAATGACATATGGACCTGGTGTGTTTGTAAGTGACTTTTCAGCACTGAGGATATATTATAGATGAGAAGAGAAACAGGTTAACTGCTAAAAATGCAGAGATACTAATATTATTGTTATAATTATCAAGACAAATCTGTCACTGATGCTGTTTAATCAGAAGTAAGTCTGAACCCCAGTACAGCCTCTCACAGGCAAAAATGTCTCGGCTGAGATAGTTATAGATTAACTCTAGAAAAATGATTTGTATTTTTGTTTTTTTGTGTTCTTGCCTATGACTCTCTCTCTACCTGTCCAAATGACACACAAAAAACCCTGAAGTTACATATAGAAGGGTCTACAGATACATAGTTTTTTTTTTTTTATTGCTCTGCACTTTTCCGTTAATGACTTGAAACCGTATTTCACATTTTGTCAAAGTTCAGTTTATTATATCTCCAAAGGAAAGCTACTGTTAAAACTCCAAGTTCAGGAGCCTTTAATGAATGCAATGTTGCACTTAAGAAAAGTATTTTATTTGATTTATGATTATACATTCTATGTAAGCTTCAAGTTGTCTCTCTCAGAGGGTCATTAGAGCATCTAGAGTGGAATGTTGCAAATTCCCTGCAATAATGAAGATTGTTGTCAATTCATAAAACTTTCTCATCTCCAATTTAATACTGGTTGCACAATAAATGAAATGCTTCAACTGCTGTTTTTGATGCTGTGATCAGTGATTGGAATAATCGGATCGGCAGATACTGATTTCAGTAAGATCGGATCAGTGATCAGAACCCAGAATCCTGATCAGAGCATCCCGAATTTCCACAAACACATCGACTCATGCAGAGTGAGGAAATTTCATTTTAACTCTCATGAGCATGACTGACCCCTTCATTCAAAAACACCAAAAAAATTCACAAGCTTTTATTTTGAAAATCAGAAGCCTGAAGGTTTGGCCACATGGGCAGCAGAGGAGAGGGTCTGAGAGCAGAGGCTCCAGGCTGAGACATCATGATAACAAACTTTAACACAAAGACACGCCCTCAGACTTTTGGCAGGAAGTGACCACAGAGAGTCATGGCAGCTCTTTACTGCAAAATCAAAACCTGCAGCTGGAGCTGAAAACCGGACCACCAAGATCCTCCTGAACCGGGTAAAACCTCTGATTCTGTTCTGTGCTCAGGACCAATCAGGAAGGATCGAAGGTAAAACTCTGACTGAGGGAAACAACAACTGCACAACACTGACACCTGCTGGTGACCAGAGGAACTGCAGAGAAACGCCTGAGGAGAGCTCAAGGTTTGTGTGTGTGTGTGTGTGTGTAAAACTCACCCACGGCTCTGAACAGACACGCTCCGTCCTCCTTCATCTTCTTGATGACGAAGCCTTTCTTTTCCCTCAGAGCTTTTTCAAACCAATGCTCCTGCTGAACACACACACACACAGACACACACACACACGCACGCACAGGTTTAGCTGTGTAGTGAACCTGCGCAGATAAACAGTAACAGTACAGCTGAGCTCACAGAACTCCTTTACCCAGAATTCTTTTCTTTAACACCAGAGACTTCTCTGGACCTGAGTCCATTAAAGGTGGACTGTCCTGAGGTCTGATGGATCAGAATCTGACACTCCTCTGGAAAAGTAAACTGAAGAACAACAGTTGTACTTTGAATGTAGAACTGTCTAAAAAACATAAATATTGTAGACCATTATTCATCATGTGCAATATGATAAGTTTTATACCTCATTTATCCCACCGACTTATCCTCCATTTCATACATTCACACTCAGCACCTACTGCACCACTTGTGCAGTTAGTAAATATTTCCCTTGTACTTTTAATTGTCTTTAATATATTTGTTTGTATCCTTATTTTATTGTATTCCTCCTCTCTAGTACTTAATGTGTGTTTTATCTGTACTCCTTTGAGTCAAGTGGTCCTCTCATGCGGGGCGTTTCATTGCATTGTTGACCTTGTTCAACATGAACATGAAAAATAAACTAATCTTGATCTTGAATCTTGATTTTGTTAGAGTTTTTGCATTAAAATAAATCTGTCTGTTTACAGTCACAGTCTGCAACAGCATCCAAACCCTCAGAAGGACAAAAATCGCTCACTTTTATTTTCTGTTTTACGTCTTTGATTCATCAATTATTAAAAAAAAATAAAAAAACACCAAAGTCAGCAAAAATCAACACAGGGGTACGGCTGTTGTTGTCTCTCTCTCTCTCTCTCTCTCTTGCACTTGTATTAAAACAAAAATAATAACAATTACAGCAATAATAGTAACAGTAATAAAAACAATTATAACAATAGTAATAAAAATGAATAAATAGTGTCAGTATCATGTTTGCTACAGGTGGGAGAAAATATCGATTCACGTAAGTATAACGATTTTTTGTACAATTTTTAAATTGATTTTTATGTTCAAAAATGGATTTTTTTATAATTGAAGAATAAATCTTAAAAACTGACTTACATGTGATGTGTATTTTTGGGGGAAATACGGTTCCTGGAATAGTCAGTAGACAATCACAATCATGTTTTATTGGTGTTAAAAATGCAGACTAAAAAAATTGAGAAAATCGACAATATTGTAGAATCACAATTTGTAAGGATGCCTAGCCCAGGTTCACACTAGAAAGAATCGAAGGTCCACACGAATGGTCATTTTGACAAGCTTTACTGATTACATATCTGGGTTACAGATTTAGCAGGCCACAAGTGTGACCAAAGTGCAACACAAGTGTGACCACCCCAAGTGTAGCAAAGAGTGGTCCAAGACCATTCAAGTATATATAGCGGTTCACAATCCTAAACATACTGTTGGTATTTAGTTGACCCGAAGAGAAATCCATGTATGGTAAAAACAAAGGACAACATGTTTCAAAAGCCTTAGATGAACATGTGGAAGGTCCCAAGAAGGAAATATCATGACAGAACATATTTTGGGGACCTGTATGATGTAAATAATGTGTACAGGGTTCCTTGCTCAGGGATGGTTGTAGGAGGCCCCCGGCTCCAGCAATCTAACACCAAAGTGTCTGGGGTATTTGAGTGACACAGCTCCACCACTCTAAAGGCTGACATGACTGGCTAAAGAAACTCATCCTAACACAATTTAAATAGAATTGGCATCAAAAAAATTGTAAAAGAATTGAATCAGGAGAAAACCATATCGTCCCAGCCCTAATGTTTGCAGTGAAAAACTCTGGAGCAGCTGTTCAGGTCATCTTCAGCAGTTCTTCTCTTTTGTGATGGCATATATTCACATGTTTTGCTGCTTCTCTCTCTCTCTCTCTCTCTCTCTCTCTCCCTCTCTCTCTCTCTCCCTCCCTCTCTCTCTCTCTCCCTCTCTCTCTCTCCCTCCCTCTCTCTCTCTCTCCCTCTCTCTCTCTCTCTCTCTATCGCTCTCTCTCTCTCTATCGCTCTCTCTCTCTCAGCAGATGAGGGTCTAACATCAGCCTGGTTCTGCTCGAGGTTTCTACCTGTTAGAGGAAATTCTTCCTCTCTAAATCTCATGCTGGGTTAAGGTGGATCAGAGTGGGTCTGATCTGAGAGGATGGGGGCTCAGTCTGATCCCGTCTTTGGGTCTTTGTTAATAGAGTCTGGTCCAGACCAGTTTTTTTTTTTTGGTAAGGCGTCTTTGGAGTACATTGGTTGTGAATAGTCGGTATATAAACAAAGATTTATTGATTAAAAACACACACACTTATGTTTTCTGTGTCAGTGCTGTGTGCAGGTTGAGGCGCTGAGTTGAGTTTAAAACAGTTTTCAGAGGTCTTATTGTGTGGAACCTGAACTGTGATTAAGCCTCATTTCATAACATTTTAACAAAAACTTAAAAGATTTACAGTACTTCCTACAAAAAAAACAAAAAAAAAACAAAACAGATTTTATCATCAAGAATCTGGAAACAATGATTAAAGTTCAGCACCAATAAATCCCGAAGTCTCTCTTATTACTTTACTGATAAGTCACCTGTCCTGTTGCCATGACTACCTGAGGGTTAATGAAGATCGGTTAATTTTAAATAACATGACACGTGAATGTAGTTGGTGTTCTCCACTGCCATGAACAGAGTATTTGCCATAATAGGGAAAATTATTCATTATGTCGCTCATGAGTGAAGACAGATCGATCAATAACCCTCATCTGTGTCTGTAAAATTACAGTACACACTTATTTCTTAATATATTCATTTAATTGGACTAATTGGACTAAACAAACAAACAAACAAACATAAAGGAATTATCTCTGGTCCAGTTTTAAAGGTGGTGCTGTTAAATCTCTGTTTCCTAAATAAAAACTATATATTTTTTTTTTAAATCAGAATCAGAAATACTTAAATAATCTCCAGGGGGAAATTGCTTATTGTCACAGGAACTCCAGTGCAAAGTTAATTAAAAAGAGGAGATAAATAATAGATAAAATAAGTACAAATAAAGAGATAATATGCAGGCATGTACACTTAGGACTGGGCGGTTATATGATCGTGATCGATGATCGTGATAAATTTCAGTTCGATCACAGTGATCAGCTGTGAGCATATGTTCTCGATCAAACATGGCGGAAATGTGTCACAACAGCCAATCAGAGTCGGGCTTTTCCTGCTCATTTCTGTAAGTTACCGTAGAAGTAAACTGAATGCCAGAACATGGAGCTAAACGTGGAGCTGAGGGCAGCACAATAGATGTGAGCCATGACTTTGAGTCATCCTCAGAAGATGCTTTAATTGAGAAGTTATTCAACGTCTCTCCAAAGTGACGTCGAGCAATTAAGCCAATAAACCGGCAACATAACAAATCTGTTCTTCCCGAGTGATTATGCGGGAAGCATGAAAATGCGAGCGGAGTCTGTACAGCCTGCCACTGCTGACGGTACAAGTAGCATTAGCAGTTTAGCCACAACTAGCGGTGCAGCCACCAAACCAAAGCAGTAGTCAATCATATCCATACCTGCCAACACTCCTGCTTTTCCCGGGACTCTCCCGTATTTCAGACCTATCTCCCGCCCACCCCCCGTATTGTAGACCTATCTCCTGCCCACCCCCCGTATTATACCTATCTCCCGCCCACCCCCAGTATTGTAGACCTATCTCTCGCCCACCCCCCATATTGTAGACCTATCTCCCGCCCACCCCCTGTATTGTCATTTCTCCCGGGAATTTCTCGTAGCATAGTCTGCATTCATTCATGAATCGGGTCACTATATTTGTCTGTCAAGTTTCCAGGTTTCCAGACAACCGGAGATAGTCCTGTGTTTCTGCTGAGCCTCACAGTCACTGGATTGATACTTTCACTTTACAGTTTGGGATGATTCAGGTCAGTTTAAGCTGTAAACTATATTTAAGCAGTGTTTGTTGCAAAATGAACATTTCGATAAAAGGGAAACAAACGCGAGATACGCGAGAGTGATGCGTTCAGGGCAGCCTCGGATTAAAGAGTGCTGTGTTTCATGCACAGATGTTCAGAGAGCCTCATACGGGAGCGCATGTAAAACATATGAGGACTTTAACACTAATATTAGTGGACTAAATAAGTTCAAGGCATATCGTACCTTTAATCATTTTATGACCATTTGTTATTGTTAAAACAAAACAAAAGTGTGCAGCTTCACTTATACTTATTTGGATGAGCAATTTAATTACAAATACTCACATAATTAGCTCATATCCACCATACAAGGTAGTGCTGGGCGATAGGACGATAGATATCGTGGGCACGATAGAAAATGTCTATCGTGCCATTTTTATTTTTATCGTTTCGGGCGATAGGCTGTATTTTATCCATAGGGCTTGTGCCATCAGATGATTCATAGTAACAACAACAATAATTGCACATTCAGTAAGTGTATTTGGTGTCGAACGGGAAAGAAAACAATGAAAAGGATGCGTTGACATGTAGGCTTGCATTTCTCTTTCGATTTTGCGACATGACGCCGCTTTACGTGCCCTCTTCGTGTCCAGCGTCTCCCGCCGTTGCGGGTTACCTGGGTTACACACGTGAGGGGATCATTGTAAGCAGTGCTTAATTTGTGCCGGAGCAAGTCGGAGCGCGATCCGGGACCTCTTTTGATCGGATCCGGGAGCTATTTCAGCCGCTCCGGCACCTGTTTCATCTGCTCCGGGACCTTCCCTGTAGAGTATGACATTTTTCGGGAATTCCCGTGGGTCACGTGATTCCCGCGGGAATCCCATGGGATGGGAGTCATTTTTTAATTAATCCCTTGATCGGGACGGGACGGGAAAAAAAGCAACGGGAGTGGGCAGGAGCGGGAACAACATTAAAAGATGATCATTTTCAGCCGTGTTTAACAACCAGATGAACAGGTGCGTCCATTTTTGTAGTCATCTCTCAGTGAGAGCCAACACTCTTGACCGCGCTAGCAACACAAAAGAACTACAACAGTGGTTTGACTTCCTGCCAGCTGGGAGCGCGGCTGCGCATTTCTACCTTTCAAGCCAGCAGCGAGGAAACGTAATTTTGTGACATTCTGTAGTTTTTCAATCATTTCTGAAGTCGTGGCGAATCAAATCACCTTACCTGTCTGCCCCTGATAGACGAATAAACCGCTCGGATTCATGCTCGGGTCTTGCTACGTGCTTCAAGAATAAGTAAACAATGATGGAGGCAGAGAGCAGCTTTGGGGGAGAAACATCTAGCAGTGTGAACAACCTCTTCAAAAGAGCCCTACAGACCTACCTTTTTAATAAAGCCTTTGATTAGTTTTCCTCTATGCTTTATGCTTTTACTACCTTGCCTCTTACATTGCAACTCTATATTTTTTATTTTTTTTATGCCAATCTATGACTGTCATTCTATTGCTTTTTTTTATTGTTGCTGCTCTTTTTTACTGTGTACTGTAGCACTTTTTGTAAATGTTTTTTTTTTGTAAATGTAAAGTGCATTACAAATTAAATTTATTATTATTATTATTATTATTATTATGGAGTGCTTTGGCTCACACTATCGGCGTTTTCTGTGAGTGTTGCATAACTTTGGGTGAGCACAGACATGAACGCACTTCAGCCACGTATTTATTTATTCATTTTTCTAGTTTTAAGTGCTGGTCTTGTACTGGCACTGTACTAGTGCAGCTGTATACACTTACATTTTTCATAGAACTGAAAGCATACCATAGCTATATCGTGATATATATCGTTATCGTGATATAAAATGATCCATATCGTGATATACATTTTTTTCCATATCGCCCAGCACTAATACAAGGTCACCCCAAAACTGCCCAGCGTGCGCCGCAAACAACTCCTGGATTTTATAACCCAAATGTTGGCGGGTATGCGTATCATCTACGTTTACATCACCTAATGTTTACATTTTAAAGCATCTTCATTATCCCTGAGGGGGCGGTTTGTTTATTTTGGGTCTTACATACCTGCAAAAACACTTGTGTTGTACACTTGTACACTGTATTATCTAGTATTATCTACATTTGTTGTTCTGTTGAGTTAAAATGTTTTTTTAGATTTTTCTAAGTGTATCTTATTCAATTTGCTTTGTTATTTACTTTGTATGTTAATAAAATGTTGAACTAATCTATATATTTTTTTGTTTTTAGTTCAGATGCTTTAAACAGGCATGAAAATGGGTCAGGGGTTGAAAAGGTGAGAAGGGTGCGGAGGAAATACGTTCCGGTACACTGTACAACCCAACAAAATATTGAGCTCTGTCCACCCACATTGTGTTTCGGTGATCTGCAGGAGGCGCCAAAAACACTCCAAGTCTCACTCACTCACTCACACACACACACACACACACACACACACACACACACACACACACACACACACACACACACACACACACACACACATCTTGTGCTGGCCATATTTTATTTAGAAACAAAGTTTACTTTCACAGAAGCTAAATGAGTTAGATGAGTCAGAGAGAGGTGTTCAAAACTGTTTGTACAAGGCCACATAAACAATAATTTAAAGAGAAAAAAAGAAAACAGAAAGAAAAAATTAAAGACTTAATATCCTGCACTTTAGATCAATGTATGCCCTGCCAGACTGGAGAACAATACATGCAATTCCAATAGATCCAGTACCAAGTCCAATTGATCACTTTTTCTTTTTGCCTGGGCCACCAGAGTCTCCATGGCCTTTTACACTGAGTGGCCACATGCCTCAGCCTTGCCTGCTTCTCACTTTCCCAGTTTCTTGACAGCCATATAAAAATAATAGCAACATAGCGATTTACACAACAGCTTTAGTAGCTTTTGGTCTAAACATACTGCAAGCCTTTCGTAACACACTCTTCCCTCTTGTCTTCTCTCATGCTAATGTCGCGCCGAAAAAAACTGACGCCCCGTCTTGTCAACGGATGGAGCCAGAGCAGTAAACGCGAGACGCCCGCTTTCGCTATTTTAGATGGTTTAAAACCATTACGTTTTAATGAATCAATGAATAACATCAGTGGCGAAAAGGAGTGTTAAAAAGACCAGGGTTCACATGTTTTTATTTTGTCACAAAAGGCTTCAAGCATGGGCCAAAGCATAGGACAACAAGTTCTAGAGTTTACCACTTCACCTTCAGCCTTTTCAGCCCCTCACGTGAATATTATCCTCACACGTCCCCGAAATACCAATTACAGAGATATAAGAAAGAAGCTTGTGTTTCTTCTTTTATGTTACCATTAACTACACAAGCTTGACGCTAACTTAATATTTAGCAAACGGGAGCTATTTTTCACCGGAGATTTGGCTAGCTCTGGCAGTGTTCGACGCAAGCTGTAGCGAAAGGCTGTAACTTTGTTATACCACAAAATATGAAAATGACTGAAAACATTACTCACCAAATTCAATCTGCTGGTAAATGCAGGTAAATGTGTACGCTACGCTCTGGTCTGCCTTGTCCCCTGTGTTGTGCCGTAGAATGCACCCCTGCATCCCATCCACTCATTAGCTTCTTAAAGTGGAAGAAAATTAGCTCATATTTTACAAAGACACGAGTATTTGGATCATGACTACTAGCTAGGGTTGGGTATCGTTTGATTTTGAATGATTCCAATTCCGATTCCGATTCCCATCGATTCTGTATTTCGATTCTTTTAAAAGGCAGGATATCAAAAAAAAAAAAAAAAAAAAAAGCATAGTTTGAATGAGGGTGCTAACCGGAGCTCTTCTTTTTGGATGAAATTTCTGAACTTCTCCATGAATTTTCAAATTCTATTAACTTTTTAAGAACTTTACTATGAATTTCTCACAGGGCTGTTTTCAACCAGTATATAAATATCAATTTTTGTTGTCAGGTCGTTTGTCTATGAAAAAGTATGAGGGCTAATGTTAGTTGGATATTTAAGTTGACCCACCGTACACAGTACAATTTGTTTACCGCTTCAAAGTTAGCAGAGGACAGAAGTAATTTATTGTTTCACTTATCTTATCCTGACTGGTTAGCGGAAAACAGGTGTTGTGCTGTAGAATGCACCCCTGCCGTAGAATGCCTCCCCTCAACTCATTAGCTTCTTAGTGGAAGACAATGATCTCATATTTAAAAAAAACACGAGTATTAGATCATGAAAACATGTCAAATGGAGCAGTAAACTTTTTTGTTTTTATGTGTCTCAAAAATGCACACATAGAGGTGTACTTGGGTATATAAACTGTACAGTAAGCTGTAAAGGTAGAGAACATTATATTTTCGGGACAGCAAATATTCCCAATCAGAGGGCTATTGTTTTCAGCTTATCTGAATAGTCTGAATGAAGTCATTAAAGGCACACACTTTAGATTCCGTTCAATGGTAAGGAAAACTTGGATTGTTTCGCCTTGTTGTGTACTTTCAACCGCGCTCCCGTCAGGGGTGCATTCTATGTCACAACACCGGCGAAGCGCGTCAAAGACGAGCAATCGGGTATTTCTCCTTCATGAATCCTGAGGTGTTTAATCATGTTGGTCGTTTACCCTCCTTTGCATAATATAACTGTATTGCTAATGTTGCATTGAGATAAGAGTTCATTCTTCCAGCTAAAGTTAGTCAAACTTTTGACCAACAATGAAGAAGCCGCCGAACACCAACGAGGATGGAGCGTGTGAGACAAAGCCACACAGAGAGAGAGGAGAGAGACAGAGAGAGAGAGAGAGAGAGTGCATTGTAACCCACAGCGGCTGCATTGCTGTGGGTTGCAATGTACTTTCACTCTTTATCTCTCTTCACTTTCTGTGTGGCTTCGTCTCATACGCTCCGTCCTCTTTGTTGTCAAGCGGCGTCTTCGTCGTTGATGTTCGGCGGCTATTTCTTCCGGTCAGTGGACTCCGGCATCAAAACTTGGAATCGAAATTTTAATATTTGAACGATACCGGAAGAATCAAAATATTAGTCCCGGTCCACATCGATACTCGATCCTCGATACCTAACCCTACTACTAGCAAACTTTCGTTCTGTTTTAATGTGTCTCAAAAATGCACATATCGAGGTGTACTTGGGTATATAAAATGTACAGTAAGATGTCAAGGTAGAAAACCATATACTTTCGGGACAGCAAATATTCTGAATCAGAGGGCTATTGTTTTCGGCTTATCTGAATAACCTGAATGAAATCATTAAAGGCACATGCTTTTGAATCTGTCCAACGGTAAGGAAAACTTGGATTATTTTGCCTTGTTATGTACTTTCAACCGCGCTCTCGTCAGGGGGGCATTCTACCGCAGGGGTGCATTCTACGGCACAACACCGGTGTGGATAAGTCCTGCTTCTCGTTCTCGCAGCTTTGCAATGCTACCACAGGCTCTCCAAGTACTCCAAGTACACGTGAAGAGTGTGCGCATTAATGGAATAATGGAACGCAGTTTGGCCTGTGATTGGTTCTTGTCAGCGAAGCAGCCAGGAGGATTTGCTGACCGTCCAAGTATCATTTAAAGGGCCAATTTCTGAAGTGCTCAGTTTACGTATTAAGTCAATCACATGATAATTAAAAAAAAAAAAATCTTCCAACTACATTGATTTCATATTTTCTGTTTTAGGTTTCTACATTTAATTCAGAGTCTGAAGGCAGTTAAGTACTCTAATCAGATGACTTTAAATCATATCAAAGCTCATACTAACTCACCTGTCCCTGTTTCTGTTACTTGTGTGGACTTGGTGGAGTTATCCACTGCCATGAACAGAGTATTTGCCATAATAGAGAAAAATTATTTATTATGTCGCTCATGAGTGAAGAAAGATCGATCAATAACCCTCATCTGTGTCTGTAAAATTACAGTACACACTTATTTCTTCATATGTTCATTTAATTGGACTAACTGGATTAAGAGTCTGCAAACAAACAAAGAAGAAACATAAAAGAAATTATCTAAAGGTGGTGCTAAAGTCAGTGTTAAATCTCCGTTTCCCAAATTAAAAACTGGATTTTTTATAAAATCGTGTTTATGTCAAATCAACTGAATATAAATGAAATTACAGAATCAGTGCCAGGTTAGATTATAGATTATTCCCTATACATTGGTATCAAGCAATCATCTCTCTCTCGCCTCCAACTGGTACAAAATGCTGCAGCACGCCTTTTAACCAACACCCCCATCACAGTCACATCACTCCCCTTCTTCTCTCCCTACATTGGCTCCCGGTCAAATTCAGGATCATTTTTAAACTTTTGATGTTTGTTTTTAAAGTCATCCATGGTCTTGCTCCAGTATATCTGTCTGACTGAATAACGCTTAGACGACACTGTAGAGCCCTCTGGTCCTCAGAACAACCCCTGTTGGAGGTTCCTTTTTCAGATTTTAAACAGTGGGGGGATCGTGCCTTTTCAATAGCAGCACCAAAATTATGGAACTCTTCAACCCCTGAATAACTTTTTGTCAATAACCACTCTTTAATAAGCACTCTTTAAAACACATCTTAGACCTTGCCTATTTAAACAGGCTTTTTATATCTAGTGTCATTTGCTAATTGATCGTTTCTGTGTTCTCTTTCCTTTTAACTGTTATGATATCCTGTGACATTTGACCCTTATCATGTTTTTTCTTTTCCTGTATTTGTGTATTTGACTGTGTAAAGCACTTTGTTCAACCTTCTGGATGTTGTAAGGTACTATGTAAATAAACATTATAATAATGATTATTATTATTATTATTTATTCATTTTTATTATGTTCTGAAATCTATTGAAGAACCGCATTTCTTTCTGTAACATTAATTAAGATTAAAACTAAAAAATGTGACTGGCTGAGAAGTAGATTGTAATGAGCACTTATTATAAAATTATATAACCTGACTGTTGTCATCTGCTTCTTAAATGTGTTATCAGTAGAGATGCACCGATCTTTTTTTTTTCGATCCAATCCGATATCGATACCTGGGCTGAGCCAATCAGCCAATATCCGACACCCATCCTATACGACTGTTGAAGGAATGAAGTGTATACCTTGCCCTATGAGTGAAGGCATCAGGCTTGACATTAGCCTTGTTAAAAAACGTAACAAAACAACACAGATATAGATTTACTAAATGTTATTTATCAACAAATAAAAATTGCACATTAGCACACAGCAAAAAGAAGTAAGACTTGTATTAAAAGAACAATTAATTAAAAGAAAAAAAGGCGGGATCGGAAAGCTGGATCGGCGTCATTCACCATATATCCGATCCAGCTGATTTGTCAATATTGGAGCAGATATCCGACCCAAATATCGGATCGGTGCATCCCTAGTTATTAGTGTTAGTATGTAATTGCCATCCTGCTCTCCACAGGTGTTTAAAAACGGGTGTTATAATTATTTCCTCTGACATTGATGTCATATTATCTGTTTACTGTAAAAACTCTGATCAGCTGACATTGAATCATATTAAAGCTCATGTAAACTCACCTGTCCCGCACCTGTCCCTGTTTTTACCTGAGCTAACATCAGCTCGTGTTATTAGCATCCTCGATAGCATGTTGCTAATGTTATTATTATAAAGCTAATGCTAATTAGCTTCCTACCTGCTCCACTGTCGCCGGGTCCATGGATTGCAGCCGGGCCGCGTTCTCGTACTCATCCTCGCTGTTGTTCCCGGCTCCTTCTTCAGTGTCCTGGCTGGACCCCACTCCTCCCGGTCCGGTCACCCCGGGCTGGCCTCCTCCTGCCAGAGCTGCCACCACCCCGCCGGAGCAGGTGCCCGCCTGTCGCCGCCTCTTGCTCAGCCCGGGCCCGGAGCAGCAGCTCCCAATGCCGCCGCCGCAGCTGACGACGCCCGCCGACACGACGAGCTCCCCCCGGGACCCGGCCACCATCCCCCCGCTGCTGTCCCGACCGTCACCGGGCCCTACCGGAGACACGGAGCCGACGGGCGGCGGAGAGGCCTGCTGCGGCCGGGAGCTCGCCTCGATGCTTCGCCGGTCGTCCCTCGCTGAGGGCGGAGCGGGCTGGTAGGACCAAGGCGGAGGGGAAGCCCTCGGTCGGGCTCCGGTCCGCCCCGCATGAGGGTGCGGGTGTTGGTGAGGGTCCGAGCCGCTTCGACGGTCGCTGTCATCGGCGTGGTCCGAGACGCCAACCCCGGAGCTGGGCTTCTTCTTCGGGAGGATCGTCATCGTAGTGTGTGTGTGTGTGTGTGTGTGTGTGTGTGTGTGTGTGTGTGTGTGTGTGTGTGTGTGTGTGAGGAAGGCAGAAGCAGGGAGGGAGGGGGTCAGAGGGTGACGAGTCCTCCCTTTCTGGATCAAACGGTTCGGTGTGTTCGCCCTCCGGCCCGGTGGCTCGGCTCTGAACACCGAGCTGAGGCTTCTAACGAATAGAAACGAGCGGATTGGACTCGGTTCGGCTCGTTATCGGCGGTCTGCTTGAACAAAAACAAGAACCGTCTCGTTCGACATCCGTCCAGGTCCACAAAACATCAACACAATCTGACGGAGCGCCGAGACGTCACTTCCTGGTTGCGACGGCAGTTTCTGCGTCATGACGTTTTTGTCGCTTATTCTCTTTTTTTGTTAACGGTTAAATAAACAAAAACGAAACATTTCTTTGGTTAAATTTTAACCTGAAAAACAATGAAAAAAATTGACCAGAAAAAATGTTTGATTTTGTTTTTTTAACAACAGAAATGTTTTATTTTTTATTTTTATATATTTTTAACTAGAGAAATGTTTTATTTTGGTTATTTATCCAGGAAAAAATAATTATTTTAACTTCAGCCTGCTAAACATTTGTTCAGAATTATGCTTTAATAAATTATAGAACTTTTTAATCAGTTTGGACATCGTTGTTTGGTATCTGATCGACAGAAGATATTGCGTTAAAAAAAAACTAAAACATATTGTCCTGTCAGTTTTTAATGCCCTAAAAATCAGGACCATCCAGTCCTAGTTCTGGTCCTGGTCCCTTTAGTACAGAGATTTCTCCAGATCCTCTGAATCTTTGAATGATATTATGATTAAATCCACCGTTATATGTCTGGTTGTTCCTCGAACTGCTTTTCAAAAACATGTTGCTGCCATTCAATTTTAAATGTATTTTTCATGGAACAGTGACATTTTTTAAAATTAATCATATCTGCAGTATTTATAGCTTAATAAAAGCTTTAAAAGATTTTCCAACCATCAAATTTGATTTTAATAAACATTTCACTCAGTGTCCTGGTTCTTGATGTCATGTAGGGGAGACCAGGGTAAGTTAACCCCCCCCCCCCCCCTTTTCTTGTAAATGGTCAAAGAAATTGATCATGTGTGACCAAATCTTTAGGAGATGGGCATCAATTTGTCTGTGAAGGTTCGAAGCAAATGGGTGAAGGGGTTAGACATTTATTTCCCAAAAAACATTTTTTCACTCTTGAAAGTGAATTTAGTCTGTCATAAGTTTTATTAGAATTGTGTTCAGACCAAAAAATATCATTTTAAATTTGTTTTATACATCAATTGTGGTATCTATGAACTACAACATAAAAGTCCACCATTTTCTAGGTTCAGGTACAGAGGGCTCTTTCAGTCTTATTTAGTTGGGGAATTTACAAAAAAACACGAGGGAACAAGACAGGTACTTGATACAGATTGGTTGGTTGCAAAAAAGCAATAACCAGAAAATGGCTCAACAAGGACCCACCGTCTATTTCTAAATGGAGACAGAGATCATAGGGAAGATTTAAATGATGGAGCATTTGACATTTTCCCTGAGATATGCCAGTGCTAAGTTTGAGAGGTATTGGAAACCCTGGAAATCTTATACAAATTTAAACAACTTAGAGTGCTTGTCTTATCCTGTACAGATGTTACATTCTTCAATTTGTGTTGGACATGATGTATAAATGAATGTGTCCCCACGGCCCAGCTTTGGAAACATTTTTGTGAGTTATTGCATTTTAAGCCTGTCTGCTACCTTCTTAGTTACTTTCGTTTTGCTGCTTGTTTAATGTAAAAACATCTAATCATAAAAATAAAGTATAAAAAAAAAATAATACAGTAAAATAAAAAAGTCCACCATTTTAGCTAAGAGGATTAATAAAGTCAGTTCAGATTGTTAAAATGTTTGACTTTTTCTTTTCAAAAATATAGCTGTGAATGTTCTGAATCACTTAATCCTTCATTGCCTCTTTTATCATATTTGATACATACTTTTATATACTTCTATTAAATCCATATGATCAACAAATTACAAAAAAAACAACTGAATACAGTCCAATAAATGATAAAAATGTCCTCTTGTAGTTTATCAGTTTCCAAAAACATCTAATGTATCAAATGAGATAAATAGATATATTTGTTAAATTTTAAGGACATTTTGATTTTTTGGGTTTTCAGTAGTAAGTGAAATAAACATTTCAGCTCCAAAAAAATGTGAATTTTCTGGATTTAATTTGTGGTGTCAGGCATTCTCATGTTAAATTTTTTTTTTGGTAACACTTTACTTGACGCCTATCTCTATAATACATTATAAATATATATGTATAATGCGTTACAATCATGTTATAACTATAGTTATAAACACTCATAAATGATGATAATGCTATATAGCTATAATCACAACACATCATATCACACATCATACTATCACTGTAAACACTCATTAACTATTATAAGGATTTATAACAATAAGCATAACACATTATAATACCTGACCTTGTAAGTCATGATAAAATGCTTTATGATGTGTTGTGATTATTGCTATGAAGAATTATCATAATTTATGAGTGTTTATTACTATAGTTAAACAGATCTATAACGTTATTTTAACACATCATACATATATTTATAATGCGTTATAGAGATAGGTGTCAAGTGAAGTGTAAAAACAGCTTTTTAGCAGTTAATTGCAATAATAAAAATAATGATAGTACCAGTTGAATAGTGTATAATAGTTAAAAATACACATGAATGTGAAGAAGTGACTGATGTAGTGATCCCAAATATGAAAAATGGATCATGTTACCCCACTCTTCCCTACTGTAAAAACAGTAAATGTTTGGAGAAAAACAAATTCAGGTGTCCTCTAACAAGTCCTCTGTTTCCTGCTTCTGTGACTCTAAACGGACCAGAATTCACTAAATCACGCTGTATAAGAGAAGAGTATAAACTACAGATAGAAACCACAAATTTATGAGGAAAATGTGATAGGACCATTGTCTCATTGACTTTTCCAGTCGGTGTCGTCTCCCCCTGCTGGCCATTTGAGAGAGTGCAGGTTTCAGAGAATGCACCGTAGACTTCACTGTGAACTTCGAGGCTGAATTAATTACTTATTAATGGACTTAAGAGCAAGATGTGTATCATAAGGATCGTTGATCATCTGACGACTTATCTTTTCTTTTACCTCTTACCTGGTTATTTTCTTACTTTTTTTTGTTTGTTTGTTTTTGTTGTTGGTTTTTGTTGTTTGTTTGTTTGTCTCGATGTTTGCTTTAGTTAGTTTTTTCTGGTATAGTTATAATGGTATATTGTAAAATGTAATAATGACAAAAAAAGGCTAAATTGACTTCCTGTCTGCAGTTTATAAAAGCGTAAGAAGGTCAAATATTATAAACATGAGTTAGAAATCAGACAGAAGACTGTGGAGTGACAAAGTGTTTATTTATATAACTTTCTTCTCCCTCACACACACACACACACACACACACACACACACACACACACACACACACACACACTCATCTTCAGTTACAGTTGGTGCTCAGTGTCGAGTAATAATCATCTTCATCATAATCATAATATAAGCAATAGTTGTCTTCAAATATAGAGCAATACATGATTTATACAAAATACCCTGCATATTACTGTCAAGTTTATTTGAGGAGAGCAGTGAGAAGGGACTGTTGTTCTCTGTGGTCACCACCAGAGGACGCTGCAGCTCTAAAGTTATTACCTGACCTGTGGAGGGTTGAGATCAGGGGTCCGTTTCACGTAGCAGGTTTAGTGGAAACTCCGAGTTTGTTAACCCTGAAAACAGGGAAACTCTGAGTTTTCCGTTTCACAAAGGAGGGTTAGTTAAACCAGGGAGAGAGGGGTAACTCTAACCTGTTTCACAAAGAGAGGTAACTCAACCTCGCGGTCAGTTACCACAGTAACAGACTCCGTGAACCTAACCTGCTCGGGAGCAGGTTTAACTCAGTAAACCCAGAGTTTCAGGTGAAACATCGGCATTTTATCATTTTGATCAAGGTTTATATTGTCAAGTAAGTATTAGGTGGCAGTTTGATCCCTTAAAAAATGCTCTTTTCACACTCAAAACTGAATTTTACTCTCTTGTGATGTTCCGTTAAATGATTAGAAATATTAAACTAACACAAAAAACGGGTGGTAGTCCAGCAGCCCCACCTTTAACGGAGGCAGAGGAGCTGCCCTCCACCCCCCCGTTCGACGATCGCGGCCGGTCCGATCCCTCTCCTTTGCAGCTGCTGCTGTATTGCACTTCCTTTTACAAACGTGCTGTAATTCGCTGTTGGCTTGCTGCTGCCCCCTCCTTCTCCCTATTTCCATTGGTTGATCATTAAATCTGCGCTCCACAGATGCTGGCTGTTTATGTCTGGCGTGCACGTGCTTAACTCCAGGTCAAACTACTCGGAGTTGTTAAAACCGTCTCAAATCAGGTGTTGTGAAACCGGAAACTCAGAGTTTCCTAACTCAGAGTAGATCAACTCAGAGTTAAGGATTTAACTCAGAGTTTGTTGAACCACCTACGTGAAACCACCTACCCCTGGGGGTCCGTTTCACGTAGGTGGTTCAACAAACTCTGAGTTAAATCCTTAACTCTGAGTTTACGATCGGACCGGCCGCGATCGTCGAACGGGGGGGAGCTCCTCTGCCTCCGTTAAAGGTGGGGCTGCTGGACCACCACCCGTTTTTTGTGTTAGTTTAATATTCCTAATCATTTAACGGAACATCACAAGAGAGTAAAATTCAGTTTTGAGTGTGAAAAGAGCATTTTTTAAGGGATCAAACTGCCACTTAATACTTACTTGACAATATAAACCTTGATCAAAATGATAAAATGCCGATGTCTCACCTGAAACTCTGGGTTTACTGAGTTAAACCTGCTCCCGAGCAGGTTAGGTTCACGGAGTCTGTTACTGTGGTAACTGACCGCGAGGTTGAGTTACCTCTCTTTGTGAAACAGGTTAGAGTTACCCCTCTCTCCCTGGTTTAACTAACCCTCCTTTGTGAAACGGAAAACTCAGAGTTTCCCTGATTTCAGGGTTAACAAACTCGGAGTTTCCATTAAACCTGCTACGTGAAACGGACCCCAGGAGTTTTAGAGACGAATATAAACTTTCTCTGTTAAAACATCATGTGAGGTTGAAGCTCAAAGTAAAATTTTTGATAAAAGTTCGTAAATTATTAACGTTTTATTCCACAGAATAATTAAACTGTAATAAAATCCACCAACATTGGATGACTTCATTATTAGTTAATCTCAGCATTAATTTCTGTACTTTAAATTTCTGGAATTTAGAGTTCAGGGAGTTTCTTTTTATCTGAACAACAGTCCAAAGAGTTTCAGCTCACAGAAAAAAAAAAAAAAAAGAAAACATGTTGGCGATAACAATAATCATAAAGTCTTCATATATATATATTTACAGTGTGTGTTCAGTCAATGCCACGGCATCCTTTGGGTGTTAGTTCCTGAAATGTTTTTGGATACAGTCGGGGGAATATTTGGCTGAACATGAACCACAAACCTGCAAACTTACGGCTCAGGACAAAGTCTGAAATTCACCCATTTATTCGGGTTTCTTAAAATCATTTTCAGGTCCATAAAAAAAAAAAAAAAAAAAAAAAAAAAAACAGTGCTGCTGTGATGTTTGTCTTTGCTGAGCCCTCCCTCTCTTCCCTCTGAATGACACAGAAAATCTTTAATATGTATGTTTAAAATACTCAACAATCCATTTCAACTCCTAAAGGTTTGATTTGTTCAACTTCTCTGGAAGAAATCGGAGAAAATAATCGTCTTATAATAGGACAAAAGTTTGAAGAAAGACTCAAAACTTTCGTCTTCATAAAAATCTTTACATGAATGTGATTTAGAAATGTCTCAGTGTTCTTAAAAGCCAGTCAAAGGACATTTTAGTTTCTTTTTCTCTGATAATAAAAATACAAATAAGTAAATTTTAGATATCTTCTAATGAAAATGAAAACGCATCAAATTCAGATTTATTTGTGTTTATCTCTCTAAAAAGCCTTTTTTTTTAACCTCCTAGATAAACCTTATTTCACATATTTTTTAAGTTTATTTTTCATCTTTTTCCTCAAAATTATGACGGGGAACCAGTGCCACTTTATAGAGACACTGAGATTTCAAGATCGCACCGTCATTGTTTTCTTCCGCTTCATCCCAGTCCGGGTCGCAGGGGCAGCAGCTTCGGGAGGGAAGCCCAGATGGCCCTCACCCCAGCCACTTCCACCAGCTCCTCCTCCGGGGGGATTCCCAGGCACTCCCAGGTCAGGCGAGAGATATAATCCCTCCACCTGGTCCTGGGCCGGCCACAAGGTCTCCTCCCGGTGGGACATGTTTGGAACACCTCTAACCGGAGGCGTCCAGAAGGCATCCTAACCAGATGCCCGAGCCACCTCAGCTGACTCCTCTCAACGTGGAGGAGCAGCGGTTCTACTCTGAGCGCCTCCCGAGTGTCCGAGCTTCTTACCCTATCTCCAAGGCTGAGCCCGGCCTCCCTACGAAGGAAACCCATTTCGGCCGCTTGTATCCACAATCCTGTTCTTTCGGTCATTACCCAAAGTTCATGACCATAGGTGAGGATCGGCACGTAGATCGACCGGTAAATAGAGTGTTGCCTTATGGCTCAGCTCTTTCTTCACCATGACTGATCGGATAAGTGTCTGCATCACTGCTGACACCACTTTGATCCGCCTGTCAATCTCCCGTTCCATCCTACCCTCACTTGTGAAAAAGATCCCGAGATACTTGAACTCCTCCACTTGAGGTAGGACCTCCCCTCCGACCCGGAGAAAGCAATCTACCTTTTTCCGATTGAGGACCGTGGCCTCGGATTTGTAGGTGCTGATTCGCATCCCAGCCGCGAAGAGCTGAAGGTCACTGCTCGACAAAGCTAGAAGTACCACATCATCTGCAAAAAGCAGCGACGCGATCTTCTGCCTGCCGAACTGGACACCCTCCACCCCCCGGCTGCGCCTACAAATTCTGTCCATAAAGGTTATGAAACGAACCGGTGACAAAGGGCAGCCCTGGCGGAGTCCAAATCTCACTGGAAATGAGTCCGACTTACAGCCGGACCAAGCTTGTGCTCCTTTGGTAAAGGGATTGGACGGCCCTTAATTAGGAACCCTCTACCCCATGCTCCCCGAGCACCCCCCACAGGATTCCCCTAGGGACACGGTTGTAAGCCTTCTCCAAGTCCACAAAACACATGTGGACCAGTTAGGTAAACTCCCATCTCCCCTCAAGAACCCGAGCAAGGGTGAAGAGTTGATCTGTGGTTTCGCGATCGGGACGAAAACCGCATTGTTCCTCCTCAATCCAAGGTTCAACTATCGATCGGACCCTCTTTTCAAGATCAAAATTATAAATCTGCCTGAGTGAACTTTAGAAATCATGAGATCGTAAATTTAAGAAAAGAAACAGCCTGAGGATATTGTTGTACAGAAATATTTGTCTAAGTGGATCTGATTCTGTCCTCAGAACTAAATAATAAAACTCATTATGTTCTGAATCTTATCATCCTTTAAGTTATTATTTTTATTATAAATCTTTAAAGTTCATCCTGCTTCGGTTTCCCTCTGCTGTCGGGATTTCTTTGTCTTGTGAACACAGCTTGTTTTTGCAGCAGTTTGCAGGTTTGTCACACAGATGAGGTTTTAGACAAACAGTCCTAAATATGAGTGCAAAGGCATGCAGCACCACCCGCCTCCATCTCCCAGTGCAGCGTCATCAACGGATAAAAACTGAGAAGAAAAAGAAGAAGAAATAGGATATAACAAAAAAAACCAAAAAAAACGCCGACCTCGTCTCTGTCAGTGTCCATGCTCAGGATGTTGATAAAGTTTTAACATGGATCCAAACTGTGATGGAGTCACACCTGAAGTCATCCTGCTGCTGACGGGCACAGGGTTACGACGTAGAGGAAGACGGTTGCCATGACAACCTCTGTGTTTCTATAAAATATGGTGCATTCATGCTGATGGAGACGGCGTGTGAGTGCAGTGAGATCTCTGCAGGATTAAAGGTCCCGTACTCAGACTCAGGGTGCTGTTTGCAGGGGCGTGGCCAGGGATGGTTCTCAAGTTTGACTGGCTGCCTGTTCTGACACTTAAATCAATCTCACTCAATCAGACTAAGGTTTGGGGTTTTAAGTGGGGACTCCTCGCGGGGACTCTGGTGACCCTCAGGGTAAATGACGCTTCAAACTTCAGTCTGACTTTGATTGGATGTCACAACGGTGACTCTGCCTATTAGGAAGCAATCATTTTATTATATTATATTTATTATTGGGTTATAAAAACGCTGAAGGCGATGCTGCTGACTTATAAAAACATAAAGTCCTAACGTGTCTATTAGGGGTAGGAGAAAATTCGATTCAGTATTATAATTTTTTGTTTTACAATTTTTAAATCGACCGATCTACATGTGGTGTGTATTTTTGGGGAAATATGGTTCCTGTAATAGTCAGTAGACATAATCATTCAACTGTTTCACTGGTGTTAAAAATGCAGACTAAAAAAAAGAGAAAATCAACAATATCATAGAATCGAGATTTAAATCCAATCAGCATCCAAAAAATCGTACAATAATCTAATAGGGAGAAATGCATATTGTCCCAGGCTTTGAGTCGATGTCCCTGTTTCTCATCATGCTCACAAAAAAGGACAAAGTGAAATAGAAACATGCTAAAACAGAGATCGATATAAACCTTTAAATGAGTCTGTAAAGACGGTGTCATCTGCATATGATTTGATGGTTTTGGAGGTTTGAGAAGCAGCTCCAGTTTCCTTGTCTGACATTAAAGCTTCACTCAGTGTGTATTGGAGTAATCTCCAATTTTCACCGCATCCAGAACGGCAGCAATTTTTCGCCGTCCACTAATTTCTACTGGATCTGTTTGGGAGACAAATTTCATGGCGGATTACGGACAGCAGGAACTCACAAGAACCCGAGGAGTCATGTTCAATCGCACAATAACGAGTTGTCTCTATAAAGACAGACACATAGACATATAAGCAGTAGATTGTGTCCTTCCAGAGGTGGATATCTACTTCTAGACTTTTAGAATCAGCATCTCCTCATCCATGGTGTCATCGGGGTGTCCGCCTCCAATCTGCTTTTTTCCGACTTGGTAACTGAAACGCTGGGAACTTGGGTGTGATGTCATTTTCAGCTCGGACTTCTGTCTTCCAAGGTAACTCGAATGCAGAATAAGGGAGGGGTCACATCTACACAGGAAGTGATGTCACTGATGCATATTTACATGAAAGGTCATTGCCGAATTTCCCATTTTGGACTTTTATTTGTAAGGCAGAGCTGAAAGTTGAATAATTTCAGGTTAGGAACAACAAACAAGATACCCAGGACATGGACTCTGATGATCCCCAGACCATCGGCAATGCTGGATCTGGACTGGGAGCTGAGAACAAGCTGGGAGGACCTTTAGCCCCAATTTTAACCGCATCTGGAATGGCTCCGATCCGGAACGGTGGAGATCTTTGCCATTCCTACCGGATCCGTTGGTGAGGCTAATTTACGGACAGTAGTAATCCTGATAACTCACAAGAACCCAAGGATTCACATTCGATCCGCAGAGGAACGGAAAGAAGCCAGGGGGAAATTGACATGTTTACTTGAATGGTTACGATCAGCTAGGATTAGAAGATTCGACCTTTTAGTAGGTGTTCTGGATGCAGTGAAAAGTGGGGGTAAACATTTAGATGTGAACTGTCAGGCTGTGGCAGCAACAGATCTGAATACGGGACCTTCAAGTGCAGCTCGGACACATTATTGGTGAGTTTTTCACACGCCTGCCTGTGCTGAGTGTTAGTGCTGCATTCGTGTTCATCACATGAACTAGATTACAATAATCTGATCCGAACAGTATGGCTACTGTCAATGTGCTTGACAGGGAGGATGGAGTGAGGACAGAGGAGAAAAGGAGTGAAGACAGAGGAGAAAAGGAGGGAGGACAGAGGAGAAAACTCCTGGACTCAACGAAGACACTTTCTCGTTTCTCCTCCTGTCGCCATTCAGTCACCTCACCTCCTCCGTCTTCTCCTCTGCAGCCTCCTGTGTTTGTTTGACATCTTTTGAACCCTCCTCTTTGTCTGTCAGGCCCTTCAGAGGTCAGATGACCTCTGTGTTTGCTGGTAGTGTCTCCTCTCTCCTTCGTCGCCTCCTTTACAAACCCCCTCCAGTGTCCCTCCCCTCCCTCCCCCCACCTCCTCCAGCTACCACATGTATGTCTTTGTGGTGTCAATCTGACTCCCCCCTGCCTCCTCCTCCCTCTCCCCCACCTCCCTCTCCTCCTCCTCCTTGTCGTCCTTGTCCTTCTCGGCCTCGCTCTCCCACAGCGTGATGAGCGGCGGGTACAGCTCGTTCAGCGGGATGGAGGTGGCATGCTGCATGTACTTCTTCAGCGAGTGGCCGCAGGACTTGTGCTGCTGCACACGGCGGCCCATGTAGACCACCAGCAGCGCCATGATGGACAGAGCGAACATGGAGCCCATGACCGCCGCCAGCGCCACGCTGCTGCGCCGGGATGCCACCATCTCCACAGAAAAGCCTGCCTCCTTTGTGGTGACGTTCAAACAGGAGGTGTGGACAGGGGAGGAAGGGGAGGAAGAGGAGGAAGAGATGGAGGTTGGAGAAGAGCTGGGAGAGGAGGAAGGGGAAGTGAAGGAGGGAGGAGAGGAGGAGACGGTGAGGCAGACATGGTATTCTGTGGCAGGAAGGAGGTGAGTCAGGTTATATTCCTGAACGTCTGCAGGGACCTGCAAGAGAGAGAGCGAGGGGGCGGGCTTATTTGTGGGAGAAAAAACGAGATAATGAAAAAAGAGAAAATTAAGAAATAAGAAAGTGAGAAGATGAGAAAATTTTAAATGATAAAATAAGATAATGAGAAAATGAAATATGAGAAATTGGAGAAAATTAGAAGATTAAAAAATGAAAACATTAAAAAATGAAGATGAAAAAATGAAAAATGAGAAAATGAAAAATTAGTACATGAAAAAATGAAAACCTTTTATTCAGAAAGTAAAAAAACTCAGTGTCTGTGTCCTGGTCTTGTTCTGACTCTGGGATCAGTGGTCAGGGTGGAGGTTATTAACAGGTGTGGTCAGATGAATGAGCTCACCTTGGCAGTGTAGCTGATCTGAGGGTTATCGATGTGAACGGTGGCGCTGGTCCATCGGGTCAGAGGGACGGCGGCGTCCTGGTGGTTCTGACCCACAGGTGAAGGTCCTCGACTGGGATACAACTTCCACTCCAACACTACCGACTCAGCGTGCACCACCTGCACAGGGAGCAGAAACCTCCATCTTAGCGGTGGCGGTCTGAACAAAGACCCTTGTGATTGGACTGTAACTGTGTTTAGCCCCGCCCACACACAGATGGGCAGGGCTGCAGGTAACTGCTCACCTTTGCCGTCACTACCAGAGAGGCAGCAGACGAGTTCTCCCACGGCTGCTCTCTGCTGGGGTCGGCGCCCCACCAGCTCCCCCCGCCGCCTGACCATGAGCCTCCTGAAGCCTTTGAGTCCACGAACACCGAGACGCTCTTCGTGTCGGCTCCCTCCATGTTCCACGCCACGCAGGTGTACACACCTGACAATGAGAGAGTTTGGAGGACAGACGGCGGGTACAGAGGTGTTCAGTGGTTAGTGGGTGGAGTTATATCCTTGTAATACACAGATGTCATGTGTGAGAGTTCAGTCCCAGGTCGGTCCTATAGATGGCGCCATTATTATGTGACATCAGCATGAGTAGGTATGACCTCACTGACCTGAATCTGACGGCTCGGCGTGTTCAATCACCAGAGCTCCAGGCTCGGACATACGGTGCTTTTTCTTCTTCTTCCTGCTCAGGCCACGCCCCTGCTCTGATATGATTGGTGCAGCAACAGCCTCTGAGCTCACCTGGGAGAAAAAACATGATCAGTATTTTCAGAGGCGTCAAAATGGCGGTAAGGGGGCGGCTTCTATCGTTTCATTCCTCACACTTCCCCCAACCCACCACCAGGGTGCTCTCCGCTCTCACCTTAACTCTACCTTCATTATAATCACACAGTGTGCACACTCTGACTCTGCCCACCTTGTCTCCTGTGGGCGTCACCCAGTAGAACTGAGGGGCGGGGTCAGCATCCGCCCAGCACTCCAGTGTGATTGGTTCCCCGGCGCTGATATTCATGGTGGGCGGGAAAGTGTGAGGAGAAATGTGAGGCAGGCAGCTGTTAGCTCCGCCCCCACCCCACCCCAACGCCACCACTTCCTGCAGCTCCCGGCCAACCAGGTGAGGGGGGGAGGAACAGAGGGTGATGGAAGACTCCAGCAGCTTCAGGTGAGACTGGTTCCCTAGGTGAGGCCCCCAGGAGGAGAGACAGTCACACCTGAGAGGGTTTGAGTGCAGAGACACCTCCTCCAAAGACGGCAGGGATGAGAGGAGGTCCCCGGAGAGGAGGCCCAGCTGGTTACTGTGGAGGAGGAGCGTCCTGAGGGAGGACAGGTCACTGAGGGGGGAGAGGAGGAGGCCAGGAAAGAAGAGGAAAGGAAAGAAGGGGAGAGGAGGAAAGGAGAAAGGGAGAGGAGGCAAGGGAAGGAGATAGGAGAGGAAAGAAGGGGAGAGGAGGCAAGGGAAGGAGAGAGGAGGAAAGGGAAGGAGAGAGGAAACAGAAGAAGAAGAGGGGAGGAAAGAAAGGGAAAGGAGGAAAGAAGGGGACAGTGAACAGAAGAAAAAGAGGGGAGGAAAGAAGGGAAGGGGGCAAGGGAAGGAGAGAGGGAACAGAAAAAGGAGAGAGGAGGAAAAAAGAGGAGAGGAGAAAAGATGCGGGGGCAAGGGAAGGGGAGAGAGCAAGAAGAGGGAAGGACAGAGGAGGAAATAAAGGGAGAGGAGGCAAGGGAAGGAGAGAGGAGGAAAGAAGAAGGAGAGGGAAGGAAAGAAGGGCAAAGGAGGTAAGGGAAGAAGAGAGGAGGAAAAAGAAGGGGAGAGGAGGGAAGAAGGGGGGAGGCGGAAAGAAGGGGAGAGGAGACAGAAGAATTAGGGGAGAGGAGGCAAGGAAAGGAGAAAGGAGAAAAGAAGGAGAGGGGAGGAAAGAAGGGGAAAGGGGGCGAGGGAAGGATAGAGATGGAAAGAAGGGGAGAGGAGGTGAGGGAAGGAGAGAGGTGGAAAGAAGGGGAGAGGAGGAAAGAAGAAGAAGAGAGGAGGAAACAAGGGGAGAGGAAACAAGGAAAGAAGAGGGACAAAAGGAGAGGAAAGAAGAGGGAGAAGGAAACAAGGAAGAGTAGGACATGTAGAAGAAGAGGAGAAATAAAAAAAGGAGAGAAAAGAAGGAAAGAAGGGAACACGAGTGTGTAAATTTTCCTTCTTTAATAACTTTCCTTTGGTTCTGTTGGGTCATGGTTCGGTCTTCTCTCACCTGAAGGCCTGCGGGTCAATGTAGGACAGTCGGGGGTTACTGCAGAGCTCCAATTTGGCCATTTCTGGAAGGTTTTGGAAAGCTGCTCGCTCCACCATCAGCAGATCCTCCATGTTGTTCAGACTGTAAACAAAAATACAGAGGGACTCGAAACTCGGCAGAACCAAGACTGACCCGAACAAACCTTGAGGTTTGGGGCGAATCTCTGACATCGATCCATTTCAGAAAAATGATATAAAAATGAATACGAATGAATACGATTAGAAAATTAACATCAATCAGTATATAAATGATAAAACAAACTAACAGATCGATAAAAACATAAATATTTTTAAATAAATTATTAAATAGAAAAAAGTTAATGATTATATATAGAAATAAATAAAATAGATACAGACGGTTTTATACACAGTATATTAAAAAAGTAAATGTGACACAAACGTCACCTTTACATACAAATAGAGTTGGGCAGTATATATCGTGTGACGGTATAAAAGTGTCTACTGGTAGAAATTTATCATCCATCTATTGTTTATACCGGAGAGAGAGAGAGTGCAGAGGTCTGCTGCATCTCACTGAGTCAGCGTGTCCTGCGGAGTTTGTTCGCTCTGTTTAATTGGTCAGGTTTGGGTGCGCTCCCTATAATCACCGGCGTGTCCAGCAGACTGCTTGGCATAGTTTCAACGAAGAACAAACCGCTTCACTGGTGGTGGTCATGGCGGACGCGGAGAATAGTGGCAGTTCCGAGCAAATGGAGGTAGCCTGACCCACCCAACACGAGGAAGAGGAGGAGGAACTAGTTCCGAAAAAGGGCGCGAGTCACAACATCGGTTGTCTGGAGATTCTTTGGATGTAGAAAATCCGACAATGATCAAAAAACAAAACTATACAAAGAATGTCGTGTGGCTGTCGTTGCTGGAAAAAGAAACACCAACAACCTCTTCCACCATATAAAGATGAAACACGCCAAGCTCTATTATGAGAGCAAAAAGATGCGTGACGCACGTGCTGCACCAAAAACTAAAACTGTAGCAGCTCCTCTCATACTCAAGAGTTTGGCAGAGTCTTTCACCAAAGATACGCCATATGATAAAAAATCACCAGACTGATCTGACATTTTGTCTGTATTTGTATAAAAATCAGAGTTTAAAAATAAAAGGAAAATGAACAAATGAGACAGTATGGTTATTGTTAAGTCATTAACTAAATTTACAGGAGGAAAAAACGTACCGTGATATAAACTGTTACTGTGATATGAAATTACTTATACTGTGATATAAGATTTTGTTCATACTGCCCAACTCTACATATATTTACATTATTGCGATATCAGAGTTAATTATTCAAGAATACTTAATCTTGAAATTCTTTATTGGGAATAACCTCTTGAGATGAACCATCTCGTTTTCGAGGGGTTCCTCAAATACAGATACGTAGAAATACATAAATCCATGGAAAACAAAACAAAGCCAACAATAACAAAACAAAATAAACAAATCAATAACAAATAAATGACACAAAAGAGAAAGTAAAGAATAAACAGATAACAAGAACCAAGAAGTAACACAAAATACACAAACAACAAAGCACATATATGAAATAATAAAAAAAAAAACAATAAAGGAGGAGTCTGCTCTTTTTCACAGTAACGCTCTGTATGAGGACAGAACAGAAATTACTAAACAAAGAAGCCTCATCCAGGATTTCCACCATGTCCGGAACGGCACCAGTCCAGACAAATTTGGGGCGGATTACGGACAGTGGCAATCCTGAGAACTCTAAAGAACCCGCGGATTCATGCTCAATCGCGCGGTAACAAGTTGTCTCTATAAAGACAGCCACAAAGACATATAAGCAGGAGATTGTGTCCTTCCAGAGGAGGAAATCTACTTCTGAAATCAGCATCTCCTCATCCATGGTGTCATCGGGGTGAAATGACGTCTAAAAACCTTTCACTTGTTCGTCTCCGCCAGTTTACATGGTGTGAAATACGATCCTCCTGAAACACAGTGTTTTATTTTGAAACGAAGCTGGATGCTTTATTTTGTGTATGTGCCTGACTTCCTTTCCAGCACGGGTTAATCTGTGCTGCATTTATCTGGCATGCTGCAGCATCTGCAAAAAATAGAACTCTTGCGATCAGCTGAGGAGTCCGGTGATCCACAGAGGAACGGAAAGAAGCTGGTGGAAAGTGACACGTTAACTTGAATGGTTCCGATCAACTACGATCTGACTTTTCGAAGGGTTTTTAAAAGGCTTTTAATTTGAAAAGAGACTTTGAGACTCAGACGGCCATATCCCAGGAACTCCTCTGATCAGATCAATGATTAAAGAATTTCACAGTTACTGTTTTTGAAGACTTTTCAAACTCAGCCAGGCAATCTGAAATAAATTCCTCAAACCTAAAAGCTCCTGATCCGGATCTATTTCAGTTCTTACCTGAGCTCCTCTAGGTGCTGAAGGTTCTGGAAATCTCCCTGCTGGACTTGGCTGATGGGGTTCCTGTTCAGGTCCAGGAACTTCAGATTAGGGAGCACACTCAGGGCGTCTCGAGGAACCGACCTGTGAGGGAGAAACAATAAAATCAGTCCAGAGCCAAAGCACTCCGAGAGAAGGGGTTGAACCTGTCATCACCCTCCAACCAACCTGAGACGGTTGTCATAGAAACTAAGGCTCTCCAGGTAGTCAAGTCCCAGGAAGGCTGCAGAGGGGACAGAGGCCAGTCCCATCCCGGCCAACACCAGGCTGTGGAGGCGGGACAAGGGCAGGAAGTTCTTCTCCTCCAGACCCAGGATGGGGTTCTCCCCAATCATCAGGATCTCCAGGGATGGCAAGGACTCAAACCACCGACTGTCGATGGCCACGAGCCGGTTGGAGTTTAGGTGGAGCCTGCAAGACCGAGCAGAGGGCAGCAAAACCCAAGACTTACTCCCTTTATCACAGACTGCAATGCATCATGGGTAATTAATGACAACGACAGAAAAAAAAACAAAGGCCGTGTCCGAAATAGATCCCTAACCCCTATATAGGTGACTGCATGGGGGTTAGCGCCATTATGAGGAGTGTCTGAAATCTCTGTAATCAATTCCAGTGCCCTATATAGGCGACTCAAAATTTCCGGTAAAGCATTGCAAAATGTAGTGACCATCCGATGGTCACTCACTGGTGGTGGGTATCCCATCATGCATTGCGTCATGCCATGTAGTTTCCGAAACCTCCGGTAATTGAGTTCACTACATAGTCAACTATATAGTAAAATCCCATATGGGGGTTAGGGGTTAGGGATTGAGTGATTCATTTCGGACACAGCCAAAGACTTTGGAGAACGATCTCGCCGGAAACAAGGTGAAGAAGATAACTCTGTGAACCAACCAATAGATGGATGATGGATGGATGGATGAATAGATGGATGATGGATGGAGGGATGAATAATTAATGGCGAATAGATGGATGAAGGATGAATGGATGAATGAATTGAGAATGGATGGATGGATGGGATAGATGATGATGGATGGATGAAGATGGACGGATGAAGATGGATGGATGTATAAGGGATTGATGGATGAATGGATGGATGATGAATGATAGATGATGGATGAATGGATGATTGATGAATGGGTGATTACTGATGGATAATAGATGGATGGATAGCTGATGATACATGGATGATAAATGAATGGATGATAAATGGATGGATGAATGATGGATGATAAATAAATGGATGGATGAATGATGGATGGCTGGATGATGATGGATGGATGCTGCACTGGACTCCATCCATCCATCCATCATCCATTGATTCATCCATCCATCCATTCCTCATTCCTCCATCCATCATCTATCCATCCATCTATCTATCTATCCATCCATCTGTCGTCCATCATCCATCCATTCAATGAATGGATGATGAATGGTTGGATAGTTGAATGGATGGATGCATAGAACAATGTATGATGGATGAATGATGGATGGATGGATGATAAATGGATTACAGATGGATGGTTAATGGATGGATGAATAATGGATGATGGATGGTTAGATAGTTGAATGGATGGATGAATGGATGATAGATGGATACATGGATGGATGGATGATGAATAGATGGATGGATGATAAATAGAGGATGGATGGATAATGAATAGATGATGGATGGATGGATGATAAATAGATGATAGATGGATGGATGGATGGATGATGATGAATGGATGGATTATAAATGGATTACAGATGGATAGATGATGGATGGATGAATAATGGATGACAGATGGATGGATGATGGATGAATGAATGATGGATGAATGAATGGATGATAGATGGTTGGATAGTTGAATGGATGGATGGAATGATAGATGGATGGGTGATGGATGGATGGATTATAATGGATGGATGTTGGATGATTAGTAGATGATGAATGACGGATGGATAGATGGATGGATAATGGATGAATGAGGGATGGAAAATGAAAGGACCAACGTGGGATGGATGGATGGAAATGGACGGATGTTTAAGGGATCGATGGATGAATGGATGGATGATGAATGATAGATGATGGATGGATGGATGATTGATAAATGGTGATTAATAATGGATGATAGATGGATGGATAGGTCATTGATAGATGGATGATAAATGGATGGATGAATTTTGTGTGATAAATAGATGGATGGATGAATGGTGGATGGATGGATGATGATGAATGGATGATGGATGGATGCATAGAACAATGGATGATGGATGAATGATAGATGAATGGATGATGGATGGATGATAAATGTATAACAGATGGATGGATAAAGGATGGATGAATAATGGATGACATACGGATGGATGAAAGAAAAATGATGGATGAATGGATGAATGATAAATAGATGGATGGATGATGCATGAATAGTTAGATGAAGGATGGATGACGGATGGATAGATGGATGGATAATTGATAATGGATGAATGGATGATGGATGGATGATAATGCAAGGACAAATGCAGGATGGATGGATGAATAATCAATGAAGGATGACGGATGGATGATCAATGGTTGAATGGATGATGAATGGATGATAAATGATGGATGATAGATAGATGAATGGATCATTGATTAATGGATGGATGAATGGATGATAAATAATGGATGATAGATAGATGGATGGATGATGATGGATGGATGGATGAACAAGGGATGGATGAATAATGGATGTATGTATGTTGAGAAAGTTTTCAGAGGTTCTGTTGGGGATCTTAGCAGTCCTTTAAAAGGTTCTTAGGAAGTTCTTAGAACTGTGGAACAAATCATGGAAATGAAGAGGAGGAAGAAAGAGAGGATGGATGAAGAAGAAGAAGAGGAAGAAGAACAGGAAGGAGAACAGGAAGAAGCAGCCGTGGTCACCTCAGCAGGTTGGTGAGCCCAGCGAAGGCTTTGGGCCCGATGGAGGAGATGTGGTTATGGTTGATGTAGAGCTCCTCCAGACTGGACAGGTTCCTAAGGCTGAAGTCCTCCAGCTTCTCAATGTGGTTCTCCTCCAGATACAGAGTCACCAGCCGGCCCAGAGAGGACAGACCCATGGAGCTCACCTGGACAGAGAGCGAAGAACCTAGAGTGAAGCGGAACCAGCATGTAAACACACCCTGAAGACCCTGAAGGAGCAGGTGTGGTACCTGTGTGAAGTGGTTCTGGGACAGGTCCAGTTCTGTTAGGTTGGTCAGACTCTGCAGCTCCGTGGTGATGGATGAGATGTTGTTACTCTGGAGCAGCAGGACCTAAAACACCACCACAGATGAGTGACAGGTCCAGACTCAGGTGGGAAAACGTCTAGGACAGAGACTTTGGGTCTGAGTCATGCCAACAAGGACGCCTGCGGCCCGGTTCTAAGGAGGCTCACCTGTGTGTCTGAGGAGACATTGGCTGGGACTCTCTGTAGGTGGAGTTCATTACAGTCTACCGTCCGGGCCTGATGGTACACAGACTGAGGAGTGTACCACGGCCTCGTCTCACACACACACTGCAGAGGACACAACGCGGCGCCACCTATGATACACAACAACAACAACAACACATCGCTGATGAACTTTGACCTCCATCTTTGTCAGCAAAGATACTCCTCACTTCTGAGGGAACGGCAGACTGAACCTGAACTGGACGCGATATTTTTTTTTTTTGAGGATGGTAGGGGAAGGTCCCGTCTCCTTTGCCTCTGATTGGCTGTGAAACATCATCACATCTAACAGAACCTTACAGAACATTATCACAATTCTGAATCTCCTGACCCTACCCGACAGATGATGACGTTTCAGAGCCATAAGGAATAACCAATCGGAGCCCAGAACTTCTAGCCAATCAGAGGCGAAGGAGGCGGGACCTTCCCCTACCGTCCAACAAAAAAAAATTCTGCAATTTGGAGTCACTCTGAAACCACTGAAATTGGTCTTTACCTTGACTGGCTCCGCCCACCCCAGCACACACTGATGATGTCACCAGGCTGAGGAGGAGACTCACAAGAACTGCAGATCCCATGGTGCACTGGGGGCGAAGCAAAGAGGAAGTGTTGGTTAATTTCCTTTAGAAGGTCTGAGGTAATGGTGCGTTCGAGTTACCTCTCAAGTCAGATGTCGGAGCTGAAAATAACGTCACACCCGAGTTCCCAGCGTTTCAGTTACCAAGTCGGAAAAAAGCAAATATCAGAGGCCTGAAAGAAGATGGTTACATCTACTGAAGTTATTTTAGCGCTTGACTTATATTCGGACACGGCAAACGAGACAGCAAAGAAGATACCCAGGACATGGACTCTGATGATCCCCAGACCATTTGGGATGCTGGATCTGGACTGGGAGCTGTGAGGACCTTTACCCCCAATTTAAACTGCATCTGGAATAGCAGAGAATTTTGCCATACCAATTCCTACCGGCTCTGTTGGTGAGGTAAATTTCATGGCGGATTAATTGCATGTGAATCCTCAAGAACTCAAAAGAACCCATGGATTCATGTTCAATAACGGGATAACAAGTTGTCTCTGTAAAGACAGCCACACAGACATATAAGCAGTAGATTTTGTCCTTCCAGAAAAGGAAATCTACTTCTAGACTTCTAGAACCAGCATCTCCTCGTCCATGGCGTCATCAGGGTGAAATAATGCCTACAAACCTTCCACTTGTTCGTCTCCACCCGTTTGCATGGTGTAAAATACGATCTGCCTGAAACACAGTGTTTTATTTTGAAAAGAAGCCGGATGTTTTATTTTTCCAGCACGAGTTAATCTGTGTTGCATTTATCCGGCATTCTGTGGCGCCAGGAAAAAATAGAACTCTTGTGATCAGCTGTGGAGTCCGGCGATCCACAAAGAAACGGAAAGAAGCCGGTGAAAATTGACACCTTTACTTAAATGGTTCCAGGATACAGAGGATACAACCTTTTATTAGACTTTCTGGATACCGTGAAAATTAGGGGTAAGAGTCTTTGGATGCAGCATCCATGATTCCCAAACAAAAAGTCAGTCAATGGTTTTTAGAAGTAATTTTAATCCGATTTTTGTGAGAAACAGAAACAAAACTCTTCCTACCAACACCAGGATCCATTAACGAGTTTAACTCAGCAGGAGTCAAACAGCTGCACACACACACACACACACACACACACACACACACACACACACACACACACATACACACACACACACACACACGCACACAAAGACACAAAGGGCTCATTAGGAGTAACTGTGTCGAATTCATGTTGCAGCAAGCAGTAACACCCTTGAACATCAGTATGACTGTGTGTGTGTGTGTGTGTGGGAGATCGAAGCTCGGGGACAAATATAATCGCATCAAAGTCTCTCTACCTCTCTGTTTCTCTGCAGCTGACAAGAGATCCCTCGTTTACACACACACACACACACACACACACACACACACACACACACACACTTTCCTCATGCAAGTAGACAGCTGTGTTGTTGTTGGGGACTTTCTCTCTCTCTCTCTCTCTCTCTCACACACACACACACACACACACACACACACACACACACACACACACACACACACACACACACACACACACAGTGGGGCAGGAAATGGGGACACCTTGCCTCTGGTGCCATGGCAACCAGCCAGGAAATGACATAGACAGAGGGCAGAGACAGAAACCCTGAGCCCTGTCTGATTGGTGGAGATGAACTGAAACTTTTTCAGGAGATTTTGAGGAAAAACCTTTGAGCCTCAATCGACGACACAACGTGAAAACACCTCTGATTTAAAAAGTGTTGTCATAGAAATGGGAAGAATGAGGTTTGACCAAGTTCAAATCGAACAAAGATCAAGATTTGTAGAAGAGCTGAAACATGGAGGATGGAGCATGCAACCTGAGTCCATGTGACGGCGAACAGGACCGTCAAAGCAATTCAGGAGTTAGCGCCTGACTTTCAGACTTGTGTCACCTCATCAGTTTGAGAGGATGTTTTGTGTGAGGGATATTTGGGAACTTTGGAAAGAGGTTCCCAATTCTTAATGGACAGAATTTCTAGGCGCAGCCGTGGGGTGGAGGGTGTCCAGTTGGGCAGGCAGAGGATCGCGTTGCTGGTTTTTGCAGATGATGTTGTTCTTCTAGCTTCATCAAGCAGTGACCTTCAGCTCTTGCTGAGGCGGTTCGCGGCCGAGTGTGAAGCGGCTGGGATACGAATCAGCACCTCAAAGTCCGAGGCCATGGTCCTCAGTCGGAGAGAGGTAGATGACCTTTTCCGGGTTGGAGGGGAGGTCCTGCCTCAAGTGGAGAAGTTCAAGTATCTCGGGACCTTGTTCACGAGAGAGGGTAGGATGGAGCGGGAGATCGGCAGGCGGATCGGAGCGGCATCAGCAGTGATGCGAACACTTAACCGATCAGTCATGGTGAAAAAAGGCACAATGACTCTCGACCTCTATGATCTACATGCTGACCCTCACCTATGGCCATGAACTTTGGGTAATGACCGAAAGAACAAGATCGCGGATACAAGCATTCCAAATTGGTTTCCTTCGCAGGGTGGCCAGGCTCAGCCTTAAAGATAGGGTAAGGAGCTCGGACACTCGGGAGGTGTTAAGAATAGAACCACTGCCCCTCCACATCGAAAGGAGTCAGTTGATGTGGCTCAGGCATCTGGTTAGGATGCCTTTAGGACGCCTCCCATTAAAGGTGTTCTGGACATGTCCCACCAGGAGGAGACCTCGTGGCCGGCCCAGGACCAGGTGGAGGAATAATATGTCTTGCCTGGCCTGGGAGTGCCTTGGAATCCCCCCGGAGGAGCTGGTAGAAGTGGCTGGGGTGAGGGCCGTCTGGGCTTCTCTCCTGAAGCTGCTACCCCGCAACCCGGATAAGCGCAAGAAAATGAATGAAAGAGGTCAGAGGTCAGAGTTTGGGGGTTTTGGTCCCTCATATGAAGAACTGCTGAGAGTCTCTGAACGTGTTCGATCTCACATACCTGCATGTTCACGGACAGTTTTCATTCTTCCTCAGATTGGACATCAACTTGTTGCACTGATATAATCTATAATGTGGTCACAGATCCACCAGGTAAACATGGGACTAGAGGAAGGGGTGGGGCTTACTAAGTGTCTGAAGTGAACAGGTGTGCTGTTGGTCGGACTATAGACATGTAGGAACACATTTACAGAAACAGCATGGCGCCAAAATGAACGTAAACACGACTAAGGAACCAAGGACACTGTCTTTGTTTGAATCACCAACTGAGGTCAGCTCAGAGGAATAATCCTTTACTTGCTGTTTAAAGCCTGAAGGAGCACTCGCACTAGCCAAACAACATGCACGCCATGACAGATTCCCAGAGCATCAGGGGAAACTCTGATGGATTCACAGAGTTTCAAACTGAATCATGGAGACGATCGATCATCATCCGATTCGCTCTGTTTCTGTTCAAACATGAATACAGAACTTCAGTGGATTCTCGTCATGTGATCCTCGCTCCATGCTGGCACTCTGTCACTCCTGAATGTCGCTCTAAACCTCTTCATTACTGTCTGTGAGAACCACATATTAGCACAGATGAGCTTTTCCCATCATGCCCTGGGGCCGTGCAGAGGCAGCGTCCTCCGGAGGTCATCTGTGTTTATGTTGATGTGAGTCAGAAATCTGAGCGACCACAGAAACGGCGAACATTTTCATCTTTTCACAAACACAAAGGGAGAAGCAGAGTCAGGAGTTCAGACTCTGACTTTAGACTTTCCCAGCCGTCCCTGCAGGCAGCGCGGAGAGCAGCTTTGACAGATCGTTGAATCGTCTGAACCTCCTTCTTCTTGTTACCGACAGACTGAGGGTGGTTCGTCTCTGCGCTCTCACATCAAAACACATATACCTACCCCCCCCCCCGTGCTGCTGAGCAGATGGAATATTGATGAGGTGTTATAAATTATTTAACGAACTCTGAGCGCCTCGTTAAGTGTCCTGCTGCAGAGGCTGTGATTGGAGGAGAGGAAGAGTGGCTGGTTAGTTAAGTGTGAGCAGGCGCGCACACACACACACTCATATTGCGGACGATTAATCCTAAGTTTCTCATACTGTGTGTCCACTTGTGACCAATTAGATTTCGTGTTGTTGCGGTGTCTGATTCACCGGTATATCCAACATGGCCGACCGGCTCATTGTTTACGTGTCGGAGAACAGAGTGCTTTTTGATAAAAAACACAAATATTACAAAGATAACGACCTAAAGGACAACTTGTGGAGAGTCATAGCGTCGGATCTCTCATGTGATGATCTGTGCTAAATAACTTTAGCTTGTAAGCTAACCTGTTCAGATACAACATACCATATGTATTTTCACTGTCTCAAACTCAATCACAGTGTTGCTGTCACAGCGCCATTAGGTCTCAGTTGATACCTTACATTTATGGATTATAGTTGAATCCATAACCCCCCCCGAAAGTCGCAAAATTGCATCGCACTTCAGTTGTCCGGTCTTAATTGCAGTAAGGCGATAATTCAGTTTTCTCGAGTGTCATGTAAATGGACTGAGTGAGTGAGAGGAAAGCTTGGGGCTCGTCTCCTTTGGTCTGATCAAGACTCTGTCATCTGGACTGATTTCTTCATTAAAGTCGCCCGGGCTGCTCCTCAGATCTCCTCCTGTCTCCTCTGAATTGTTTTACTGAGTTTATGGAGATTTATCAGAACAGTCTCAGATTCACTGTGAACACTCAGGGTCGGGGTCTTCAGTGGCTGATTTCAACTCGTTGACTCATTCCTGACAGACACAAGTAGAGACTCGACACTCATTCAGAGGTTTGAGTCCCAGATCAAACCCGTGTTTGAAGGCAGCTCATCGTGACAAAGAGAGGGGAAAAATCTACGGTTAGCCGAGAGTTGAGGAGGTCAGGAAGAAGTGGTTGCATAAAGGAGGGTGCTTGTTACCGTGGAAACCCTCTGAATGTGAAACGAGTCAAGTGAAGTGAAGAAACTCTGCGACCCAGTTTCATCCCAGAGTTTCAGAAGATTCATTACGCAACAACAACTCAACTCATCCGACTTCCCTTCTTCTTCATCTGAACAACGCTCTAACAGAGGCTCTGAACGCTGCTCGGAACGCCGCTCCTCCAGGGAGGAACCGAGGAGACGGGGGGGGGGGGGAAAGAGAAGATGGTAGAGGATAAGGAAGACAACAGACGAGGGGGCAGAGGAGGAGAGAAGAGAAGGAGATAAGAAGGAGATGAGAAGGAGAGAGGAGTAATAATGGAGAGGAGACAGGAGTAGGAGAGGAAGGAAAGACACAAGACAACAAAGGAGGAGAGGAAAGGAATCAAGGAAACAGAGGGACAGAAAGGAAGCAGGAGACTAGAAAAAGTAGGAAAAGCAACAAAGAAAAGAAAGGAGAAAAGGAAAGGAGACAAAAAGGAGAAAAGATAAGAGGGAGAGGAGACGAGACAGTAGGAAAAAGGAAGAGGAGAGAAGTGAAGGATAGAAGAGGACAACCTGGAGGAGAACATGGGGAAAGGAAAAAACAGAGAGGAGAGGAGGAGAGAGGAAAGGGGAAGGAAGGAAGGAAGGAAGGAAGAAGAGGGGGGAAAAGAGGAAGACATGAAAGAGACAGGGCGAGGAGAGAAAGTGAGACACAAGGGGTCACCGAAGAAAATCTGAGAGAGGAGAAACCAGCTGAGGGAGGGAGCTCGGAACCTGAGCAGAACCTGAGCAGAACCAGAGCAGACCTCACCTGAGGACCATCAGTCTCCACCTCAATAAAAGAGTTTAATGTTCCACCTCTGCCTGTGAGACTGAGCTTAAAGCTCCACTGAGGTCAGCCGGGGTCAAGATGGTGGAAGCTGAGAGGTTAGAAGAGGAAGACGCCGCCGTGACGAAGAAGACGACTTTTTACTGAGGACGCGAAGTCATAAGAATGACAGACATAAAGACGATCGTACAAGAGCTTCTGGTCCTTAAAGGTCCAGTCGATGCGCCTGTGTGGTTCCATCGAACAGTAACAGGGGTTATACTTCGCCAAAACATGATAAAGTGTTTCTATTAGAGACGCTTGAAGAGAACAGTTGGGCTAAAAGTGATAAAAGACACTTAAAACAGTGACAAATAGGGACTTCAAACAGTTAATCATATCTTTAAAATGGTTTATGTTGACGCTGTTTCAGATCGGCATTTTAAACAGCAGGTTTATCGTTAAAATGTTAACAATAAGATGCCAAAATGGCTTCATTAAAACATTCACATAGCTTTAAGTTGGAGACTTTTAAAATATTGTTTAGGATATAAAGAGTTTAACTTAGACTCAAAAAACCTGTTACAGATTCACACTTAAAAAGTGACATGGATACTGTTAAAGTTCTCTGGGCACTAAAAAGGGTCAACACGCTGAAACAGTTACAGTTAGACACTTATAATAGACTAAAATGGTTTTACTTAAAACCAAAAACGATAACTTTGAACACTTAACATTGACCTCCTAAATCTTAAGTACTTTCACTCAGACCTAAAAAGTGGTGACATGTTAACACTACAAATAGTTTTAAATTGGCACTTAAACAGTAACAGAGTCTAAAAATCATTGTACTTAAGCACTAAAAAAAGGACACAATTGATGTTTGATAATGGATGCATGCTAACATTAAAGATGGTTGGATCAAAAATATTAGATTGGTCACAATTAGACACTTAAAATGATTTCAGATCAGCCCTTTAAAAGGCAGATTTGTCAATAAAACGGTTACGATAAGACGCCAGTGGCTTCATTGAAACATTTTCATAGTTTTAAGTCAGAGACTTTTAAACACTGTTTAGAACATAAAGAGTTTAACTTAGACTCAGACTTAGACCTAAAAATTGTCTACATGTTAACACTACAAACAGTTTTAAATCAGCACTTAAAACAGTAACAGAGTCTAAAAATCATTGTACTTAAGCACTAAAAAAGGTCACAATTGATTTTTGTAAGTGGAGGTATGCTAACATTAAAATATATTAGATTGGTAAAAATAAAAATATTAGATTGGTTACAATTAGACACCTAAAATGGTTTTCAGATCGACACTTAAAATAGAAACAGCGAGGCACTTAAAAGGGTTTTCATAAGCTACTAAAGTGCCTCTGGTTCAGTTCAGACATCACACATGCACCAGAGTCAGACAAGTTTGAGAACATTTCTCTTGGAGGGAACAAAAAAAAAAACCAGACAGACAGACAGACAGACATCATATCCACTGAATCAGTCAAGGAATGAAGTCCTTAAAATTCAAAGATTTCCAAAAGCGACTCTCTCTCTTTCTATGGTGATTCATTGTTGATGCCAAACTTCGCGCTGCTTTGTCCCGGAACATCCCATAATGACAAACACACACACACACACGCACGCACGCGCGCGCGCGCGCACACACACACACACACACACACACACACACACACACACACACACACACACACGAAAACACACACACAGAGTAACAGCTGCACAGACATCTCAGAGCTCAGAGTTAGAGTAATCTGATAATAAAGCAGCTGTGTGCAGAGTGTGTGTTTGTAACAGCGCCCCAACCAAACCTCATTTAAAAATCTGCACATTTAACACCAACACCTCTGTCTGAATCCTCCTGGAGGACAGACGCCCATCTTCTCACCTTGCTCCTCCGCCTGGAGCTCCTGCTCCACCGCTCTTTCACTCTGGGACCTCTCGCCGGGACAGTCCGGTTCAGTCCGGGTTGATTCAGACCAGCTGAGTCCAGCAGGTTCACCGGTTCGTTCAGGTTTTAATTGATCCGGATGAGGTCGGACGGAGTCCTGCTGCCGCTTTTATCGGAATCATCCCTCTCTCGCTCTCCTGTCCTCTATCAGGTCCGCGTTGGATGACTCCCGGCCAGCCAATTGGGTTTATAGGCCACCAGATGATGGGCCAATCAGAGCGCGGAGGCTGCACAGCGGTGACGAAAGGGAGGGGGGAGGAGGGGCGGGGGCTAACATGACGTAATGCTCCAGATTCTCCTAATGACTTTCTCTCTCTCTCTCTCTCTCTCTCTCTCTCTCTCTCTCTCTCTACCTCTCCTTCTCCCTCTACCTCTATCTCATATTTATTGCTAAAAGTTGAACCACTTAAGGTCTCGTGCTTTAAGAAAAAAAAAAAAAAAAAAAAAAAAAAAAAACAGCAAAGGAATGTTAAAATATTTTACCAAAGTCTTAGTCCCTCTTACATGATGTAAAATTACAACGGAGTATTAGGGCAACATTACAAAAAAAAAAAAAAAAAAAAAAGACCGAGGAAATTAAGCCTTGCTTTCGTAAGTAATTCTTCACTAGAATTAAGTCAAAATAAAGTAATTACTTACTAGAACAAAGTTGTAGTAAATCATTACTTCCAAAAATCGAGTCATAACTAAGTAATAAATAATGAGAATAAAGTTGAAATAAAGTAATAACTTACAAGTGGAAACAAAGTAGTTACAAAAATAAAGTCATAATTAATTACTTAGAAGAAAAAAAGTCATAGTAAAATCATTAATAACTAGAATAATGTCATAGTAAAATCATAACTTATGAGAATAAAGTTGTAATAAAGTAATAACTTACGAGAATAAAGTCATGATATAGGAATTACTTACGAGAAAAAAGCTGAGTAAAATCATTTCTTACAAGAATAATGTCGTTATATAGTAATTACTTAAGAGAATACAGCCGTAATAAAGTTTTACTTATGAGAATAGTATCGTAATATAGTAATTACTTACGAGAATAAAGTTGTAATAGAGTAAGAGCAAGAATAAAATTGCAATAAAGTAATTACTTACAAGAATCAAGTCGTAGTTAAATCATTACTGACGAGAATAAAATTGTAATCAAGTAAAAACTTAGGAGAATAAAATCATAATATAGGAATTACTTACGAGAAAAGTCATAGTAAAATCATTTCTTACGAGAATACTGTCGTTATATGGTAATTACTTAAGAGAATAAAGCCTTAATAAAGTAATTACTTACGAGAATAATGTCGTTTTATTGTAATTACTTACAAGAATAAAGTCGTAATAAAGTAATTACTTACGAGAATAAATCATAATATAGTAACTACTTACTAGAATAAAGTCGTAATAAAGTATTTACAAGAATAATGTTGTAGTATAGTTATTACTTACAAGAATAAAGTTGTAATAAAGTAATTATTTACGATAATAAAGTCATTATAGAGGGATTACTTACGTGAATAAAGTCGTAATATAGTAATTACTTATGAGAATAAAGTCGTAATTAAGCAATTACTTTCTAGAATAATGTCGTGATATAGCAATTACTTACGAGAATAAAGTCGTAATAAAGTAATTACAAGAATCAAGTCGTAGTAAAATCATTATTTACTAGAATAAAGTTGTAATAAAGTAATTACTGACGAGAATAAAGTCGTAATAAAATCATTACAAGAATAAAGCTGTAATAAAAGTTTCTCACAGGAATAAAGTCATAATTCAGTAATTACTTACAAGAATTAAGTCGTAGTAAAATCATTAGTTACAAGAATTAAGTCGTAATCAACTACTACTATACTTATGAAAATGTGGTGCTGATATGCCAAAAGATGAAGTATCTCCTTGTTTGAGAAATATATATTAAAGAAAATTTTTTTATGAAATGCTCCATGACTCTAATTTCAACAACTGTCATCTTAAACAGCAGGTTAGATTATAAGACCTTTTTTACGATTTTACTCTTGTAAGTAATTACTTTTTTTAGACTTAATTCCCCTAAGTTTATGACTTTAATCTCAAAGTCTTAATTTTTCTTTCTTGATGTGGCCCTAATACTCTGTCGTATAAAATAGAAAATTACATAAATGTAAATTTAGAATGCATTTAAATAGAAAAAACATTTTAGTATTACAACTTTTTACTGGCTTGGCTTTTCCCCTATAAGAACCTTTTTAAAAACATGTTGCTGTATCAAATTTAAAATAGGCAGATATTCTTCTAAAATAATTTAATTTCCCAGTTTTAACTTCAGACATTTGACTGAGTTTTACAAAAGTCTAATATCAAATTGTGATAAAGTCTCTAAATCCAACTTTACAGTGAGTGTTTTAAGGACAGAGTCACATCGACAACAAACCTGTTAATAACATTATGGTGATAAAGCAGGTTAAGGTGATTTCAGGGGATAAAGTTTCTTCAGTTTATCTATAAATATATAAAGTTTGTTCAGTTTATCTATAAATATATAGTTTGTTCAGTTTATCTATAAATATATAAGTTTGTTCAGTTTATCTATAAATATATGTTTGTTCAGTTTATCTATAAATATATAGTTTGTTCAGTTTATCTATAAATATGTAAAGTTTCTTCAGTTTATCTATAAATATATAAAGTTTCTTCAGTTTATCTTTAAATATATAAAGTTTCTTCAGTTTATCTATAATATAAAAATATCCTGATGAATTCTGCTGCTTCAGTTTTCAGTGAAAGACAAAAATCAAAACTAACGGACCTGACTGATGTTTGTTTACCTGACAGACAGGAGGACTTCATTACCGCTGAAAGAGAAAACACACACCAGGCTGAGAGAGGGTGTAATACAAGACCGCCGATGACACCATCAGTGATGTCACAGCGGTCCAGGAAACCTTCAGGCTGAGTCAGCGCCAGAGCGATGAAGACGAGAATGACCACACTGACAGAGAGTAAAGAGAGAGGATAATGAAGATGCTGATACAGAGGAAGAGGACAGCAGAGTGATCTTTTTTTTTTTTTTTAATGATCGACAAAAACAGACAAAGACCGTCCTCACACAGAATCTCAGCTTTCTTATTTGAAAAGGATGATAATGTTGCGCAGCCTTCGATACTGTGGAGCACAGTGTGTTGATCCGGCATCTCAGACAGTGGGTTGGTATCTTTGGAACAGCATTAGACTGGTTTTCCTCTGACTTTCCTGGTAGATCTTTTTCAGTTACATATTTGTCTCTGCAGTTGGGACCCTGTCCGGTGGAGTCCCTCAGGGTTCTGTCCTGGGCCCTCTGTTGTTTTCCCTCTACATGCTCCCTCTGGGTTATCTGATAAGAACTTCTGAAGGAGTATCTGAGGAGCATTTAGATGAATTGTACTTTAGTATAGGTTTCACAAACATGGAGATACTTAATCCTTTGGTACATGAGCGTTACACTCAAATGCTGCTTTTGTGGAGGGGAAAATGGCTGGAAATGGCTGTACAGAGGCTAAATTCATCAATACAGCTGTTAATAGCAATAGCATAGGGCTTTAGTTTATCATATGAGTTTATCTGCCATGAGGTGTTGAGGTCTCTGCATGTGTAGGTTACTGACTTACTGTAATCATCGGGTCTTTCTCGTCCTTATAAAAACCTGCTCTATTTCGGCGAGTGTCTGTCTTCTTCTGTAGTCAAACCGCAAGATATCAAAATCTACCCGGATACAGCAATGCTGCTTTTTGATTGGCTGTTCAGTATATATACTTGGCTTGTGCGTGGCACGCAGCTTCTGAACTCTCGCAGGAACTCAGTTGATTTCTACCTGTTCCATTGTTACAGAGGTGCAACTTTGTGGACATCACCATGTTCAAATAAATGCGTGAGAAATACAATGTGTGGCGTGTGAACGGGTGGGAATGCGTGTGTCACACGCTGAATGCGTGAGACTTGAGAGCCCTGCAGAGCAGTAAATGCGAGACGCCTGCTTTCGCTATTTTAGATGGCTCAAAACCATTACGTTTTAATGAATCAATGAATAACATCAGCGGCGAAAAGGAGTGTTAAAAAGACCAGGGTTCACATGTTTTTATTTTGTCACAAAAGGCTTCAAGCATGGGCCAAAGCATAGGACAACAAGTTCTAGAACCTGAATGAAGTCATTGAAGGCACACGCTTTTGAATCCGTCCAACGGTAAGGAAAACCCTAACCGCGCTCTCGTCAGGGGGGCATTCTACGACAGGGGTGCATTCTACGGCACAACACCGGCGTGGATAAGTCCTATGCTACCACAGGCTCTCCAAGTACTCCAAGTACACGTGAAGAGTGTGCGCATGATTGGAATAGTTTGGCCTATGATTGGTTCTCGTCGGCGAAGGAGCCAGGATGATTTGCTGACCGTCCAAGTGTCATTTAAAGGGCCGATTTCTGAAGTGCTCAGTTTACATATTAAGTCAATCACATGATAATGAAAAAAAAAAAAATCTCCCCATCTCACCTACTCTCTTCCAGCAGCCACTTGTTTGAACGGAGACCTCAGGCCAGTCCAGCTGGGGGCAGGCGAGATAGTGTGTCTGCGTCGATGTTTGACTTCCCGGGCCTGTATTTCACATCAAAGTGGAAGTCTGCGAGTTCCCCCACCCACCGATGACCGACTGCATTGAGCTTGGCTGTACTCATGACATAGATCAACGGGCATTTCTTGGTAAAGACAGTGAAGTGCGGAGCATAGTACAGGAAATCGCGCAACTTCTCACAAATAGCCCATTTTAATGTGAGGAACTCCAATTTTCCACTGTGTAGGTGGTAACTGCGTTCGGCTGGTGACAACGTCCTTCATCCATATCAAATGACTCTTAATTTCCCATTTTAATGCTGATACAGAACAGCTCCTAAGCCCTGATCTGAGGCGTCAGTGTGCAGCCTAAAGGGGTGGTTAAAATCAGGGTATGCTAAGACAGGGGGACTTGTGAAGAGGTGTACCAGTTGTTCGAGGGCTTTGTCGTGTTCAGCGGTCCTGTCTATGGGCTCTCTGGAGGGCAACTGTGGGTGTTTGGGGTTTCTACCACGTGTTGGGATTTGGGCCTGCCCTGGCTTGTTTTGGAGCAGCTCATAGATGGGTCTGGCAACCCAGGAAAAATCCTGGATGTACGCAGCTCAAGGAAGAACATTTATGATCATTTCTTCATGGAAATACAATCAGACTGAGACGCTAAGGCAGAATAACTACCGTGTCTGCAGTGCAAAATGATTAATATGGTGATTATTACTTCAAGGAAATGATAAAGAAATGATCATAAATGTTCTTCCTTGAGCTGCGTCAGCCCCTGTAGTCTGAAACGGACTGGCCTGAGGTCTCGTGTAGCTCTCGGTATTGCTATCCTGCAGTCATTACAAAAGTTGGTATAACTAAAGAAGTAAGCGGTCAGCAACATTCATCTCTGGAGGGGGTGTCTACAGTTTGTTTGACCTCAAATTACTTCAAGAGGGAATATCCCTTCAAAGCAGCAGCACTCGCACTCTTCAGGAGTTGTAGTATGGTCCCCCCTCCCCACAGAAAACTGCAGTGAGCATGTGCGGAGGCCCCCCAGAGAATCGGAGGAAACATCATCTCTGCGTGTTCGGCGAGAAAAACTGACTTTTGGATTTCATCTCCATCTTCACAGTCTGACAGTTTCTGCTTCTGCACTCAACCTAAATTTTCCCACAATGCAACAGCGTCTCTGCTGCCAAACTGTTTTATCTATAAATGTATGTCAGGCTGTTCTCGGAGCGCCTGTGTGTGTGTGTGCACTTCAGTCCTTGATGATTACACACACTCTTATTTATTCATCTCCTCTCTCTTTCTCTCTCTCTTTCTCTGTCTAACCTGATTTCTGTCTCTTTTACTTTTTAATTCAACTCCAGAACACCTCAGCCCAGGACCTCAAAGCCCTCCGCTCCAGAACCCAGAACACTGGAACTCAATATTATGGAGTCAAGTGCACCAGAACACCAGTTTTGGTACCGGCACTCTTGAATTTAGTACCACAACATCAGGAAATGTAGGATCCAGCATTGCAACACCCAGTATTAAAAAGTTCCAGTATCTGGAATCCAGCCCAGGACCTGGGCGTTCCAGAACCTGGGATTCTAAAACCCAGACTATGTTATTCCAGAACCTGTTAATAGAACCCGACATTCTGGGACAGCACATTCTGAGAGCCCGCTGCTCTCGGACCTTCAATAATCCGGCTCTCCAGAATCAGCATCTCAACACTCATGCTGCGTTCAAATTTCCTAGGAAGTCAGAAGTCCGAGATGAAAATGATGTCACATCTGAGTCCCCAGCACTTCAGCTACCAAGTCGGAAAAAAGCTAAATTGGAGGTGGAAACAAGACAGCTACATCTCCGAAAGTTATTTTAGCGCTTGCCTTGTTTCCGAACAAGGCAAGCTTGTTTCCGCCTCTGAGTTTGCTTTTCTCCGACTTGGTAACTGAAACGCTGTTATTTCTAGGTCTTGGCGTCTCTTACTATCTTTCACTCACAACAGATCCGACATTTTTGCTGCATCCCAGTTTCCTCAGAAGTCAGAAGTCGAAGTTGAAAATGACGTCACCCCCAAGTTCCCAGCGTTTCAGTTACCACGTCAAAAAAAAGCAAAACGGGGGTGGAAACAAGATGGCTGCATCTACAAAGTTATTTTAGTGTTTGCCTTGTATTCAGACAAGGCTAGTCTTGTCTGAATATAAGGCAAGTGCTAAAATAACTTTCGTAGACGTAACCATTTTGTTTCCGCCTCTGATTTAGCTTTTTTCTGACTTGGTAACTGAAACGCTGGGAACTCGGGGGTGACGTCATTTTCAGCTCCGACATCTGACTTCCGAGGAAACTGGGACGCAGCATCAGTATCCCAATACTCAGCATTTCTGAATCCAGCCTTCTGGAACCCTCCTCCACTGTTGCTATGTTGAAGAATATTTGTAACTGAGTGAACCAATGCTTCTCGATTTAAAACAACAGAACAGGAAACATGTCTGGATTTTTTAAAAATCTGATCCAGAAACTTTGGACAGGGACAAAACCAACCCACCCCACCGAAGAACCAAGCGGGACATCTCTAATGGACCTGTTTTTTTTACTTTTTTTTGGGAGGGGGTGTGGTCTCATGATTTCAATCTCAGGTGACTTTTTGAAGCCGTTGTTTAGAGCAGCCTGCAGCAGTCTCATCATGTGGTAACCCGACACACCTTTACCTGTCAGTCTGAAACTCCGCCCACACCTAGTCTTAATATCCAACATCTCAATGTGTCAAATATGAGGAAGACCTGACAGCATCTCTGTTAGCCGCGGCCTCCACTCGCTCTCATGTTTCCTGCTACAAACAATCCTGCTGCCTCTAAAATCCAGCTTAGTCTGGATTAACACTGAAGTAAACATTAATACCCACCACTAGAATGTGTGTGTGTGTGTGGTCTCACAGAGTGTGTGTGTGTGTGTGTGTGTGAATGAGGGAAAAAAAAAGTTGCATTGTGGGATATGTCAGAGTGTGACATCTCACTGCTTTCCCAGGGCCCCTGAACTACACACCAGTTTACCTGGGACCCTGAATATGTTGAGATTAGAGAAGAATTCATGTTCAGGACTGAAGGACTGAGTCTGACTTGGGGAGAAGAACATACAGGGTGACCTCCTTAAGAAATAAAAGCTGACGTAGTTTTTCTCCCAGAATTCACTGCAGACTAAAAGGTGGGGTAGGCAGGAATCCGTTAAGCATGTTTTTTTGTGGCGTATTTACAAAAAAATCTTTTAATATCAGTCAATAGTTATTAGTTATTGATGACATTTGGTAACATAACGATATCGCTGTGTTCTCTTATGTCTGTGTCGTCAACATTTTTACATTTTTGAGCGGCCCGCTCTTTCTGACTCTAAACAAAGGCGTTCTCTGCCTCCTCCAACCTGATTGGTTGTGAGCAGACACCGCTCCCCCGTGTCGTTCATGAGCCCGAACAAAGTTAGCGTGCTACAATATCGGACAGTAGAAACCAACCAGAAAGTTCGGAAAATTGTCTGAATCCTCCTTTGGCCACGACTGCCGACACAAGCAAGAAAACAAAGTAAATACCGGAGACTCTGGCAGAATAACGGGCGCTTAAAACGGAGGTAGACCGGACAAAAGCTAAAAAGCCGGGTCAACATAAATGATGGGGGACGCTTGGGATCTTCGTGACCCTGTAACCCAGGATTTCCACTGCATTCAGAACGGCAGGGATTTTTGCAGAACACCAATTCCTACTGGATCAGTTTATGAGGCGAATTTTGTGGCGGATTACAGACAGCAGGAATCGCGAGAATTCACCAGAATCCGCGGATTCACATGCAATCGCGCAATAACGGATTGTCTCTATAAAGACAGACACATAGACATATAAGCAGTAGATTGTGTCCTTCCAGAGAAGGAAATCTACTTCTAGAATCAGCAGCTCCTCATCCATGGTGTCATCGGGGTGAAATGACGTCTAAAAACCTTTCACTTGTTCGTCTCCGCCCGTTTGCATGGTGTGAAATACGATCCTCCTGAAACACGGAGTGTTTTATTTTGAAGAGAAGCCGGATGTTTTATTTTGTGTCTGTGCCCGACTTCCTTTCTAGCATGGGTTAATCTGTGCTGAATTTGTCCGGCATGCTCCGGTGTCTGGAAAAGTAGAACTCTTGCGATCAGCCGCGGAGTCCGGCGATCCACAGAGGAACGGAAAGAAGTCGGTGTAAATTGACACGTTAACCTGAATGGTTACGATCAGCTACGATCGGAGGAAACAACCTTTTCGTAGACATTCAGGATGCGGTGGAAATTGGGGGTAACCTTTCTGCTGGACAGGTAAACCGCTTTAACAAAGTAAGACAAGTGTCTGTAACAGAAGTGTTTCTTGTCAAACGGACCTGCTGTAGCGTGTTGTAGCGCCATCGCTAAACTGTCCTCCCTCGGGTCCTGGACTATGTCACTTTATCCTGGTTGTAGAAGTCCTGCAAACATTGTGTTTGCTGGTAGTCTGTTGGCATCTACCACTCATCTCTAAACTAAAAGGGATCTTTGATGGTAGTTCTGAGTCAGAGAGGCAGATTGATCTCTGCCTCATGAGTGTGTGTGTGTGTGTGTGTGTACGGTGCTGTTATTGATCAGGTATGAAATCATCACTGCTGACTCGGCAGGTTGTGACTGAATCATTCTCCAACATGACGATGACTTTCTCTCTGCTGACCTCAGATCAGATCCTGTTCTGATCAGTTCTTATGATTAAATCTGTAATTAGCTCTCGGAGGGGTGGGGGGGTGGGGGCTCCGGACCTCCTCAGAGTCTCTAATGGATCACCATTAAAGACGGCCTTCTGCTGGTTTTCACCCTTTTTTTGTTTCTATTGGTTCTTCTGTCATTTAAAATCACACACCTACTCACGTCGGTGAAAATCAGGCAGTCGTATTTTTCTCCTCCTCCTCATCCTCCATCCTTTCATCTTCATCCTTTCATCATCTTCTTTATGATATGTGGGGCTGTACTTCCTGCTGAGTCTGCTCCTCTGTTCTCCCTAAGCTGCTTACACACACACACACACACGCACGCACGCACGCACGCACGCACGCACGCACAGCATCACCATCATTAAAGACAGTGTGAACCCCTGGGCTGATTTTGACCCTTAAACCTTCAGCTCCATTGCTCCTCCTGGGAGAACTCAGCGTTTTTTAAGTCCACCAATCACCTGACAGAATCAGTGAATCAGACGAGTCAGTTTTGGGGTGACACTCGTGCAATATTCTTTTTTGCCTCTGATTGGCTAGAAAAGCTGGAAACCGAGCGGGGGCTGTTGGCTCTGTACATCAAACAGAACATTATCGCAATTCTAATGCTGTGTTCAAGTTACCTCGGAAGTCAGATATTGGAGCTTAAAAAGACATCACACCCGAGTTCCAAGCGTTTCAGTTACCAAGTCCGAAAAAAGCAAAATCAGAGGCCTGGAACATGATGGCTACATCTACAAAAGTTATTTAAGCGCTTGCTTAACAGTCGGACAAGGCAAGCGCTAAGACAACTTTCATAGATGTAGCCATAATCGAGGCGGAAACATGATGGCTTCATCTACGAAAATCACACGAGCACTTGCCTTGTCCGGATATAAGGCAAGTGCTTAAGTAAGATGGCTACATCTACGAAAGTTATTTGAGCGCTTGCCCTATATTCGGACAAGGCAAGCGCAAAAATAACTTTGTAGATGTAGCTATAATCGGAGGCGGAAACAAGATGGCTCCATCCACAAAAGTTATTTCAGCGCTTGACTTATATTCTGACAAGGCAAGGGCTAGGCGAGGCAAAGGCGTTTCAGTTACCAAGTCAGAAAAAAGCAAACTCAGAGGCAGAAACAAGCTTGCCTTGTCCGGATACAAGGCAAGAGCTAAAATAACTTTTGTAGATGTAGTCATATTTGTAGCAATCAAGACAACCCTGGATGTGAAACCCACACATTCCTTACAGGAAAGTTTCCTTATCTGGTCCCAGGAAACAGGATATAAATCTTTCCAGACGTGCTTGCCCTTTCAGGTTAAATAAGTGACCCAACCGGAGGTTGACTAAACCTCTGACTCTTCAGGATTGGTCAGTTCGGTGAACAGAGACAGAGTTTTTATTACCTTTCAAACTGACTCCATTTGCTGACCATCTAAATAAACATTAACCTCAACCCAGATCTCCCATTTGAGATTTAGCGTCTTAAAGTGTGTGAACATACGGACCCCAGGATAAGGGGGGACACTGACCTCCAGACCTCGGTCGTAAAACCCTGCTCGACCATACACTGATAAAGACTGCATTCCTTTGGTGAAAGAATACAAATGACTGATCATGACATCTTATGCATTCAGCAATGTACTAATCTGTCTAATCATGAAATTTGTGTTAAAATGAGATGTTTCCCATTTTTCTATGTGCTTCAGAAGCCAAGTTATCTTATCTGACAGAATAAATCCTTATTCTTTAGTTCTTTAGACCAACAGCTTTTCAGACTGTTTCATGAACTTTTAAGAGTTAAATTTATTGACTATGAATCCTAAGTTTACTCTAAGTAACAGAAATAGTTTAGAAATGTTTGGTTTATATTTTAGTTATTTATTTAGTATCTTAACCATTAGGTGGTTATAATGTCACTGAATAATCTGAATGTGAGTATTTAGAATCCATTATTAATCATGATGACGTTCATTCACATGTGTTTACTCTTTTGTTGTTCACAGTTTCTATGTGTTACTATCTGTTTCATTTCAGAGTAATTTAGCATGTTCAATGTGATACTTAAAACATAATGAGAATGTTTGATGTGATCCTACACTTCATTCATATGTGTTTAGTATCAAATTATTTATCATGAAACCAAGCATTCAATGATATTAATCATAGTGAGTGAGTATCAGATCTGACTCTTTTACCAGCCAAAAGAATAAGTTAGATCAAATAATCAGAGACCTGATGACCCCTCCTCTTTCTCCTCAGACACTCCCAGTGTGAGAAGATAAAACCAGTGGAGTGGGGTTGCTCACTCTCTCTTATGTCTCTTGTCCTCTCTTATGCTTCTGCTCTTCTGCTGACTCTCTTGTCCCTAGACTCTTATGCCTTTCTCTTCTGCCCACACCCTTCTGTGGTGCGTTTCTTTGTTTTCTCTTAGAACTTTTTCTTAGTCTTCTAAGTTTTACGCCACGTGTTGATTCACGTTGATTTTTCTTTAACATCGTCTTAGTTCAAGTTTTGAAACTTCAACTTTTTGTGCACATAGCAATTCAAGATTAAGCCTTTGATTGATTTTTCTTTAATTTCGCGAAGCCATTTTTGAAAGTTTTCTCTGCTCTTCGAGCCTCGTTTTTCTGAGTTTTCTGCGTGATTTCAAAGTCACCTCCGAACGCAACCCAGCAGGCCCAGGTCATCCTCTGTGCCAAAGTTTAAGTGAGACCAAAGAAGTACCCAAACGAGCATCCACAGGATCCACAGGCGCTGGCTTTGCTTCGGGCCCGAGTGCTGCAACTCCTGGCTCATCCTTCGGCTGACTTCAGTCGTCTTCTGAGCTGAACCGCTCGAACCGCCAGTAGCCCCGGACCTTCGGAACTTGCTCCATCTTCTCCAAGGACCAGTCTCACTTAAGTATGCAAACCTCCAGAGCTCTAAAGAGGGCTGGTGCTGTCTCCTGCGTTCATAGCTCAGATATCCTCTTATTCTGGTAATCTTAGATTCCTCCAAATCCACATCCGAGTTTATCTCGACACCAAAGTTAGTGTAGGTTAATATGTTAGCGCATATTCACTCACTATCATTAACTTTAGTGCTCCTAGTCTGACTCAGAATATTTATTTATTCACCTATTATTATTTATCCTCATTATCTTATCATCATTTATTGCATGTATGTTGTACCATCATTTATCCTGTAATAAACAGATCATTATTTTTCTAAGTTCCTGTCTGTTAGTGTTCTTCCAGAAGTGGAGTCCCTGAAATTAGAATTTCGACTTAAGATATGAGACTGATTAATTAAGACTGATTAATTAAGACTGATTAATTAAAACTGACTTGATGTTTGATTTCTGAATTAAACTTTTGTTTTCTTTATTTTCCCACCATTAAGGGTGGGTGGTGCCCCTTTCAACGAGTGCATAAATGTCATAATTTGAGATTATTAATCTTCAGACATTTATTATAAATTCCAATCGCCAAGTATTATTTTGGTGCGGCCTTGTGAGGCTCATTTCAAATCGCTACATATATTTTGGTGCGACCGTATGAGGCTCATTTCAAATCACTACATATATTTTGGTGCCCCTGCGTGAGGCGTTTCAAACAAAACTTCTGGATACTAACAGACAACCTAAAACTTAGCCTTCCAAATTGATGAGAGAAACTTATTTCCAGGCTGTTTTAGACTTAATCACAATCAATGCTATGCTTGCTGAAGTTGCTTGACTAAGTTCTGATGTTTTCCTGATCTATGCATAAAACCTTTATGCTTTGTGTTTCACACACTTTTGTACTACATGCCCGTAGTCTGTGTTTGAGCTGGACAGCGTGAAATGTTGTTCTGAGTAGCAGTGAGACTGACTCTTCTGCTCTGTCTAGACTGTCCAATATTTAAGTGCACGATTGTTGCGTCGCCGTACGCTTGTATTTAAGGCCTTTGGCTGAACCCAGTGTTCGCGATGCTCCGAGCTGTGGTTTCAAGCCCCTGAAGTCTCTGTAGTCTGCTACGAGGTTCTAGTAACTATATGGGATTCAGATTTCCTCCTTTCCCCTGACAGATTAGCTACCTGTCACAGGAAACCACTTTAACAGTGGGAGGTTGTTGTTTGATTGAATTGAGACAAAATTTGTGTTCACAAATCGCCGCATTTGTGATTTTTAAAGTCTGCAGTTGAATCTGCTGTTGAGGGATTTGTCACTTTGATTCTTGTCTCTATAGTCTGCTATGAAGTTCTAGTAACTATATGGGATTTAGATTTCCTCCTTTCCCCTGACAGATAAGCTATCTGTCACAGGAAACCACTGTAACAGTGGGAGGTTGTTGTTTGAATGAATTCAGACAAAATCCGTGATCACGAATCGCCGCATTTGTGATTTTAAAGTCTGCAGTTGAATCTGCTGTTTAAGGATTTGTCACTTTGATTCTTGTTCCTGTAAATGATTCTATTGAACCAATCTGCCTGAGCAGATGGTGGAAAGTTCTATGTTTGAGGGTGCAGACGCAGCCTGCTGTGAAATGTTAACCCTTTGTTGTCAGTGGAGAGACTGACCATTTGGCCTTAAGCAGATAAGGCCCTTCGAGGAGGCAGAGCCTAAAGGCCCCTTCCTTCATACTTCCCAACTCCTCACAGCCACAAGAGGCTAGTTGGATGACTGTTTCCTCTTCTCTTCTTCTTCTCCACTTGTGTTGAGCTTGTGCAGTTCTCCCAACTCCATACTGCCCCACATGGTTGTTTTTGGTATTGAGCTAACACTGCTATTATCTGCCTGCAGTATCAGCCAGCTGTACTGCCTCTCTGTAGTCAGTGTGTAACACTCTACAGACATAACTCAAGTGATTGACTTGGTTGATGAAGTTTGATGTGCTTATTCTAAATCATTGATCATTGCTTTTTGATTTTTGTCTTTGTTATAAGAGCCTCCATGATGTATTGATAAAGTAACTCCTTGAATCAATCACCTGATCTTGTTGTTACTTATCACACCATTGAGCAGTTTTACTGTTCCCTATAATACATTAATGTATTAACCCTCCTCGTAAGATTAATTAATTAATGAACAAATTAATTAATATTTGAAATTTCTTTTAACATTCCAGATAGATTTGGTAGTTGAACCTTTGGATTAATTGCAATTTGTGAATTAACTTCAGAGTTAATTCCTTAAATTGACAATTTCATTGATTTTTCAAATTCATCCAACTGCACCAGGCAGTTTATTTAAGCTTTGCTGATCTCTGCAACACGGAGACAAACTGAACCCTTTATTCAATGGTTCTGTATCTGATGTTAAATTTAATTTAACATTATTTCACCTTGTTTTTCTTTCAATTTTCATTGAAATGAATTTAACTTTATGTTATTTTTCTCTCCATTAGAGATCTACTCAGATAGGCTCTTCCTCTTTATCAAGCACTGATAAATTAAGTCGATTAACCCACTTAATTTGATATTGTACTTCTTCCTTTCATTTTAAGTCAACTCAAACTCATCAACCAACCACCTGCACCTCTTTACCAAAACCAAACATGCCTAACACAAAGGAGTCCAGCCAGGGAGACCCCCTGAGGGACATACACACAGTGTTAGCAAACTTAACTAGTCAGCTGATACCTCAGTACATGACTAAGATTCATAAGGCCAAACCCTCCAATCCGGAGGATGAAATGGCTGACTTACTGGAAACAGCCTTAACCACGACACTTCGTGACAAAGAGCTCACTAGATGCATGTCTGTCATGATGTCTTCTCAGCTTGAGTATAAAGACTACTTGCTGGAATGCGCTTTAGCAAAGATAAAGGCGCAAAAAGATGAAAACAGCGCTCTGAAAAAGACGCTAGAGGAGACTAAGAAGTCTTTAAGTGTTTTAGAAAAACACAGTGCCAGATGTGAAGCGTCAAAGCTTCCCTCACTGATAAGTCATGAAGAAAATCTTGATCTCAAAGACAAGATTGAAAGACTTAATGAAAACCTTTACAAAAAGGAGAAAGAACTTGATGACACGAATAAGCAGCTTGCTAAGACCACAGAGGATCTGATACAGTCAGAATCCCTACTAGAGCAAGCAACAGAAGATGTAAAAACTTTGAAAGCACTGGTCAAAGTGCGTGCTGAAGCTCTTGAAGTTAAGGAGAAGCAAACTTCTACCTTACAGCACCAGCTCCAGATAGCTCAAAGACAGTTAATTCTTTGTCAAGAACAGCGAGAAAAGACAGACAAAGAACTTGAAGATGCCCAAAGAGAGTTACAATGCTCCCTCCAGTCAGGTCGAGCCCAAAGAGAACGCATGGAGCAAACGTTTCTTGAAGAAATGATAGGTGATCAGCCTCCTGAGAGAGCGCCATCACTTCCTTCCAAACCAACTCTTAAGTATCTCTCTCAGCATCATGACAGGACCCTGCTTGACCCTGAGAGGTCATCCTTAAACCAAGAGTCCTACTCTCCTCCTCATGATGGCTTCTTACCATTTCCCTCAGACAGGGATCTTGACAAAATTGCTCGCATCATAGCACGCTTTGAACCTGAGCACCAAGCTGCTATTGACACCTGCACCTACTTGAAAGACATTGACTTTTACCTGAGGAAATTTCCAGGTGCAACCGTTGATGACAAAATCTACCTTATTAAGGCGACGTCAAGTCGAGAGGTTAGCAGTTTCCTTGAACGACAGCCTTATCATGTCAGAAATAATTATGACTTGCTCTGCCAAGCATTAATTGAAGAGTTTTCTGACTATTTGACCCAGACAGGCCTTTCTGCTGCTCTGTCTATTAAACAAGGGAGATCAGAACCTCCCCAACAGTATTACAACCGCTTACGTGAAGCTTACTTTGGTTTCCGAAATGAACCAGAAATGGAGGAGGACTTGAACTTCAAAACGCTGTTCGTCCAGAACCTCCACCCTACCACCAGTCATCACCTTGGCGTCTTAGCTTGTCCAAACACTTCGACTAGCCGACAGCTTCGTGAACTTGCTGTAAAAGGTTTTGCCAAACAACGACAAACTTTGGCTAAGAAAGCAGAGCCCGTCACTCTCTTGGCAATGGAGACAAAATCACTGCCCGTGGAGCTGAACGAAGCTTCAGACTGTGTATTTTCAGGCTCCGATAAGCCTCCACATGAGTGGTTAACCAGGCCTCCAAAACCTTTTCGACCTCAACACACTCACAAAGGTCAAAGTTACACACCAAGGCCCAGGTCTGACACAGACCAATGCCGGGTAAACTTTGAGACCAACTGTTGTTATTCAGACTCCCGTCACGGTGGGTTTTATCCCAGACAAAGGAAAAACCATCAACACCGCCCAAGGGGGGTGAATGACTGGCAGAATCAGAATAAATCACACTCTCAGAAACGACGATCTTATTATCCACCTCAATCGGTTTCATCCACTTTGAAGGTGAATAAACATGACTACTCAGCTAACCACTGAGATTAACACTGCGGAGCCATGAAGGTGTGAGTCCTGCGAAAGCAGAAGTCACTCAGCCAAAGCTAAATGACTCCAATAAGATATCCAAATGCTGTGGTGATACATTGATGACTGCAATCCCAGTTGCTGCTTTCTTTGTTAGCATTTGTCTCTCCTCTGTCAATATGGTCAGCTAGTCAGCTGTCAAATATCCCATGAACAGATCAAAACCAGAAATTTCTGTCACTAAGACTCAGATTGACAAATTTCAGACTCAACAGCAGATAATTAGTCAAACCGATAAGAGCATCATCCCCAAGTTTAACAGACAAAGTTTAAGAGAAACTCTGTGCAGTAAACTTTTGATGTTTGTGATTCAGGTTGACTATGCTCATACACAGATGGTTAATATGTCTATAGCAGACATTTCTTTTCCACCTAAGTCTTAACCATTTTTGAAACTGAAATTGAACTTTCAGACTTCTCCAGCAAGCATGAAAAACAGCTATAGCTTTAGATCCAGTTAGCATTCAGACTAAAGAGTGCTTTTCTAAATCTCATTAATACTGAAAATTAGGAGATTTTCTTTCACATTAGTCTACCAATAGTTAACTGAGAAAAGTCTAACACCTAGACGATTTTATTTGATAGCTTAATGCATGCTTGATGTTATCTTAAAGCAGATACTAGTGATTCACATAGTGATAATGAGACGCATCAGTCCTATTTGCATACACCTGCTGCTGCTGCTTCATGGTTGTCTACTCGTCGTCCCGATGCTCCATGGACAGGACCACCGTGACGAAGGGGGGACTGTAGCAATCAAGACAACCCTGGATGTGAAACCCACACATTCCTTACAGGAAAGTTTCCTTATCTGGTCCCAGGAAACAGGATATAAATCTTTCCAGACGTGCTTGCCCTTTCAGGTTAACCCTTCCGGGACCTTTAGATTTTCCTCCCTCTAAAGTCCCTCGTGGCTGTTAAAAGCCACTTTTTCTGTCGGCTGTAAAATCATATTGGATTAATATTTTTTTCAGATTTTTTTTCACAAATTTCTTATTTTACTTCTGCCCTGTTCGAAACTAGCAAATGTTTCATTGAAAACATTTTTTTTTAACCCTTTAAGTGCCAATTTAAGACAAAAAGTCACAAATTTAGCAAAAATTGAAGGAAAATGACCCATTTTTTTTTTTTTATAAGACATGATCAGAAACTGGTAATCTCTTGCAGGGTATTAAAGTCTTGAATATGTCAGAGATTAGTAATATAATTTACTTATATGCATTTTCAGTTTTTCTGTAGCATCAGATTTAATGAAAACTGCCTTTGGCGCCTCCCAGTGGCCAAAACCACTATTTCTGCTGTAAAATCATATTGGATTAATATTTTTTTCAGATTTTTTTATACATTTCTTATTTTACTTCTGCCCTGTTCAAAACTAGCAAATGTTTCATTGAAAATAAAAATTTTAACCCTTTAAGAGCCAATTTAAGACATAAAGTCACTTAAAAAGCAAAAAAATGGAAGGAAAAAGAAGGAAAATGACCCATTTTTTAAATAAAACATGATCAAAAACTGGTAATCTCTTGCAGGGTATTAAAGTCTTGAATATGTCAGAGATTAGTAATATAATTTACTTATATGCATTTTCAGTTTTTCTGTAGCATCAGATTTAATGAAAAACTGCCTTTGGCGCCTCCGAGTGGCCAAAGCTACTTTGTCTGCTGTAAAATCATATTGGATTAATATTTTTTTCAGATTTTTTTTCATACATTTTTTATTTTAATTCTGCCCTGTTCAAAACTATCAAATGTTTCATTAAAAATAAAAATTTTAACCCTTTAACGGCCAATTTAAGACATAAAGTCTCTTATGAAGCAAAAAATGGAAGGAAAATGGAAAATTAAATGACCTCTTTGCTTCATAAGAGACTTTATGTCTTAAATTGGCCCTTAAAGGGTTAAAATTTTTATTTTCAAAGAAACATTTGCTAGTTTTGAACAGGGTAGAAGTAAAATAAGAGCTGTATGAAAAAAAATCAGAAAAAAATATTAATCCAATATGATTTTACAGCAGAAATAGTGGTTTTGGCCACTGGGAGGCGCCAAACGCAGTTTTTCATTAAATCTGATGCTACAGAAAAACTGAAAATGCATATAAGTAAATTATATTACTAATCTCTGACATATTCAAGACTTTAATACCCTGCAAAAGATTACCAGTTTCTGATCATGTTTTATTAAAAAAATGGGTCATTTTCCTTCATTTTCCTTCCATTTTATTTGCTTTTTAAGTGACTTTATGTCTTAAATTGGTCCTTAAAGGGTTAAAATTTTTATTTTCAATGAAACATTTGCTAGTTTTGAACAGGGCAGAATTAAAATAAGAAATGTATGAAAAAAAATCAGAAAAAAATATTAATCCAATATGATTTTACAGCAGAAAAGGCAGTTTTGGCCACTGGGAGGCGCCAAAGGCAGTCTTTCATCAAATCTTATGCTACAGAAAAACTTAAAATGCATTGAATTCAATTATATCACTAATCGCTGACATATTCAAGACTTTAATACCCTGCAAGAGATTACCAGTTTCTGATCATGTTTTATTTAAAAAATGGGTCATTTTCCTTAAATTTTTCCTTCCATTTTTTTTTGCTTTTTAAGTGACTTTATGTCTTAAATTGGCCCTTAAAGGGTTAAAATTTTTATTTTCAATGAAACATTTGCTAGTTTTGAACAGGGCAGAAGTAAAATAAGAAATGTATGAAAAAAAATCAGAAAAAAATATCAATCCAATATGATTTTACAGCAGACAAAGTAGTTTTGGCCACTGGGAGGCGCCAAACGCAGTTTTTCATTAAATCTGATGCTACAGAAAAACTGAAAATGCATATAAGTAAATTATATTACTAATCTCTGACATATTCAAGACTTTAATACCCTGCAAGAGATTACCAGTTTCTGATCATGTTTTATTAAAAAAATGGGTCATTTTCCCTCAATTTTTGCTAAATTTGTGACTTTTTGTCTTAAATTGGCACTTAAAGGGTTAAAAAAACTGTTTTTAATGAAACATTTGCTAGTTTCGAACAGGGCAGAAGTAAAATAAGAGATTTGTGAAAAAAAATCAGAAAAAAATATTAATCCAATATGATTTTACAGCCGACAAAACAAGTGGCTTTCAACAGCCACGAGGGACTTTAGAGGACGTTTTTCTGTCCTGGCTTTATTATTGACTTGGTGAAAATTTTGAATTCATGTTTTCAAATAAAATTTCAAATTAAGCTTAGAAAAAAAAATTCATCACATTTGCTGCAGTAAAAAAAAAGTTATATCCAAATTAGTCTCTAGCTCTATCATAAATTGGCTGTTAAAAGCCCGAAGGTTCCGGAAGGGTTAAATAAGTGACCCAACCGGAGGTTGACTAAACCTCTGACTCTTCAGGATTGGTCAGTTCGGTGAACAGAGACAGAGTTTTTATTACCTTTCAAACTGACTCCATTTGCTGACCATCTAAATAAACATTAACCTCAACCCAGATCTCCCATTTGAGATTTAGCGTCTTAAAGTGTGTGAACATACGGACCCCAGGATAAGGGGGGACACTGACCTCCAGACCTCGGTCGTAAAACCCTGCTCGACCATACACTGATAAAGACTGCATTCCTTTGGTGAAAGAATACAAATGACTGATCATGACATCTTATGCATTCAGCAATGTACTAATCTGTCTAATCATGAAATTTGTGTTAAAATGAGATGTTTCCCATTTTTCTATGTGCTTCAGAAGCCAAGTTATCTTATCTGACAGAATAAATCCTTATTCTTTAGTTCTTTAGACCAACAGCTTTTCAGACTGTTTCATGAACTTTTAAGAGTTAAATTTATTGACTATGAATCCTAAGTTTACTCTAAGTAACAGAAATAGTTTAGAAATGGTTGGTTTATATTTTAGTTATTTATTTAGTATCTTAACCATTAGGTGGTTATAATGTCACTGAATAATCTGAATGTGAGTATTTAGAATCCATTATTAATCATGATGACGTTCATTCACATGTGTTTACTCTTTTGTTGTTCACAGTTTCTATGTGTTACTATCTGTTTCATTTCAGAGTAATTTAGCATGTTCAATGTGATACTTAAAACATAATGAGAATGTTTGATGTGATCCTACACTTCATTCATATGTGTTTAGTATCAAATTATTTATCATGAAACCAAGCATTCAATGATATTAATCATAGTGAGTGAGTATCAGATCTGACTCTTTTACCAGCCAAAAGAATAAGTTAGATCAAATAATCAGAGACCCGATGACCCCTCCTCTTTCTCCTCAGACACTCCCAGTGTGAGAAGATAAAACCAGTGGAGTGGGGTTGCTCACTCTCTCTTATGTCTCTTGTCCTCTCTTATGCTTCTGCTCTTCTGCTGACTCTCTTGTCCCTAGACTCTTATGCCTTTCTCTTCTGCCCACACCCTTCTGTGGTGCGTTTCTTTGTTTTCTCTTAGAACTTTTTCTTAGTCTTCTAAGTTTTACGCCACGTGTTGATTCACGTTGATTTTTCTTTAACATCGTCTTAGTTCAAGTTTTGAAACTTCAACTTTTTGTGCACATAGCAATTCAAGATTAAGCCTTTGATTGATTTTTCTTTAATTTCGCGAAGCCATTTTTGAAAGTTTTCTCTGCTCTTCGAGCCTCGTTTTTCTGAGTTTTCTGCGTGATTTCAAAGTCACCTCCGAACGCAACCCAGCAGGCCCAGGTCATCCTCTGTGCCAAAGTTTAAGTGAGACCAAAGAAGTACCCAAACGAGCATCCACAGGATCCACAGGCGCTGGCTTTGCTTCGGGCCCGAGTGCTGCAACTCCTGGCTCATCCTTCGGCTGACTTCAGTCGTCTTCTGAGCTGAACCGCTCGAACCGCCAGTAGCCCCGGACCTTCGGAACTTGCTCCATCTTCTCCAAGGACCAGTCTCACTTAAGTATGCAAACCTCCAGAGCTCTAAAGAGGGCTGGTGCTGTCTCCTGCGTTCATAGCTCAGATATCCTCTTATTCTGGTAATCTTAGATTCCTCCAAATCCACATCCGAGTTTATCTCGACACCAAAGTTAGTGTAGGTTAATATGTTAGCGCATATTCACTCACTATCATTAACTTTAGTGCTCCTAGTCTGACTCAGAATATTTATTTATTCACCTATTATTATTTATCCTCATTATCTTATCATCATTTATTGCATGTATGTTGTACCATCATTTATCCTGTAATAAACAGATCATTATTTTTCTAAGTTCCTGTCTGTTAGTGTTCTTCCAGAAGTGGAGTCCCTGAAATTAGAATTTCGACTTAAGATATGAGACTGATTAATTAAGACTGATTAATTAAGACTGATTAATTAAAACTGACTTGATGTTTGATTTCTGAATTAAACTTTTGTTTTCTTTATTTTCCCACCATTAAGGGTGGGTGGTGCCCCTTTCAACGAGTGCATAAATGTCATAATTTGAGATTATTAATCTTCAGACATTTATTATAAATTCCAATCGCCAAGTATTATTTTGGTGCGGCCTTGTGAGGCTCATTTCAAATCGCTACATATATTTTGGTGCGACCGTATGAGGCTCATTTCAAATCACTACATATATTTTGGTGCGACCGTATGAGGCTCATTTCAAATCACTACATATTGTTTCCGCCTCCGATTTTCCTTTTTTTCGACTTGGTAGAACTCGGGTGTGATGTCATTTTCAGCTCCGACAACTGACTTCTGAGGTAAAATATCGCGACCCTCGGCCCGGTCTCAGAGTCAGTGAGCAGACAGATTGTACAGAACAAAATATTTTATTCTCATACTCGTCCTCAGTGTGTGTGTGTGGGTGTGTTTGTAGAAAAGCAGAGGATCATCTGAAACAGTTACACAAACAGAAACTAAAGTTATGTCCATAAAAAATAGCTTCTCTTTTCTTCAATATCCAGTAAACGACACGAGAAACAACAAGAGCTCTGTCTCAGAAAAATAAGAGCAGGCCCCGCCCCTTTACATCAATAAACTCTCTGCCAATCACAGCCGAGGAGGGGCAGGGTCATGCTGGATTTGACAGGGACGATAGGCCACAGAAACAGGTGGGGCCTTCACACAGGTACAGAATATATAGATTCAGATTATAGATTCACTTATGTACAAAAAATATAGAAAACATGTTTACACAGAGCTTTCTGTCTGATGTCATCCTGCTGCAAAGCATCATGGGACAGAGACCAAGTACGTGGCTGAAAGCAAGTCAAGTGATCCACGACGAGGTCAGCCCTTCAAAATTCGTAATTTCATCTCTCGTGGCGTGATTAAGCATCCTGACCTCTGACAGGAAGTTCATGTTTGCTTTCTCTCGGCCTTTGACGGCGTGTCTCATCATGTCAGAGATGTCGACCAATCACAGAGGAGCAGACTCAGAAACGCTTTAGGCCACGTGGTTTCATCATCAAACCAAAGCAGAGGTCAGAGGAGTAAAGAAGTCCCAGAATACATTGCTGTCACTGCATTTCAAATCTGTCATGAAATAAGACTCTTATTCTGAAAAAACCCTGACGCCAAAGTCATCTCCATGGCAACAGCAGCTGTTTGTTTCCGTGGAGACACAGCTGATCAGACAGAAAGCTCCAGATGAAGATCCGCTTTAATCAAAACAATTAGCAGGTGGGAACAGGTTAGCACGTTAACTCCGTCGAAGGCCCGTCTGAGCGCGTGCGAAACGTGAGGCTGAAAACACGAGAAGGTCTCCTGTCCAAAGCTGTGAGTTTAAAACAAGAGCAGACCTGCGATCCGAGCTGCAAGTCTCTGCGGGGATCGGCACGATGCTGCAGCCGCCTCTGATTCACACATTGGTGGTGGCGGCCCTTACACCTTCAGGGGCTGAGATGTGCACGCGCACAGGTGTGAAAAATGTTGTGCCGGTTTTTACAGGTGTTAATTCGGAACACCTTGCAGCAGATTGTGACGCGGTTCAAATCATTAAAGGAGAAACCAGATAGAGACAAGATCCAGAAAGACCAGAGTCCGTTTAAAGGGATAATTCATCGTAAAATTAATTCAGGGTCAAACACCGTAACACAGAGTTAGACCCCCCCTCCAGAGATGAATGTTGCACACCGCTTGCTTTTCTAGTTATACCAACTTTAGTAACGACCGCATGATAGTAATACACAGCGGTCTGAGGAGCCATAAACAAACCTCAACCAAAACACCACTCTATAGCCAAAAATAATGCCCAGAACAGCACCTAACTTCATCAACAGTATATATAGGGTCCCAGCCTTAGTACTAGCCACCAAACATCTTTTTAACTTTGAAGAATTTCTTAAGCTTGTGGCTGAGCTCAACTGAACTGAGAAAGGAAAGAATCAGGTCTCAGAGTGATTCAGTTCACATCGTTCACAGTTTAGTTCTTTTGGATGAAACGTTCATCAATGAAACAGGGCTAAATACAACTCACCTACTCTCTTCCAGCAGACGCTTGTCCGTAGCGAGACCTCAGGCCAGTCCATTACGGACTACATCAGGGTTTCGCAGCAGAAGGAAGAACATTTATGATCATTTCTTTATGGAAATATAATCAGACCGAGACGCTAAGACAAAATAACTACCGTGCCTGCAGTGCGAAATGATTAATATTAGATTTGCACCAATACATTTTTTCTAATCCAATCTGATACCAGTACCTGGGCTGAGCATATCGGCCGATATCTGGTACTGATCCAATACTACTGTTGAATGAATGAACTGTGTACCTCGCCCTGTGAGTGAAGGCATCAGGCTTGACATTAGCCTTGTTAAAAAAAGGTAACAAATTATCACAGATATAAATTTACTAAGTATTATTTATTGACAAATAAAAAATTGCACATTAGCACACAGCATAAATAAGTAAGACTTCCATGTATTGAAAAAAATAATTAATAACCCTTGTGCACCCCTAAGAAAAACTTCAATAAACACCCCTAAGGGACCGAAACGGTCCCCTCCATTTTGCTGCAGTAGAAATATGGTCTAAATAAATATATGACTTTTTTTTTTTGGCTGCCATCATTGACTTACAACCTAATCATAAAGAGTAAAACTTTATTCAGGTTTTTTATTTTAACCCCATAAATGCCAGTCTTCTTTGTAAAAAGACGATATTATTTTAAGTCAAAAAACACATTTGGTGAATTATTTTCCATCCTATAAATGCAAATTTTTTTTTAAACTTTTGATTATGAGAGCATGGGAGTGGTAAACATTGATGAGAAAATTGATTGTAAAGGATTTGTATTTTTTCTGTAGCTTTGAATAATTAAAAAAAACTTCAATTAACACCTCTTAGGGACCGAAACAGTCCCCTCCATTTTGCTGAAGTAGAAATATGTCTAATAAATATAATTTATTTTTTTTGGCTGCCATCATTGACTTGTAGCCTAATCATAAATAGCAAAACTTTATTCAGGTTTCTTATTTAAACCCCATAAATGCCCGTCTTTTTTGTAAAAACCCGATATTATTTTAAGTCAAAAAACACACTTGGTGAATTATTTTCCATCCTATAAATGCAAATTGTTTTTTTAAAACTTTTTATTATTAGAGCACGGGACTGGTAAACATTGATGAGAAAATTGATTTAAAAAGATTTGTATTTTTTTTTTGTAGTGTTGAATAATAAAAAAAACCTCAATTAACACCTTTAAGGGACCGAAACGGTCCCCTCCATTTTGCTGGAGTAGAAATAGGGTCTAAATAAATATATTAATTTTTTTTTTTTTTTTGGCTGCCATCATTGACTTATAACCATAGACTGTATATACTATGGACAACTTGGTTCCGCCTACCGCCTGTATACGGATTTGAAGCCAAAAAGCTCTCGGTATTTCCGGGATATTCCTTCATTTCCTGAAACCAGCGCTGCGCAGTAGCAATGCGCGCATTCGGCCACGCAGTCGCAGAGAGTTGCTGTGATGACGCTCAAACAGCGTGTCCCCCGGGAGAGCTACGCAATCCTTGAACGCCCATAGGCTGTATCAGGTGTCAATCATAGCCAACATGAACCCCCTAATAACTTTTATAAACGGAGCTTCACAGAAAAAAAGAGGACTTGAGCACAAACCAGTCTTACAATAACTACATGTCAACATCACAAGCAGGGGGGAGAAAAATTTATGTTCTGTGTAATAAATTTCTAAAGTTTGTCCACAGCTACATAATTTGCTGGCGGAGGCGGGATTTATGACCTATACTGCAGCCCATCAACAGAGGGTGCTGTTCTCGGAGTGGCTTCAACCAGTGAGGAGGCAGACTCTGTCCATTCTATATACAGTCTATGCTTATAACCTAATCATAAAGAGCAAAACTTTATTCAGGTTTTTTATTTAAACCCCATAAATGCCAATTTTTTTTGTAAAAAGCTGATACATCATTTTAAGTCAAAACACACTTGGTGAATTATTTTCCATCCTATAAATGCAAATTGTTTTTTTAAACTTTTGATTATTAGAGCATGGCATTGGTAAACATTGATGAGAAAATTGATTTGAAAGGATTTGTATTTTTTCTGTAGTGCTGAATAATACACACACACACACACACAGACCATCCATCCATCCATCGCTTTTACGCACGCACATCGATGAAGCCCTCCCTCTTCAGGTGCCTGCTATGAACCTCGTGCATGCGCTCACACATGCACGAACACACAATCTCACACACACACACACACACCATCCATCCCTTCCTTGCTTTTACGCACGCACATCAATCAGTTGCCCACTATGAACCTTGTGCGCTCGCTCGCTGACACACACACACACACACACCATCCATCCCTTCCTTCCTTCCTTGCTTGCTTTTACACACGCACATCAATCAGGTGCCCGCTATGAACCACGTGCGCTCGCTCTCACACACACAATCAGACACACACACACAATCAGACACACACACACACACACAGACACACACAGAAGGAAAGTGCAGGTGCAGATTGTACAACTGCCGCTGTTTCTGGAAGGATTTTGGCTATTCTGCATATGGACACACACACACACACACACACACACACACACACACACACACACACACACACACACACAAGTAATTCATGAAAACTCATGCACATAATCCATGATGTCCTTAAAACACACCTAAACAATTTTTATTGAATTTATTTTTTCTCTTAGGATGTTTAGTATATATAGCCTGTTTTTATTGTATATATTTAGTATTTTTAGTCTGCATTGTACATACTTCTTATTATATTTAATTTTATTTTGTATTTTTTTGCTGCTGTAACATGAGAATTTTCCAGTTTGGGATCAATAAAGTATCTATCAATCTATCTATCTGCATGAAATACACCAGCTCTGTGAAAAAGGGAAAACAGTGCCCCTCTGGTTCTAAAGGGTATGGCAGTAAAAAAGCAAAATGACGCCATCTGCTGGTCGGCATAAAAAAACACAGTTTGACTCTCAAGGAATAGGTGTACATGAAAAAAAATATCCAAAAATTATACTGCATTGGCAGTGTATTGAAGAAAACATGTTTTAATGGGAGTCAATGGGACGGTTTCGGTCCTTAGAAGTGTCTACTGTAGTAATAAAAATTGCTCACATGCAAAAAAGGTCAAAGGAAGAAAAAAAAAAATTAAATTGCACCTAAAATTACACACTTTGACAAACTTTCATGCCATTTGCATCATCACAGCCAAAATTATCCAAAAAATTACAGTTACAAAGGACCAAAACAGTCCCAAGGGGTGCACAAGTTAAAAGTAAACAAAGACTGGATCAGCGTCATCCATCTGATATCCGATCCAGTAAATTTGTCACTATCGGAGCCGATATCTGATCCAAATATCCCTAATTAAAATGATGATTATTACCTTAAAGAAATGATAAAGAAATGATCATAAATGTTCTTCCTTGAGCTGTGTTACCCTGCTGCAGTCCGTAATGGACTGGCCCGAGGTCTCACTACAGACAAACGGCTGCTGTAAGAGAGTAGGTGAGTTGTGTTTAGTCTCTTTGTTAAAGAAATTAGTCAAAGTTAAAAAGATGTTTGTTGGCTAGTACTATGGCTGGGACCCTATATGTACTAACATCAGTAGATTATGGTGTAGTTTTGTTTAGTAACAGAACCTCATTGGAAAATAAGTTGATTTAACTTTACTGTGCTCTTGTTCAAATGTACTAACTCGACAGCACATACACTACAGGCCAAAAGTTTGGAAGCAAGGCCATTACAGGCCGAGATCAGGAGTAATCGGCAAAAGACAGCACCAAAAATAAGGGAGGAAATCAACATGACAATGTCGAAACCCATATCTCTGACAACTGTGAAATGATGTTTGAGAGAGGCTGGTCTGAAGGGTTGTGTATCTGCAAAAAACACTACTTCATCCACAGAACAAGAAAAAGAGATATGAGTGGGCAAAAGCTCACAAAAATTGGACTTAGGATGACTAGAAACACGTTTGCACTGTCTTGTTCAAAACGCAGAGCCTATGTCCGCAGACAAACTGGTGAACCTCTGAAAGCACCATATGTTACACCCACAATTCAGCATGGAGGTGGTAGTTCCATGGTATGGGGATGTTTATCAGGTGATGGAGTAGGAGATTTGTTTGAAGTAAATCATGAAGAAGGAACAGTACCACTCCATCCTCCAGCACCATGCTGTTCCATCTGGACTCAGACTTGTGGCTCATAAGTTTGTTTTGCAGCAAGACAATGACCCTAAGCACTCTGCCAAGCTCTGTCAGGGTTACCCAGACAAAAAAGAAGAGGAAGGTGTTCTTCAAAAGATGGTTTGGCCCCCTCAGTCTCCAGACCTTTCTCAATTGAGCTTGTGCGGAATGAATTGGATCGATCGGTCAGAAAAACGTGTCCCATGAAATCAGCAGTCTCTTTTTAATGAACTTAAAAAAGCTTGGAATGCAATCCCTGAAACATACCCTAAAAAACTTGTGGATCGAATGCCCGGTATACGCCAAGCTGTTATCAAAGCCAGAGCAGATTACTTTAAAGAAAGCAAAGTCAAAGCAACAATAACTCAAATACCTAATAATTATAGACAAAAAGTCTTCTGATAAGTTACTCTTTACACAATAGTCATGTTTATTGTGTTGCAAATGATATATATGAAACTATGATCTTTTTTTGTACAAATCTGATCTTGCTCCCAAACTTTTGGCCTGTAGTGTATATCCATACCTGTTAACAAAATCATGATTTTATTGATAATTCGGCTCAATGAAAACACCCTTACCTTCCATTTTACAACAGTAGAAGTTTCTTGGCCCAGCTTATAGACTACAGAAGTAAAGAAACACCCCCGCTTTAGTTTGTTTTCTTAGGAGTTAGAACAACTCTGAATATAGTACTATGGCTGGGACCCTATATGTCCTGTTGATGAAGTTGGGAACTGTTCTGAGCATTATTTGTGACTATAGAGTGGTGTTTTGGTTGAGGTTTGTTTATGGCTCCTCAGACCGCTGTGTATTGCAATCCTGCAGTCGCTACTAAAGTTGGTATAACTAGAGAAGCAAGCGGTCAGCAACATTCATCTCTGGAGGGAGTGTCTAATTCTGTGTTAGGGTGTGTTTAACCCTAAATTAATTTTACGCCGCAATATCCCTTTAAAGGTGGACTGAGGGGAGGAGGGACTGTCCTGAGGTCTGATCGATCAAAATCTAACACTCTTTTGGAAAGGACAACTTGACTGACTTGAGAAGTCTGAGATGCTTGAGACTTGAAACGTCTCAAGTCAGTCCAGTTGTCCTTTCCACGTAGAACTAGAGATCATAGATGCTCTTCGTTCTCTGGTTTACTTTTGTTGTTGTTATTTTGCTGCTGTGTTAAGTGGCACATAATTTTTTACAGTGTAATGTGGCATATAAAAAAAGTGAATCTGGACATCACCCAGAATGCAACGCAGTTACTAATCGATATAAAAACATTCTTCATGTTCTGCTGGTGAGAGAAACGTTAAAGATGTCACACTCAATGTTTTTTTTTTTTTTTTTTTTTTTTTTTAAGAAATGGCTTTTTGTTCGTCGTCTGGATGATTTCTTTTAAAACCGTCTTTTTCCCCGGCTGAAAGGCTTCGTTGCTCTTTTTAACTCATTCATGTAGATAAAAACTTGCCGTCTCTGATAGAAAAATAGAGTCGTGCTGTAAAGAACAGTCGAACACAATGGCTTGGTGCTGCGTTTACGTCACCGCCGAGGCTGGGAAATCACAGCGCCATCAGGAACAGAGCTGGAGCTGAGATCACTGAATTATTCAAGTTCAGTTTCACAAAAAGTCTCTTAACTCCTCTTAAACCGCGAAACCAGCATTTCCAACCTGAAACAGTGACTCTCAGCACCACTCAGTTCCTGACGTGTGTGTGTGTGTGCGTGTTTGTGTGAGCCTCATCGTCACACATGAGCATAGAAACACGTTAACAGCTTCATCATGGGGAGCTTCGGCTCCGCAGCAACAACAATAACGAGAATAACAACAGTCAGGTCAGGTTACTATGGCAACAACAGAATTCAGCTAGCATCATAAACGAGAACAACAACAGCAACAACGACAAGAAAACCGAAAGCCATCCATGACGTTCGGACTCCGAGAAATCAAAGTGTTTGTAGAAAATGTGCAGCTTCTTTTGTGGCACTTTGTCGGGTTCTGATTGTTGCTTCAATTTACACACCTGGACAGGATATTTTTTCGTAGGATGGTAGGAAAGCAAAAAAATCGCCACCTGGAAGGGGAATCACAGGTGACCTGGAGTCACCGTCCAATCAGAGGTCAGCTCTGCCAGGAGACTTTAATGAATTCAAACAGGTAAATCCCCTGACTGCAGGGACTCTGAAGCCTCTTTTCACACTCGACAGAAACTCCTAAAAATTTACAGAAATTTTCCACATGAGCTGCAGGTGTGAACGTTGACTCAGTCACAGAGACCGGGTTTAGATGTCCAGAGGTGACGAGAGGACTCAGGACCGAGTATTAGGGCCGCTTTGAGGCAAAAACATTGAGATTTAAAGACTAAACTTGTGACTTTAGTCTCAAATTTATGTAAAAAAAGTCAAATTTGACTCTAGAGACGGTCTGATGGTGAAGCAGGGTGGAGCTGAATCCTCAGGACTGGTGCAGAAAAACTGAGGCACAGATCCACGGAGTCAAAGTCCTAAACTCTTAAACTGTTAAAGTCTCATTAAATCAAATTTAACTTCTACTATTTTAAACTTTCTCTCTCTTTGAAATCTAAAAGTTTAAACTCAAACTTTCATCTCAAATGTTCACAACACCATTCTTGTCAGTTTTGTGAAATTAAGTGTTCAAACATTTTTCTGTAAAACGACCTTCACTCTTAGACAAATGTCTAAATTTAATCTGGTGAATTTATAACTTGAATTTACAAACTAAACCTTTGAATCTAAAGTTCTAATTTTGAATAATTATGACTTTAATCTTTAGATTTAAAGACTTTTCTCCTGAATTGTGAAGTTTTAATTTTAATGTCATACATTCAGCATTTCCGCTGTGAGGACTGAAGAACTAAAACCTGGTTTACATGTTTGGATGTTCAGAAACAGGCAGTCAATCTGGACTGCTCTGACTTGAACCCTGAAAACCTCCCTCCTCTCAGTTAAACGCCATCATCTTTGAAATGTTGCTTTTTGAAAAACGCCGGCTCGTGAAATCGCGGTCGACATCACGACGGCGGCTGCAGATTAAAAACACAGCGAGTCCGAGGCTGTAGGAACAAAAAACAGGAAACAGAGAGAGCAGCTGAAAATCTACTGAACGTCAGGAATGAAAATAAACCAATAACCGATCACCTATCAATAAAACAAACATTTCTGTCCAGCCTTTAAACCCTCCAGAGAGGCATGGCCTCCTTAAAAACAGTTTTTAATCCTCCAATCTTTGAATGTTTTTAAATCAGACTTTTATAAAATATACAATCTGTCACGTGAAGAGACTCCAGAGAGAGAGAGAGAACTTGGCTGTTTAAAAACCCCGCTCATCGTCATCATCAACACTCCTCTCTGATTGGTTAGTCCAAAATGATGAAGAGGAGTTCGGTCCAATAACAGGCCATGCATAACTTTAAGGAAGGCGTGGCCTTAAAAAGCGCCCGTAAGAGCGAGGAAATAAACCCTTCAGAGTCGACTCGTTCAAAAATGTTCATCTAGGAGTGAAGAGAGAGAGGAAACCGGGACGAGTCCGGAATAAATAAATGCAAAAAAAAAAAGTTTTTCCTGTTTCCATGGAGACGAAGGACGAGACTGGCCCGCAGGTCCTCCATTCATCAGCAGTCAGAGAGAAAATCCTCCACAGAGCTTCAAAGATTTCCAGTAAAAACCACAAAAAACCTCCTAAAAACACAAACAGGAAGGTTCATCCTCAGAAACAAACCTTAAGCCGCCATCTTTAAAATCACCACTTCCTGTCTGCTGGCGCTTCGTGATGCGTTCAGGTGCAGCGCCGTGACTCCTCCACAGAGTGTTTGAGCACCACTGCAGAAATTAGGAGAAAGGCTGAAGAATTCACAGAGGATGAGGCCCAGACACCCTCCAGAAAAAGATCCCCATCCAGCTGAGAAAATCCCAATAAAACCATCAAACCTCCCAGTCAGCCCACAGCGCAAATGTACCGTGTGATTCCCAGGTGCAGTTCTCCTTCAAACCTCCAGGCGGCGAGGTCAGGTCTGAGTCAGCTAAGGACCGGCGTGAGGTGATCAGGGTTTCTGGGGTCCAGGAGAGAGAACCACGGGGGTGGAGAGTCCGTCGACGCTCAGAGCCGGGATGTGGATCTGATTACTGCCATTCGAGGGAAACTATGGAGAGAAACAGAGAAAGAAAGCGTCAATTTTCACGACTGACCAAGACCAGGACATCAGTCCAAACCTGGAAAAGGACTGAGACAGACCAGGTCACCAGGGGCCTCATGTATCAACACTTGCGTGGGACTCATACCGGAAATATATATATATATATATATACACATATATATATATACATATATATATATATATATATATATATATATATATATATATATATATATATATATATATATATATATATACATATACATATACATATACATATACATATATATATATATATATATATATCAACATATGAGGCAGTGATATTCACCATAAAGTGCTGGAAATTAATCATCTTTGTTATTATTTGTCAAGCGGACAGTATATTTTTTGTGTTTCTGGGGATGATGTTGGTCATAATTATGAATACAGTTGTAGCAGGTCCTAAAATCCTATTGGGCTACTTAACTGTCAGAATAATGTGTATAAATGTATATAGAAGTTATCATCTTACTCAAATTCTTATTTAAGAGTTTGCTGCAAGTATGAACTGTTTTGACCTCTTGTTACACATCATATAAGAGTGTTTTCTAACTTCTCTCTCCAATAGCTTTATTACACAGCACATGAGTGTTTCTTAACTTCTCTGTGACCTTGTTTCTCTTATTAGCAGGTATGTGTGTGATGTATCCTCCACTGTGAATCGTGGGAAGTAATGAGGAGGATCCGCTCCTATCAGAAGGAGCTCGTTTAATGTCAACAATGTTGCCCTCACATATTATCTGTTGTTCATAATTATGTTTTATGAGAGTGCTTACGTTGCTGCACATATTTTTCCCCCATCCTTTAGTAACATTGTGTAACCAGGGACAACCCTAAATAAAAGAGACTGGACAGAAATACCTCCAGAGTGGTTTTGAGATTGTACCTGAGACTGTCTCTGTCATTCTCCTCGAGTAAAAATCTAAACCATTGTCTTTCTCTTCTTTATGTGTTTTCAGACATTTGTTGCAGGTTTTAGACCCAACATTAACCCTATGTCTCAGGATACCCCATGCCAAATTTTAGACTTTTAGTGAATTAATATTTGCCTTAACACAATTTCGCTAGAGTCATGTACCAAAAAGTGGTTTTTGGGGGTTTTGGGGCAGATGGGACATTCTGAGAACTTTTTGTCATAGCTCATCATTTTCAGCACATTTTTTCCTATAGAAAAACACTGATTAGAAATATATCTCAGGGGGTGCACTGAACCCCCTCTGTCCAACTGGACTATACCCTCATTCATTCAGCATTACCAACACCTGTCAGGCTTCACGTAGTCCACTGTCCTTGTGCACTTGAGTCAATGCACATGTCGATCTAAGGGACTTATCAAGTTTACATTTACAGAGTTCGGTGAAGTTGGAAAGATATTCACAGATTCAGACTTCCAGGATCAACAACTCTGAGCCAAAACGTTGTCCAAACACAAATATCGCCTCTTTCACGTCGTAATAGCACAGACTACTAGCTACAAGAATCAAAAACCAGCTTGTTACAAAAACAGGCCATTCTTCTGGATGAATAATATTGATTGCTTTGTGTACACAGTGCGCAGGGACTGTCTGCAAATTGCAATACAAGATCAAGATGCTGCAAACAAAAAATCAATAGCTCCACTGTTTTACAGCACAGAGACTCCAAAATTACCAAACACACCAAGGGTCTCCTTACGCTCATACTACAACAGCTGTGTTTAAAAAAATGTGCTTTTTTATAATGTTAGGTTTTTTTTTTTAAAGTGAGATTAATCATTAATATCTTCCAATATTAATCAATAGCTCCACTGTTATACAGTACAGAGACTCCAAAATCACCACACATACCAAGGGTCTCTGTACTGTATGACAGTGGAGCTATTGATTGTTGTTTGCAGCGTCTTTAGCTTGTATTGCAATTTGCAGACGATCCCTGCACACTTGCCTGGCCACCGGCTGCGCATAGCAATCACTATTATTCATCCAGCTTGAAGAACGGCTTGTTTTTGTAACAAGCTGGTTTTTGATTCTTGTAGCTAGTAGTCTGTGGTATTACGACATGAAACAGGCATCATTCGTGTTTAGGGATGCACCAATCCGTTATTTGGTTCGGATATCGGCTTTGATATCGGATGGATGATGCCGATCCAGTCTTTTTTTTTCTTTTAATACATGGAAGTCTTACTTCTTTCTTCATTTTGCTGTGTGCTAATGTGCAATTTATTATTTGTCATTAAATAATAATTAGTCAATCTGTGTTAATTTGTTACCTTTTTTTTTTAACAAGGCCAATGTCAAGCCTGATGCCTTCTCTCTCAGGGTAAGGTAAACAGTTCATTCATTTAACAGTAGCATCGGATCAGTATCAGCTATCAGACGATATTCTCAGCCTAGGTATTGGTATTGGACTGGATTGGAAAAAAATGGATCGGTGCGTCTCTATTTATGTTTGGACAGCGTTTCATCTCAGAGTAAAGGTCCTTACATACCAGACTGTTTTTGTCGTGCGATTATTTCGGACGTTAATTTATTATTTCAAAACCCGTATCCTGTCAATACAAGCGTTCACATCAGCAATGTTTTCCCGTCCTGCGATATTGCGGCATTTATTTTTTCAGATCATGGTTGATTTTTCTAAAGTTTCGCATACTGTGTGTCCACTTCTGACCAATCAGATTTCGTGTTGTTGCGATGTCAGATTCACCGGTATATCCAACATATCCAACATATCCGACCGGCTGATTGTTTACATGTTAGAGAACAGAGTGCTTTTTGATAAAAAAACAAAAACATTACAAAGATAACAACCTGAAGGACAACTTGTGGGGAGTCATAGCATCGAATCTCTCATATGACAATGGTTTGTGTGCTTTAACAGTTTGCTTAACGTCTTTGTTTTAACTTTCATCTGTGCTAACATAAGCTTACAGTTGTTACCATAGTTTCATGTGCTTATCTGGTACTGGCCCCGACTCAGTATTTGCTATCATGACAGAAAGCCATCTCAACACTAATGTCTAATCAGAACTGAAAACAATCAGCGACCGTGGTACAGTTTCAGCTCCTGAGCCAAGCAGTGAAACTCACCAAGTGCTCTTCTTTTTTTTTTTAATATTGGATGCACCCATGTGCTAAGTTTCTTTTTCTTTTGAGAAAGCAAAAGAAGTACCAATTCGCCATCACTTGAAGTTGAAGTAGACTCCATTTTTGTCCTCTTGCTTCCACCCGGGACGTTGGTTGTTAAGGGAAGGTCCCGCCCTCCTTCGCCTCTGATTGGCTATAAGTGCTGACCGTTTGGCTTGAGCGTGTGATGACGTTTCCAGCTTTTCTAGCCAATCAGAGGCGAAGGAGGCGGGACTTTCCCCGGGAAAAGTCTTCCCTGGGATGCGTCTTTTTCTTCCCCGAAAGTCTCAAAATTGCATCGGGCTTGATGTGTATAGTCAGGCGCAACAAAATTCGCCTCTGAATATTGATGATGATTTCGCGCCCCATATTCGTGTCAGCCCCAGTGTGTAAGGACCTTTATTGATCCTGGAAGTCCGAATCTGTGAATATCTTTTCAACTTCACCGAACTCTGTAAATGTAAACTTGATTAGTCCCTTAGATTGACTCAAGTGCACAGGGACAGTGGACTACGTGAAGCCTGACATGTCAGTGTTGGTGATGCTGAATGAATGAGGGTAGCTTTAGTGTTGTGGATAGACGGATGGCTGAGGCATCAGGGTCCAGAGCTGCAAGAATCAAACAAACTTCCCCCTGGATGATTCCGCTACTTAAGTTGAATTATCTCGTGGCCACACATTAATTTTTTTTTTCTCCTATGTCACCAGAAGGGCTTTGTATGACTGATCTCCTCAAAGCTGAATGATTTTTGTTCACATCCAGTAATATCCAAACACACCACAGAGGGGCGACAAAGTGTCATTACACCAGCCAACAAGGGCAGAGAGGGAGAAGAAGCAAATCAAATGTTTTATAACCCAAATCAGAGAGTTTAAGATTCAGGGAGCTGAGATTTCCCACACTGACATGAGCGCCTAATGGTCTCACTTTTATTCAGGAGAGTTTTTGGTTTTTAAAGAGTCTGATTCTGTCAAAAAGAGACGCTAAATTTTTTAGGGAGTCACGTAGGATTGGATTTGTGTGAACTGAATCTTTAATAATTTTCTGTTTTTAGAGAACAGATGGAGAAAAAAACAGAGCCAGAACCCTGCAGAGAGACCAGACCTGTGTGTGTGTGTGTGTGTGTGTGTGAGTGAGAGAGAGAGAGAGAGAGAGAGAGAGAGAGAGAGAGAAACCTGGGTCACATGCAGAGCACAGTGTGTGTGTGTTTGTGTGTTTTTGTCAGAGGATATATGAGTCTCTGAATCTGGTTGAAGGACTAATCTTGTATCTGTCCCTGATTCTGATGATCTGGATTACAGACTTGGACTTTGATGGTTCCTCAGATGTCCTCCTGTCCCTGAAGGAAACCTGTCTGTGAGTCCGTTCACTCAGGAGCAGGTTTCTCTTTTTCCTCAGTTTGAGTTTTTTCAGCTGAATTCAACAACAATAAAAGACTTTGATGTTTTTCAGAGCATTTCTATTCAACTGAAAAAAAAAGGATCACATGTTAGAAAAATGACCAGAGGGGGGCGCTCTCGGACATGGACTCTGAGGATCCCTAAACCATCAGGGATGTTGAATTTGGACTGATAACAAGATAGGGGGGGGGGGGGGGGGGCAGCATCCATGGTTTCCAAAAAACATCAAAGCAGTTGAAATAAAAAACACATGTGGTGATTTCTACTCCAGAGTCTGGTCTGTTTTTAATGCAGCGCTGCCAGAGGGCCTGAACATCAGGACCATTGAGAATTCTATTCTATTCTACCCTCATCTACTTCATTCTATTTTATTCTATATTACTCTAAGCAACTGAATTCTACTCCATTCTTTTTTACTCTATTCTTTTCTATTCTACTCTATATCACTCTATTCCATACTACTGTTTTCCATTCTCCTCTTTTCTATCCTATTGTATATTACTCTATCATCTTCTAATCAATCCTACTCTATATCACTCTACTGAATTCTACTGTATTCTAGTCTACTGTTTTCTATTCTACTCTATATTACTCTTTTCTACCATATTCTACTGTGTTCTATTTAATTCTATTCTACTATATTCTATTTAATTCTATTCTACTGTATTCCATTCTATGTTGATCTATTCTACTGTATTCAACTCTATTCTATATATCTCTAGTCTATTGTACTCTATTCTATGTTCATCTATTCTAGTGTGTTCTACTATACTCTCTATTACTTTATCCTACTGTATTTTACTCTATTCTACTGTATTCTTTTCTGTTAATCTATCCTACTGTATTTTACTCTATTCTATTTTATTTTACTCTATTCTATTCTACACTTTTTCCACTGTATTTTATTCTATTCTACTCTTTTCAACTGTATTCTATTCTATATTACTCTTTGCTACTGTGTTCTACTCTATTCTATTCTACTGTATTCCTTTCTCTTCTATATTACTTTACTCTACTGTATTCTTTTTTATTCTATATTACTCTATTCCACTGCATTCTACTCTATTCTATTGTACTCTATATTACTCTTTTCTATTCTACTCTATATCACTCTATTCTATTTCATTCTATTCTACTCTATAGTACTCTATTTTACTCTGCTTTATTATATTCTATTCTTCTCTATATTACAGTGCTCTCTATTACTCTCTTCTATTCTACTCTATATTACTGCACTCCAAATTACTCTACTCCACTCTAATCTAGTCTACTCTGTTCTTTTCTCTTCTATTCTTCTCTCCCCTTCTGTCTTCTACAGCGCTGCTCATCGCTGCTGTTGTTAGGATTGGTGCCGTTCACCATGGGTTGGGTTTTTTACCTGGAAGGAGAGTTTGGCTGGGGAGCGAGGAGCGATGGGACTGAGCGTGCTCCAGAAGTGGATGGTGGACGGAAGAGGACTCGGGGTCAACAGGACCGGGGTCTGAGGGGACAGAGAGAGACAATATGTCTAATGAGGACAATGAAAAAGAGAGAGAGAAAGAGAGAAAGAGAAGGAGAGAGAGAGAGAGAGAGAAAGAGAGACAGAGAGAGAGAGAGAGACACAGAGAGAGAGAGCATCTGTGTGTATCAGAGGAAGGTGAGACAGGTTAGACAGTGAGACAGGTGATATAGTTGAGACAAACCGTCTAATGAGGACAACGAAAAAGAGAGAAAGAGGGAGAGGGAGAGGAAGAGAGAGAGACAGAGAGAGAGAGAGAGCATCTGTGTGCATCAGAGACAAGTGGGACAGGTGAGACAGGAAAGACATGTTAGACAGGTGAGATAGGTGAGACAGGTGAGACAGGTGAGACAGGTGGGACAGGTGAGACGGGTGAGACAGGTTAGACATGGAGACAGATGAGAAAGTGAGACAGGCGAGACACTGAGACAAATGAGACAGGTGAGACAGTAAACAGGTGAGATAGGCGAGACACTGAGACATGTGAGACACTGAGATAGGTGGGACAGTTGAGACGGGTGAGACAGGTTGGACACTGAGAAGGATGAAACAGTGAGACAGGTTGGACACCAAGACTGATCAGACTGTGAGACAGGTGAGACAGTAAACAGGTGAGATAGGCGAGACACTGAGACATGTGAGACACTGAGATAGGTGAGACGGGTGAGACTCTGAGACAGATGGGACAGTGAGACAGGTGAGACAGCGGAGACAGTGAGACAAGTGAGACAGGTGAGGCAGGTAAGACACTGAGACAGGTGAGACACTGAGACAGGTTAGACAGTTAACAGGTCAGACAGGTGAGAAAGTAAAACAGGTGAGACTGAGACAGGTGAGATACTGAGATGGGTCAGACAGATAAGACAGGTGGGGCTCTGAGACAAGTGAGACAGTGAAACAGGTGAGACAGGTTAGACAGGTGAGACAATGAGACAGGTGGGACAGGTAAGACACTGAAACAGGTGAGACATGTTAGGGGTTACCAGAGCGTGGGAGGTGATGACGGTGGGTGTGAGCGTGTTGGTGGCTGATCCAGGAGCCAATAAACTGTTGACGGCTGCGTTCACCTGCAAATGGGAAACAGCAGATGAGAATCTCAGATTAGAGTCAGGGCTGTGGGTTCAAATCCAGAGTATTATATTAGAAATAAACTGAACAGAATCAAAGAAAAATCAATAAGGGAGATAATCAATCAAACTCTTCAGGTTGAGTTTGAGGACTTTAATTAAAAACTGAATTTTCTATTTTCTGTCTTAGATCTACAACATCAGCTGCTCCTCATTATTTCTCATCTCGTATTTTGGCGCTCACTGCAGCTAAACATCACTTTTTAACCCGTGTGTGATCGTTGTTCTATGGGGTCTGAATTTTGGACTCAAAGCCCGGCGTAGAGCTGCAACCAAGTCCTAAAAGGTGCAGTCATGACCTTCTATGAGGAGGTCAAGGTGAAACCACAGACCTTATCCAAGGAGAGACCAGGGGGGAGGGAAGGGGAGGAGGGCAGCTCCAGGCCTCGTGGCTTCTTTGGTTTTGGAGGAGCGGCTTCCGAAGAGGAGGAGGATGAGGAGGGGGAGGAGGAGACGGCAGGAGTCACGGCTGTGGTGGAAGAGGATGAGGTCACAGGAGGGACGGAGGAATCTTAGAGAGAGAGAGAGAGAGAGAGAGAGAGAGAGAGAGAGAACGTGAGATAGAGGCACATGGCAGACCGGCCCAGTCCTGTAAGAACCTCAGGGCGACAAGAACACTCAAACATAGGACAGAGGGGGTCCAGGGTCCTCATTTATAAAACAGTGCATAGGAACAATCACTACAGGTGGCGTACGCCAGAAACACAGGAACTGTGTGCACACAAACATTTCACATTCATAACAGAGTGCACACGCACATCCTACAGCTGTTTCCGTTTATAAATCACAATCAACTCTAAAGTTGTGGCAGGTGAGAGAACGCTTTACTCTGCCCATATTGTGCCCATAAAAGGGCAGGTGAACACCCTGTGTGAAAAAAGGGGGTCTAAAAACAAGATAAAAACACTAAATATGAGGGAAAAGATACTAAAAACAAGTGAAATGTCCATGCAGCAAGATCATTTCACTTGACAAGATTTCTTGAATTCAGATTGTTCAGGACAAAAAATCTCAAAAAGGACAAAAATGTATAGTAAGTATACGTATAAAATGCTGATATTAAGATGAGATAACTTGAAAAGTAACCTTTTTACAGCCTCAAAATAAGTGAACTATACTAAATGTAAGCAATGACATATTTTGTTTTCTTACTTTTATCAAATTAAGCTGAAGATTAGTTGGACCAATAATAGAAATGTGGAGAAAAAATACCCAGTATTAGCAAAGAATGACTAAACTCTGTTTTGAACATTTTTTTCGTTTGAAGATTTCCTGCCTATTTGAGACAAAAAAAGTTAAGGTCACATTTGATATAAGATTAAAGTGTAAAATTAGACTTCAAATAAGAAATTAAGTCTGAAAACAAGAGAAATTATCCAACACTTCGAAATCTAAGTTTGTTTTGTCCTGGTAAGAACCAAATCATTTGCAGTGTGTGTGTGTGTGTTTGCTCATGCACTCCCTGGGGCATCAATATACATTTTTCCTCCTTCTTCATTTTTGTAAATTTATTCTTAATGTGTGATATGTGTAAATGTGTAATATTCGATTATTTCACACAAATGTATTAATTTCGCTGTCTTTTAATTTCCTCTTTCTACTGTTGGGGTCACAGTTTCTTGTTTCTCCAGATTTTGTGTGTACGGCAGGGTCAGGGCTGCCGTGGAGGTGCGCGCATTCTCCCGTCAAGTTTGTTTTTATAAATCACAAACATCGCTGTTAGTGATACCTGCTTGTGTGTCCTTCCTTGGCTCCTCTGCTCCTCCGTCCTCTGCTGGCTGCTGACCTCTGACCCCGGGCTCCATGCAGGAAGGGGCCTGACTCTCCACGATGGTGAGGGGGGTCTCTGGTTCTCCTGGGTCGCAGATTAGCTGAGGCATCTGTAGAGAGGAGCAGAAGAGTCACGTCTCTGCAGGATCAGGAGTGAACGTGCTGTTAGACCTCCTCCTCCTCTCACCTCCTCCACCTGCTTCTCCTCCAGAGAGACCATCTCCAGCAGCTCCTCCTCCAACGGCAGGTTCTCTTCCTTGATGACGATGGGGGAAGGAGCAGCTGCAGATGGAGGAACAGCCGTCATGGCCGCCTGCTGCTGCTGCTGCTGCTGCTGCTGCTGAGGAGGAGGAAGGGGGGGAGGGGGGTTGATGATGAAGAGGACCGATGGGGGGTGACTCGGGTGAGGAGCAGGGTGACTCGGGTGAGGGTGAGGAGGGAAGCTGGCCGGGTTGGTTCCTGCCCCGCCGTCATCCTGCTGTGGCCCCTGGGGGCCCAAAGAGACATGAGGAGGGGGGAGAGGACTCATGGAGCCTCCAACAGGACCGAGGGGGATGAGAGGGGCCAGGGAGGATGGGTCCCCAACACTGGTCAGGTAGATCTGAGGAGGGTCACTCAGAGGAGGAACAGGAGGATTCTGGGGAAAAAAACACAGCGAGAGAGAAAGGTTCAGACCAGAGTCCGGCTCCGAAAGTGGTTCTGTTCTGATCTAGGTTCTGGTTTTAGACTGAGGTTCCCTGACGTTTTAGCTCTGACCTGTGATTGGCTGCTTATGTTGGCGGGTATCTGCGGGCTGACCGCCGGGGTCGGGCACGGGGACGGCTGAGTGACGATCACCTGGAGGGCAGAGTCAACAGCGCCTAAAACTGACGGAGGACACTTGGCCTCTGATAACACCACCACCTGAGGAGGAGCAGGAGGAGGTGAGGAAGGAAACAAAAAAGGAGGTGAGGAAGGAAGGAAAAAAGGAGGTGAGAAAGAAAACAAAAAAGCAGGTGAGGAAGGAAACAAGAGGAGTTAGAGAAGGATGCAAAAATAGAGGTGAGTAAAGAAACAAAAAGGAAAAGAGGAAGGAAGCAAAAAAGGAGGTAAGGAAGGAAACAAAAGGAGGTGAGGAAGAAAGCAAGAAAGAAGGTGAGGGAGGAAAACAAAAAAGGGGTGAGGTAGTAAACAAAAAAAGAGGTGAGGGAGAAAACAAAATGAGTTAAGGAAAGAAGCAAAAAAGGAGGTGAGGAAAGAAACAAAAAGGAGGTGAGGAAGGAAACAAAAAGGAGGTGAGGAAGGAAGGAAAAAAGGAGGTGAGGGAGGAAAACAAAAAGAAGGTAAGAAAGGAAGCAAAAAAGGAGGTAAGGACAGAAACAAAAGGAGGTGAGGAAGAAAGCAAGAAAGAAGGTGAGGGAGGAAAAAAAGGGGTTGAGGGAGGAAACAAAATTAGGTAAGGAAAGAAGCAAAAAAGGAGGTAAGGAAGGTAACAAAAAAGGAGGTGAGGATAGAAACAAAAAGGAGGTAAAGGAAGGTAGCCAAAAGGAGGTAAAGGAAGGAAGAAAAAGGAGGAAAGGATAGAAACAAAAGGGAGGTAATGGAGGAAACAGAAAGGAGGTGAGGAAGGAAACAAAAAGAAGGTGAGGAAGGAGGGAAAAAAGGAGGTAAGGAAGGAAGGACAAAGGAGGTAGGGAAGAAAGTAACAAGGAGGTGGAAAGGGAAGCAAAAAGGAGGTGAGGGAAGGAAGCAAAAAGGAGGAGAGGGAAAAAAGAAAAGTGGAGAGAAGGAAGCAAAAAGGAGGTAAAAGAAGGAAGCAAATAGGAGGTAAATAAAGGAAACAAAGAAGGAGGTAAAGGAGGCAAAAAGGAGGTAAATAAAGGAGGTGAGGGAAGGAAACAAAAAGGAGGTAAAGGAAGGAAGAAAAAGGAGGCAAAGGAAGGAAACAAAAATGAGGTGAGGGAAGGAAACAAAAAAAGAAGGTTAGGTAAGGAATCATGAAGGAGGTTAGGGAGGGAATCAAAATGGGGGTAAGGGAAGGAAACACAAAGGAGTTGGGGAAGGACTAAAAAGGAGGTATGGGAAGGAGGCGTTGATGTCATGGGTTATTGGTGTAGAGCTCCACCTGCTGGTGTGTCTCCTCCCTGTACACTCACCTCTCTTGGCGTGCGGTCCACCTTGGGGGCGGGCTCTGGTTGTATCAGCAGCTCTGACTTGATTGGCCGTGGGTTGGGTGAGGCCTGCAGTGATTGGATGGTGAAGGTGGAGTAGAGGCCGGACTTCATGTAGTCGTTCCGGGAGCTTTTCTGTGAGCCACTTGGCGAGGAGCGCTGTGGATAAATCCAGAACATTGATATCAGTCAGAGCATGTTAGCGTCAGAGAGTGTGTTAGCATCAGAGAGCGAGCAAACATCTATGAAGGACACACCAGGAGGTCACCTCGTACCTGAGGTAAGCCCTTTGATTGACAGTTGGATGCAGTGCCCCCAAGTGCTTTTGATTGGCTGTTTGGGTCAGTGTTGTCCCTCCTCTGGTTCTCGTCTCCATTGCGGACCCCCTCAGGCAGGGTCGGGTCCGGCTGACTCACAAACTTGTAGACAAACTTCTGACCGCTCACCTTTTTGATGATGTTCTGAGAGAAGAACTAAATTTACACTGAAGGTCGGGAGAAACAATTTACAAAAATTCTTCACAAGATCACGTTAAAACTCAACAGCAGCGTGAAAAAGAAAAAACAAATCTCTCAAACCTCTCTAAGAACTTCTGATCTGTTTCGTTGTTCCCTTAGAAGAACTTTTGACCTGTTTGGTTGTTCCTCTAAAAGAACTTTGGACCCGTTTGGTTGTTCCCTTTGAAAAACTTTGGACCTTGTAAAAGATTATGTTGACGCTGATGCTGGCTCATTGAGCATCCTATACTAAGTGAACATTCAAACACAGGATCCAGGATTCAGTTAGACGGTTTATTTTGCTTGTCTTCAGTGGATGATTTTTTCTGCTCAGACAATCAAAGAAATAGAAACAAGATGTATCAACATAAAATATTTCAATAAAGGATGACTTATAAAGTGAAATGAATTTGTAAATTGGTTAACTAAGCTTACATCAAAAATGCATCCACTTCAGGGCTTGAAATCATCATTACATTTGCGTTTAGTTTGACAGGAATCTAATGAAATAATATTTGAGAATAAATCATATTAGAAATAATGATAACGAGTGGGAATGCGTGTGTCATACGCTGAATGCGTGAGACTTGAGAGCCCTGTGCTCACGCATCATCGATGTACTCCCGAGCCATGCAAAACGGTCTTTGCAAATGTTGCACTGAACGCCTTCCTTTTCAGTCTTGGTGAAGTTTTCCCACACCACTGATGTTTTAGGTCGGGATTTGGGTTGGGTTGTGTCCATGTTTTTCTCAGCCGCTGCCTTGGCCATGGCTGTTTCTTTTCTGTGCGTCCTGCTGATGTTTACACGCCGGTGTCCATGGACATATATAAAGACCCGACGAATCGATTACAGAATTTGTTGGCAACGGATTTTTTCGTCACGACGAATCTACTTAATTGATTCGTTGTTGCAGCCTTAATAGTTTATTTAATGTTACAAGAGCATTATAATCTTTGAATTTAGAATTACAAAAAAAAATAAAATAATAAAATGCAATTAAGTATTTGTTATTTAAACAAGAGCCGCGGGTTGCCGACCCCTGCTCTTGAATAACTTTTGACCTGTTTGGTTGTTAATCTAGAAGAACTGTTGACCTTTTGGTTGTTCCTCTAAGAACTTTTGAGTCATTTGATTGTTCCTCTATCAGAACCTTTGACCTGTTTGGTTGATCCTCTATCACAACTTTTGACCTGTTTGATTGTTCCTAAAGAAGAACTATTGACCTGTTTTGTCTTTCCTCTAAGAATGTTTGACCCATTTGGTTGTTCCTCTATCAGAACATTTGACCTGTTTTGTTGTTCTTCTAAGAACTTTTGACCTGTTTGGTTGTTCCTCTGTCAGAAACTTTGACCTGTTTGGTTGTTACTTGAGAAGAACATCTGACCTGTTTGGTTGTTCCTAATAAGTTTTGACCTGTTTGGCTGCTCCTCTACCAGAACATTTGACCTGTTCGGTTGTTTCTCTATCAGAATCTTTGACCTGTTTGGTTGTTCCTCTAGAAGAACCTTTGACCTCTTTTTTTGTTCCTCTATCAAAACCTTTGACCCATTTGGTTGTTCCTCTGTCAGAACATTTGACTCGTTTGGTTGTTCCTCTGTCAGAACTTATGAACTGTTTGGTTGTTCCTCTGTCAGAACTTATGAACTGTTTGGTTGTTCCCTTAGAAGAATTTTTGACCTGTTTGGTTGTTCCACTAAGAACGTTTGACTCATTTGATTGTTCCTCTATCAGAACTTTTGACCTGTTTGGTTGTTACTTGAGAAGAACATCTGACCTGTTTGGTTGTTCCTAATAAGTTTTGACCTGTTTGGCTGCTCCTCTACCAGAACATTTGACCTGTTCGGTTGTTTCTCTATCAGAATCTTTGACCTGTTTGGTTGTTCCTCTAGAAGAACCTTTGACCTCTTTTTTTGTTCCTCTATCAAAACCTTTTGACCTGTTTGGTTGTTTATCTGTCAGAACATTTGACTCGTTTGGTTGTTCCTCTGTCAGAACTTATGAACTGTTTGGTTGTTCCCTTAGAAGAATTTTTGACCTGTTTGGTTGTTTCACTAAGAACGTTTGACTCATTTGGTTGTTCCTCTATCAGAACTTTTGACCTGTTTGGTTTTTCCTCTAAGAACTTTTGACTCATTTGGTTGTTCCTACAGAAGAACTTTTGACCTGTTTGGTTGTTCCTCTATCATTACTTTTGACTCGTTTGGTTGTTACTTGAGAAAAATATATTTAACCTGTTTGGTTGTTCCTCTAGAAGAACATTTGACCTGCTGGGTTGTTTATCTGTCAGAACATTTGACTCGTTTGGTTGTTCCTAAAGAAGAACTTTTGACCTGTTTGGTTGTTCCTAAAGAAGAACTTTTGACCTGTTTGGTTGTTCCTCTATCATTACTTTTGACTCGTTTGGTTGTTACTTGAGAAAAATATATCTAACCTGTTTGGTTGTTCCTCTAGAAGAACTTTTGACCTGTTTGGTTGTTTATCTGTCAGAACATTTGACTCGTTTGGTTGTTCCTAAAGAAGAACTTTTGACCTGTTTGGTCGTTCCTCTAGAAGAACTCTTGACCTGTTTGGTCGTTCCTCTAGAAGAACTCTTGACCTGTTTGGTTGTTCCTCTAAGAAATTTTGACCTGTTTGGTTGTTCCCGTAGAAGAACTTTTGACCTGTTTTGTTGTTCTTCTAAGAACTCTGGACCTGTTTGGTTGTTCCTCTGTCAGAACATTTGACTGTTTGGTTGTTACTTGTGAAGAACATTTGACCTGTTTGATTGTTTTTCTGTCAGAACATTTGATTAGTTTGGTTGATGCTTGAGAAGAACTTTTGACCTGTTTGGTTGTTCCTCTATCAGAACTTTGACTCATTTAGTAATTCCTCTATCAGAACTTTTGACCTGTTTTGTTGTTCCTCTAGAAAATGTTTAACCTGTTTGGTTGTTCCTCTGTCAGAACATTTGACTCGTTTGGTTGTTCTTCTGTCAGAAAATTTGCCTCGTTTGGTTGTTCCCTTAGAAGAACTTTTGACCTGTATGGTTGTTCCTCTAAGAACGTTTGACCTGTTTTGTTGTTCCTCTATCAGAACTTTTGACCTGTTTGGTTGTTTCTCTGTCAGAACATTAGACTCGTTTGGTTGTTCCTTGAGAAGAACATTTGACCTGTTTGGTTGTTCCTCTTAGAACTTTTGACTCATTTGGTTGTTCCTCTATCAGAACTTTTGACCTGTTTTGTTGTTCCTCTGTCAGAACATTTGACTCGTTTGGTTGTTCCTTTATCAGAACCTTTGACCTGTTTGGTTGTTCCTCTAAGAACTTTGTAGAACCATGTTGATATCATAACGTAAATTGAGCAGATATTTTCAGTTTCTCAGTTGATCTGTCTTTGTCTCATCAGTACTATGAAGCATTCTTCTTATAACCTCTATCTAACCAGGTTTATGTAGTACTGTGTGTAGTACCTTGTCATAGTAGTATCGGAGCGCTCGGCTCAGTTTGTCATAGTTCATGTTGTGTTTGTTCTTGCGTAGTCCCCACAGTCGAGCCACCTCCTCGGCGTCTAGCAGCTTGAACTCCCCATCCTCACCTGTCCAGGCGATCAGGTGACGCTGACGCTGGTCCTCCAGCAGGTGGAGCAGGAACTGCCACAGCGTGATGGACGGGTCCATAGCTGTGGGGAGGGGTGTAGGGGGGACAAAATCAGTCACTCAGATAGAAGAGGGGAGCGTCATAGGAAATCATTAAATACAGGCGCATCTACAACCGGTAACTAATGCTCTCCTCCTCCTTCTCCTCATCATTTCTCCTCTCCACTCTCCTTTCCTCCCCTTGCTCCTCTCCTCACCTCACCAGCCCCAGCTCACTCCTCTCCTTCTCTCCTACCCTCTTCTTTCCTTTCCTCCCCTCGCTCCTCTCCTCCTTTCTCCCCCTCTCCCTGCTCTCCTCCCTTCTCTCCTCCTCCTTTCTCCTCCTCTCCCTGCTCTCCTCCCCTCTCTTCTCCTTTCCCTGCTCTCCTCTCTCCTCCTCCGACTCTCTCCTCTTTAAGTTACAGGTATCTAAATTCTGAAATTTGACTTCTGGTCAAACAGACATTTGAAGTTTTTTATTCTTTATCTCAAATAAAAAGTTTCACATTTTAATCTGATGTTAAAAACTTCTGCCGACGCTGTTCCTCATTTTCTGTCGTCTGTGTCGTCACTCTCGTCTCCAAAATAAGAGCAACCCTGTAAAAATGATTATTTTGTTGTGTGTCGTCCTCCCAACCATTAAACTGAGAGTTCACCCACAGTTATGGAGGTGACTCTCTCTCTTTCTCCCGCTCTCTCTCTCTCACACACTTGCTCGCTCTGAGAAGGTCAGAGTAAAGTGATCACTGGCTGGATGGAGATGAACCTCATTACCATTGGCTGACCTGTTACACAACTAACCTATCAAAAACCTTGGAAACCATCGCCATGGTGAGAGACCTTTCATCAATGGTAACCAAGGGAGAGCGAGGTGTAAGAGAGAGAGAGAGAGAGAGAGAGAGAGAGAGAGAGAGAGAGAGAGAGAGAGAGAGAGAGAGAGAGAGAGAGAGAGAGAGAGAGAGAGAGAGAGAGAGAGAGGGTGGCAGCAGTCTGAGCTGCTGCCCTGCAAAAGAGCACTCCAGCAGAGGGACTGAGGAGGATCCCGGAGTGCGCTGATGTTTCTAATCGGGGTTCAAAGACTTTACCCCCCAATTTCCACCGAATCCTGAACTGCTAGGAAAAGGCCGTATCCTTCGATCGCAGCTGATCGTAATCATTCAAGTTAACGTGTCAATTTCCACCGACTTCTTTCCGTTGCTCTGAAGACCGCCGGGCTCCACAGCTGATCTCAAAAATTCTATTTTTTCCGGACACAGATTAACCCGTGCTGGAAAGGAGTCGGGCATAGACACAAAATAAAACATCAGACTTCTTTTCAAAATAAAACACTCTGTGTTTAAAGTGAAAGGTTTTTAGACGTCATTTCACCTCGATGACACCATGAATGAGGAGATGTTGATTCTAGAAGTCTAGAAGTAGATTTCCTCCTCTGGAAGGACACAATCTAATGTTTATGTCTATGTGGCTGTCTTTATAGAGGCTGTGTCCCATTTTAGAGACCGCATCGGTGTCCCATTTGGCACGAAATGCTAAGAAATGCTAAGCGCGCTTAGCATTTTGCAAGCCGTCGGTATCCCAGAATTCTTTGCGTGCTGCTGCACAGCTGCACATTTCAGGTGAGAGGCTGGACTCGCTTGGAGACGCAGCGTGTCTTCAAAGAAAATACAAGAAATCCCAAAACAGCAGACAGTCAGCTCAGGCTGTACGAGCACATGATCTCTGAACTCACTAAAATCTGCAAACCAAACATTATAGATTTAGAGACGAACTGATCCGCTCTGCTTCAACTATAAAAAACATTAGAAATAAGAAAGCTGAAAAAACTACAGCAGAGGATCAGGACAACATTGAGTTTTTTCTTTTTTTCAAGATTTACAGATTAAAGTTGTAAATTTAAGAGAATAAAGTCATAAAGTAAATAAAGTCATAAAGCTGCTTTTGTGGAGGGGGAAATGACTGAAGCTGGTCATCTGCAGGGTTATCGGTGGATGCATCAGCGGGTCATTCAGAGAGATTTTGTGGTTTCTGAAGAAATAATCAAACTGATGATCAACATTTGTGATCCAGAGGGAGTCGAGCTCCGACGAGCAGCATGTCTCTGACACCGGCGGTAGCCTACACCTGCAGAGACACCAACACCTTATTATGGCATATGGATTCATATCATAAATTAAAGCCCAATGTCATTCACGGATATTTACGGCTGCATAAACGGATATATCCTCAGCATATTCATTTCTGCCTCCACAAAAGCAGCGATTTTCTTCAAGTACACCTGTTTTAAGTCTTTATACTTATGACAATGTGATGATGATGTGCCAGAGGATGCAGTATCTCCTTGTTTGTGAAACCTATACTAAAGCACAGTTCCTTTAAATGCTTCATGGCCCTAATTTTAACAAGTCTCCTCTGAAATAACAGGGAACCTTATGACTTTATTCTCATAAATTAATGACTTTATTCGCGTAAATTCACGACTTAAATGTCAAAGTCTTTAAAAAAAATTCTCAATACGGTCCTCATACTCCTTCATACAAAACAATCATTGGATGAATTGTGCTTGTATGTATCTACTATTTTGTGTCTGTACAAGGTCGCACAATTAAAACAATAAATGCTGCGCTCCGCGGGTTTTCTTTAAGTCAGTCGTGACGTGAGCCTGAGGGCGGGGACATTTGGCGACTCAACCAGGAAGTCCTCTGAAGGTCGCCAAATGTCCCCGCCCTCAGGCTCACGTCACGACTGACAAAAGAATATATGAGAAATACGTCTTTTCTACAGGGAAAAAAACAGGTGGACTTGGAGGAAATCGCTGCTTTTGTGGAGGCAGAAATGAATATGCTGAGGATATATCCATTTATGCAGCCGTAAATATCCGTGAATGACATTGAGCTTTAATATATGATATGAATCCATATGCCATAATAAGGTGTTGGTGTCTCTGCAGGTGTAGGTTACCGCCGGTGTCAGAGACGTGGTGCTTGTCTGAGCTCGACTCCCTCTGGATCACAAATATTGATCATCAGTTTGATTGTTTCTTCAGAAGCCACAAAATCTCTCTGAAAGAATTCTGGGATACCAACGGCACGAAAGCGTGCGTAAATGCACGCTTGAAAAAGGGGTTTGGGGGAGTGTGGTTTGAGACCGAATTTGAAACGCGCTAAGCATTTTGTGCCAAATGGGACACCATTTGTGCCGCGTGATGACCTCACGGATGCTTCAAATGCGCCGTTCGACGGTTGCGGTCTCTGAAATGGGACACAGGAAGGGTACTTAACGGCACATAATGGCAGTGCGCTCAGCTAAGCGCGCTTATCCCGATGCGGTCTCTGAAATAAGACACAGCCAGAGACAACTCGTTTTTGCGCAATTGTATGTGAATCCGCGGATTCTTGTGAGTTCTCGCGATGCCCGCTGTCCAAAATCCACCACAAAATTCGCCTCACAAACAGATCTTGTAGGAATTGGCGTATGGTGAAAATCACCGCCATTTCAGGTGTGGTGGAAATTTGGGGTAAGATGATAAAGAATATCCTTAAGAAATGTGAGAACGGTTTCAGTCCTCATATACAAACCCGGCTCAGTCCCAGATCACAGGTTTGGGTTTTTGCCAAGAACAGGTACAATTCCTGGAAATGTTCGTGACGTGGTGCCCAAGAACTTGGAGCGGCCGAACTTTGACCCTTCAGGATTCTGTTGGAGTCTGAGAAAACCATCTGATGGAGATACTGGGTTTTTCTGCAGACCCAGAATCTTTAGGACAGCTTAGACCAGTTCTGGGACTCTGATGGTGGAGTGTGTGTTTTCATTAGTCGGGTACAAGTGGAGCTGCAGCTGCAGTGAGTCAGTGAGGGGGGGGGGGGGGTGTCTGTGGGCTCGGGAAGCGTGTTGGGTTTTGTTTGTTTTATGATTTGGTGCCATCACTTCCCTTTTGTTCCTGGACACATCGGACTCCTCCTCCTCTGTTCTTATTGAATGCTGTGGCAGAGAGCCTGTCAGTGTGTGTGTGTGTGTGTGTGTGTGTGTGGGCACACTGAGCAGTAAATGACAGTGTTGGACCGATTTCAAGGCCTGAATGGAGCCGTCGTTTTTCTGCTCTAAACTTGGTCAGGATGTTGGAACGGTTTATCGTCCTTCACATCGTCGTCGTTGTCTCGATGTTTGAGTCTCTTAAAGGTGGGATGGTCAGGATCTGAGGAAGTTCCAGTTTATGGGAGAAATCTTGCCAACCAGTTTTCCCCTCAACTCCTCCTCTCCCCTCCCTCTCTGCTCCAGCAATCCCCACCCAAGGACGCTCCTGCTCGCTTGTATCGTTCCAATTAAATTCAGATATAATGCAGATAAATACAAATGGGGCCCAGTCAAGGTGAAGGTAAAAAGCATTGGTGCTACTGTAGATGCCAACAGACTACCAGCAAACACAATGTTTGCAGGACTTCTACAACTAGGATAAAGTGACATAGTCCAGGACCCGAGGTCAACAGTTTAGCGGCGCTACGACACACTACAGCAGGTCCCGTTTGACGAGAAACACTTCTGTTACAGACACTTGGCTTACTATGTTAAAGTGGTTTACCTGTCCAGCAGAAAGGGTTACCGAGTCACGAAGATCCAGAGGTGTCCCCCATCGTTTATGTTGACCCAGCTTTTTAGCTCTTGTCCGGTCTACCTCCTTTTTAAGCGCCGTTATTTCGCCAAAATCTCTGGTATTTACTTCGTTTTCATGCTTGTGTTGGCAGTTGTGGCCAAAGGAGGATTCAGACAACTTTCCAAACTTTCTGGTTGGTTTCTACTGTCCAATATTGTAGCACTCTAACTTTGTTTGGGCTCATGAACGTTATTGGAGGATGGGCAGCGTGCCTCGGAACAAGAGGGAGCAGTGTCTGCTCAAAAAATGTTAAAATGTTGACTACATGGACATAAGAGAACACAGCGATATCGTTATATTCCTACATTTCATCAATAACTAATAACTATTGACTGATACTAAAAGATTTTTTGTAAATACACCACAAAAAAAGATGCTTCTTTAACAGAATCCTGCCTACCACACCTTAAATTCCGCTATACTTCAACTTATCTTTGTTGGTGATTCTTCTGTTTATGCTAACACAAGGACAGACAGAATGATAATGACGGGGATCGAGTCTGCAGGACTGACAGCTGGTCTTTGTGGGCTCAGCAGTGATGGTGGAGAGGCCTCAGGGCAGATCAGAGGAGACCTGAACCTGATCTCTGCAGGTCTGACACACACGAGGACTGACAACACGCTCATCTCAGTCCGTCCCACAAAAGGCCGACTCTGTAGATGTTTACATGTTTGAGCTCCTCTCTGCTCTTCATCCCAGGCTGACTCACTTTAGGCTGGGGTCAGACCCATAGCTACAGACTGGAACCAAACACTGAGGAAACACAGCAGACTCTGATTCATTCAAATCAAAGCTTTGGGATTCCCGCTCTAACCTGAGACAAGGAGACATATCCAGATGAGACCCAGTTTCTTATCCATGCCCTCCACTAAGTTTTCCTCTGGTGGGTTTTCACTCTGACCTGTTTCAGGACTACAGGGAGCTCAGAGCCGACAGTCTGAATCAGGGTGTGTTCAGTTCAAAGAGCAGGAACACAAAACTGCAGCAGGAAGAGGCGGAGCCACAGGTCTGAACACCTGTCTTCCCATCAGGTGACGAATACCAGGTCACCACAAAACCTGAACCAATTTCTAAACTTTGAACTGTCCTCCTCCAGCCTGAGTGTTTCAGCAGATGAACTCCAGGCAGACCACTTCCTGTTACCTTGTGGTTTCTGTGCTTCCAGTTAGTCAATTTGGAGGAAGGGTGGGCGATAAAACAATAATATCAAAAATTAATTTCCCTCAATATCAATATAAAACATGGTCAATATCCTTTTCGATAGTCGTCATTCTGCCATGTTTTGGTAGACTATATGAATAGCGAATGAAAAGGGGAGTTGCTCCGGCTCCGCTTCACACTGAACCGATCATGTGCTAAATTAGAACTAAGTATCAAACAACTGCGTCGTAGCAGACAGCAGCTACACACAACCGGTGAACCCGACAGCACTGTTGGTGAGAAAAAAAGAAAATGAGTGCTAACCCCGACAGAAATGTCGAAGGCTCAACAGATGATGACACTGTCAACAACACTGGCACGAAAACGTCAGTGATGTGGAGGTATTTTGGTTTTTTGAGGTCGGACATGAAGCAAGAGTAATGTGCACCACAAATTACGTTGAGTAGATGTTGTTACAAAGTCGGGGAATACCTCAAATCTTTTTCACCACCTGAAGCAGCGTCACACTGCAGAGAACGTGCAACGCAAAAGGTTACAAACCCTGAGAGGAGGAAGGAGCCCATGGCACTTGTGCAGCCGAAACAGCCGACCATTTATTCTGCTTTCTCCAGGGCAATGCCTTATGACAAAACGCCGAAGAGACACAAAGACCTCACAGATGCATTGGCTTATTGTATTGCAAAAGACAAGCTACCAACAAACACTGTTAAATTTCATTTTTTATGTCATGACATATATTGATATCGACTGATATGAAAAAAATATATCATGATAAACTTTTTCCCATATCGCCCAGCCCTAATTTGGATCTCAACAGCCTTCAGAATACACACACACACACACACACACACACACACACACACACACACACACACACACACACACACACACACACAGAGTCCTGGGACTCTTGGGTCCTTCCTGTGTTTCTTCAGTCTGTGACTCAGATCAGAAACATGTCACATCTCACAAACACTGTTTGACACTCGCATCATGAGTGCGTCAGTGTTGCTATGACAACGTGCAAGTACCAAATCACTGCATTCAACCCGTCTACACACTCACAGTCAGTGTGAATGAGGCCGAGCGTTTTAATGAATCAGTAAGTATCTCTGTGATACTGACCACCTTCTCACCTGACCATCATGGTTCTCCGACAACAACACACCTGAACCTGACTGCATGAAACTTCGATTCGGAGTGTTCCCCTCCAGGTCCGCAGTAAAGGTCCTGGTGAAGCGGTAGAGATAGTGTTGCTGCTCCTTCACATCACAGGGGTCAGCGGAGGTGGATCAGTTAAAGGTCTCCTGGACTAGAACTCTCTGGAGAGATGATATATCCCATCCAGCCTAAAGCTGCTGAGGGATGTGGAGGGTCCTCTAAGGTGTCCTGTCTGTCATTGGTATCCAAGAGTTCACCTCTCCTGCAGCACATCTGCCTCAACACTCACTGTGTGCTGTTTGTTTCAGTTAGAGATATAGCACTGACCTTTTACTTCAGCCAGCTTAATCGGACTAAGCTCATAATTTGTTTTTTACTCTGAATCGGACTTCTCTCCTTGTCCTTGTATACATGCAGCTGAGAAAATTGTCCTCCTCCCCAAAACTAGGGGGCAATATGGGTCTTATCAGCTGCGCTGTTTCCGACCCCATACAACCGTCAACAACAACAGCAGGTCTGTGCCAGACATCAGAAGTGTCTACAACTGCTGCTGGGCATTTCGGAGCAAGAAGATGGAGCATCGTACAGCGTTGATTTTGTCCTACATAATGGACACACTACTTTGTCTGCAGATAAGACGCATGTTACTCTTCCTCTCTGGTGTTTTTGTCCCGCGGTTACGGGGGCATGGTGCACACGCACGTGCATTATCTGATCATACTCAGACAACACTGGTTACATGTTAGAGAAAATTGGATTTCAATCACATTATCTGGGTGTCTTAATTAGAGTTCTCCGATTATATTTGGACTAAGGTGTTTACATGCACTTCAGTTGTCTGGTCTTAGTCTAAATAAGGTGATAATTCGGTTTTCTCGATTGTCAGGTAAATGTACTGATTGAGTTTGGAGCTAATTCACGTCTGGAAGGTTTAGCTAAGCCCTCTGAGACAATCTCCGTCCTCTAAAATAAAACCCAACACTGAACCAGACCCAAAAAAGGTTCCTCATCCAAAAGAAAAAACAAAACAAAAAAACACATGAACTGCAGACGGAGAAAATCACAGCAAACAGATAAACATCACAGTCAGAACTTTTCCTGAGGAGCACGAGATACTACATCTTCAGCTCTGAGATATTTACAACCTGCAGACACTCACTCAAAGTTACCCTCTGAGAGGACGCAAGTTTCTACATGCTGAAAGAGAGGGAGTAAATCACATCAAAGACTCCATGCAGCACACGAACATACCTGCTTTATCATCCCACCTGAACACACACACACACTCTCTGTGAGCTGCAGGCTGCTGCAGGCCTCAGCAGCTTTCACACACCTGTTGCAGTGCTGCCTCTCTCCAACACACACACAGACACACACAGAGCTGCAGAATGTAAACACAGCATGAATCTGCAGCAGCTCTCACCGTTGATCAGCGGGTTTGAGTCCATCTTCAGGTTCCTGTTGTTGTGTTCTTGTGTCTGTGCTCTCACTGTCTCTCTGCGGGCTCACACCTCATCCATGCTGCTGTGCTGATATTCTGTCTACGTGTCTGTGTGTGTGTGTGTGTCCGTCCTGGTGTCAGTGAGAGTCTGAGGGCTTGGTCGGAGCAGGTTACAGCTGTCAGAGTCCGGCTGAAGAGGATGAGGAGGAGACATTCAAAAGCAGCTTCTCCTGCGACCTGCTGGTGTTATGTAACCGCTTCGAGCTGCTGCTGCTGCCAGGCTGCTGTAGCTCCATGCTAACACCCTTCACAGCACGGGGATTCAAAGAGGGTTTAACACAGTCCGGAAATCACACTGAGAAAAAACCAACAAGTCCATCAATTATCTCCCCCAAAAAAACAACAACAACAACAATAAACTCGCGCTTCCACAGCCGCGCATAACTCGGTGCTAATTCCTGCGCTAACGCTGATTAATTCCTTATTTTTCCACGTTCACCTCAAAGTTAAGATCTTGTTTAGTGCAGAAAGTGTCTTGATGTGTTTTTCATCTGTTATCCTCTCGCTATCAGAGGCTGTTTTGTTGTTAGCAAGGAGCTAACTACCGCTGCTAACGACAACACGCTGGACCCTCCGTACGCGGCAGAACCGCGCCGCTGCTTATTGACGTCTTGTTGAGTCTTCAAATCTAAAAAAATCTCTCTTTAAGTTTAAATTATTCAATAATAATAAAAAATAAGTCACATTTTACTCTCAATATGAGAGTGTGAAAGAGAAAAGCTGTCAAAAGTGGCACCGCACGCCAGGTTCGCGTTGCTTGGTATCGAAGCGAAGAAACTGCGTGCAATACGCAATAAGTGAAAGCGAACTTTGACGCGCGTCAGTTCGCTTACAAACAGTCAGGTCCAACCCGTCGCCGAGAACGCTAACGCGTCTCTTTGGCGGTTGGGTATTTCTAAGTTTTCGAGAGGTTCAAGTGAAGCAGTTTAACAGTCACACAGCTGCTGGTTGTAATCTCTCACAAAGTTTATCCGAGTTTTCTCCCACAGCCTGGAGATGTTAGCTCAGTGTGCTAACCAGCTCGTCTGGCGCGCCGCCACTCTGAACGCCCCCCGCCGCTGAGACTGCGGAGAGGATCCGCAGTTCACCACAGACCGTCCGGACTCCTTCGATCCGGAGGAAAAGTGGTCTTTAAAACCCTCCCGGGCGTGTAATGGCGGATAGGTGTCGGTGGTCTCCGTCCGTAACAAACGAATCCATCACTTTGCTGTTTTCCCACTTTCTTCCTGTTTAGACGCCTCCTCACATCTTAAGCCTGTCAATTTCGGAGCAATTCGAACAAGACCACTTCCGCTGAAGAATTTCAAAATAAAATCCGTGTCGTGCCAGTGTGCTCATCAATGTGACAATGTTTTCTATGGTTGACACTTGCTACAGACTATGGGTGTACAAGGTTTGCGTAGCTCACCCAGTAGTCTAGTTGGAAGGAGGGGGTTCAGTGCACCCCCCGGAGATATATTTCTAATCAGTGTTTTTCTATAGGAAAAAATGTGCTGAAAATGATGAGCTATGATAAAAAGTTCTCAGAATGTCCCATCTGCCCCAAAACCCCCCAAAACCCACTTTTTGGTACATGGCTCCAGCGAAATTGTGTTAAGGCAAATATTAATTCACTAAAATTACATAATTGGACATGAAAGTCTAAAATTTGGCATGGGGTATCCTGAGACATAGGGTTAAGTAGCCAAATAGGATTTTAGGACCTGCTACAACTGTATTCATAATTATGACCAACATCATCCCCAGAAACACAAAAAAATATACTGTCCGCTTGACAAATAATAACAAAGATGATGACGATGATGACGTTTCAAAGCCATAAGGAATAACCAATCCGCGTCCAGCACTTCTAGCCAATCAGAGGCGAAGGAGCCGGGACTTTCCGCTACCATCCTAAGATAAAAAAAAAATATTGCCAGCTGCGAGATACGCTCTTTGAGTCAAGCGTCATCACAGCTGCTCTGGGCAACTCTCACGCCGAATGTGTACAATGCTACTGCACAAGTGATAGAGTGCACCTCCTTTGCCTCTGATTGGCTAGAAAAGTTGGGCTCCGATTGGTTATTCCATATGGCTGTGTAACGTCATCGTCTGTCGGGTAAGGGTTAAGACATTCAAAATTGCGATGATGCTCTGTTTGAAGTACAGAGCCGACAGCACGTGCTCAGCTTGAGAATGTGATGACGTTTCACAGCCAATCAGAGGCGAAGGAGGCAGGACCTTCCCATACCATCCTACGAAAAAAAAAATTGCCACCTAGGGGAATATGAGCTGCGTCCGAATTGCCAAGTAGTAGTGGAAGTAGTATGTAGCATGTCCGAATTGGCCACCGGAGCGAGTAGCATGCTACTTCAGATACTACTTCAGATACTAGACACGCCCACATTGTAGGTTGGTCGCGGTGCATCCTACGGGAATGCTACTGACCCAAAATGCACCGCGGGCTTCTTCTTCGTCCTCTTAAAAGTTGTAGAAGCGTATGTGATGCTAGCGCCACCAGCTGCTCTGTCTATTTAAATGTGTCGCGAACGCCGGCTGGCCACAGCAGCACGCACCATGGTGGAGCAGCAGCAGCAGGGGGCAGGACCGCAGCAGTACAGATGTAAGTTTCATGTAACTTCACACACTGTCCTAAAAAATGTACGGTTGTATCTCTTTGTCATGTCATGGTGTCATATTTGCCCAAGTAATCATTTTATGAGCAAATATGTGGCGACATCATGGAGGTAAAGCTCACTTATTCCATCATTAAACTGCACAGCTGCAGTAATCAGGCAGATCTCGTTGAACAAACGATCACCACGTGAGTGAATGAAGGCTAAAAGTCATGGAAAAGCTACTTTGTGAATTTCTTAAGGAGTGCAGGAATATAATAAAGCAGCATCCATCACTTGCACAATTACTATTCAGAGTCTAAAACGGGCGCAGTACCTACTCTCTGCCTGCGGGGGTCGTCTTTCCCTACCGCTCGTCTAGTGTGTCCGAATTGGGCCAACGTGTTTAGTATGTAGGAGTAGGATCTAGCAGTAGCACGTAGCAGTAGCATGTAGTATGCGAGCGGGCAATTCGGACACAGCAATGCTGTTTGAGCCAAGCGTCGTCACAGCTACTCTCCCACCAAATGCGCACAATGCTACTGCACAAGTGGTGAAGTACGACAATGCTACTGTGCAATGTTGGTTTCAGGAAATGAAAAAAAAAATCGCAGAATTACCAAGAGCAATTTGGCTTCAAATCCGTATACTGTTGGAAGGCGGAGCCAAGTTGTCCAGAGTTTATACAGTCCATGGACTTCCTACGAGATTCCATTGGCAGATTGACTGGAAATTGCGTGCTCTTATTTTGAAAGAAATTTATCGTTTTTGAAATAACTTCCGGTAGCTTGATGCAGCACGCGGCAGCACTCATGCAGCAACATGATGATGACGTCAACACGACGCTTTCCTCCAGTTTGAACGTGAAGAGAGAAAATCTCCGAGTTCAGGTTAAAAACAACATTAATAATGTCTCTATTTAAAGAGTCAGTGTGCGAGTTTTTAACGTTAAAAAATATCAAATATATATATATAATACTATCAGGGATCATAAGTGTTAAATTCACCAGCATCACAGGTGAGAGTGGGAGATAGAAATCAACTCTTGGGCCCCAAAACGAACACATTCAGCATGTTTTTGGGCTTTTCTTCTAAATTTCAAACATCCATTTTTCAGTTTCTTGGAGATTTTTTAAAATTAAATATATTTTATAGTAGTTATTTATATCCTCCCCTAGCAGTAGCTACCACAACGATGATAACTTCAATAATTTAGAAATTTTACAGAAAACTCAGGGATCAGTACAGCATACTGAAATGTCAAAAAGCATCTTAGAATTGATCCGGATTTTAATTGTCGTGTTTTTAGTCCTTCTCCTGCCGAGGAGCCGCTGAGCCAGGCACCAAACCACTGTGGAGGGTTCAGTCAGTGTGAGTAAATCATCTGCAGTCTTCATCTCTGTCACGCGTCTCCTCTTCAGGACGTGCTTCTGCTGCGTGTGTGTCTGTGTCTATTTCAAGAGTCATCTCTCAGCTTCTTTACACACAACTCTATTTAGCATCCAGTTTCCATGGTAACCGGCTCAGAGTTGTTGACTGAGCAGTTCAGTGCTGACAGCTTCTATCGGTGTATGTATTTGTACAACATCCCATCAGTCAGCTGACTGTGCTCAAATCTGACTAAACAATAATCATTTCCCCTGTAATTCAGCGATTCAACACCTGGACAGGAGTTTGTTTGACGCAAATAAAAATATCCAGATTTATAAATCCACACAGTTAAGTAAGGTGGCCCTAAGGTTCAATTGCACAAACATTTATTGAAACAACAACAAAAAAAAACCACACATTTCACTGAACTCCAAGAAAATGTTTTAGAGGTTTTTGACTTCAGAGAAATCAGGAGGAAGATTTACATCTAAACTGCTGGACAGTTAGTGAACCAAGAGGGAACTTTAGATATGGAAGGGAGCATCTAGACGAGAGCATCTAGAGGGCACTTTCTATACGTTGGAGAGCATCTAGAAGGCAATTTCTATACACTGGAGACTATCTAGAGTCTAGATGCTCTTCAACATATAAAAAGTCTAGATTCTAGAGGGCACTGTCTATACACTGGAGAGCAACTAGAAGGCATCTGGACTCTAGATGCTATCCAGCGTATAGAAAGACTAGATTCTAGAGGGCACTTTGGATATGCTGGAGAGCATCTAGAGGGCACTTTCTATACACTGGAGAGCATCTAGAAGGCACTTTCTATACGCTGGAGAGCATCTAGAGGGCACTTTCTATTTGCCAGAGAGGATCTAGTTGGCACATTCTATACGCTGTAGAGCATCTAGAGAGCAGTGATTCTCAACTGATGGGTCCCGACCCAAAGTTCTGGATGGGTCGCGAACAGCTGGTTAAAAAAATATATATTTAATGCGCGTCTGATGTTTGACTTTTATTTTGAAAAAAAGCTTATTTTGAAAGGCATGTTATGTTTGATCCTCCTTTGTCTCTTATTAATGTGGCCTGAATGCAGGAAAATTATATGTTTTTTTTCTTTGGTCTTTATTTTGTGCAATTTGATATTTGATATTTTTTCATTTTCTGTATAAGCAACTTCAGTAGTTTTCGTCCTCAGTTCACGTGCTCTGACATGCACCTTACTCAGTGAAATAGGTGTATTTATGTTAAAGATTAGAGTCTTTAAAGGTTTTTTTTTTAATTAATTAGCTTGTTTTGAATTTTATAAAAGTGGGTCGCAACTTAAGAACCATGGGAAAATGTGGGTCCCAGAGTGAGACCAGTTGAGAACAACTGATCTAGAGGGCACTTTCTATACACTGGAGAGGATCTAGAGGGCACTTTCTATACACTAGAGGGTACTTTGACATGTTTCAGCCTCCACACAAGCAGCTGCTGTCACAGATTTTCATGGATTCTTGCAGAGAGGAGACCAATGTGAGTGTTTGATCATGTTTTAATCACTAGAAGAGCATTCATCAGGGTGTTTTTCAGACATGAGCTCTTTTAATCCATCATGAGCTGTTCTTTTCACATTTAACTCCACATAAACACATTTTTAATGTGTTTGTGATTTTTAATAAATCTTCAACCTTCAAATGACCCACACCCTGGGGATTTCAGTGCAGATGAACCAAAGCTTTGCTGCAGAAGAGCAGACTCCTCCTGGTCTGCTCACAGGTCTGTGGAATTTCAGTCCATCAATCTGAATATGTTTTCTTCACGCTCCTCCTTCAGAAACAGTTTGATGTAAAAATCAGACACTTTCTTCTTGCTGCAGCTTCCCTGAAGTCAGACACACTCAGTCTACGAAACACCTGAGGACAGTTTTGACCTAAAGTAACCTCCATCAGCATCATCTTTCCTTCCATTTCAGCTCCACAGTGCCCTTCTGAGGACACTCCTGTCTCTCACTGATCAGACTCTGCAGCTTCATCAGGAGAAAAAAGTTTGATGGGCAACAAAGACGTCGCTGATTCGACTCTGGACTGGTTCAGCGGTCTGTCCCTTGAATCATCAGCAGCCATTTTTAAACGGTGGTCTGAGCTGATCCTCTGAGGCATTTGCAGGAGATCTGACCGTCAGGGAAAGGTCTAGAAAACGTCTCTTCTGCTCTCCGGCAGGTCACTGAATCCCTGCAGCTCCCTCAGACCCTGAGGAGGAAGAGAAGAAGGGGGTTAGTATCTAGGACCATTATTATGAAAATCTACACAGTGGGTGGGACTTCCTGTCAGCTTCACACATCAGAATCAAGCGAGGAAACAACCATGGAGCTCAGATTGAATTTTTTTCTACCTGAATATTCACACGTCTGTTTTCATGAACCATCAGGTAAGAGAAGAAGGTTTCACAGGTGTGTTTTTATGAAAACAAACAAACCGGAATCAATCTGAGCAGCAGGGACACGGTTAAATCAACTCTGAGTAAAGTTAGTAATATTGTAAATTAACTCTCCTTAACAGAGTGAAGATAAAGCTGGAACTGATGTGATTTAAAGGGATATTCCGGCGTAATATAATTTAGGGTCAAACACAATGTAACACAGAGTTAGACACCCCCTCCAGAGATGAATGTTGCAAGCCCCTTGCTTCTCTAGTTATACCAACTTTAGTAACGACCGCAGGATAGCAATACACAGCGGTCTGAGGAGCCATAAACAAACCTCAACCAAAACGCCACTCTATAGCCACAAATAATGCTCAGAACAGCACCTAACTTCATCAACAGGACATATAAGGTCCCAGCCATAGCACTAGCCACCAAACATCTTTTTAACTTTGACTAATTTCTCTAACAAAGAGACTTAACACAACTCACCTACTATCTTCCAGCAGCCGTTTGTTTGTAGCGAGACCTCAGGCCAGTCCATTACGGACAACTGTGGCAGGGCTTGACACTAACTTTTTTCACATGTTCTCTTAAGTTGAAAAAGTTAAGGAGCACACAAAGAACTTTGAAAAGAACAATGAAACAATTTAACAATGAAAATTGATCAAATAATGTTTGTCTTATTGGTCGACATAAGTACTATTATTTGAAATTAATTTTATGTCTTTTGGTCATATGACATGGAAGCTATTGAAGAAAATGTTCAAAAATTTCCTTTAAATTTAACACAAAGATTTTTAGAGAACAAATTAGGGAGATAAAGAGGTGTGTCTTATTTCTGACCTTAGTACTATTATTTAAAATCAATTTTAGATCAATTGGTCAAATAACATGGAAGCTATTGAAGGAAAACAGCCTTTTCTGAGAACATCAACTGGTAATTTATTGATGGTTCCTTATTCAACACCTGACGTTGACAGTGAGGGTGTCGAGTAGATTTAACCGCGCTGCTGTTGTTATTATGGAGAGTGAGAAGACACCGGTAGATCCTCAGTGAATGTCCGTCAAATATCCAACCTAAAACTAACTTCATCGCCGTATTTACAAAAAATACATTTATTGATTTTTTTTATTCGCACATGTGACCCTAAATACATATTACAGTTCGCACACATAGATTTTTAGTCACAAATGCAAGTGAAACAGTCGCGCTGTCGAGCCCTGAGCGGGGTGACGCAGCTCAAGGAAGAACATTTATGATCATTTCTTTCTCATTTCCTTGAAGTAATAATCACCATATGAATCATTTTTCACTGCAGACGCGGTAGTTCTTCTGCCTTAGCGTCTCGGTCTGATTGTATTTCCATGAAGAAATGATAATAAATGTTCTTCCTTGAGCTGCGTCACCCCGCTGTAGTCCGTAATGGACTGGCCTGAGGTCTCGCCACAAACAAGCGGCTGCTGGAAGAGAGTAGGTGAGTTGTGTTTAGTCTCTTTGCTAAAGAGACGAAACACTTTAAAAGTTAAAAAGATGTTTGGTGGCTAGCACTCCGGCTGGAACCCTATATGTGCTGTTGATGAAGTTAGGTGCTGTTTTGAGCATTAGTTGTGGCTATAGAGTGGTGTTTTGGTTGTGGTTTGTTTATGGCTCCTCAAACCGCTGTGTAATGCTATCCTGCGGTCGTTACTAAAGTTGGTAAAACTAGAGAAGCAAGCGGTCAGCAACATTTATCTCTGGAGGGGGTGTCTAATTGTATTTTCTCTGGACAGCTTGGTTCTTCCAGTATACAGATTTGAAGCCGTAAAGTTCTCTGTAATGCCGCATTTTTTCTCCACTTTTTGAAACCAACATTGCGCAGTAGCATTGTACGCATCTGTGATGACGCTCAGTTCAAACAGCGTATCCTCCGGGTGAGCTACACAATCTTGGTACGCCCATTGGCTGTATCAAGTGTCAATCAAAGAAAACATGAACCCCCTAATAACTTTTAAAAATGGAGCTGTACAGAAAAAAAGAGGACCTGGCACAAACCAGTCTGACAGTAACTACATTTCAACATCACAACCAGGGGGGAAAAACATTTATATTCTGTGTCATTAATGTATAAAGTTTATCCACAGCTCCATAAGGAGGCGGGGTTTGGCTTCACCCAGAGAGGAGGCAGATGGCATCCATTCTAGATACAGTCTACGGTTTGACCCTAAATTAATTTTACGCCGGAATATCCCTTTAATGAAGAGTTTACAGAATGGAGTCATCAGTGTAAAGTTAACAGAGTTAAAATGGTTAATTTTAACAGAATAAGGTTTTATGGGAATAAAGGTGTAAATGAACAAAACTGAAGATTTACAAAATCAGAAACATTCATTTTAAAAAGTGAAAATTTAGATAAAAATTATCAATTTCATTTAAAACACGCTGGAAACTCAAAAAATTTCTATGTCGATAAAGCTGCACACTTACATTTAATACAGGTTCGTGAAACCACGACAGTAAAAAGACACAGAGATGTTATTTTACAGGAAAAAGCTTCAAATTCATGAGAATAAAACTACAAAGTTTAACTACAAAAATAAGGTTTGACATTAACCTGAATCAGGTTTGTAAGTTCATGAGGGTGAATTTGTTGATATAATAGGAAATAAAGATGTAGTTTTACAAGAATTAAAATGTGATTTTAAAAAAATAAAGCTGCAAATTCAAGTCAACTATCTAACAGGATTATTAAGTTTATAAATTAGTGGGAAGCTGTTCAAGAAACTCAAACTTTGTTTTACTGAGACGACAAACTGATCCATCAGACTCACCTCCAGAACCATCCGGATGTTGGCTTTTATTTTGGCGGAGTCTTTGGTCAGCTGCTCCGTGAAGCTGAAACACACACAGCAGCAAAGTGTCAATGAGCGGATGGAGCCAGAATGAAGAGTTCAAACTTTTTCATCTTAATTTCATCAGCAGAAACTTTTCACTCAGGCTAAAGTCAGCGCTGCTGCTCTGATACGCTGCCCTCTGCTGGAGGCTGATGTTACTGCAGCCGCTCAATAACCACAGAAGAAGAAGAAGAAGAAGAAGAAGAAGAAGAAGAAGAACGGCCTGAGTGTGTGTGAAGCTCAGATGAAGCACTGACGCTGTGAGCTGACTCGTCTTCTTCTCGATGAACCTCAGAGCCTCGTCGTGAGTCATCTCCACGAAGAAGCCGTAACCCACCGCCACAAAGATCCTCGACGAGTCCTCCCTGATAGGACGGGAGAAGAAGAGAGGGGGCAGGGTTTAAAGAAGGGCGGGAAAAAGTTTATAAATCACAGAGACAGAGATTGTGACTCTCCTTTAGTTGAAAACAGACACAATAGTGATGGGCACAGCAGTTCTTTTAGATATACTGAATCACTAGAATCAGTTCACAAAAAAGATTTGTTCACCAAATCACCGACTCATTAAGTGGGGGGAGCCTGTGACTCTGACCTCCTGAACTGATACATAGCTGAACGGTTCAGGATTCAGTTCAATTTACGGCTTCTGGGACCGAGAGACAAGAGTGTTTGTCTGTGTTGCTTCGGCAAACAGGTTTGTAAAAATGAACTTGTTTATGATGTTTTAGAATAGAATAGAATATTCCTTTATTGATCCCCCATGGGGGAAATTTTTTTGTCACAGCAGCATCACAGACAAAGATAGTGCAAAATGCAGTTATAAAAATAAAGATCGTTATATTAAGAACTTAAATAAATGTTATCATTAAAAAAAATAAAATAATTTAAATGCCAGAAAAAAGGTGGTGGTGTGAGTCCAGTTTCATTACAGTTCATTGTAAAGTCTTATTGCAGAAGGGAGGAATGACCTGCGGTAGCGCTCCGTCTTGCAAGGTGGAAGTCTCAGTCTGCTGCTGAAGGAGCTGCTTAAAGCCCCCACAGTCTGGTGCAGTGGGTGAGAGGGATTGTCCATGATGGATACAAGCTTTGCTAACATCCTCCTCTCACCCACCTCCTCCAGGGAGTCCAAGGAGAAGTCCAGGACAGAACTTGCCCTCCTGACCAGTCCGTTCAGTCTCTTCCTGTCCCTCTCGGTGCTCCCTGCCCCCCCAGCAGACCACTGCATAGAAAAGTGCTCTTAAACTAACTCTTAAAACAGTTTTCAGATTTGTGTCGTACGAGTTAAAGCGACTGTGTTAACCTGAAGATCAGACGAACGGTTCTCCTTTAGAAACACCAACTTTAAGCCCAGGTCAGTAATTTCACCTCTGAGGTGTTTATAAATCAGCTCAAAAATCAAAACAGCATGATGCAGCAGCTCACTGTAAAATCCACTCGCTCTGTGAGACTGTCGGCTTTATGACGAACAAACTCAGAGTGTTTCTGTCCCACAGAGAGAACCAGAGACTGTCCATATCCAGGCTCTCAGCAACAAGAACTAACAGTTTCTGCTGTGAGTGAGCTATGCCAAATAGAGGCGGTCATCTTTGTTTGGGTTTGTCAACCAATCAGAGGCTATATCTGCCATCAGCTGACCTTCACAGGTCCAGTGAGAAATGAGGACATCCTGAGACAAAGTCACGTCATGATTTAATATCAGTATCAATCCACATTACTGTCTTCCTTCACACTCTAGTGTTAATGCAGATTTTTCATTAAAACACAGTTGTCTTTTTCTGGATGTGACACTTAAACGCATCATGATAATGTTTTATTTACTTTTACCAGAGTCTTGTTTTATTGACTGGACCTTTAACCCTCTCCAACATGGACCACTCTATAAAAACTGAAGTCTCTTTTTAATCTTTACTGGGGGACATCATCAGGAGGCATCAACTTCCATAGTTATGCTGATGATACACAACTGTACATGTCAATGTCTCCTGATGAGCGGGCCAATGAGAACTAAAACAGAGGTTTTAGTTCTTGGTCCTGAAGGCCTAAAAGAGACACTTTTAACAAAATGACAAGTATCAACATCTGTGGGCGTGATCTTCGACTCCGAGCTCAGTTTTACTCCACACATGAAAAACATAGCAAAGGTCGGTTTTTAAGAAAAGAATTTACATACACTTCAGCTTTTACAAAATTAAGAGTTCTGACAAGGACCAGAGGGCGAGAGCATATAACGCCAGCTTTAGCATCGCTGCATTGGCTCCCCGTCCATTTCAGGACTGATTTTCAGGTTCTTCCTTTATTGGTTTTTAGATGTATTAATGGTCTCAGCCCCTCTTATTTATCTGACTTACTTTTATCGTATCAACCCTTGCGGGCCCTGAGGTCCTCCTGGGGCCTATTCTACGAAGCAAGGTCAACTGAGCAAGGTAGCCTTGGCACAGGGAGGGAGGCGGCGCTCAGTTTCTATGGTCCCTGGTTGTGGAACAGCCTGCCAGAGAGCCTCAGGGCCGCAGAGACTGTTGATGTTTTTAGGAAGAGGCTCAGGACTCACCTTTTAAACCAGGCTTTTCACTAATTACCTTTTTATATTTCTCTTATTGCAAATGTTCATTTTAATCAAAGTTCTAAATATTTATTTTATGTCATTTTATAAATTATCTCTGTTCTTAGTCCTTTTCTTAATTCCCGTCATAGAGGTTTTTACTTCTTTTACCCCTTTTATATGGTAAAGAGCTCTAACTGATCTGTTAATTTTATTTTCTTGTTTTAGTCTTTCTTATTACCATTTCTTATTAATTAATTTTATTTTATTGTTTTGGTCCATCAGGTTTAAGTCTTTCTTTTTACCTTTTTTTATTTATTTAATTTAATGTTATTGTTTTGGTCCATCAGGTTTATTTTATTGTATTGTATTGAATTATTTCGGTCCATCAGTTTTTAGTCTTTCCTTTTACCGTTTTTTATTTATTTAATTTAATTTAGTTTAATTTTATTGTTTTGGTTCATCAGGTTTAAGTCTTCCTTCTTACCATTTTTTGTTTAATGTCATTTCTTTCATTTTATTGTTTTGGTCCAATAGGCTTATGTCTTTCTTTTTATCATTTTTATTTATTTTCTTTTATTGTTTTAGTCCAAGTTTTAGTCTTCCTTTTTGCCATTTTGTATTTCTTTTCTTTTTTATTATTGTTTTGGTCCATCAGCTTTAAGTCTTTCTTTTTACCATTATTTACTAATTTTAATATATATTTTTTTGTTTTAGTCAATCAGGTTCTTCTAGTCTTTCTTTTTACTATATTTTATAAATTTTATTGTTTTGGTTCATCAGCTTTAAGTCTTTCTTTTTACCATTATTTACTAATTTTAATATATATTTTTTTGTTTTAGTCAATCAGGTTCTAGTCTTTCTTTTTACTATATTTTATAAATTTTATTGTTTTGGTTCATCAGCTTTTAGTCTTTCTTTTCACCAATTTTTATCTATTTATTTTATTGTAATCATTCAGTCCATTAAATTTTAGTCTTTAGTTTTACAGTTTTTTCATTTCTTTTCTTTTATTGTTATAGTCCATCAGGTTTTAGTCTTTATTTTTACTGTTTTTTAATTTCTTTTCTTTTCTTGTTTTAGTCCATCATGTTTAAGTCTTTCATATTAGCATTTTTAATTTCTTTATTTAATTTTTAACTGTTTAAGTCCATCAGGTTTTAGTCTCTTTTTACCATTTTTTAATTTATTTTATTTTATTGTTTTAGTCTATCATGTTTAAGTCTTTCTTATTACCATTTTTTTCTTTTCTTTTCTTGTCTTTTATTGTTTTAGTCCATCAGCTCATAGTCTTTCTTTTCACCATATTTTATTTATTTATTTATTTTCTTTTATTGTATTGCTTAAGTCCATCAGGTTTTAGTCGTTCTTTTACCATATTAAATTTATTTTAATTTATTTTATTGTTTTGGTCCATCAGGTTTTAGTCTTTCTTTTTACCATTTTTTAAAATTTTTTTTTTCCTATTTATTTTTGTGTTAGTCCATCAGGTTTATGTCTTTCTTATCACCATTTTTTGATTGATGTCATTACTAATTGTTGTAGTCCATCAGGTTTAAGTCTTCCTTTTTCTTTTTTTTTCTTTTATGGTTTTAGTCCATCAGGTCTTAGTCTTTCTTTTCAACAATTTTATAATTTTTTTTAAAATTATTTTAGTCCATCATGTTCAAGTCTTTCTTCTTACCATTTTTTATTTATTCTATTGTTTTAATCCATCAGGTTGTAGTCTTTTTTTATCGCTGTTTTTCGATTTCTTTTCTTTTCTTTTATTGTTTTAGTCCATCAGCTCATCGTCTTTCTTTTCACCATATTTCATTTACTTTATTTTATTTTATTGTTTTGGTACATTAGGTTTTTGTCCTTCTTTTTACCAATATATATCTATTTATTTATTTTATTGTATTGTTTTCGTCCATCAGCTTTTAGTCGTTCTTTTTACCATATTTTATTTATTTTAATTTATTTGATCTTTTGGTTCAGCAGGTTTTAGTCCTTCTTTTTACCATTTTTTTTAAAATTTATTTTCAGCTATTGTTTTAGTCCATCAGGTTTTAGTGTTTATCTTTACCATTTTTTAAATTTGTTTTCTTTTCTTTTAGTTTATTGTTTTAGTCCATTAGGTTTAAGTCTTTTTATATTACCTTTTTTTATTCAAGTATTTTAATTTCTAATTGTTTAAGTCCATCAGGTTTTAGTCTTTCTTTTTACCATTTTTTATTTATTCAATTTTATTGTTTTAGTCCATCAGGATGTAGTTTTTTTATTACCATTTTTAATGTCTTTTCTTTTCTTCTTGTTTTAGTCCATCCATTTAGTCTTTCTTTTCACCATATCTTATTTATTTTATTTTAATTTTTTTGGTTGTTTTGGTACATTAGGTTTAAGTCTTTCCTTTTACCATTATTTATTTATTTTATTTTTGTTTTAGTCTTGACTTACTTACTTGACTTAGGTCGCAACGCGGCGAGAGTGAACATGGTTGCGCCAAACGTCACAATCCTTCATCAGTGAAGCTAGCTCGCTGGCACTCTTCGCTCCAGTATCCTTCTTTAGGGTATCCACATACGATGTTCGTGGCCGCCCTCTATTTCTGTGGCCATGCTTTGGCTCCCATAGCAAGACTTTCTGGGTGCTCAGCTCAGGGTGGCGGTGACAGTGTCCTGCAAGCTGGAGTCTCTTGGCTGCTATCTTGTCAGCGACTGCGGGCAGTTCGCCGTAAAGCACTTCGTTGGTTGTGTGTGAGCTCCAGTGTACATTTAGGACCCTGCGTAGCATGCGTGTGTAGGTACCATTGAGGGACTTCTCCATTGCATTATTCAATGCCCAACTCTCGCACCTTGTTTTAGTCCATCAGGTTTTAATCTTTCTTTTTAACAGTTTTATTTATTTTATTGTTTTGCTCCATCAGCTTTAAGTCTTTCCTTTCATCATTTTTTATTTATTTATTTTATTTTATTGTTTTAGTCCAGCAGGTTTAAGTCTTTCTCATTACCATTTTTTATTTATTTATTTTTTGTTTTAGTCCATCAGGTGTTAGTTGCTCTTTTTACCTTTCTTATTTTAGTTTTTTTTCCCCCCAGTGTTTCCTAAAGGTAGCTCTTTCTTTATGCAATGTCTAGGTGTCAGCCCATGTCTCTTTAACAATATATCTTAAATTCTCACACTGTGTCAGCTTGCGTATGTGCTTGTATGTGTGGGAGGTTCAGGTTTTATTGTTATTTAATTTTTGTTTTTAGTCTCTGTGAGGAACTTTGAACTACATTTTTGTCTGTAAAGTGCCATAAAAATAAATTTAATTTCAAGGGAGGGTCATCTTACAGTGTAAGTGACTTCATAACCATGGTCCCCTTATATTAGGGACATTACGGTATCTGCAGGTCAATAGACTTTTCACCAGGATTTAACAGTTACTTACACTTCAGCCTGGACGTAGAAATTACAGCCTAGATCCACCTCAGTCTTCAACTGCTGCAAGCCAGACTCCTACACACACACACACACACACACACACACACACACACACACACACACACACACACACACACACACACACACACACACACACACAGAGAGAGAGAGTAGGTTTCAGCACATTTCCAGGTAGATACTGAGGACAGGGGCCTATTCTACGAAGCAACGGAGGCAAAGCAAATAAAAATAAATCTAAAAACATCCTTTTAAGTAGTTTGTAAGTTTATTGGAAGATTTTATTTGTACATATTTCAACGCGTTAACAGTGATTTCTTCACTGCCTTTTTTTTTCTTCATCATCTGATGGTCACGTCATCTGCAGACACATTTTGGGCCAAGAGGAGTTTTCCAATCTGCTTCAATAAATTCTGAATGATGACTGATATGCTGCATGAAATTGGACCCTGGAGCTTGGCAAATATTAGTGCATTGCTTAGACTTCATGCTTTGTTGAGGCCGTCCGAGGAAAACCTGTAACGTTCATAGAGAACGTCATCAGGTAAATCAAACGGATTTGAACGATCATGAATATAACGCTCTCGGCGGAGCGCTCCTCTCACTATCCGTGCAACGATGTCCACGGGATCCGGCAAAAGTGGGCAAGCCATTTTCCAAGAGATCCGATTGGTCATTGGGCGGTCTTTTATACCTGCTGAGCTCTTATCCTGAAACATAACCTGCTCCGGAGCAGGTTTGGCGTTCCGCGTAAGTTACCGGGGCAACGGACCCGGATAAAAAGAGATCCACCTTCGTAGTACGGAAAACCCAGAAGTTATCTCGCTAAGACCAAATCCAGCTTCGTAGAACAGGCCTCTGGCCTCAGGTGTGTGTGTGTGTGTGTGTGTGTGTGTGTGTGTGTGTGTGTTTACCTGTAGAGTCTGGATGGTGTTCTTCAGCTGCAGGTACTGAGAGATCTTCTCATAAACAGAGTCTCTCTGCTCCAACACCTTCCTGACAAACATCACAAACTCAACAGTTACCCCCTTTATCCTCATATAATAATAATAATTATAATTATAATTATTATTATTCTAAAAATCTGTTTGAGGGTCATACTGTAAATCTCTCCTCAGAACTTCGTTGATAAAGTGTTCATATTGAAGAACCTTCTGCTCCACATGGCCTTCAGCAGACATCCTCACAGTTTCTCACTCTTCAAACTTCTAATCAATTCATCAATTACTCATCAATCCTCCTTGAAGTCTCCCTGATCTTAATTTAGGGTTTCAAAAACACCACCGTTAAGAAGCAACCACATGTAAACAACGCCCTGACCCGGATGTGCATGTCGCAGCAAGTTAGCGCTTCCTGATTTCAAAATAAAACACAGAGGTATAGACATAGAGTAAATAGATATTACAACCATCAGGCGTCAATAAGGATTATGGCAGCCGTGTCATACTGCCATATTCATAATCATAATAATAACTTTATTTTAATAACTTTATTTGTACAGCAAGTTTAAAAAGTGCTTTGACATATAGTCATAAAGCAAAAAGAAAAAGACAGATAAAAACAAAAGCTCAGATAAAACAGAATTAAAGGACAATTTCATGTCATAAGGAGCCCAGACAATACAAGAACCATGCAACATAAAATGAGACCATGAGGACCAAAATAAAAACACAAAACAGTTAAGAAAATGAAAACGCAATAAAAGAGTGAGGTTGAGAGCAGAAAAACAGGATAGTAAATATAAAAAGACAATATTAGTAATGATAATAAAATCATAACAAAAATAATAATGATGGTTATAGTAATTAAAAAATAGAGCAAAAGAAATGAACAAGAGAAAAAAAACAATAATAGGCCTAAAATGTTAATTAAGAAAGAGTAAAAGTATCACAATAGCTAAAAAGACAGTCAAGCCGAAATAAGATAAAAGAGATAAAAGATAAATATCTAAAAAAAAATCTAAAAATATATTATCAAGTTTATCACATATTTGAGTCGTTTGTCTGACAATTTTATCACATAAATATTTTCTCACCCTGTTATATGTTTTAGCATTTTGCGAATTAGTTTTGCATTTCCTGAAAAAAATTTAGTCAATAAAATATTTTTAATTTATTTGGAATATTTTTACGACAGTAGGGAAGAGAATCCATTTTAAAATCACATTAAAAACAAAACTCAGAATGATGGCTTTAACTGACAAATATAAAGTATATTCACACATTTATAAGTAAAACTACGGCGGAGTATTAGGGCCACAGTAAGAAAAAAAATAAGACTTTGAGATTAAAGTCGTTAACTCATAAGAATAAAGTCGTGAAAAAGTCCTTATATTCTTTTTTTTTTTCCAAAATGCTTTTATTGAAAAATACAATGAGTTATTTCCAAGTGCTGGGATATGGTTATCTTTTTCTTATCTTTTATACATATATGTTTACGTAAACAGTAACATATACATATTTATTTTAAAAAATAACAGTGAAGACCCCCCTCCCCCCCCCATCAGGTTGTACCTCTAAATTAGTGAAAAAGGAAATAAAAGGTTGCCATTTGTGAAAAATTTGACTGTACATCCTCTTAATGTGTATTTAATTTTCTCAAGCTTTAAAAAACACATTACGTCTTTAAGCCACCGGTTAATAAAAGGATATTTAGCAGATTTCCAATCCTACAATAATAAACATCTTACATATAATGTCCTTTCGTGTAGAGTTGAGTACGAGTAAGTCTTTATATTCTAACCTGCTGTTTAAGATGACAGCTGTTGAAATTAAAGTCATGGAGCATTTCGTAAAAATGTACTTTAATATATGTTTCTAAAAAAAGGAGATCATCTTTAGGCACATCAGCTCCACATAATCATAATGATTTTGGAACGACTTTATTCTCATAAGAAATTACTTTATTTCAACTTTATCCTTGTTAGTAATGACTTTTTCTTGTAAATAAACAACTTTAATCTCAAAGTCTTAATTTTTTTCTTGATGTGGCTCTAATTATGGAAGTAAATCTGTGCCATCTGATTTTGAATTTGAATTTCTAAAGATGAAATTTTTTTGCATCAAAATCAGACTTTGAATTTCAAAACCATCGAATTTCAAACGTGCATTTTTATTTCTGACACTAATTTTTTTCACAATGATGAAATAAATTCAGAGCAAAAAAAAAATCGGTCTCATAAATATTCGTTTTGTGAAAATTTGACTTAAAAAACTGTGTAAAAAAAAAATCAACATTCAAAAAAAAAAAAAAAAACTAAGTGTCAAATAATTCAGTTAAAAAAGACAGACTCAACATCCGAGAACCAATCAATTGGATTCAATCTTCCACTGAGGTTGGTGTCACATGACCAATCTAGCATTAATTGATTGGCTTCTTTTACACTGAATTTTTTTTATGTTGAATTTTAACTAAACCAATATTGTGAGAGACCTTTTTTTTACACTGAATTTATTTCATCATTGTGAAAAAAATTGTGTCAGATATAAAAATGTGTGTTTGAAATTCGATGGTTTTAAAATTAAAAGTCTGATTTTGATGAAAAAAAAATCAGCTTTAGAAATTCAAATTCAAAATCAGATGGCACAGATTGACTTCCATACCTTATACTTCGTCGTATAAAACTGTATAAATCTTAAACCCGCTGATGTCTGCTCCACCTTTTCTGAAGATCCCTCGGTTTGGTTTTCGGACTGTTTACCGTCTTCACCTTCTACCAGCCCTAGGTCTACACCTGACCTCGTGACGTCACTAGTAACAAAGATGGCTCTTCTCTCGTGAAACTATCGGGGGAAAAAAACCGTCCCGCGCGTGAACGAGTGCATTTCTCTTCTCAGGACGGACCTGCGCGTTTATGACGCTCCTTTAGGAAACACGTGATCCGTCACCTGCTGCGGGTTTAAGGCGGAAAACACTCCGTGGACGAGACGGTTTTAGCCGGGCTAGTTTAGCGAGCGGAGGTTACCATGGCAACGACCGAATCAGACTTTAGCTAACCGGTAACTGGAATTATTCCTCCACTGAATATTTCAACAGAAAGTTATTAGGTGGAAAAGTTGGTTAAATTCAAACATAAATCCGCGTTTTTTTTCATTTATAAACGACATCTGACCGAAAATAAAAAGAATTTTTGGTCTAAAAGAGATCGAATGAACGTCTAAATGTAACCTTCAATACTGGTGTAAAATCAGACTACCACTGGTCTAAAAATTAAAGTTTTTTAGACGTCTAAATTTAGACCAAGTCTAAATCTGGGCTATATCTGTTTATTGCTCAATGGCTATCATAATTATTTTGGTTAAGTACTTGGAGATCAGTTATACAAATCACAGTTGCTTTTTTAAATAAATAGTTATGGAATAATTGGTTAAAGTGCATCATCTAAAAAATATACAGAATCTAGACGGTTGAAATTAGGTCTTAAATAAACTAGACGTCTAATGCTTAGTGGGAAAAAAAAGTTTTACTATAAATACGGAATAATGATTAACAATAGTAACTGATTCTTCACCTTTGACCTGTAACAGCTGATTTATACTAAATATAAGAATAAAGACTGATATATAACACTTGAAATATAAAAAATCATACATTCCTGACTGGACTCTGGATTTGGACCTGTTCTGTCCCAGTCTGGTTCTGCTCTTCTCAGACCTGAGGTTCAGCCTGGTTCTCTCTTAGACCTGAGGTTCAGCCTGGTCCAGGTCCCGCAGAAATGGAGCAGTACAGTATTCTGGGTCGGATTGGTGAAGGAGCCCACGGGATCGTGTTCAAGGCCAAGCACATCGAGGTGACCCGCTGGTTCAAACCCGAACCTGAATGACAGAAACCCCAGTAGAGAGTAGAGTCATGGTTTCAGAGGGAAATGTAGTTTTTGTCGCCTTTGAATGACTCAGTGATGCTGTCACAGATCCTCCTCACCTGTCCTCACCTGTCCTCTTTATTTGCTCGTTGGTTTTTCGTTAAAGCGTGCTGATGTCATTGCTGTGTGCAATCTTTCTGTCAGACTGGAGAGACGGTGGCTCTTAAGAAAGTGGCTCTGAGGAGGCTGGAGGACGGCATCCCGAACCAGGCTCTGAGGGAGATCAAGGCCCTGCAGGAGATCGAGGACAACCAGCATGTGAGTTCAGAGGTCCCGTCCTGTCCTCCATATATCTCCTCCCTCTTGGTATATCTAACCATCTGTATGCAGACGACACTCAGATCTACGGTAGCTCTCTTAAATGTCTGCCTGACTGTTTTAAAGACAGAAAAAAAGTTACATTTCAATGAAAGGAAAACAGAATTAATCATCTTTGGTTAAATCGGTTTGATCTTTGAATGATTTTCAGCGAGTCATTCCTGCTTTTATTTCCACACTTGGTTGGTTGGACAACTGTAACGCTCTTTACGTCGGTGTTGATCAGGTTTCTCTCACACACTTACAATTCGTCCAAAATGCTGCTGCTCGTTTTTTAACAGGTAAACCAAAACATGACCACATCACTCCAATTCTGGCGTCCCTCCATTGGCTTCCTGTTCATTTTAGAATTCATTTCAAGATTTTATTGCTTGTTTTTAAATCTTTAAACGGATCAGCACCACAGTACATTTCTGACCTCTTAAATCTTTATACATGAGTTGTGTGATCTCTTTTTATCACTTTTATTTCTTTTATGCTTTTGTGTTTTGATTTCATTTCATTTATTTTATTTGAAATGCTTTTTACCTGCTTTTATTTATTTCCTCTTGATGTTTTCAGCACAATCTGTTCTTTTAACTTTATTGTGCAGCACTTTGGTAAACTTGAATGTTTTTTAAAATGTGATGTATAAATAAAGCGTATTAGATTGGATTGGATGATTATTCAGAGGTCACGCTCTTACTCCTCCTCCTCAGGTAGTGAAGCTGAAGGATGTCTTCCCTCACGGTACGGGCTTTGTCCTGGTGTTTGAGTTCATGTTGTCTGACCTTTTTGAGGTCATCAGGAACTCAGAGCGACCTCTGACCCCAGCTCAGGTCAAAGGTTACATGATGATGCTCCTAAAGGGCGTGGCCTTTTTGCATCACAACAACATCATGCACCGGGTGGGTACCAAACAAAATCTATACCAGATTCTGAAACTAAAAAATTCAGTCACATGTTTGTAAAATGTCGAATAGTTCCTGTCGCCCTTCAGAATAAAAGTCCTGACTGTGTGTGTTTAGGACCTGAAGCCTGCAAACCTCCTCATCAGCTCCTCGGGTCACCTGAAGATCGCAGACTTTGGTTTGGCCCGACTGTTCAGTGAGGAAGGAGACAGACTGTACAGCCACCAGGTGGCCACCAGGTAACAACTCCTCACCGACAAGGTGAGCGCTGAGCTCAGGTCCAATACCAGGAGGAAAAGAGAGGAAAAGAGAAACACGAACCTGTGGTGGGCTTTGGGTTCTGATGGTGCAGTTATGTGCAAATATTTGCGGGATATTCCAGCGTAAAATGAATTTGGGGTCAAACACACCGTAACACAGAGTTAGACACCCCCTCCTGTGATGAATGTTGCCAACCGCTTGCTTCTCTAGTTATACCAACTTTAGTAACGACCGCAGGATAGCAATACACAGCGGTCTGAGGAGCCATAAACAAACCTCAAGCAAAACACCACTCTATAGCCACAAATAATGCTCAGAACAGCACCTAACTTCATCAACAGTACATATAGGGTCCCAGCCATAGTACTAGCCACCAAACATCTTTTTAACTTTGACTAATATTTTTATTAGTCAAAGTTAACCGAGAGGTTGCTGCAAGTCTGATCTCTCTGTATTATCTGTCATTTTTGTCATTTTTGCTTTTTTTTCACATTTTTGTTGTTTTCTTGTTGGCTGCTGATGGATACTTCTGCTGGGTGAAGAGTAGATTGAGGAAAAGCAAATCTGGACAACAACATAAAATTCCAGAGGACATCAGGAGGTGTTATCATAGTGGCTGTGCTGGAGCAAAGGTGAAGGCAAAGCTGAATGCTAGGAGGTGGCAATATAAACCCTTTCTTCCATTAATCATTATGGGAAACGTCAACTCTCTGCCCAACAAAAGCGATGAGCTGGAGATATTGGTGAAGACTGAGAGAGCATACCGTAAGTGCAGTTTCCTGTGTTTTACTGAAACCTGGTTGAATCAAAACAACTCGGACTCCAGTGTGGATCTACCTGGCTTCACTCTCATAAGGTCAGACAGAAATGCTCAAGCTAGTGGCAAGGAGAAAAGAGGAGGTCTGGCTTTATTCGTCAACCAGAGATGGTGTAACCCTTCACACATAACTGTCAAGGAGAAGTTGTGTTGTCCAGATATTGAACTCTTGGCAGTTGCTCTTCGGCCATATTATGTTCCAAGAGAATTCAGTCATAAATTAACAATAGTTCTTTACATCCCACTCAAATCAACTGAAGAAATTTCTTGCGATGTTTTGCATAATAGTGTTGTAGCAGCTCAAGGAAGAACATTTATGATCATTTCTTTATAATTTTCTTGAAGTAATAATCACCATATGAATCATTTTTCACTGCAGACGCGGTAGTTCTTCTGCCTGAGCGCCTCGGTCTGATTGTATTTCCATGAAGAAATGATCCTAAATGTTCTTCCTTGAGCTGTGTCACCCCGCTGTAGTCCATAATGGACTGGTCTGAGGTCTCACTACAAACAAGCGGCTGCTGGAAGAGAGTAGGTGAGTTGTGTTAAGTCTCTTCGCTAAAGAAATGAGTCAAAGTTAAAGAAATGTTTGGTGGCTAGTACGATGGCCGGGACCCTATAACCTGAGTAGAACACGGTGTAGTTCCGTTCAGTAACAGAACCTCATTGGAAAATTTGTTGATTTAACTTTACTGTGCTCTTGTTCAAATATATTAACTCAACACCACATATATCCATACCTGTTAACAAAATCATTATTTTATTGTTAATTTGGCTCAATAAAAACACCTCTACCTTTTCATTTTACTACAGTAGAAGTTTCTTGGCCCACCTTATAGACTACTTAAGTTTGCTTTCTTAGGAGTTAGAACAACTCTGAATATAGTACTATGGCTGTGACCCTATATGTACTGTTGATGAAGTTAGGTGCTGTTCTGAGCATTATTTGTGGCTATAGAGTGGCGTTTTGCTTGAGGTTTGTTTATGGCTCCTCAGACCGTTATGTATTGCTATCCTGCGGTCGTTACTAAAGTTGGTATAACTAGAGAAGCAAGCGGTCAGCAACATTCATCTCTGGAGGGGGTGTCTAACTTGGTGTTGCGGTGTGTTTGACCCTTAATTAACACCAGAATATCCCCTTAATGTGTGTGTATGTGTTTGATTTCAGGTGGTACAGAGCTCCAGAGCTGCTGTATGGAGCCAGGAAGTATGATGAAGGAGTGGATCTGTGGTGAGGAAATATCAGCTGTTCATGTTGATCTTTGGAAATGTCACCGATAACTCCAGAGATAAGAAGAACTTTATTAATTCCCGAAGGGAAATTCAATAGAAAAGTCTTCCTGTGTCAAAAACAACACCTAATTTATTTTCTCCTCAATTATAGATCTGATATAAAATCAACACAGATATGTTTGACAGTTCAAATAATAGGGTGTAATGCTCACAGCTGGTCTGCAGGGGGCAGCAGCAGCCTGAAGTTTGCCTGTGTTTGTGTTTTTCCGTGTTTGTGTTTTTCCGTGGTTCAGGGCAGTCGGCTGTATTTTCGGGGAGCTGTTGAACTCATCTCCTCTGTTTCCCGGAGAGAACGACATCGAACAACTCTGCTGTGTGCTCAGAGTCCTGGGAACCCCGACACAGGACAGCTGGCCTGTAAGAAAGACACAGAAAAGACATTGAACCTTTCTTTGGTTCAGTTTCTGGATTTAAAGAGTAGACCCCAGAGTAAATGCTGCAGGAACAACCCCTGGCCATACACATAGATACACAACTTTAAGTATTCATGAACCTAAACTTAGCAAATGTCTGCGTTTCTGTGCAGGAGATAGTTGAACTCCCAGATTACAATAAAATTACCTTCAAGGAGAATCCTGCAATCCCATTAGAGGAAATCGTCCCTGACACGTCTCCTCAGGCCATCGACCTGCTCTACAAACTCCTGGTTTATCCGTCCAAACAGCGCTGCTCAGCCAGACAGGTAAGAAACAGGAGAGAGACGACGTGTGTGTGTGTGTGTGTGTGTGTGTGTGTGTGTGTGTGTGTGTGTGTGTGTGTGTGTGTGTCAGAGTCAGGAGGTGGAGTTCCTCAGGGCTCGAGTTTGGGTCCCCTCTTCTTCTCTGTCAGCGGTTTTAGAGTCCGGACACATTTGTGCCAGAAAGTATCATGTGACTTAGCCATCTTACTTTATTCCTATCTGTGTGCAGAATTAAGGTCCTTGCACACAGGGGCCAACGCAGATACAGAACACGAAATTACTAAGTATTTGGAGGCGAATTTTGACGCGCCTGACCATACACATCAAGCCCGATGCGATTTTGACACTTTCTGGGGGAAAAAAGACTTTTCCTGGGGAAAGTCCCGCCTCCTTCGCCTCTGATTGGCTAGAAAAGCTGGAAACGTCATCACACGCTCAAGCGAAACGGTCAGCACTTATGGCCAATCAGAGGCGATAAGATAAGCACATGAAACTATGGTAACAACCGGCAGCATACGTTAGCACGGATGAAAGTTAAAACAAAGACATTTAGGAAACTGTTAAAGCACACAAAACATTGTCATATGAGAAATCCAACACCCTGAATCTCCACAAGCTTTCCTATAGATCGTTATCTTTGTAATATTTGTGTTTTTATCAAAAAGCACTCTGTTCTCCGACACGTAAACAATCAGCCGGTCAGCCATGTTGGATATTCGGGTGAATCTGACATCGCAACAACACGCAATCTGATTGGTCAGAAGTGGACACACAGTATGTGAAACTTTTGGAAAATTGACCGCGATCCGAAAAAATAAATGCTGCAATATTGCAGGACGGAAAAACGTCGCTGATGTGAACGCTTGTATTGGCAGGATTCGGGTTCAAAAAAAATTGTTGATGTCCGAAATAATCGCACAAAGAAATGCTCCCAGTGTGAAAGGACCTTTACAAGTCCACATACAGTTGTGGCCAAAATTATTTGCCCCCCTATGAAATTTTCAGTTTCTTTTTCAGAATTTCCCAAGTGCTGTTCAACAGATTACCGTATTTTTCGCACTATAAGGCGCACCATCAATGAACGCGTCTATTCACATCTATTTTCATACGTAAGGCACACCAGATTATAAAGCGCATTAAGCCAAACAAAACAGTCAGATAAGTCAAACTTTATTTAACTTATTGAATAACTCCGCGAGGCTACGGTAGCTGCAGTGCTCCGACAAGCCAAAAGGATTTTAAGTGCGCCATATGGTGTGAAAAATACGGTAATGATTTTTTTGCACATCTTTTCCAAACATCCTAGCTTTATTTTGGATCCTTACATTATTTTACTTTGCACACAGAAACAAAATTATCTCACAAAAACCAAAAACTACCAGGGTCAAAAATATTCGCCCCCTTAATAATTCACATTTTTATTGAGCCAAAACAAAACCCGCTGTTGTGTAATCATGTGCTTTCACTTTGGAGTGCTCAGGAAATTGTAATCAATCAGTTAATTAAGTTAAAACAAAGGGTTGTCCTACACTTTACACACAGTATAAAAAAGGACACACAATTGACTATGAGCCTCAGGGGGGCGAATATTTTTGACCCTGGTAGTTTTTAGTTTTCATGAAATAGTTTTGTTTCTGTGTGCAAAGTAAAATAATGTAAGGATCCAAAATCAATAACCTTCAGCTCTTGCTGGGGCGGTTCACGGCTGAGTGTGAAGCGGCTGGGATGCGAATCAGCACTTCCAAGTCCGAGGCCATGGTCCTCAGTCGGAGAAAGGTAGATTGCCTTCCCCGGGTCGGAGGGGAGGTCCTGTTAAGTCCCTTAAGTGGAGGAGTTCAAGTATCTTGGGATCTTGTTCACGAGTGTGGGTAGGATGGAGCAGGAATTTGACACGCAGATCGGAGCGGCGTCAGCAGTGATGCGGACGCTTAACCGATCAGTCATGGTGAAGAAAGAGCTGAGCTGTAAGGCGAGACTCTCTTTTTACTGGTCGATCTACGTGACGATCCTCACCTATGGCCATGAACTTTGGGTAATGACCGAAAGAACAAGATCGCGGATACAAGCGTCTCAAAGGGGTTTCCTCCTCAGGGTGGCCGGGCTCAGCCTTAGAGATAGGGTAAGGAGCTTGGACACTTAGGAGGCGCTCAGAGTAGAACCGCCGCTCTCAACGTCGAGGAGAGCCAGCTGAGGTGCCTCTGGCATCTGGTTAGGATGCCTTCTGGATAAGGCTGCACGATATTGGAAAAAACTAACATTGCGATTTTTTTCAACCCTGCGATATATATTGCGATATTAAAATTATAGGAATTTTCACCAGATGACCTGAATAGCATTTAATGTTATGCTGCACTGCTGAAGTCTTGAGGACAGTTAACCTGCACTGATCTTACCTCTTTATGTGAATGTTAGTAGAATGGCTTCTGTCTGTCTCAGAGATATTTTTAGCTTTTATTGTGCTGGGACAGATGAACACAGAAGACGTGTTTTGGTCGACATCATCCTTCTTTTAACCAAAATAATTCCAGATAACTGACTTTTCTTTTCTTTTTGGCAACAAATCTTCATCTTCTGTGGTTTTCTCTTGTTCGTTGCTCATTTTGCAATCGTTGTTGTTGTTGTTAGCGGTGTTGTGCCGAGAAAGGCATGTCCTCCGAGAATTGCATGCACCTCGCAAAACGCGCACCGCTTATAGTAGAGTGGTCCACGGAAATATACATTTTAAAACCCATACAGTTCTTATTTGTTGGGCTTAACAGTCATGAGTAAAGTTCCGAAAGTAATTCTCAGCGGACACGCGTTTGTCGGCTCAACACCAGCAACCAGCGAGTTACTCCATGTGCAGAACATGTGCAGGGGTGGGTTTCCTCCTCTCTGATTTTGATTGACAGCTGGCAGGGTAGTCTGATTGGCAACCGAGAACTGAGTCTGATTGGCAACTGAGTAAAGGACAAAGGTGATTGGTGGATCGCTGCACAGCACATGCAGTCACATGCAGTGCATCTCAGTCAGCTACCCTTGAAATTAACTGAGTTCATTCACCTCCGACATCGCAGGCTCTGCGATGTGACTATCGCACACACGTACATCGCGATGACGATAGTCAAACGATATATCGTGCAGGCCTACTTCTGGACGCCTCCCGTTAGAGGTGTTCCAGACGTGTCCCACCGGAAGGAGACCTTGTGACCGGCCCAGGACCAGGTGGAGAGATTATATCTCTTGCCTGGCCTGGGAGCGCCTGGGAATCCCCCCCAAAGGAGCTGGTGGAAGTGGCTGGGGTGAGGGCCATCTGGGCTTCCCGCCGGAAGACCCGGACCCTGATGAAGCGAAAGAAAATGGTGACGATGATCCAAAATGAAACTAGGATGTTTGGAAAAGCTGTGTAAAAAAAATCATTTAGCTGTTGAACAACACTTTGGAAATTTTGGAAAAAAACTTGGGGGTGAATAATTTTGGCCACAACTGTTTATCCAATCAGAGGTTCATGAAAGTGATTATACTCAAAACATGCAGACCGCACCAAGTAGAAAAATAATCAGAGAAACCCAGAGGTGGGAATTGTGGAGTCAGCAAGTCATTTCCATGCCATGTATTTGTTCTGCTCTGTCACTGAACCTGCTGCTTCCAATGAGCAGCCAGGAAGGTGAGCTCATTAGTGAACGCACCTGGTTCAGTAACTAAGCAGAACAAATACATGGCATGGAGATGACTTGCTGACTCCACAATTACCACCTCTGGAGAAAACCGACGGACTAACCTGAAAGTGTTTCAAACTAAAACCGACTCACTTCCTCTGATGGAGGTCTGCTGACTGACCGTCCTCTTCTCCTCCGTAGGCTCTCCTCCATCCATACTTCTTCTCCTCTCCTCTTCCCGCTCATCACTCCGAGCTGCCCATCCCTCAGAGGGGGGGCCGACCTCCCCGCCAGCGCCTGCAAGCTCCGCCTGCTGACTTCTCATTGGACCTTCCTCTCCAGAGCAGCGTGGTCGACCCCGTGCTGCTGAGGGAACACGCTTCCTGCCTCTGAGGGAACAAACAGACGGAAACACTGACCGTGAATTTACCCGTCAGCTCTCTCTTTATCGAACTGTTCATTAAAACCTGTTAATAAAAAGTTTGCAGTCCAGTCCATAAAACCCTCAGGTCTATGTGAGACTCGACTCTGATCTGTTGGGACTTGTTCAGTCTCCTCTGTATCAAAGTTAAAACCAGACCATCATCTTTGACTGTCCCCTTAGACCTGAGGAGGCTCATTCTGAAAGTCTTGTTGACTGAATCTACACAGATTTATTAGAAACAGCTCATAGATATTTGCAATGACAACACTTTTAATTGAGTAATTGATATAAATCAGTGGTTCTCAACTGGTCTCACTCTGGGACCCACATTTTCCCTTGGTCCTTAAGTCGTGACCCACTTTCATAAAATTCAAACCAAGCATATTTATTTTTTATATTAACAAAAACCTTTAAAGACTCAAATCTTTAACATAAATACACCCATTTTATTGAGTAAAGTGCATTTTGGGGTAAGATGATCCATTTTTTATATTTGGGATAACTACATCAAGTCAATCCTAGTTTTATCTTTAACTAGTGTATCTGCATATTTCAGGATGTTGTTCATCCCTGCAAACCAACGGAATGAGTGTAAACAGAACTGTTATCTTGATACTGCAGCATGTTAAAAAAAAAGTGGTCTCCTATGGTCAACCTACCCTGTGTATGTGGTAAGTTGACCATAGGAGCGGGGTAAGTTGAGCCGTATCCTTACTACCCCACTTCCCCCCCCAGCCCTCCCTCACCTTCTCTCTCCCTAAATAACAGTCACTTCTTCACATTTATGTGTATTTTTGATCTATTATACACTATTTAATTGGTACAATCATTCTTTTTATTATTATTACATATAACTGCTAAAAAGCTGTTTTGTAAAAAACAAAAGATAACACTTTACTTGACGCCTATCTCTATAACGCACTATAAATATATGTATAATGCGTTATAATCAGATTATAGATCTGTATAACAATAGTTATAAACTAATAAATGATGATAATGCTTTATAGCTAGAATCATAACACATTATAAAGCATTTTATCATGACTTACAAGGTCAGGTATTAAAATGTGTTATGCTTATTGTTATAAAGCCTTATGATAATTAATGAGTGTTTACCATGATAGTTACACGAGTTTATAAACAAATTCTAACTCATAATTATATATGTATAAAGCATTATCTGTGTGGACATTGTGAGTGAGTTGTTAACAGTGATAACACATTATAACACCTGACCTTGTAAGTCATGATAAAATGATTTATGATGTGCTGTTATTATTTATTTTTTATTGCTATAAAGCATTATGATCGTTTATGAGTGTTTATAACTATAGTTATACAGTGCTATAATGTGATTATAATGCGTTAAACATATATATTTATAATGTATTATAGAGATAGGCGTCAAGTAAAGTGTTACAAAAAAACAACATTTTAATATGAGAATGCCTGACACCACAAATTAAATCCAGAAAATTCACATTTTTTTGGAGCTGAAATGTTTATTTCACTTACGACTGAAAACCAAAATAATCAAAATGTCTAAGATGTAACAATTATATTTATTTACCTCATTTGATACATCAGATGTTTTTGGAAACTGATAAACTACAAGAGGACATTTTCATCATTTATTGGACTGTATTCAGGTATTTTTTTGTAATCTGTTGATCATATTGATTTGATAGAAGTATATTAAAGTATTTATCAAATATGATACAAAAGGCAATAAAGAGTTAAGTGATTCAGAACATTCACAGCTCTATTTCAACAATCTGAACTGAAACGATGATCCTCTCTTCAGACTCCTTTACTTTTCCTTTACTTTCTTAGTTACCCCGAAACTACAAACAACACCAGAGGCCTGTACTACGAAGCTGGATTAACACATCCAGGGTAACTCTGCGACAACTCGCTCAACTTCACCGGATCTCCGCGATCCCAATCAGCTGAACTACGAAGCCGGTTATCAACTTGATAACTGAATCCAGGTGTGGCCTCTTCAGATCTGTGCGCGCACACATAAATGGGGTGGGGTCAGTTCCACCGGACCGATCTCCACAATGGAGAAGGCTGCACGTCATTTTTCACAGCCGAGGAACAGAGCATTATTTTACGAGGAGTACCGCAACATTATAACAGTGAGGAGCAGGACAGCCACAGCCGCTAAAAACCGGAGGGACTGCTGGCAAAAAAAATCACCGGTTGTGTAAATTACATTTGTGCGTTCGTAAATTTATGGCCCCCTAATATGTTGTCATGCAGCGTGTGTGATCACCTCCATCAATGACCTCATTATTTCAGATACAACAGCAGTGGGGAAAAGAGTACGTGGGAGCAAATAAAAATAAATCTAAAAACATCCTTTAAAGTAGTTTGTAAGTTTATTGGAAGATTTTATTTGTACATATTTCAACGCGTAAACAGTGATTTCCTCACACTGCCTTTTTTTCTTTTTTTCTCCATCATCTGATGGTCACATGTCATCTGCAGACACATTTGGGGTTAAGAGGAGTTTTCCAATCTGCTTCAATAAATTCTGAATGATGACTGATATGCCGCATGAAATTGGAACCTGGAGCTTGACAAATATTAGTGCATTGCTTAGACTTCAAGTTACCTGACTATTGAGGCCGTCCGAGGAAAACCTGTAACGTTCATAGAGAACGTCATCAGGTAAATCAAACGGATTTGAACGATCATGAATATAACGCTCTCGGCGAAGCGCTCCTCTCACCATCCGTGCAACGATGTCCCCGGGATCCGGCAAAAGTGGGCAAGCCATTTTCCAAGAGATCGGATTGGTCAGTGGGCGGTCGTTTATACCTGCTGAGATCTTATCCTGAAACATAACCTGCTCCGGAGCAGGTTTGGCGTTCCGCGTAAGTTCCCGGGGCAACGGACCCGGATAAAAAGAGATCCACCTTCGTAGTACGGAAAACCCAGAAGTTATCCAGAAGTTATCTCGCTAAGACTAAATCCAGCTTCATAGTACAGGCCTCTGGTGAACTACAAACAAGTGAATTACATACTACACCAGGTAAACTATAAAAAGGTCAACTACAAACTACAGCAGGTTAACATCAAACAAGTAAACTAGAAAATACACCATGTAAACTAATAACTTAACCAGGTAAACTACAAACAAGTAAACTTCAGACTACACCAGGGGTCCGTTTCACGTAGGTGGTTCAACAAACTCTGAGTTAAATCCTTAACTCTGAGTTGATCTACTCTGAGTTAGGAAACTCTGAGTTTCCGGTTTCACAATACCTGATTTGAGACGGTTTTAACAACTCCGAGTAGTTTGACCTGGAGTTAAGCACGTGCACGCCAGACATAAACAGCCAGCATCTGTGGAGCGCAGATTCAATGATCAACCAATGGAAACAGGGAGAAGGAGGGGGCAGCAGCAAGCCAACAGCGAATTACAGCACGTTTTTAAAAGAAAGTGCAATACAGCAGCAGCTGCAAAGGAGAGGGAGAGGGCTTGGGAGGAAATCGCTGCTCACGTCAATGCGTAACTTTAAATCTAGTCTCGTGCAATCACAATGACAGACTGTTGCAGGGAAACTGCTTGAATCATTTTGATCATGTTTTACATTGTCAAGTAAGTATTAAGTGGCAGTTTGATCCCTTAGAAAATGCTCTTTTCACACTCAAAAAAATGAATTTTACTCTCTTATGATGTTCCGTTAAGTGATTAGGAATATTAAACTAACTCTCAGTATGTATATGTACATATATTAAACTAACACACACTACACTCAATATTAGACTTTCACTCAGCAAACAGAAAGAGGGCAGATGCCAGAAAAAACGGGTGGTGGCCCAGCAGCCCCCCCCCCCGACGATCGAAACCCCCACCTCGTAGCAGCGATCGTCGGACTGGTGTGCGTGCGTGTGTGTGTGTCTGTGGGGGGAGGGATTTGCGATCGGACCGGCCGCGATCGTCGAACGGGGGGGGTGGGGGGCAGCTCCTCTGCCTCCGTTAAAGGTGGGGCTGCTGGACCACCACCCGTTTTTGTGTTAGTTTAATATTCCTAATCATTTAACGGAACATAATAAGAGAGTAAAATTCAGTTTTGAGTGTGAAAACAGCTTTTTTAAAGGGATCAAACTGCCACTTAATACTTACTTGACAATGTAAAACATGATCAAAATGAGAAAATGCCGATGTCTCACCTGAAACTCTGGGTTTACTGAGTTAAACCTGCTCCCGAGCAGGTTAGGTTCACGGAGTCTGTTACTGCGGTAACTGACCGCGAGGTTGAGTTACCTCTCTTTGTGAAACAGGTTAGAGTTACCCCTCTCTCCCTGGTTTAACTAACCCTCCTTTGTGAAACGGAAAACTCAGAGTTTCCCTGATTTCAGGGTTAACAAACTCGGAGTTTCCACTAAACCTGCTACGTGAAACGGACCCCAGGTCAACTACAAATGAGTGAACTACATACTACACCAGGTAAACTACAAACAAGTAAACTAAAGAATACACCATGTAAACTACGAACTACACCAGGTAAACTACAAACAAGTAAAAGTCAGACTTCTCCAGGTTAACCACAAAAGAGTAAACTACAAACTACACCAGGGGTCCGTTTCACGTAGGTGGTTCAACAAACTCTGAGTTAAATCCTTAACTCTGAGTTGATCTACTCTGAGTTAGGAAACTCTGAGTTTCCGGTTTCACAACACCTGATTTGAGACGGTTTTAACAACTCCGAGTAGTTTGACCTGGAGTTAAGCACGTGCACGCCAGACATAAACAGCCAGCATCTGTGGAGCGCAGATTCATTGATCAACCAATGGAAACAGGGAGAAGGAGGGGGCAGCAGCAAGCCAACAGCGAATTACAGCACGTTTGTAAAAGAAAGTGCAATACAGCAGCAGCTGCAAAGGAGAGGGAGAGGGCTTGGGAGGAAATCGCTGCTCGCGTCAATGCGTAACTTTAAATCTAGTCTCGTGCAAACACAATGACAGACTGTTGCAGGGAAACTGCTTGAATCATTTTGATCATGTTTTACATTGTCAAGTAAGTATTAAGTGGCAGTTTGATCCCTTAGAAAATGCTCTTTTCACACTCAAAACTGAATTTTACTCTCTTATGATGTTCCGTTAAATGATTAGGAATATTAAACTAACTCTCAGTATGTATATGTACATATATTAAACTAACACACACTACACTCAATATTAGACTTTCACTCAGCAAACAGAAAGAGGGCAGATGCCAGAAAAACGGGTGGTGGTCCAGCAGCCCCACCTTTAACGGAGGCAAGGGAGCTGCCCCCCCCCCCCCTTCGACGATCGCAACTCCCACCCCGTAGCAGCGATCGTTGGACTAGTGTGCGTGTGTGTGTGTCTGTGTGTGTGTGTGTGTGGGGGGGGGATTTGCGATCGGACCGGCCGCGATCGTCGAACGGGGGGGTGGGGGCAGCTCCTCTGCCTCCGTTAAAGGTGGGGCTGCTGGACCACCACCCGTTTTTGTGTTAGTTTAATATTCCTAATCATTTAACGGAACATAATAAGAGAGTAAAATTCATTTTTGAGTGTGAAAAGAGCATTTTTTAAGGGATCAAACTGCCACTCAATACTTACTTGACAATGTAAAACATGATCAAAATGAGAAAATGCCGATGTCTCACCTGAAACTCTGGGTTTACTGAGTTAAACCTGCTCCCGAGCAGGTTAGGTTCACGGAGTCTGTTACTGTGGTAACTGACCGCGAGGTTGAGTTACCTCTCTTTGTGAAACAGGTTAGAGTTACCCCTCTCTCCCTGGTTTAACTAACCCTCCTTTGTGAAACGGAAAACTCAGAGTTTCCCTGATTTCAGGGTTAACAAACTCGGAGTTTCCACTAAACCTGCTACGTGAAACGGACCCCAGGTGAACTACAAACAAGCAAACAAAAGAAAACACCAGGTTAAGTACAAACAAGTAAACAACAAACTACACCAGGTAAACAATAAAAATGTCAACTACAAACTACAGCGGGTTTACAACAAACGAGTACACTACAAACTACACCAGGTAAAATACAATCTTAACCAGGTAAACTACAAACAAGTAAACTTCAGACTACACCAGGTTACCTACAAATTAGAAAACTACATACTACGCAAGGTGAACTACAAACAAGTAAACTAGAGAATACACCATGTAAACTACAAACTACACCAGGTAAACTACAAACAAGTAAACTAGAGAATACACTATGTAAACTATGTGCAAAAGAGTAAACTACAAACTACACAAGGTGAACTACAAACAAGTAAACAAAAGGAAACACCAGGGGTCCGTTTCACGTAGGTGGTTCAACAAACTCTGAGTTAAATCCTTAACTCTGAGTTGATCTACTCTGAGTTAGGAAACTCTGCGTTTCCGGTTTCACAACACCTGATTTGAGTCAGATTTATCAACTCCGAGTAGTTTGACCTGGAGTTAAGCACGTGCACGCCAGACATAAACAGCCAGCATCTGTGGAGCGCAGATTCATTGATCAACCAATGGAAACAGGGAGAAGGAGGCGGCAGCAGCAAGCCAACAGCGAATTACAGCACGTTTTTAAAAGAAAGTGCAATACAGCAGCAGCTGCAAAGGAGAGGGAGAGGGCATGGGAGGAAATCGCTGCTCGCGTCAATGCGTAACTTTAAATCTAGTCTTGTGCAATCACAATGACAGACTGTTGCAGGGAAACTGCGTGCATGGAGCAAATTAATTTATTTTATGTAGGTGCAATCCAGCGGGACAAAAGCGCACTTGACAGCAGCTGATAATTAAATATAAAAACATTGTGCAAAAAGGCGAGACATCTGCATTTTCTCATTTTGATCATGTTTTACATTGTCAAGGTAGTATTAAGAGGCAGTTTGATCCCTTAGAAAATGCTCTTTTCACACTCAAAACTGAATTTTACTCTCTTATGATGTTCCGTTAAATGATTAGGAATATTAAACTAACTCTCAGTATGTAAATGTACATATATTAAACTAACACACACTACACTCAATATTAGACTTTCACTCAGCAAACAGAAAGAGGGCAGATGCCAGAAAAACGGGTGGTGGCCCAGCAGCCCCACCTTTAACGGAGGCAGAGGAGCTGCCCCCCCCCTCGACGATCGAAACCCCCACCCCGTAGCAGCGATCGTCGGACTGGTGTGCGTGTGTGTGTGTGTGTGTGTGTGTGTGTGTGTCTGTGGGGGGGGATTTGCGATCGGACCGGCCGCGAGGGGGGGGGGGGGCTGCTGGACCACCTACCGTTTTTGTGTTAGTTTAATATTCCTAATCATTTAACGGAACATCATAAGAGAGTAAAATTCAGTTTTGAGTGTGAAAAGAGCATTTTTTAAGGGATCAAACTGCCACTTAATACTTACTTGACAATGTAAAACATGATCAAAATGATTCAAGCAGTTTCCCTGCAACAGTCTGTCATTGTGATTGCACGAGACTAGATTTAAAGTTACGCTTTGACGCGAGCAGCGATGTGAAAATGCCGATGTCTCACCTGAAACTCTGGGTTTACTGAGTTAAACCTGCTCCCGAGCAGGTTAGGTTCACAGAGTCTGTTACTGTGGTAACTGACCGCGAGGTTGAGTTACCTCTCTTTGTGAAACAGGTTAGAGTTACCCCTCTCTCCCTGGTTTAACTAACCCTCCTTCGTGAAACGGAAAACTCAGAGTTTCCCTGATTTCAGGGTTAACAAACTCGGAGTTTCCACTAAACCTGCTACGTGAAACGGACCCCAGGTAAATTGCAAACAAGTAAAAGTCAGACTTCTCTAGGTTAACCACAAAGGAGTAAACTACAAACTACACCAGGTGAACTACAAACAAGGAAACTTAAAACTACACCAGGTAAACTACAAACACGTAAACTACAAAATACACCAGGAAAACTACAAACTACACTAGGTAAACTACAAACAACACCAGAAAAATTACAAACAAGTAAACTTCAGACTACACTAGGTTAACTACAAAAGTGTTAACTACAAACAACACCAGGTACACAACAAACAAGTAAACCACAGACTACACTTGGGGTCCGTTTCACGTAGCAGGTTTAGTGGAAACTCCGAGTTTGTTAACCCTGAAATCAGGGAAACTCTGAGTTTTCCGTTTCACAAAGGAGGGTTAGTTAAACCAGGGAGAGAGGGGTAACTCTAACCTGTTTCACAAAGAGAGGTAACTCAACCTCGCGGTCAGTTACTACAGTAACAGACTCCGTGAACCTAACCTGCTCGGGAGCAGGTTTAACTCAGTAAACCCAGAGTTTCAGGTGAGACATCGGCATTTTCTCATTTTGATCATGTTTTACATTGTCAAGTAAGTATTAAGTGGCAGTTTGATCCCTTAAAAAATGCTCCCTGATTTCACACTCAAAACTGAATTTTACTCTCTTATTATGTTCCGTTAAATGATTAGGAATATTAAACTAACACAAAAACGGATGGTGGTCCAGCAGCCCCACCTTTAACGGAGGCAGAGGAGCTGCCCCCCACCCCCCCGTTCGACGATCGCGGCCGGTCCGATCGCAAATCCCCCCCCCCCCCCCACAGACACACACGCACACCAGTCCGACGATCGCTGCTACGGAGTGGGGGTTTCGATCGTCGAGGGGGGTGGGGGGGGGGCAGCTCCTCTGCCTCCGTTAAAGGTGGGGCTGCTGGACCACCACCCGTTTTTCTGGCATCTGCCCTCTTTCTGTTTGCTGAGTGAAAGTCTAATATTGAGTGTAGTGTGTGTTAGTTTAATATATGTACATATACATACTGAGAGTTAGTTTAATATTCCTAATCATTTAACGGAACATCATAAGAGAGTAAAATTCATTTTTGAGTGTGAAAAGAGCATTTTTTAAGGGATCAAACTGCCACTTAATACTTACTTGACAATGTAAAACATGATCAAAATGATTCAAGCAGTTTCCCTGCAACAGTCTGTCATTGTGATTGCACGAGACTAGATTTAAAGTTACGCATTGACGCGAGCAGCGATTTCCTCCCAAGCCCTCTCCCTCTCCTTTGCAGCTGCTGCTGTATTGCACTTTCTTTTACAAACGTGCTGTAATTCGCTGTTGGCTTGCTGCTGCCCCCTCCTTCTCCCTGTTTCCATTGGTTGATCATTGAATCTGCGCTCCACAGATGCTGGCTGTTTATGTCTGGCGTGCACGTGCTTAACTCCAGGTCAAACTACTCGGAGTTGTTAAAACCGTCTCAAATCAGGTATTGTGAAACCGGAAACTCTGAGTTTCCTAACTCAGAGTAGATCAACTCAGAGTTAAGGATTTAACTCAGAGTTTGTTGAACCACCTACGTGAAACGGACCCCAGGTCAACTACAAATGAGTAAAGTACAAAATACACAAAGTAAACTTCAGACTACACCAGGTTAACTACAAACAAGTAAACTTAAGACTACACCAGGTAAACTACAAACAAATAAACTACAAACTACACCGGGTAAACTACAAACAAGCAAACTTCAGACTTCACCAGATTAACCAGAAAAAAGTAAACTACAATCTTTACCAGGTAGACTACATACAAGAAAACTTCAGACTAAACCAGGTTAACTACAAACAAGTAAACTTAAGACTACACCAGGTAAACTACAAACAAATAAACTACAAACTACACCAGGTGAACTATAAACAAGTAAACTTAAGACTACAACAGGTAAACTACAATCAAATAAACTACAAAATACACCAGGAAAACTACAATCTACATCAGGTAAACTACAAACAAGTAAACTACAAAATACACCAGGAAAACTTCAGACTACACCAGGTTAACTACAAATAAGTAAACTACATACTACACCAGGTGAACTTCAAACAAGTAAACTAGAGAAAACACCATGTAAACTACAAACTACACCAGGTAAACTGCAAACAAGTAAAAGTCAGACTTCTCCAGGTAAATCACAAAAGAATAAACTACAAACTACACCAGGTAAACAACAAACAAGTAAACTACAAATTACACCAGTTAAACTACAAAAAAGTGAACTACAAACAACACCAGGTAAACTACAAACAAGTTAACTAAAGAATACATCAGGTAAACTACAAACTACACCAGGTAAACTACAAACAAGCAAACTTCAGACTTCACCAGGTTAACAACAAAAGAGTAAACTACAAACCACACCAGGTCAACTACAAACAAGTAAACTACAAACTACACCAAGTTAAACACAAACAAGTGAACAAAATACTTTACCAGGTGAACTACAAACTACACCAGTTAAACTACAACTCCACCAGGTTAACCACAAACTCCACTAGGTAAACTACAAACTCCACCAGGTAAACTACAAACTCCACCAGGTTAACTACAAACTACACCAGGTTAACCACATACTACACCAGGTTAACCACAAACTCCACTAGGTAAACTACAAACTCCACCAGGTTAACCACAAACTCCACTAGGTAAACTACAAACTCCACCAGGTTAACCACATACTACACCAGGGGTCCGTTTCACGTAGGTGGTTCAACAAACTCTGAGTTAAATCCTTAACTCTGAGTTGATCTACTCTGAGTTAGGAAACTCTGAGTTTCCGGTTTCACAATACCTGATTTGAGACGGTTTTAACAACTCCGAGTAGTTTGACCTGGAGTTAAGCACGTGCACGCCAGACATAAACAGCCAGCATCTGTGGAGCGCAGATTCATTGATCAACCAATGGAAACAGGGAGAAGGAGGGGGCAGCAGCAAGCCAACAGCGAATTACAGCACGTTTTTAAAAGAAAGTGCAATACAGCAGCAGCTGCAAAGGAGAGGGAGAGGGCATGGGAGGAAATCGCTGCTCGCGTCAATGCGTAACTTTAAATCTAGTCTCGTGCAATCACAATGACAGACTGTTGCAGGGAAACTGCTTGAATCATTTTGATCATGTTTTACATTGTCAAGTAAGTATTAAGTGGCAGTTTGATCCCTTACAAAATGCTCTTTTCACACTCAAAAATGAATTTTACTGATGTTCCGTTAAATGATTAGGAATATTAAACTAACTCTCAGTATGTATATGTACATATATTAAACTAACACACACTACACTCAATATTAGACTTTCACTCAGCAAACAGAAAGAGGGCAGATGCCAGAAAAACGGGTGGTGGCCCAGCAGCCCCACCTTTAACGGAGGCAGAGGAGCTGCCCCCCCCCCCCACCCCCTAGCAGCGATCGTCGGACTGGTGTGCGTGTGTGTGTCTGTGGAGGGGGGGATTTGCGATCGGACCGGCCGCGATCGTCGAACGGGGGGGTGGGGGGCAGCTCCTCTGCCTCCGTTAAAGGTGGGGCTGCTGGACCACCACCCGTTTTTGTGTTAGTTTAATATTCCTAATCATTTAACGGAACATCATAAGAGAGTAAAATTCAGTTTTGAGTGTGAAAAGAGCATTTTTTAAGGGATCAAACTGCCACTTAATACTTACTTGACAATGTAAAACATAATCAAAATGAGAAAATGCCGATGTCTCACCTGAAACTCTGGGTTTACTGAGTTAAACCTGCTCCCGAGCAGGTTAGGTTCACGGAGTCTGTTACTGTGGTAACTGACCGCGAGGTTGAGTTACCTCTCTTTGTGAAACAGGTTAGAGTTACCCCTCTCTCCCTGGTTTAACTAACCCTCCTTTGTGAAACGGAAAACTCAGAGTTTCCCTGATTTCAGGGTTAACAAACTCGGAGTTTCCACTAAACCTGCTACGTGAAACGGACCCCAGGTCATCTACAACTACACCAGGTTAACCACAAACTCCACCAGGTAAACTACAAAGATTTGGTCACATGATCAATTTCTCTGACTGTTCACAAGAAACAGGGGGTGGGCTCATCTTACCCCACTCTCCCCTACAAGAGGACCCAGTATGGACCCCTGTGGGGCGCCAATGTAAGAGTCTAAAATTGAAAGAGGGAAAATTGTAGATGAAATCACTGAAATGTATCTTTTTTTATATACTTTTAAACAGGAAACCAGACAGAAACTTTGACTTGGATGTTTGCCTCTTAGTCCTGTTTCACAAAAGTAGTCAAGTACAGACTGTTGTTAAAAACTGTGTCAATTAAGATTTGTTATTTTGACTCTTCATCCATGAGGGGGAGGAACCTTTTCAAAGCTGAGTCTCCTCCCACACCTCCTGTCTCCTCCTCCTCCTCCTCCTCCTCAGTGTGAGCTCCACTCTGAGAGGAGAGAGGAGTCACAGCAGCTCAGTGAGTGTCAGCATGTCTCACCTGTGAGCTTCTTCTCCTGTGAGCTTCTTCTCCAGTGAGCTTCTTCACCTGTGAGCTTCTTCTGCTGCTGATCTGAAGGATCTCAAAGTCTTCATCACGCTGGACTCCTCAAAGTTTCTTGGTTTGTTCATTCGTTTTTTTTCCTTTAACAAAGATATTTTGAAGATCAAGAACTCCCACTCTGTCAAACTTTTCTTCTCCCTCCCGCTTAGACACAGCGCGATGATGTCAGATTACATGGCGATATCTGATTGGTCCTTGGCTAATATGGCGGCTCGATCAGAGACCTCCAGAGCCGTCACAAAGGTCAGACATGGATGTTGTGTCAGTTTGTTTAAACTTTTACTTCAAAGATGTTTTTAAAGATGTTTTAGAAGCTTAATTTTATTTTCCCATTTGTTTTTTATTAATTAATTTATGTCATTTTATTTATTTATATTTTAATTTGTTTGATTATATATACATTTATTCAGACTCATTCATTTATTTATGTATATATCTTCTTCTACAGGTTAGCCCCACCCCTTCACACACCTTCCTCAAATCAACGACTATCTCAGATTCTTCTCTCTGGTTGGAGGACTCCAGCTGTCAGTCAAAGACCTCCGTTTTCATCCCACCTTCTCCATCAATGTCCTTATATGTTGGTCCTACTGTGACCCCGCCCCCGACCAGCCTCCTTACTCCAGTACCTGGATGGAACTGTTACCATGACAACATCTATTCCTCCTCCTATTTGGTGCCTCCTCTGCCATGGGGGCAGGGCCTCCTTTCACCAGGTGAAGCTTGTACCTGACACTCTGAGCTGTGGTACTGTGGTGCAGACAGTGCCGTGGGTTTATTGTGTGTGTGTGTGTGTGTGTGTGTGTGTGTGTTCAGAGCAACGTGTGTGTGTGAGCTGTAGGACGAGCAGTGCCCCCCTGTGGAGCAGAGACGCCACAGATCGCCACCTGTGTCACACCTGCAGCCTCCGGCAGAGAGCCAACAACAGACCTCTGCTGAGACCCAAGAGAAGGGTGGTGAGACACACACGCACAAACACATACAAACACACAAACACACACACGTACATTTGGGGCCCCGTCTCTGATAAGCTGTCCTACAAATTTCAGCAAAAATTTAATATTTAAAATATTTCACGGTAGAAAAGTTTCTGTAATGCTCCTTTAATACAATTTTTTTTCAGTCTGTGTCTCAGAGGAGAGGAACTCAGTGTGTGAACTGTTTGACTTTAACTACAACACTGTGGAGGAGGAACTCTGAGGGAGAACCCGTCTGCAACGCCTGTGGACTCTACTACAAACTACACCAGGTAAGTTACAGACTACACCAGATAAACAACAGACTACACCAGGTAAACTACACCAGGTAAACTACAAATCTACAACTACACCAGGTTAACATCAAACTCCACCAGGTAAACTACAAAGATTTGGTCACATGATCAATTTCTCTGACCATTCACAAGAAACATGGGGTTAGGGTTACTACAAACTACAGGAGGTAAACTACAAACAGGTTATCTACAAACTTCACCAGGTAAACCACAAACTACACCAGGAAAACTACAAACTACACCAGGTAAACTACAGACTTCACCAGGTAAACTACAAATACACCAGGAAAACTACAAACTACACCAGGTACTCTACAGACTACAAACAAGTTAACTACAAACAACACCAGGAAAACTACAAACTAGACCAGGTTCTCTACAGACTACAAACAAGTTAACTACAGACTACACCAGGTAAACTACCAACAACAGCAGATAACCAACAAACGACACCAGTTAAACTACAAACAACACCATGAAAACGACAAACTACACCAGGTACTCTACAAACTACAAACAAGTTAACTACAAACTACACCAGGAAACTACCAACTACAGCAGATAAACTACAAACCACACTAGGTAAACTGCAAACAAGTTAACTACAAACCGACCAGGTAAACTACATATACACCAGGTAAACTACAAACTACACAGGGTAAACTACAAACATACCAGGTCAACTGCAAACTACACAAGGTAAAATTAAAACAAGTAAACCACAAACTACACCAGGTAAACTTAAACAAGTAACCTACAAACTACACAAGGTAAACTACAGACTCCACCAGGTAAACTACACCAGGTAAACTAAAAACTTCACCAGGTCAACTACAAACGAGTACTGTATTTTCCGCACTTTAAGGCGCGCCATCAATGAACACGTTCATTTGCGTCTATTTTCATATATAAGGCGCACCAGATTATAAAGCGCACCAGATAAAAAGCGCATTAAGCCAAACAAAACAGTCAAATAAATCAAACTTTATTTTACTCATTCAATAACTCTGTGAGGCTACGCTAGCTGCAGAGCTCCTACGAGCCAAAAGGATTTAAAGTGCGCCTCATAGTGTGAAAATTATGGTAAACTACAGACTCCACCAGATAAACTACAAACAAGTAAACTAAAGACTACACTAGGTAAACTACAAACAAGTAAACTTAAGACTACACCATGTAAACTACAAACAAGTCAACTACAGATGACTATTTGTTCGGTTCCATGGTGTGCTGATGTGTTTCAGGTGAACCGGCCGCCGTCCATGAGTAAAGATGGACTCAAAACCAGAAGAAGGAAACTGACCAATAAGGACGAGAGGATGAGGAGAGCTAGCCAATCAGAGACTGGCCCCGCCTGCTGAGGATGCTTGATTCCCCTCCTGTCTCGGCTCTGTATAACAGTTAAAACTGTTTTTTTTTTTTAAATTTATTTGGTTTTTTTTTAAGACTTTTTCTGTGTTCAGAGTTTTCATTTCTTGAATATTTTTTGATAAACCTGCTGAATCATCCAAACTGTGAACGGAGTCTTCCTTTAAAACTAAAACCTGGATCAGTATTTTACATTCTTGTTTTATTTAGACATGAAGTATTTATGATTAATGAGCCGTACTCAGAGGGTTTAAACGACCTCAGGATAGCAATACAGAGAGCCACGCACTCAACTAAAACGCCACTCTATAGCCACAAATAATGCTCAGAACAGCACCTAACTTCATCAACAGGACATATAGGGTCACAGACATAGTACTAGCCACCAAACATCTTTTTAACTTTGACTTATCTCTTTATCACTTCTTTATCATTTCCTTGAAATAATCATCACCATATTAATCATTTTTTACTGCAGACATGGTAGTTCTTCTGCCTTAGCGTCTCGGTCTGATTGTATTTCCATGAAGAAATGATAATAAATGTTATTCCTTGAGTTGCGTCACCCGCTGTAGTCCATAATGGACTGGCCTGAGGTCTCGCTACAAACAAGCGACTGCTGGAAGAGAGTAGGTGAGTTGTGTTTAGCCCTGTGTCATTCATGAACGTTTCGTCCAAAAGAACTGAACTGCTGAGTGAACGACATGAACTGAATCACTCTGAGACCCGATTCGTTCCTTTCTCAGTTCAGCTGAGCTCAGCCACAAGCCTGGCATGACGGTCGGGAGTGGAACTGCCGTCTTTGACTCTTTGGCGAACAACACCCAGCCAGTTAGCGAGCGAGTGGGCGAAGTCTTGTGATTTGCTCACAGCCAGTGAATGACATCAGTATCAGTCAGACTGTGAACGAAACGAACGACTTGAGGCAGGCAGAGGAGGGAGGGGTGTAGCGTCATTCCTGAACTGCCGAGCAGCGGTTCGTTGACTGAAGCTAAGATAAAACAGGTCTTTATCGTGTCTTTACATTAATACACGTGTATAAACTTACCTGTAAGGATTTAATTTCAGACAATTTAAAGAAATACTCTATTTGATATCTTTAAAAGTTATCAGAAACACTGCTACAGCTGCCATGTTTATTTATTTTTAATCTCTCCACTTTTCAGCCCTATTAAAGAACGACGACTCGCGCTTGTGCAATGACTCACAGGTGTGCTGCTCACTGTTGTGTTGTTTCCACCGACAGACGTCAACACATAGAGAGGTGAGTTTTTCAGGGCAGGGGAGTGATTCTTCCTTAAGGACTTGGCGAATGAATGACATGTCACCCAGTGAATGACGCTGTGACTTCAGCAGCAGGGGAGTGGAGAGGCTCTGTCAATGATCGATCTCGCCGCTGTGTCACTCACTGGTGTAATGCATCAGCAGGACAGGGCTTCAAAACCCTGACTGATTCGGTGAATGAATCTTTTGAATGAATTGATTTAATGAACAGATTCTAAAGATTCAGTCAAAAGAACTGATCTTGTGTAGTTGTGTTTAGTCTCTTTGCTAAAGAAATTAGTCAAAGTTAAAAAGATGTTTGGTGGCTAGTACTATGGCAGGGACCTTATATGTACTAGCCTGAGTAGAACATGGTACAGTGCCATTCAGTAACAGAACCTCATTGGAAAATTAGCTGATTTAACCTTACTGTGGTCTTGTTCAAATGTACTAACTCGACAGCACAAATATCCATACCTGTTTACAAAATCATGATTATATTGATAATTCGGCTCAATAAAAACACAAGTTTCTCAGCCCAGCTTATAGAAAACAGAAGTAAAGAAACGCCCCACTTAAGTTTGCTTTCTTAGGAGTTAGAACAACTCTGAATATAGTACTATGGCTGTGACCCTATATGTACTGTTGGTGAAGTCAGGTGCTGTTCTGAGCATTATTTGTGGCTATAGAGTGGCGTTTTGGTTGAGGTTTGTTTATGGCTCCTCAGACAGCTGTGTATTGCTATCCTGCAGTCATTACTAAAGTTGGTATAACGAGAGAAGCAAGCGGTCGGCAACATTCATCTCTCGATGGGGTGTCTAGCTCGGTGTTACAGTGTGTTTGACCCTAACTTAATTCATGCTGGAATATCCCTTCAATACAGAACCCTTTAAACTGGATCCAGGTGCTGCTGATATCCCAGTTAGCTGTAGCTGAGGCCTCAAGGTCCTTACACACCAGCGAATTTGTGGAGCGAAGCGAAAAAGCGAGACGAAAATTCGAAAATATTCGGCGGTCGGAAAAATTGCTTTCACTTATACACACTGGGCGACCACTCTGTGGTACACACTCCCTCCCATCGTTGTTCTTGGTGCCAGTGGTGGTGTGTGTCGTGTGAACTGCAGCCACATGGGTCTGTGACGTCATCAACAACATGACTTTTGATTGGCCAGAGGTCTAGCAGGTCCAGATATTCGCCTGCCAATCTCCGAAAAAATTCGACACAAGATCGAAAAAATAAAAGACGCTTTTCGCCCCGCGGAAAAATCGCCGCCGGTGTGAAAGCTTGCATTGACTTTATGCTGTTTTCAAAAAAGGCGAATAAAGGCGAATAATTCGCCTGGCGAATTCGCGCCTGGTGTATAAGGACCTTCAGTCTGTCACAGAGCATCATGACTGGATGGAGGAGCAGACAGTGAAAGCAGCATTCTAGTATCCCCCCCCCTCCCACACACACACACACACACACACACACACACACACACACACACACACACACACACACACACACACACACACACACACACCCCAAACCTGCTGGAGGCCGGGTTGTGCAACCAGGAGGCTTCTGGTTTTCCGGACTCAGTAAAAAAAGGCCAAGAGAGGAAAAGGGAGATGAACAGAGAGCGGTTAGTGGTCTGGGGCCGGCCAGAGCCTCCCTACCACTGAGTGTGTGTGTGTGTGGTTGTGTGTGTGTGTTTGGGTGGGCCATGATGAAGCTGCCTATGATAGGCAACCACAGCACACTTACATTTATCCACACACATAAGGGCATCCTTTCAGGGGATGCACACACACACGCACACACACACACACACACACACACACACACACACACACACACACACACACACACACACACACACACACACACAGTAACGGTTGGTTAGAGTACAGTATGTTGACATCGTGTCCTCTCTTTTAAAGAAGTGCTGTCGTTGAACAGTCTGCTCTCTGTAAAGATCTTCTTGGCTGTTTTCAGATCCAACGTCAGTCTGTCTTCGCAGACTTCTCTGCTGCAGAATTAAAATAAAAAAACAAATTTTCTGCTCAAAGATGAGAGGAAACAGTCTCCTTAGAGAGAGGAGAGTCTAAAGGTGAGGACAGGGAGATGTCAGTTTGTCTGCAGACCTGAATTCAACAGGGGAGCTGGAGGACCAGCGGGGCTCTGAACATTAACTGTCTAAGGTTTTAGTAACTGTTACCCCCAGTTTCCACCACAACCTGAACAGCTTCTAAAAAGTTTTATCCGCAGATAGTAGTTGATCATAACAATTTACTAGCAATGACCACACCACAACGATATAAGTATGAATATTTAATACTAATTCAGGAGTGTGTATATCTTGTCTGATGCGTGTATGTTGTGATGGATAATGACGATGATGAGGAGTGTTGCGTGTCTGGTTGGTCTGGGAGGTTCTGTGGAGGCCCAGCAGTGAGAGACTCAGGATGGGGGTTCAGTCTCAGGCGTAGCTCTGCCCAAGCTTCATCCGACCCCCAAAGAGTTATAATGAAAGGGAGATTAATTGAGTGTGGGCCTGACGCAGATCGTGGAGGTTATTTCGAATGTAGGAGAGGTATGCCTGAGATGACCATCGTCCGAAGTTTTGAATTGTTCGATCTGATATGCCAAGCCTGGCTGCTGTGGATGCTGCGCTGATGCAGAATACATGCAGATGCGTGTAAAAGAGGGTCATGAGGTGATGCTTGAGCTGCATACCTGGAGCTGATGTATTTGGTGAGTGGTTCGAATGGACTGAGGTAGGAATTTAAGCAGAAGAGGTAACTGGAAAAGAGATCCCGAGCTGATCTGTTTTGCTACGTTGGAGCGTGAATATGAGAGAATCTGAAGTGTGAACTGCGATGTTTGAAAGTCTGGGATGATAGGATGGATAGAAGACGGAAGAGGTCGGAGCGAATTCGGAGCATCTGAGGAAACCGAAGAAGGCAAGCAGGAACATTGATTCTAGTATAGAATCAACCATTGGAGACCAGTAGCCTGAACGTAGGGTACAAATGCTGAGTAAGTCGGAGGTGAGTGGTAGGCGCTTAATGGGGTTAGTAGGTTCCTGTTGTCTTAAACCCTTGGTTAGCATGGCGACGTGAGACTGGGAGATGGCAGTGCGCTGAGAGCCAGTGATGAGTTTGAGGAAGAAATTGATGCCAGCAAGGTAGGTTCGAATGGTCGAGGATCGGATATTTTGGATGGTGTGGGTATGAGTTATGAAATTGTAGATCGATACGATGTCCAGAGATGGGAAGGGCAGCTGGTCTGCAGAGTGGTAGGACTTGAGTTCCAGCCTGTCAGGTAAGCAGATAGAGTGCTGGGAGCAAGACTGTTGAGAATCGCATCTTGCGAGGCATGAGTGAGGTTTATTGGCTGGGGAGTTAAATGAAAGTTGTGGCTGAAAACGGTGGGACTGGTGAGGGATGCCGATCGGACTCTGGGGCCAGATGTCTGAATTTTATTCATGCCCCCAAAGTAAGGCAGTAATGAGAGTCCGTGCAGGGCGAATGAAGGAGACTGGGATTCTGTGTCAAGGTCTTTTATCTCTAGAGGCTAATTGGAAGCAATCCATCTTTCCCTGTGGTAACCTCCGAAACCTATGGAGGGAGCTGCATCTGTGAACGGCTGAATATCTTCTGGTTGGTTATAAATAATCACGTGTGTCTCGATTTTGCATGCCTCGTTCAAGACCACTCTGCTGTGTAAGGAGGGAACGGCTGCAG